TGCGCCAGGAGGAATGGGGGAGAAGGTGTCCAAGCGGACCGGTTCGCTCCAATGTTCCGACGCGCCGGTCTTCTCGGCGGGAGTTTCAGTCGATACGGGTCTGCGACGGAGGTTTAAAAAAGTGGTCAGGAGAGAGAATGAGGAAATCGAGAGGTAGAAAACGGAATCCGCGAGGACTTTTCAGTTTTGACTGTTTGACAGTCGTGAAGAGAATTGGCGAACCAACGAGGTAATCTTGGTACGAGAAGGTCGCAGGATTATTGCGCCACAATCGGCGATAGAATGGTCAGCTCTGGCATACCAATTCAGGCAGATAAGAGATTGGAATAATAATAATTATTATTATTATGGTGGATTAAAATGGGGCGCAGTGGTTTCCCTTGGAGACGCGAACCAGCGATCCGGATGGAGTTGAGTCTTCTCATTCTCCATCTTTGGCTGTCGAGATTGGAGGAGACGGTGGAGCATCAGGTGACTGGGGTGGATCTCCCTTACATCATCAGTCTCTTCCTACCTACTCTCTTCTCTATTCACTCTCTATAATTCTCTATACTCTCTATCTAATTGAAACTGTAGAAGATATATATTCCAATGCTTCGTGGACACAATGATTATCCCCTGAAACATACCCTGAATGCCGCCCGTGGTTCATTCCATCCACTCCGTTGCCCCCCATGGCTCTCCAGACTCCACTGTGTCACTGGGCCAACCGCAGATCGTTCTCGTCTCCACAGCCACGAGTCGCATACAAGAGTTTTCTTCTTTTTATAGATGAACGTGGAAGCCTAGATATAATACTGTTAATAGTCAAAGAATCTCTCTGCCTTCGTATACTCTAGCTTCATGTCAGAGTATGCCTGTAGTTATCAGTTGGCCATGTATCAGCCCGTCAGATCTGACATTGCAGTTCTTCTATACTCCTATACTATAATCTATCCTGATGACGAGTATCTCGGGTAGGTCGAGGCACGTGTGGATACGTGCGGTGTGCTCAGTGCACCAGCTAAGATATTGTAGCCACTTTTAATCTAATTTAATCTTTTTTTCTCTCTTATTATCATTATCTACTATTTTTTGTTTCTGTTTTTCATCTGTCAGGCTGTCAGGCTTCAGCCTAGTCTCAACGGTGGCTGTGCATAGTGAGAACCCACTCGCCACAACTAGCCAATATCCAAGCCACACCCTAACTCACAATAGACTCACCGTGTCGATCTGGATGACTATGACGTCGGGAAAAATCATATGCCAGCCCTGTCTCCCGAGAACAGCCTCCGGGGAATAGGGGTCCCCTACATGTCACAAGCATTATGTGCGATCTGTACTCCATACCACGGTGTATAATCGAGTGTAACATCATATCAACATGAAACACGCTATGCCCATGACTAATGCTCCATCCAACTCCAATGCAACCAGACACTATCAGGATCCCTGAACACAATGACTAACCTCGGCACTACTATACAGTGTGAAAGGGGCTTCCCCCTATGAAGAATCTACCAAACCAGCCTCCACCAGATTCACACCCTGAACCCGCCTCCCCTCAACAACCTTCAGCCACACAAGTGGGAACAGGAACTCCGCGAGCCGACCCGCTCCGTCCGACGACACGTTCAGCGCCGTCGCGTGCCGGCTGGCGAACGACTTCAAAGCTGCCAAGGCCCGCTCGGCGTCCCCGCGGATGATGCGCGGCGGGGGCTGCGCGCCTAGCACGGGGATCACCCCCGCTGCGAGGGCGATGTTGGCGATTGTGGATTCTACGCCGCAGATGGTGCCGGAGAGGCCGGCGAGCCGTTGGTGTGGGTCGTGTGTGGCGAAGCGCTGTCCGTCGAGACAGTCGCCTGGGTGGTCAGTGAGGGAGTCGTCGAGTTGTTTGGCGAACTCCGGGTCGATGGTGATGCCTACGTCGCCGGGGCCGTGGCCGCCGGCGGCTTCGGTGTAGGTGGTTATTTGGGCGGTGAGGGTGCTGGATTAGTTAGTTTATTTGTTAGGTTGGTTGGTTGGTGGTATGGGTGTATCCCGTGGGATGCTGATCGGGTTGGTCCCAGTTGAGAAGGAAGAAACTCACAATGTAGCTGTTGGAACTGCGTGCGGTGGGTTCGTGATGGTGCTGGGGTTGGATGTCACTGGCTGTGCGGTGGCTGTCGCCAGGACAGCTGATAACAGTAGGCTCGTAAAGATATGCATTGCCGTATTATATATACACTCCTTCAACTTCTCGAGTCCTGAACATCATTCGAGAAGGATACCTGCTGAAGGATCACGAAGCTTATAAACTTTCATACTTCGAGCCGCCGAATTAAATAGCGCTCGAACCCGGACACAGCGAACACCTTGCTATCTATATCTTCACTCAGCGTGTCTTCACGAGCGCCAACCTGAATCACACCCTTATACGATGCCGGTTAGATCCATCCGACCTCTGCAGGGGCCATTCTGCCTCGTGCCTCCAATGCATCCTATCATATTATGATCTCAAAGCAGCGAGTGGGTCGACATGCACTGTTAATGCACGCCAGCCAAGAGTTAATCTACTTCGACCCACTGTCATCACATCTGGGCGCTTGGACTCCCGCCTGAAGGATCCGAGATTCGGTGGACGGCTGTAGCCGTTCTCTAGATTCAACTTAATGAAATCGAGAAAATTGAATCAAAAAACATTGAGTACAACAAGTCTATCTCAAACAACAGAGTATCATAGAAGAAATGGCGAATACAATAGCCCAGGGCGCCCAAGAGCGGGGTTATCACAGCATAGCCCTAAGTGATATTAGACCGTCTCCCAGTCATGCACTCTTCAGCTTCGGATAACTTCCGTCAGGCTAACAGGGTTGCAACGTGATGATTGGACCATAGTGTTTATTTATATCATGATGATTACCATATGCATTATAGCAAATAAGCACTATCCACAAGGCAGATTTGCGAATAAGTCTACTGCTGTGTGGGTAACGCGGGAAGGGCCGCGGGATCTCCCAGTGGGTTGAACTTGACACTGACAGGGTTTATAGACGCCGGAGTGGGTATTTTGGAACCGCTCCAATGGCTGTATATTTAAAGTACGGTGGGGAGAAAAGAATTGGTATAGGTATCATAGTTTCAGTGACTAGTGGATGTAGTTCTGACTTAGTGTTGAGGACGAGTATGCGCTGCACCTGTTGATTTACAAGGTCGGATGGGTACCTTTGGCTTACAGACTGGAATATCGGTCCAAGATCATGATGAAAGTAACTATGACCAGCGAGATTCAATGCATGGAAACTATACCAGGTACATATCTGATTCAAAGTGTCTTTCAATTAATATCGCGGCTATGGAACCTGAAGGTATCATCCATAGAACATACAATCATACCACCAAGGCAGAAGACATGCTTATCCGACCCATAGTGCCCAAAAGGAATGAGCTCCGCATACATGGAATTTACTTCTTCCCTTGATCAGCCGCGCTCTTCCACCCACTAGCCTCTTTCGTTGACATATTGCCCTTGCTTGCCTCAGACTAAGATGGGTTTCATGTGTAAGCTATCACAATCGCGTGCTTAACTTAGGCTGCACTTACACTGGCTGCTGCCGCGGCCTGCTCCCATATTTTCTGTTCTTGTGACTTGCTGTCGTTGCTTGAAGGCATTTTATTCAGGTGTGGTGAGGATATCCGAATGGGCTTTGTAAAGGTAAAGAGGTAGAAGTTTGATGATTTGAGATAAGTGTGAGAGATGATTCTGTTCCTTTCTTGCAGTGATACTCCGGGCTATTTATAAGGAAAGCATGGGATATATGTGTACTCATTAGAGCCTTATTATCAAGTGATAATGTTCTCGGTTATAAGATGGACAGGAATAAATGACACATACAGCCTGTCACAAGGCATCACAGCTTTGTAGGTGGCTTTCCCTATTCATGTCATGCCCGGGGTCATTACAGGTTAGTCCAGTAGGTCAGTTCGCAGGCTGCAACAAGACGTCAAGTTAGATAGGTGGAATAATCTATGCATGTCTCGTATCTGGGCGCGCTAAGTACTGTATATTCAGCGTGACACTTGGGTGTACTTGCACGTGTGAGGTAAATCAAGATCTTTGCTAGAATAATTGTCATGTATTTATCGCAAGATAGGTTGCTAGATAGAGCCTGTCTAGTCAAAATCTTAATTAACCTTGTCCTAGATATAGTAGATACTACCGAAGATAGTAACTACCTGCACTGAACCTAACTAGGATCGTCAAACTGCCAGCTTCAACTGCGGAAGAAATAGCACTGCATAGCAGTAGTCCATGCGCATGTGTTAATGAGTCTGACCACAGCCTCCACGAAGACTACGCTGTGGAGAGGGAGGCTCTGCTCCTAAACACAAGTTGTGGCCTGTTTGGTGCCACATCACTATACCCCCGCTTCTATGGTAGCAAGAGTGATTGTAAGACGATAATGCATCATGTTATGGACATGCATGCAAACCAATCGGGGCACGAGTCATGATTCGTATAAGCATGCGATAGCGTGGGGGAGATAATGCATGTAAGCTTATTACAGGAAAGCGCTTGAAGTAGTAAGTCCAAATCCTCACATTCAGTCTAGAACACCATGGGCAGTGCTCGATAAGGTGGCGCATATGCGGCTGTCCATCTTTGGAAGTGGTATCGGTGCGGGGAAATACAGGGCGCTTTTCAAGAAGACGGTAGGAGCATAGCAGGAGGACATCCTTATTTGTTTCCAGAGCGTCAAGATATGACCGAGAGACTTGCTACTACCTCTTGAAATAGGATATGTGACACCCACGCTGCGATTTGATAGTGTTTTCCTAGCTATTTTAAAGTAGTGCTTATTGATTAGAGGCTATCATAGGTGACCTGGGATATACTATAATGTCTGTGCCTCTCTGTGAGGAAATACGCGATGATATCGGTCCTTAATTGATAAAGATCTTTCCTATGAAGAGGTTGCTAATGGCTGCAAAAATAAACCAATTACAAAGAATCAAATGTGTGGGAAACACTCCAGGTCAGTTGACATACCACGCGATCGCAGCCACTTCCACGCTCTGCGCCTACACTATTCTCGGACTTCCAAATCCTGACTTAAGGGCAAGGTATTGTGTTGCTCTGTAATTTGACCGAGAACCTGCGGTCTCTGCACCTCATCTCCCGCGTCTTGAATATTAGAGCATGGTGTCTTGTCCGCATCCTGCAAGCCTCCGGTAGGTATGAGCTCGCTAAGTGCAGCATGATTCTTGATTAAATCACTATCGGTGTGTCCCAAATCCATGATCTCACTGGTCGAAAAAGCATTTAGATCGACTGCTCCGGCGTTATATTGGTCTAGGACATCTCCGGCGACAGCCATAGGGAACTGAAGGACAGATTGTGGCGGAATCGATAATAATAGCTCCCTGGCGCATGTTGCAGCCGACAAAGCAGCGTATCGTTGCCAATGATCGTTCTTGTGTCCATCTGCGTAATCTGAGATAGCCCTGATGGGAAGACAAGGAGCAATATCCATCACCCCGCTGGCTTCCATCTCAAAGCACAATACATTTTCTCTCTTGGCGATATCATCACGGACTCGAGCATTTTTGATAACACGGTTGTCGGACCCAATGCCCCCTTGGAACAACCGGACTAGATCTCCTTCACGGTCGTCTCGTGGGTGCATATTGGCTATTTGTTGCGATTCCGGCTGAAGACAATCGCACCCTAAATCTTCGTGGGTAAAATCGCCTTTATAAAGTCGATCTTGTATAGGCCGGAGGAACGGATCTCCACCACCAGTGGATTTCGTACGGATGCTCTCAATAGCCTCGGACAGACACACACCTTCTGACCAAATCCGCTCTTCCATCAAAGTGATGGCCTCCAGTAGCTCCCTGGGTGGTGCTTTTACCAGACCGGTCCGTTCAAAGCCATCGTCGGTGGCTTTCCCAAATCCGTAAGGAACAGCCCTTGTCCCGAGAACCACATCTCCAAGGCGGATGTCGTGCTTCGGGGAGGGTACTCCGCCGGCGATCCCAACGAGCAGCACGAAACGCATTCTCGGAAATGTGCGCCTCATGTCGTGGGCAATTCTGAGTGCATAAACCTGTCCATACCTTTCTCCCAATGGGCGGTTGATCATCACATTGTGAGGCCCAACTCGCCCTAGGATATAATAATTTTTGTCCCCGCGACTGCGAACCAAACTGGTGGAATCATACTGCTCGTCTAGGATTGCCACAGCTGCACGGTACTCCTCTTTGAGGACACATATCCAGCCGATCATGAAATTTGCGTGCGGGGGAGGGGCTTTGAGTGAGGGCGGTGGCGTGATATTGGTAGCCATAGCTCAAGATATATATATAGATGTTCCGTTCTTTGCGATGACTTGATTCCGGCTAGGAGCACGACTGGTATGGAATGTATATTTTCCTATGTCAGAGCAACAAGGAGTAGAAATGGTTGTTGACTGGCATTTGGAAAGTTCGGCGGGGTGTAGGGAACTTTATAGACCCCTGATGCATGTCGAGTGCGACACTGCCATCTCCCAGCCTGCCAATGAAGTCCATGTATAGGCGCCGAATGAAGCCCATCTCGCATTTTGAAACCTAGTAAAGGCGGTTAAGACTGTGCCTGAAGCGTGGTAGCCTCATATTGGCTTGAGCGACAAGCGCCGTGAGCCACCAAGTTGGCTGATTTTAGCAGACTACCGATTTTACCAGCGAGATGTATAAATTGTGCTTCTCATCCGAATTTGTGGCAGAAAACCTGTATATTTATATCCAACCATCTGGCGCTTGGACTGGGCAACTCAGCCTCGCTCACTGAACGTTGAATGGAATGCCCTGGTATCCATGCGGTGGATAACCGTGGATCGGGCAAGCCGATGACTAAACACTGCATAAAATTCTCGATTCGGTTAGTAAGTACGAGAGGACTTATCGATAAAGACAGACGGCGGCAACTCCCCGCAGCCATCAATCTTCACTCTTCATCCCTCAATATATCTCCATTCTTTCTGGTCAAATTCTTGAATTCTTTAAGCCATCATGACTGCTACCAAATCCAACGGGTCGGGCGCTACCGTTAACGTTCTCTTCGTGTGTCTAGGAAATATCTGTATGGAGTTCTTCCCCAACCTCCCAGTTAGACAACCACTAACACTTCTTCCCTCCCAGGTCGTTCCCCCATGGCTGAAGGCGTCTTCCGCAACGTCGCCGCATCGCACCCCTTAATCGGAGAGATCGACTCCGCCGGCACAGGTGCCTATCACAGCATGGAACCTCCAGACTCGCGCACCATGTCCACCCTGCGCAAGCACGGCATCACCGACTACAACCACGCGGCGCGCAAAGTTACCAAGCAGGACTTCCTGACCTTCGACTATTTGATCGCGATGGACAAATGGAACCTCACCGATCTGCTCGAGCTACGTGAGGCCGTGGCGAAGAAGTCCGGCGAGGACAAGGTCGCCGACGTGCGGTTGTTTGGGGACTTTGGGCCCGGTGGCAAGCTGAACGAGCGCGTCGGCGGCGGCGAGGTCGTCAAGGACCCTTACTACGGCGGCGTGAATGGTTTTGAGGAGGTTTATAAACAGGTGACTCGGTTCTCTCAGAGCTTCGTGGAACATTTGGAGAAGAACCAGCAGAATTAGGTGGTGGTAATGAGTTCTTTGGATCTTGTGTCTTCCCCGCTTTACCCTGGAGGCTTTTTTTGGCGGGGTTGGAAGAGTAGGTAGTATACCCAATGGTCTTGGAGGCGCGAGACCATGATAGACTAGTAGATGATTTTTTGAGTTGTTTTACTCCACGAATATATGAGGAACCTTCTATTTTTATTTATTATTTATTTTTATTGCCTAGTTTGATAACCCTCTATCACCGCAACCTCCTTGAGTACTGATTATGTGGCTGACTGGCCTTACTGCCTGATAATATAGCGGCGATTATCAGTCCGCACCAGGGTTCTCAACAGTGATTTCATGTGCTTTAGTTTGAGGGGCAAGTGCTCTTCTGTTTGAATATATATTTAAACTATAACAATAATAAAACAATACATGTATTTTCCCTGGTAGTCGTGTTTTTATAGTCCAAACATAACGCGTTATACTATCAACCACCCTGAAAAAAAATAGAGGAAAATTGAACGGAATCTAATACTATCAAAATATACCCAAAACTTGCCCCAGAGAAAAGTCAAGGTTATAAGATAGAAAACATCTACATGGGGAGATACTGGCGCAAACGCGCGCTTAGCCGGTCTTGGCACGAATCCCTAGCGGGACGTCATGAACGGGTCAAGCCAGGTGCAACTTCGGAGTCGGCCTAGACTGGTATTTATTCACTTCTCCCCGACCTCTTCCCTCAAACCCGCCACTCGACTCTCGACCCCTCCAACCCTGTCGCATCCTTGTGTCGGACCTCACTTTGCCCTTTTTTCTACTCTCGGTCTACATAATAAGTGTTTTTTTTACGGATACCCTCGAATCTTATCCGTTTCATTGTCCGATTTGGCCACCTCAGACCTTTCTGCTCTTTGCGACGGCCGGTCAGGGGGTTTCATTCATCGACCTCCAATTTGTTGCTTCCTATTGTATCCCTCTGAGTCATACGTCACCTGAGATTTACGACACCCTATCCCTCACCATTCACTATGGCCGACGATCTGGACGATGAGCTGCTCCGGCTGGCGGGCGACTCGGGCGATGAGGAGGCAGCCAGCCCTGACTCTCCTGCTTCCTACTCCCCAGACGACTCCTCAGCTATGGCGCGTAAAGGTACGGCGAAACCTGTTCGTCGCGGACGGAAATCTCGAAAAGATGAGGATGGAGAACTGTACGTGGTCATCTGTCCCCCACCCGGATCTTTCCCGTTTTGGATTCTGCCGTTTTGTTCGTCCTTTCCTCGCCTGGGCATCAGCCAGCTAACGCGACTTTTTTAATCCAGGTCTGAAGCCGAGTCTCACAACTCTCTCGACTCTGCCAGCATGTCGGAATCAGACGCCGGTGATTCGGAGGGCTCTGGCCCGGAGGTCGACGATGCAGGACCGATTTTCCCCTACGATAAGCTTTACTATTCGTCGAAAGACAAAGAGGAGATTATGGCGATGCCAGAAATTCAACGAGAACAGATCCTCTCCGATCGAGCGCAGCAGGTAGATCGCCACAACCAGGACCTCGCTCTGCGTCGCCTCCTGGCCTCTCGCGAGCGCGAAGAGGCACGCCAGGCGAAGAAGAACAAGCGAAAGGCCAGCGCAGCGGATCTCGAAGATGGCAACCGAAAGAGTTCGCGACAAAAGATGACCCTCGGTGGTCGCAAGGTCGGGGAAACGTCGGCGGCGATTGATGCCTACAAACGCCAGCGAGAGCAGAAGGGCAAGCGGGATGAGCTCCGTCGTCGGGAACCTAGTGTCAGGGAAAAATCGCGATCGAAGGAGGACAAACTTTCGGATGACGATGCCGAAGGGGAGAGCGAAGTGGAATGGGATGACCGGGAGCGCTCCCCAACGCCTCCAAAGGACGATCCGCCGGCTGAACTCAAGGACCTTCAGCGCGCTCGCGTGGGCCGGAGTAATTTTGCCCAGGTGTGCTTCTATCCGGGCTTCGATGACGCCATTTCCGGTTGCTATGCGCGAGTGAATATTGGCCCGAACCGGGACACCGGCCTCAATGAGTATCGGATTTGCCTGATCAAGAGTATGTATCTGAATCTGCTTTCTGTGGGTTGATGTGCTTGTTGCTGACTCCTCTGCAGGGTTCACCGAGGGACGACCATATGGAATGGAAGGAGCCAACGGGCGTACGTTTGCCACGAACCAGTACGCTGTGCTCGCCCATGGCAAGTCCGAACGCGAGTTTCCCTTTGTGGCTTGCTCGGACTCCCCCTTTACCGAGGTTTGTCCCCGTCACTCTTCTAGCTGAGACACCCACTGACATCTGAGAAGGCGGAGTTCAATAGATACCGCCAGACGATGATTGTGGAGGATTGTAAGATGGCAACCAGATCGATGCTGCTAGACAAGGTGGCGGATATCAATCGCTTGCTGAACCACAAATTTACCAACGAGGAATTGAACGAAAAGCTGCGCAAACAAGGATCTCTGGATACCAAGATGCTTTTGTTCAAGCGGATGGAGCTCGAGAAGAAAATCAAATTGGCCCAAGCTGCGGGTGACGATGATGAAATGGAACAATTGCAAAAGGAGATGGCGAGCATGTCAACGCCAAAACCCGCCACCAGCAACGCTCCGAAGCCGCGTGCCGAGAAGGCGTCCGAGCATGATCGCCTGCTGGAGCTAAACCTGCGCAACCAGCGACTCAACTATGAAAATGTTCGACGTGCCCAGATAGAGGAGAGAAAGGCCAGCCGCAAGGCGGCGGCGGCTGTTGCTCGAGGAGAGACCACTGCGAATCCTTTCCTACGCGTTCGCACCTTGGCCAAGACTCACCATGACGCCAATAGCACGCCCAAGTCCGAAGACGCAGAAAGCCGGGATGGGACTCCTGCCACCGGTTCCAACACGCCGTCTAAAACCGGTACCCCCAACCGAAGCAATACCCCGTCCAGCTCCCAGACCAAGACAACCAAAGGAGGAGTTGCCACGATCCGCCATCGGAATCGCGATGATGAGAATATTGCGGCGTTGGATCTTGATCTCGACATTGAGATCTAGGTTTCTTTTTCTTCTCGTTCTCCTCTTCCCATTTACTTTCTCTGTCTTCTTACTTATCATCCACTTCTTTTTCTCCCACCACATACGGACAAATTATTCCAAGGGATTGCTGTCAGCGGCCTAGCGTGTAGGCTCACGGGGAAGTCCTAGCAGCTTGAGACGATACTAGAGCATCTGATACAGCATCGGATCATGCATCTTTGCGATAGGATGGTGTTTTATTGGCGTTGCATTATACTTACCGTCCGAATTGTACTATCAAAAATTCTATTATTATATTCCACGCTTCTTTCCCAGTTCATCGTGCACATCATAGATTCTGTCAATGTTAACCATGACGAGTAATCAACGGAGCCCGATAAGCACCGTGTCACGTGTAGATAAGCAGATACGCGGTCAGGACGCGGCGCGTCGTGCGGGAGCGAGACGGGTTGGATTCTCCGCCCTGGCTGGATTCTTCCCCGTCCATACTCATGCCAACGACCAGCACGACCTTGGAATTTACTTCTACACCTACTTGATACCCTTATTTGAACTTGTCAAACCCTCATAAATTTCCCACATGCTGGTTCATCCTAATTAATGCCCAATTCTCCCACCACATCCTAACACATAATGTCGTCCCCATCGACGCCGCGGTCGACGCGCGCCGCGTCGCCAACCGCGAATTCGCCCATGATGCTCACACCAGGACAAAAGATCAAGGCCATGATGGCTGCATTCGACAGCGATTCCGAGTCCGACAGTGGGAAGAAAGCATCGACACAGGAAAAAGAATCTCCGAAACCAACACACAATGAAAATCAATCAGTCCCGAAACGACCTCAATTTGGCATGCATTTGGATTCGGATTCTAGTGCCGACGAGGAGGAGGATATTGTGATGCCCAAGGGACGCATGGCGGCTCGTATGCAGGCTCAATCGCAGACTGGTAACGCTGGTGGTTCGAGAGAGACTGCGTTTGAGAGGGTGTCGAAGGCCCTCCGTGAAGATAAAGGGGAGACGGACGACAATCCTCGTGACACTGCTGCAGACGAGGTAATGTCTTCCGATGGTGACGGTGATGATGATGATGATGATCTTCCCAAGGCTGGACCGAGGAGGAGAGCTGCGAATACAACCCCCGAACCTGACGCTATGTCGGATCGCTCGTCGCGTCGGGCCCGCCGCGACGATTCGCCCTTGTTCGTGTCTTCCGCTCCGAATAGTCCTCAGAATGGAGCCCCCGACGCAGATACCGACAACGACGAGGACTCGCGACCAAGAGGCAACTCGCGTTTTCTGGCCCTTGTGGCTCAAAAGCGGAAGGAGCGCGAAGAAAAGGAGAGACTCGAAGCTGAGAAGAAAGCCGCAATTGCGAGACGACACGAGGAGTTCAGCTCGGAGATCGGCCTTGACGAGGAGGATAGTGCGGATGACGGTGGTGCTGCGCGCAAGTTAACGCAGCAGTCTCGCCCCGCCCGGAAGGCGAGCAAGAAGGCGCTGGAGGATATGAATCGGGAAACGCAGCGCATGAGCCGAAATATGCAGCTGGCTCATCAGGCTCAGACTAAGAAGAAGATTACTAAGGAGAGCTTCTTTGCGCGGTTCAATTTCATGCAGCCGAAGGATTCTGGTGCGCCTGGTCCGTCGCATGATAGTTCCTCTGCGGATGGCTCGCAACACTCGTCAGACGTCGAGGCGCAGAAGAATAAAGAGACGCCGCAGACTTCGCCTGTCTTGGGGCCAGCCGACAAACCTTCCACCGAGCAAGTCACTGATGGTCCAGCCAAGGAGGTCCAGAGCGAGAACACCGTGCTTCCGCCACCGCAGCCCGAGAATCCCATCGTTGGACAGGCAGAGCTCCAGTCTGCCGACCCACCGCTTGAGAAATCGAAGAACACGCCCAAGAAAGCCCCAGTCCAAGTGAATCTTTCCCGTCAACAGGTCGCCGCGAACCAGGACTCCGACGACGAGTTGGAAATCATCACCTCTCCCGCGAAATGCCGCCGGTACGCAGCGTTCGAAAACCTCCCCCTCAGACGCGCACAGGAGCCTTCCTCTATGACCACTTTTAGAGCCTTGGCGCACCTCACTTCGCCTACCCGCCGATCGACACCGAGTATGGCAGACTTCTCCGCACAGATGCTATACAAAGCCAGACAGCAGGCTCTTAAGGAGCGGAGCCAAAGGATACAGGAACTGAGAGATAAAGGAATCCACGTCGAGACGGCCGCGGAGCGTGCCGCTATGGAGGATGAGATCGAGAATCTCGTGGAGAAGGCACGGCTGGAGGGTGAAGAGATCGCGAAGAAGGAGAAGGCGGCTAAGCGTCGCGATGCTCCGGACGATGATGACGACGATGACGATTATCAGCTTTCTGGTTCTGACGATGAGCTAGCACAGGGTGATGACGAAGATGAAGACGAAGGCGAGGAGGACGAAGATGGAAGTGGCAAGAAGGAGGGCGGCCTGATTGATTCCGAGGCTGGCGAGGATGATGATTCTGATGATAACCAGTCAGAAGTCATGTCGGACCAGGAGGTCGAGGTGCCTACTCAGAGGCGTAAGCGACCTACCCGAGTTATCAGTGATGACGAGGACGAAGAACAAGTACCAGCAACGCCCGTGAAGCCAATCGTCTCAGCAGTAACTTCGGTGGAACGACCACAGATCCCTGGCCTGCCGTCTGATGACAAGACCATGAGTTTGACTCAGGCGTTTGCAGGAACCCTGGGTGGAAGCCAGCAAGGAAGCCAGCAGGATCCGTCCACCATACCCACTATCCCTCTTTCGCTTCCCGACCCTGCGCAGATGCTCGATAACCAAGGACCGGACTCACCGGCAATCATCAAAGACAGCCAGGAACAGCGGGCTCAGTCGGTAGACTTGCTGGCGGGTTACAGCGAATCCGTGACTCGTGTATCAGAGTCGCCTGCTCCTCGAGGGATGTCTTATTTCTCCCAGGTCCCAGACCCTACTCAGGATGAAGGTTTCGTGCTTTCGCCGTTCGATCCGTCAAAGAGGTTCCTGGGCACTCCAACGTCGACCATTGAGACCGTCCGTATCGACCGGAGCGAGTCTCGGAATGCCTCACCAATCGCTCAGCGGAAGAAGAAGGCTCTCCGCCGGGGCAAGGTAGCGGACCTGTCTATGGTTGTAGAACAGGATGAGGAAGCGGAGGAGGCTGACGAAGAGCATGAAGACGAAGATCAGGGCGACTTTGAAGTTGATGCTAGTGCATTCAATATCATGAAGAAGGCAGCCAAGAAGCCATCTGATTTTGACAAAAAGAAGAGCAAGGCCAGAGAGGTCGTTGAAGAGGCAGCCGAAGAATCTGACGATGAGTACGCCGGTCTGGGAGGTGCCAGCGATGACGACGACGATGAAGAAAACATGTTTGATCGCCAGATGATCAACGACAACAGTGGCGAGACTGTTGATGAGAAACAGCTGGCCGCTCTCAATGCGTATGTGATCCGTATAAATCACCCTTAACCGTGCATGCGCTTACTTCCCTACAGGCTACACCAGAGAAACGCAGACGAAAAGCAAGTTGCCAAGCTGCTGAAGGATATCACGACCGGAGCTCTCCGACGCCGGAAGAACAACGACGACGACCTGGATCTGGACGACTCGGACGATGAACTCATGGCACGTCGGCGGGAGAAGCAGAGAGAGTTTGCCCGGATGCGCAAGGCTCTCCTCGCCGACAGTAAGGTCGGCGAGATTGCCGAGAACCCCAAGAAAGCCGCATTCTTCAAAGCTGTCGAGGACCGCGACGATGACGACGATGATCTTGAATTGGACTTCTTGAACTTTGAGGAAAACAGCCAGTCTCAGGAATCTTCGTCGCAGACCGCGGCTGCGGCTCCAGGACAGCAGGACACCGCCGAAGAGAGCAACAAACGAAAGAGGCCGCTTGAGCCTTCTGCTGAAGACATCAACAACCGACCCCCGCCTCATCTCCGTCGCAAGCCAGCAAGTGCCTTGTCCAAAAAGCCTGCCACACTGGCCGAGGTTCGCGAGACAGTGTCCTTCTTGACAGAGCGTCCTGAATACGACTCTTTCCACGAGGACGCATCAATGGACGACGTTGAGGAGCCCATAGGCGATGAAGGAAACAACACAACTAGCGAGGGTCAATCCCCCAACCAGACGGAAGAACAGCCCGCAGGACCTTCTCACCATCCTCGTCGCACCAAGGGCCCCGTGGTCGACCGTCTCGCGCTCCTCCGACAAGCCTCCTCCAACTCCGCCACCTCTTCATCAAACAACCGCTTCGCCTTCCACACAGGCCCTGGTGGAAACCAGGCTCCCAGCTTTGGCTTCCGACCCCCGATGCTCCGGAAAACCACGACCGGCTCGTCATCGTCGTCGACGTCGACCACGTCGGACTCTTCCAAGCGGGTGTCCAAGCCGCCTGTGGGAGGAAAGAAGGGCGGTGCAGTCAACTATTATACGGCAGCGCGCGAGAAAGAGCGCGAGAAGGCACTCCGTTCTAAGAACCGCGGCGGGTCGAATATCACTGCGTTGCTGAGCAAGCACTCGAATAACCGGCTGGGAGCGCTGGGAGGGGGTGGTCAGTGGGAGTGATTTCTTTACTTTATGGGTTGCATGTAATTTGTTTTTTTGCTTGGTGTTTGGGTGATTTGATTTGGGATGGGGTTATGGCGCTATATGTATAGATTATCCTTACTGTCAAGATAGGAGTTGGACTCGTGCTTCTGAATATACCACATGCCAGCATGTAATCTTTCTATCTTACACAAAGGTCTGGTCTATCTACTTACCAGCCGTTCAAAGAAACTCTATCGATGGATTCACCTCAAAGCGCACAATCCCATCTCTACAACTCTACACGCTCACTCATTTATAATCCTCTAACGCCGGAATCAGATCTACCAGCGACCGCACAGCCCGCACCCCCTCTGGAGCCTCACTATCCCCCTCCCTAGGGATATAATAAGCCCCCCATCCAGCCGCAATAGCACCCCGATAATCCTTCTCCAAGTCGTCTCCAACGTGCACGCACGTCCAGTCCTCATCCGCACTCTCACTATCACCCCCATCCACAGCCAACGCCATCCGCCCAGCCTGCCGCCGCGCAACGTCAAAGATCCGACGATTAGGCTTCTCAGCGCCTGCCTCGTAGCTCGTAACGACCAGATCGACATCATTGTCGCGCCCCTCGTCACCCTCCTCACCAGGGGTCAATCCACCACCTCTCTCCTCAAACCCAGGAAGCCTCCCACTAGTGATATCTTCATCCGCACGACAGCGCCCAACCCTCACGCCCAGTGACTCCAAGACAACAGAAATGCGATCATCAGAATTCGACACCACGCCAACAAAGACGCGGTCGAACGGGCCGAGCCTCTTTCCCCCCCTCTTCTCTAACCCAGCGCTACTACCATTAGTCCCATATCGCGCCCGCCGCATCCGCGCAATAAAATCCCCCGCGTCATCATAAAGCGCATACCCATCTTTACTCGCAAAACGGTCAAGAAGAGCCGGGATGAGACCCTCCGGCAAGTTGGTTGAGTGGGATGGGGGATTGTCTAGGGCGCGCGTGAAAGTACTCCGCACGACGTCTTCCCACCATTGGCGCGGACCGCCGTACTGACCGCGGAGAACGGCGTCGCGGCCGTAGTTTGGGTGTGATTTGGAGGCTTCTTTGTAGGCTGCTTTGAAGGCGGATTGGATGCGTTCGGGCGTTATTTGTGTGCGGGGGAGGCCGTGAGCGTGTGCGACGGAGGCGTATTGGGCGGGGATTGAGGGGCGGGGGTGGAAGAGGGTGTTGAAGGCGTCGAGGGTGAGGAGGAGGGTGCGCATGTTGTTTGATTAGTTACCTTAGGTAGGTATTGAGTTAGATAAAGAGGAGGTAGTGATGTGATGGGTTTGTTGATGTTGGAGAAGGGAATATGACTTCATTGACGGATTGGGTTGGTTATGCTGTGCATAGTGAGTCATCAGGCATAGTGGAGTTTACATGCGCTATCTTATCAAGATCAACAAATCGCTTTCGCTTCAACTTAATTGAATTCTCACATTTACATATTACTGCTTACTGGTGACGCTATTGGCTCTTAGCTTAATGGCATGATGCAAGTTTAAATATTTTGTCTCATGTCTGACAGTCATCTTGGTCGGTGAGACAGGTTGTATCCCCCGCACTGCTGTTTCTCACTCAGGAGAACCTCATCTTATCAATCTGCCCCAGTCCACAAAAACAACCACCGTCCATTAGCCCACTATTCACCATGTGGATAAGGACATTGTACTTTCTGTCCGGCCTTGCTGTCGGTGTTTCAGCAGCCGAGGACAGATTCCCAGCGAACGCCAACCATATCTTCAACGCCGTCCATTCATCCATGCGGCAATGGGGTTCCTCACTGCACCACAACGGCATGTCCTTCTTTTTGGCTTCCGTGCCTGCAGGGACGCAACTTTACCACGGGAACACAAGCCCTGGACCAGTCAATGGAACGGAGTGGCTCGCTTTCGAGCCAGAACATGCTCTGATCTTCACAAAACCATTCCCACATGGCCCTCAACCACCCCCTGACCAACCACGCGGTCGCTCTCAGAAGCCGCTGCAGTCGACCCAAGAACCGGAGTCAGAAGAAGATCCACACCAGAGAGGATGGTTGCACACCTATACTACGACCAAAAACTTGCGACTGCTGTATGTCGACGGCATGTCGGCCGCGAAAACCGACAACGGGACCTTGGACTCCCAGGATCGGATCTTATTCGACGATAAACTGCACGGTCGCCCGACGATGCTAGAGCGTGAACGGGCGGATCTCGCGTGTCAAATGGCACGCAAGGTGTGGAACGGTCGACTCGATGGGTTGCTTCGTATGGAGGCAGGGTTCGAGGTGATTCTGTGTGACTTTGGACGAGACCTGAATGTCGTGCGTGTCACCCGAGTGAAAGGGAATACGAAAGGGAGACAAAGAAATGGAAGTGGTGGAAATGGGACAGGCCAGGGGAACGAGCTCGGTGGGGCCAGACTTTGGTACAAGGCCGCCGCGTCGAGATACGGCGGTATTGGGGGCCGTCGAGTTGCCCTCAACTATGATCATTTCGTCTCGGCGTTTGCCTATGGGTTGGATCTGTTCCGCCAATCTGAAGATACTGGTGTCATGTATCCTCGACTGACCCATGTCCCTTCTCAAGACCTCGACCCCATTCGGCAAGACCTCAGCCGGCTTATCCTCGATCACGACCCACAGGAGCCTTCATTCGACTGGCAGGCTATTGCGGATATGGTGGTGGAGCGATACGGGCGCGATCTGCGGTATATGACGTCTGGACAGCTCACAACCATGAGTCAACTCCAGGAGGAAGTCGAAGGTAGCCTTAGTCCATTCATCGACTACGACGACCGAAATACTTCGCATGAGGTCGATCGATGCTCCTCTCATTTCATCCCTGCAGAAGCACCACAAAAAGGGCTCGCTGCCCATGCAGTACGTTCCGTAGCCAGGTCCATTTGCACTACTCTGGTGGATGTGTGGAGTCAATCGGACTACCCGATGGCTATCGCCCAACTCCAGGAGCTGACTGACTACTTGTCATGGACGACTTGGAAGGAATGCGGAAAGTGTCCCGACAATGAGATCTGCATGGTGCCTCTCTGGCCGCTGGGGACCATAGAGGATTATAAGCACCCCGAGTGTCGCGATGCCTCGATGCCGAATGGAAAGGGCCGGAGGTACTGGGGAGCCCTGCCCCAGCCCCCCCCACCTGGCGATGAGCATTGACAAATTCTCACGAACATCATCTGCCTGTGTTTGATACAGATCTTCTCGATCTACACGAGAGTGGACGCCCGGATAGGCCGGATCGGTTCTCCGGAAACGCTGAGAGGTGGAAGCCCCGGCTTGGGGGAACTCAGCTCCCTATCCCAACGCAATAAGAAAAAAACAAACATGGAAAAAAACAGGTTCTCAGAGTCTCGACCAACGACTACAGCCCTGTTTGCTAGATCGGAGATTAAGCTCCAAAGGAACTACCTAAGTGATCTGTCAACTCGGGTCGGGACGTTCATGTACGCCCCATCAATAGTGTATGCACTATGCAGGCGGGTGCCCATCGGACGCACGACTTGGAACGCTGCCGATGCGCCAACAATCCCGGCTTTCTTTGATCTGATAGCCTTTTAATTTCAACTCGGTAGTTGATCCCTGTCACTAGGGCATTTGTGGCACGCTATCTGTGCATGCATAAAGGCTCGACTCGAGAACCATTGACGACCAGTGGAGCCACAGGGATCCTGGAGACGAATGGAGTGTGGGCCGGGGAAGTCGTCAAAGCAGTCAGGTGGATCTGCATTTGTCAATCCCTAAACTTTCAGGACTCGATCTAGGCTCTCCATTCACTGTCACTGGACAGCCAACGTTTGTCTTCTTGTTGCTAAGAATACAGCCGGCTAAGTGGCTCTCGACATGGTCCAGTATAGTCACACCTTGGCAAATGAAGTTGGCTCAATCGAATTGAGGGAAAATTGGAAAAGGAAAAGGAAAAGGAGAAAGAGAGAGAGAGAGGAGGGGGGGATAGGAGAACCGTCGTCCTCAAAGGAATATAAATACGCCCCAAACCAGCACTTTTCGTCAGGCTCTTTCTCCTAGTCGTTCATTATCTCAAGCTTCTCTTTCTTTCCTTGTCCCTCTTTGAGCAGATACCCTGCTCCCCACGTTCTCTCGAGTCTTTTATACCGTTTCACACAAACATGAAGGCGTCCATCCTGACCGCCATCGCAATGGCAGCGTGCGCTGTCGCGAGCCCCATGGGGTCTCTCGTCCAGGCACGCGATGAGGTTGCTGCTCGTTCGGGCTGCCCTTGCGCCTGCTCGTCTTGCGACGACGAGCCTGGAGTTCCCTCCGTTCCCAGCACGGGCACTCCTGAGCCCGAGACCCCCTCCGGCCCTCCTCCCGTCGCCGTTCCTGGTGTGCCTGGTGGCCCCAGTGGCCCTGGTGCTCCTGTCCCTGAAGAGCCTTCGGTTCCCGCTCCTGGCGGCCCTGGTGCTCCTACTGTCCCCGAGAAGCCTTCGGTTCCTGCCCCTGGTGCCCCTGGTGCTCCTACTGTTCCTGAGGAGTCTTCAGTTCCCGCTCCTAGTGGTTCTGGCGGCCCTGGTGCCCCTACTACCCCTGAGGTTCCTGCTACAACCGGAGTTCCAACTCCCCCTGCTGTGCCCAGCCCTCCTGTCGACACTCCCACCACTCCGGAGCAGCCGCCTCACCAGGGAGGCGATGATGAGGGCGACAACGACGACGATGAGGATGACGACGATGAGGATGACGACGATGAGGATGACGACGATGAGGATGATGACGATGAGGATGATGACGATCATGAAGGCGGCTGTGCTACCTGCGGCAATAAGCCCGAACCCTGCGACGAGGAAGGCTGCCATGGCACTGGTCATCTCATCCAGGACCTCGGCCCTCAGGCCAACAACCTCCTTACCGTTATTGGTCTCGACTCACAGAAGCTCCTCGTCAGCCTTAGCCCTGCTGTGACGCATCTGCTTGAGGGCCTTGGTCTCATCGGCCTGGGAAAGCCTGTCGGCGAGGTCATCAAGGAAGCGGCCACCGTTGGCGAGCTCATCGCCGACCTGGGCGACCCGATCGAATGCCTCCTCACCGTTGTCGGCCAAGATACTGGATACCTCCTCATCCGCCTGGACCCTGGCCTTGCGGGCCTCCTCAAGGGGTTGGGTCTGCCCTCGATTGCCAACCCCGTCGGTAACCTCATCGGCGCTGTCGGCAAGAGCCTGAAGCGCCAGGACGGCCTCCTTGAGGATATTGCCCCCGTCGTCGACTGCATCCTGCGCATTGTGGGCGACGATCTGCAAATTCTGCTTGTCCGCCTCAGCGGTCCCGTTGCCGAGCTCGTCGCCGGTCTTGGTCTGACCACCCTGGCTGAGCCTGTCGGAGAGGTCATCCGTTCCGCTGCCACCGTCGGCGAGCTCGTCCACGATCTGGGCCCCGTCGTCGGCTGCCTTCTCACCGTCGTTGGTGAGGACGGTGAGCTGCTCCTCGTTCGCCTGGCGCCTGCCGTGGCGGACCTCGTCTCCGGTCTGGGTCTGCCCGCGCTGGGTGTTCCCGTCGGTGAGGTGATCAACGCCCTTGGCGAGTCCATCTAAATGGATTTGTACAATTTCCTGGTTTTCAATTATCAGTATAAAAGACGTCGTCGCTGTTCCATGCGACCAATGGAGACCTATAGATTCATTCAAGTGAGGCGTTGAGGACGGGACTAGGCGATGGTGGAGACAACATGCGCAAGGCATACGAGTGGGATTCCTGTATCATAGTGCTGCCATCCTACATTATTTAATGTGATAATAACATAATTGCCACCTCGGTATAACATTTCTTCTACGCGCATCCTCCATCATACACAATAGCCTGATGTAGATTCGCCATCGGTACTCGAGCGATCCCACGGCAGATACGCCGATGTGGGGAGAGACGAAGTGTGGGGAGTGGGGAAGGTGGGAACGGCTATGTCTTTTGCCGCGTTTCTCGACTCGACTTAATAGAGGCTCGAGTCTTCTTTCTACATATTCGATCAGCTTTTGCGATCGTATAGTTAGACTAACACTTAATTCTCCCCTCTGATACATTTTAAATACCATTGACTAGATTGATTATGGCGCAGTCCCCTCAAGACCTCAAGGTCGCCATTCTTGGCGCCGGTATGTCCCACTATATCACTCACTATTAGTATCAATCCGGTCATGAGAGCTGACCACACTCTAGGCATGGGTGGTCTGACCACCGCTCTGGCACTGGCGCAAAAGGGCTTCAAAGATATTCACGTCTATGAGCATGCCCCCGACCTGGGGTTTGTCGGGGCAGGCATCCAATTGGCTCCCAACATGGCACGCGTGCTAGACGGCTTAGGGGTATGGAAAGCCATTGAGAAAGAAGCCGTTAATATCGAGGACACAAGCGTACGGGGTATAGTAGAAGTCCTGTTCGATCGATGGGGGAGAGGTACTGACAGAGAACAGTCGGTGCCTCCAATGCCGAGCTGGCCTACGTGCCACTGCATTACATTGAAGAAACCTACGGATACAAGCATATGGTGGGTCACCGCGCGTCATTGGCAAACGGCCTGTACCAGGGCTGTCTGTGCCACCCGGACCAGATCCATTTTCACTTCGCGACGACCGCCGAGCAGATCGAGTCGTTTGGCCTGCGCCCGACTTTCACGGCGGTGCCGCGCGACACGACCCAGCCATCCTATCGGATGGAAGTCGACATCTTATTAGGAGCGGACGGTATCAAGAGTAACACGCGGGTGGCGATGCTTCAGGAGCTAGGCATCGAGGTCGGCATCCAAGACACGCACCAGGCAGCATACCGGATTCTCATCCACCGTGATCAAGCACAGCACGACCCGGAGCTCCTCGAGCTCATCAACAGCAACCGGGTCACGCGGTGGATCGGCGAAAAGCGGCACATCATCGCATACCCAGTCTCCAACAACACGATCTACAACATATCGACCGCGCAGCCCGACACGCACTTCGCAGCCGCCACCAACGCAACATACACCACGCGCGGGTCGAAGTCCACCATGCTCTCCGTTTTCGGCGACTTCTGCCCGCTCGTGCAGCGCATGCTCAACTACGTCCCCGAGGGCGAAGTCTGCGAGTGGAAGCTGCGCGTCCACGACCCCCTCCCGACCTGGGTGCACGGCTGCGTTGCTCTCCTCGGCGACGCCTGCCACCCCACCCTGCCGCACATGAACCAGGGCGCTGCCCAGGCCATTGAGGACGGCGCCGTCCTGGCTGAAGCCCTGTCGCGCATCCCAGACTGCACTCCGGCCTCCGTGAACCGTGCCCTGAAAGTGTACGAGAAGGTGCGCAAAGACCGTGCCTATGCGCTGGTCGCCTTGGCGGCGGAGTCTGGCCGCGCTTTGCACCTCGGTGATGGGGCTGCTAAGAAGCAGCGCGATCAGCAGTTTGCGGCCTTGCGACAGGGGAAGGGGCCGGTGCCGGATAAGTGGGCTGATGCGGACGTGCAGAGGGGGATTTATGGGTTTGATTGTGTGCGGGTGACGCAGGAGAAGTTTGATGAGTACTTTGCGTAGGCTGCTTCATTTTTCTTTGCTCTTCCTCCTTTCGTTTCACTATCAATGTGTGGTTTTTCGATGCTGATGACTCGAAGGCCAGCTGGAGATGCTAAGCTGGCGTGAAGTATATATTCGCACGAGTTATGAATATTCGACTTTGTTTGGGTATTGCCCACCGTTCTTGTTTGAATTGCTGTTCAATAGAGCCTAGATCAGGATGAGTCGAGATATATTCCCTTTACAAAAGTATGGAACTGGTTGTAAAAGATAGGGACGAAAATAATTGTGCGCACGAATTATCATGCATGATTCATAACTGTAATGTACATGATCGGCCAGTTCGCCGAAAGGCTGAGTCATCCGGTCGTCGGGCGTCGGCCAACGGCGTCATCTTCTCCTCTTCAGCTTCATCTTGAGACACACCTCACCCCCTGCCCCTCTTTTCCCATACCGTTAAGCCGTCATGCGATGAGGGCCCTCGCCCCTGATCATGTCACCCCGTCCCTATCGCTCCAAGCGCCATCGCCCCTGTGATCAATGCCGCGAGAGAAAGCTTGGATGCCAGACCGAAGACGGTCTGCCGTGTCTGCGGTGTCGCTCCGCCGATCTCCCCTGCAGTTTCGACCTTCCGCCGCCCAAAAGATTGCGTCGGGGGTCTTCATTAGGGCAGACGAATGTCCGAACTAGCTCTGTGGACTCACCCGTGTCCCGCCAACGACCGTCTTCGGCATGGGAGGAAACCCCCGGCGCTGAACCCGCGCCTACCGCGCCTACCTCGCGGGCCCAGTCCCCCAGGCCCGGGGGTGTCAACCCCCCCCGGCCGGCATTCGCTCACCTTGAAGATCTCCCGGACGCTAGTGGTGCCTCGCCTGCGCTGTCGGGTCATATGGTGGCGGGTCCCTCGGTCACCCAGTTCGTTCAGAGCCTGGATCAGCTCGAGGGCTTCTCGGCGCAGCTGTTCGGCGCCTCCGCCGAGTCCGACCCCTGGCTTCTGCGCCATTGCTCGTTCGACGACGGCGGTGTCAAGGGGTTTTACAAGGTGCACTTCCGCAATGCCGGTGGTGTGCCAACCTACGACAAGATCCCGGTGCACTTTATGATCGCCGCCGACGATCTGGCGGCCACGGCCAAGAGCGAGACTTCCTGTCGCACGGCCGATGGTGCCACGCGCGAGGAGCTCAATCGTCTCGTGCCCTTGGACTGTGGCCAACGTTTGGTTTCTCTGTAGGTATCCCTCCCCCCTGACGGCGTTGATTAGGGATGTGAAGGCTAATGGCGTAGATTTGTCAAATACGTGTTCCCGGCGTTGCCGCTCATCTCCCGCTCCCAGCTGGGGCTGACCCCAACGTGCTCGATGCCGGAGCAATGGGCGCTGGAGAACACCCCCGTGCATTTATTGGCAGCCGTCTACGCGGCAGCTCTGCCGTTCGCCGGCCATGATGACTACCTCTGCGTGCTGCACACGTACAACGTCCCCCCGGTCGATCGGCTCTGGCGCATGACATACGAGCTGGTCGCCGAAGAGATTCACACGCCGCACCTGTCGGTGCTGCAGGCGGGGCTCCTGTACCTGCACAAGCCGCTGGACGAGGCGCGGGCCAGCACGGCCGACTCGCCGTTCATCTGGTCCTGGGTCGGCAGTCTCGTGGGGTTGGCCGAGTCGTTGGGTCTCCACATCGAATGCCGCATGTGGGGCATTCCGACGTGGGAGAAGCGCCTGCGACGTCGGCTGTGGTGGGCCGTCTACGCTGAGGACAAATGGCGCAGTCTGCTGCTGGGACGGCCGTCCTACATCCATCGCGGCGAGTGGGACGTCAGCGAGCTGGATGGCGCGGACTTCCTGTACCGCGCCCGCGGGGCGTCATCGTCCTCGTCGGCCGTGCAGCCCTCGCCAGACCCTGTGCCATTCCGCTACCTGGTGGATTTGTCTCGGATTGCGGAGCACATCTACGAATCGTTCTAGTACGTTTTCTCCACCGTTGGATTGTTCTTCTTCTTCTGTACTGACCGATCAGCACGCTGCGCGCGTCGCAATTCCTGTCAGAGCGGTTCGGCGCCTCGCATGAGACGGGGCGGCCGCTCCTGGAAAAGCTTAACGAGTGGTACTCGTCGCTGCCAGAGAGCTTCCGGCTGCCCAACTGGAACAAGTCCGTTAGCGGACTAGCGCCCTACCCGACGTCAATCCACTTCGCCTACCTGATCCTGGTTCTCTACGTGTACCGGGCACTACTGCGGCCGATGGCACGCTCGTCCAGTCCGCCGCTCATCTTCGACCTAGACGAGATGCCCGCGGAACCGACCGCCCTAGACCTGGACGACACATCCATCCTGGACAGCATCGTCATGCCCGACCTGGAGTCTTTCCCGGCGGTGGTGGAGCTGACGGACCACGATACGGGCGAGACGACGCTGAACGCCGCGGAGCGGTGTGCCTCGATCGTGATCAACTTCACACGACGTCTGACCCCGAGCGACTTTACGGGGTTTTGGTATTCCTGTACGTTTTTCTTATTTCTTACTCCTGACGCAGCACAACCCTCACCCGAACGTAAGCTAAGTGAGCGAATAGGGTCCCGGATCGGCTTTGCGACGGTGTCCAACTTTGCGCTGCTGCTGCTCGTGCAGGCGCCCAATGCCGAGCGGGCTGTTAAAGGAAAGCAGCTGGTGGATTCGTGGCTGCGCGTGCTGCGGTGTCAAAGCGTAAGCTTTCCGATGGTTCGACTGGGATTGACTCGACTGGATGCGATCCACTGGGTGGGTCTCGAGCAGACTTTTGTGCTGCCGCAGCATGTGCTGCAGGTTGTCAACTCTCCGCCGGGCTCGGCGACCGTGTAGCTCGGCCGTCGGCGGAGACGGAGGCGTCGGCCATCGGCCGTGGCCACGCCACTGAGCACATGTATACAGAGGAACAAAGATATAAATATAGCAAGCCAAGCTCTTGTCTGTAGTTGAATAGATCAAATCAACGAATATCTAAATTCATTCTAAACTCATAATCATAACCATTACAATCATTCCTACTTAAATATCTAAGATATCAAAAAAAATGACCCTCTTCCACACCCTCCACAAGAAGAAGTCCACCCCCGAGTCAACCTCTCAAAACAGCTCATCCTCACGGCCAGAATCCATCTCTGAGATGACCCTCGTCGAGTATGCTTCTTCTACCTGTAGTATTGATTCACTGAAGTCTCTGACCGGATACCTCAGACAGAAGACCCGACAGAAGAAGGAGCAGAGGGAGAAGAGGCTGTATCCGCAGGAGTTCAACGGTATGTTATTCCTTATGTCTTCATTAAGTTTAACTTCAATTCGGTGTTGAGATGCTGATGTGTGTGAATAGCGGGAGATATGTGTTTTGGATCGTGTTGCCGCAAGTAATCTGTTTCCTAACCCCGTGGACGGATTGGATGGCGAAGAATAGATGGGATATCATCAAACACTGCACAGTAATACCACTACCAACAACAAAAGCAATAATGATAATGATAATGAGAATGAAATGATCATATACCCACGAAATCCCATCCCCCTTAAATCCAAAACCATACCCCTCAAAGATAGAAAAAAGAAAATCACCCAATATTCCTCCCAATCATCTCCTCCAACAGATTCACCCTCCCCCCCTTGTACTCATCCACGAGCTCCCCATCCGAGAAAAAGAAAAAAGCAGGGACAGCACGCACGCCCAACTCCTGCGCCAGATCCGCTGCGCTGTCGATGTCGAACCGGACGAATCTGACTTCTCCTTTCCCCTCCCCCTCCTTCTCGCCTTCCTTCTTCTCTCCCTCTCCCTCCTTTTTCTGCTGATACTCGCTGCTCAAACGGTCCACATGGGGCGCAATGGCGTCGCACGGTTTACACCATGCCGCGGAGGCCTGGACGACGACTTTGCTGGGGGTGGATGCGTTGAGGGTTTGGAGGAGTTCTTGGAGGCTGCGATGGAAATGAATTTAGTATTGCAATTTACTATTTTGAGCGATGTATGTGAATACCTGGTTATCTCGGTGATAGGCATGGTGGCTGTCTTTTATTTATATCTGTGTCTGCGTGGGTGTTGCCAGATCTCCACGGTTGGAGGTTGGAGTGCGGGGAGATGGGACGATGATGTCATACATGCCTTAGGCACGAACTATACTATATAACTATACTGTGCTCTGCACGGGCTGGAAATCTTCACTTCGCTCAGTGGTTTGATTACATGGCTGAGACTACTTATTAATTATTTGCTGTATATAGCCCTGTAGAGAATCTGCATGGAATTGCCAAAATCCCTGCAAAGTAGTGGCGTAGGGCTTTTAAAACGGGCCTTCCACAATTCATATGTACAAAAGGGGACGCAGACGCCCGTTTTTACTCGTCTTCTCCTTCGAATCGGTTGAAACGAGCATGGCTGATATTCCTGTGGAGAAGAAATTTTACTCTAAAAGAAAGAGGAAAGAAGAGATCAGAGATGTGACCCAATTCGATCAATCCATCTTCATTGCAAGAGTGTCTCTACCTACACTCATTGATACTTGACTTCCCCACTCAACTTCGACGCTAGTTGAGCTCGCCCCAGGTGTTGAAGGCTTGCGAGCGATGAGCTCTGCGAGCGTTGACGAACAGCTGCAGAGCATCTCGGAGGTCCTTGATCTCGGCACGGAGCGCACTGATATCACCCCAGATATCGATGATGTGTCTTTTATAAAGATTGTGCTGTTCTTTGACCTGGCTTTTGAGATCGCAGTTCTCTACGATGAGGTTCTGGATGACCTCTTCGACGCGACTGAGACGCTCTTCTGTTGTTTTGTGCTCGGAAGCATGCTCTGATCTCATGGGGGCGATAGGAGTGGATGGTCCTATGGTCGATGGACTGGAATTGTGGCCTGCTTGGGAAGCATGGGACTTCTGGTCAAGGCGAGCCTTCTTGCAAGATCTTTGGTCCTGAGGCATCTTGACGGATATTTTGTGATAAGAATGAGGATAGTGGTAGCGCAATGAAGGAGACAAGAGGAGAGAAAAGTCTGTCTACACATGCGACCCAATTATCTCAATCCATCGTCATCACAGTGTCATTAACTCCTACCTAGGTGGAATCATTAATTTTTGACTTTACCACTCAACCCGACGCGCCCACGTATTCCAGAATGACAGATATCCCACCATCATATATGCCGCCAGCATGTAGAACCGCTTGTACGTCTTGCGATCAAACGCGATCCCCCCATCCAGATGCAGCCGAACCCCCACCACCCCAGCAAAGAGCGTATACAGTGCACTGGTCAATCCCATCCCCGAGAGCAGCCACGCTCGATCCATCCCCGGACTCACATCGCGTCCTAGACACGTGTAGGTGACGCATAGCAGCACCGCCCCGGCGCCGAGCACCAGCAGCGCAGTCACAGCGCGCAGGACGCGCTCACCACGAGGCCCAACAATCACCGCGAGCGTGCGCTTATTAGTCGCGCGATCCCCCTCCACGTCTTGGAATTCCTGCATCTGTACTGTCGCCATCACCCACGCGGCTAGCGCTAGGATCACCCGGGTCGGGAGCACAGGGAATGTTGGGACGGTGCTCTGGATGACCGTGTCCAGCAGTCGGAACATGTTGTACGTGCCCACCGTGGCGAAGGCGTTGCGGAAGAACCAGTTGTTGGGGCGTGGCCACACGTAACAGAAGTAGGTCCACGCTTCGTACTCCACGAACAGCCAGCCGGATTCGGCGCCATTGCCAAAGATATATGCTGCGGCTAGGGGGCACACAACCCAGCTGATGGCCCAGCGACGGTGGGCACCACGCACGCTGAGCAGACCCGACGGGATAGGGCGATATGGCTTGTTGGCGGCGTCTTCGGCCACCGAAGTGACTTGGTTGATGAGTTCGAATACGTATAGGTGGCACACAAAGCAGACGGTTGTCTTCACCAGGAGAAGCACGACTTGGGACAGCGTCAAGCTCAGAATCAGGCCGGGGACGGGGAACAGGCGGGCCAGCAGCCCCACCATGGGGAGGATCAGGCCCTCACGGATGTTGCCTCGGAGGAGACGTTCCGTCAGGTGGAGCTCATTGTGGAGGCTCATGGTGGATCGGTCAAGACAGTAAGGTCCTGTGTCTTCCAGGCTTTGTTGGAGTGGTGGTGAGGAGGGAATGAAGTCGAGTTGGACTGGGGAAGAGGAAGAGAGGACTATAAATAACCAGGCCAGTGACTCTCACCTGCTTCATCTAGCTCTCACACAAACAACGTTCGTCTTATTGTTACCCCTCCGGCTACTGATCGACGCCTTTTCCAAACCAACCCCGACAAACTGCTGATCCAAGATCCGCAGAACATGTTGTCACGGAATGGCGGATTCACTGACTAACCCAGGCCAGAAGTACTAGAGCGACACTACCTACGAAACCCTACTTTATGTAGAAAGAGACCTCGGAGCCCGAACACCCCATCAGGGGAAGCAGATACAACAAATCAAGTTAACCGCTGTCGATCCCAGTGCCATGGCCCGGAAGTGAACCCAGCATACCCAAAAGAGGGGAGTGCAGATGTCAGGGCTGGGTATAGCGCATGCACGATGACCCGACTGACAAGCCCTGGCTCTCTGATTGCATGATTAGGGCCGCAAAGGTCCCAATTATGCGTCCTACGGCCCTGAGACATAACCTGCGGGGCCCCTCTGATTCATGACCGTTGGCGGGTGGAGCTGTGGTCTCCCGGTCTCTGGTACCGGGCCTTGCGATGGCAAATCATGGCGACTTGCCAGGATCAACCCCTGCCCCATGTGGTGGATGATTTCGGTTGGTCAAGCCGTTGATCGGCGACCTCCTAACCCTGTGTCTATCAGAAAAGAGAACCCGGCGAACCCACAATCCCCACAGGTCTGGCCCATCCCCTCTGGACACCACACCGAAAGAGCGTACTTTGCTTTCAGCTAACTAGTTAGTCCATGAATGGCGTGGACCGTTGCAACTTTGCAAGACAGTGAAGCATACCAGACCTTGTCTTGCTCCTGGGCTTCCAGTGTCAGGGCCGCCCCGCCCTGTCCATCAAAGAAGGCTTGTCTTCTGTCGCACCGGGATGTCCCAGAATTCCCCCGGGCGCCCAGTCGCTAGATGCGCCATCGATGGATACCCGGGGAGTTACATTACAGGATGCATTCGGGCTTTTCGCAGATTGCTCCGCAGTTTTGTAATCCCGAGTCCATGGCGCCGTTTTTTAGCGTCTCGAGATATGCCAAGACGAGGGGTGAAAGTTCACTCTTGATGGCGTTCGAAGGAAGTCTCTGGCCGCTAGTATCCAAAGCGCATGCAAGTCCAGCGGTCAAAGAAGGAGCAAGCCAAAATTGGCAATCCTCCCCAGTCTGATAGCAGGTCTCGGGAAGTGACCATTTGAGTGGACAATTGGCGGGCCAACTGTCATTCTTACACCAAGGCAAACGGCGCGAAACGAAACCAGCGCCCCCAATGAAGAACTAGACCTGGTGTAGCCTATCCGGGGGGCTTGTTCAAGACAGAATCGTGTTCATTGGCTTAATTTATTCCGCGTGGCTGTCCTAACTTGCTGCTACGACATCTTGGCGCATGTACGTTTCGCGGACTGGACATCCGGCATACCTGGACACATCCCATCTGCCCATGCCATAGTCTTTGGGGGCCTTTCGCACCCCCCGTCCACCACGCCCGACAATCAGATTCCCCGGTCGGTACTCGTCATTGTCTTGCATCCGACGAATGACGGAGACATGGACCTGGGCGTCTTGGGGCATGTCGCGCACTTCTCCACGGGGGAGCGGCCAGCGGATCGGTTTCCAAGTCCCATCGCCTTGTAGATCCATGCGCCGAAATGGGAAGAACTCCATCATTTTCCATGACAGCACCGAGGTCGCCGGAAGGCCGTCGCCGAGTTTAAGGCAGTCGTGCAGCTTAGCGCTGCTCGAGCGGCGCAAGGCCTCATTGAACTCGTCGTCCCGCGAGTGGTCTTGTGTGGGATTCTCAGCGACGCCGCCAACATCAGCTGCGCGCTCATTGGCCCTGGTTTTCATTTCTGTGTCCAGAGTTTCCGCCACGATGGGACCGTTCCAGCATTGGAACTTTTTCAGTTTGGAACTTTTGAATCTCAGGCCAGCCCGTCGAGCTTCTTGGACCATCCACACCAATGGCGAATGGCTGAGGGCCCACCCCTCACCTTCATTTTGCTTCCAACCCCCGCCGATATCCGCATGCGCTCCGGGGAACCAGACCTCTTCCAGATCTTGTTCATCATCCTCTTCATCCTCGTCCCAGTTGATGGATGCGACAGACGCCGTCGACTCATTATCCTCGGCCTGCGTTGAATGCGCCGTTCTGGGCCGAGTGCCACGCCGAGACGGCCGGTAAAGCGAATAGTTGACTTCTTCGGTGTCGTCGTCCTCTTGCGCATCTTGGGGCGTAAATTGATAGTGAAGTTGCCGCGCTTGTCGTTTCATATGCGCCCGGATTCGAGACTGTCGAGACTGCATCTGGGGTTTAATCTCGGAGATCAAATCCTGACGGAATTTGGCCCGACGCTCGTCGATTCCCACAGCATGGCGAATAACCTTGGCCGACGTCCGTGACGCGTAGGGGGTCTTGCTACGTTGCATCCACGGGTTCTCGAATCGGGGCACACTGTTGACCGTGTCAAAAAGGCCGAGAAATCGAATCTGCGTCACCGGCCGACTAAACGTCTCCCGGAAAGCGGCCATATAGCGAAACTGTTTATTCTTTTCCTTCTGATCCCCGGTCCGCTCCTGCCACTGTGCAAAGGTTTTCCAGACGAAGCGCAGCAGCTCTTCATTGCCCAGCTCCAGGAGGCCCATGTAGTCCAGCATCTCCGCCAAAAAGCGAGCCACGTAGGCACCGCGGCTGAATCCAAAGATGTACAGGTCGTCTCCGGGGTTGTGGTAGCGCATGAGGAACTTATAGCCGCCCATGACGTGGTCCGCAAAGGTGGTCCCTACCGCCGAGGCTTTGGCTTTGAGATAGGCCGACTTGACTCTCTGCATATGGCCTGGATTAGAAAGAGACTGCGTCGTAACATATGTCCCAATTCCGGGCTGATAGTAGTGGCATTGATGCGGGTCACTACGATCGAGCATCTGCTCGCGATGTGAGTTTTGGCTGCTACAAGATGTGGCTCTATGGCATGGGCTGCTCACTCACCCGGAATATTTTAAGCACGTTGCTGTCCGATTCATCTCCTTGGAACTTGTTTCCCGTGCCGTCGAAGCACAGGACGACCTGTTTTGGGCCGAGGCTTGCGGAATGCGCCATATTGAACGTGTTGTTCGAAAAGGGATTATTTCACTGGCTTTACTTATGGATTCCTGACAAGGTTTGCCTATAGGGACCAGAATGACAAGACTGTTCAACACCTTGATGAACCTGTCATCTCGAATCAGTCTATTCAGAGGAGGAAGGACGGAAAAATAGCTGGCATGCTGTAAAGCTTAACGGAGTACTCTTATGACCTCATCAACCTGAACGCATGCAACCAGCAACATAAGTCTAGACAAACTCAATTCCTGTGAAGCAGGATATCACATATCGGTAGAGTCCACACAAATCTACCCGATGCCAAAACGATCGCTTTATGTGCTGCTGTACCAAAAATTTCTCTTGTTTGGGTGATGGGTTGCCGTGGGGTTCCGGCTGGTATTGATAGAGTTGACATGATGCCCTAACCGTGGATCACATCGATACCCGCCGCATTAGGAAGTGTCTACATTTACCACAGCGGACGCGACAAGCTACCCCATTGTCTTTTCCCCCGTAATATTCACCATGTGCTTGTGGGCCAGATGCCCATGATGTCAACGACGAAGGGCAAGGTCACGGGGAGGGGGGGTTTAACTCAATGCGAAGGCAGGATTGACCGTCCGTCGTGAGGCCATGTATAGTTAGAACATAGTCTGATCTTCGGTCTTTCCGGCTTCAATTCCACCACACCAGCAGAGCAGACACTGAAACAGCTATAAGCCATGAAGTTCGGCAACGAAGACAGTGTGGCCTCTGCCTCCCACGGGATCGTCCCAGAGCACAGAGCGCCTCCTGGCAAAGTGCTTCCGGAGAGAAAAAAGAGCATCGAAGAGGCAGAAACGTCCAAATTCCAGGAGTTCAAGAAACTCATCCACGCTGCTACTCGCCCCCTCCCGACAGAGACCGGCGATGGTAGCTACATCGAAGACGAATCGAGCGGTGGCTTGTGGGCCGACTTCCGGGCCCTGGGTATGAAGGATGCTAGCACGCTGGTCTCGATGCTCGAGAATAAATTGTCGGGGGCTTTTGTGGACGATAAGACGATGATGATGGAGCATATTATCCAGGTACGGAATCTCGAGATTGTCAGCGCAAAGATGCTAATTGTCGTGTGTCCAGCTGGTCAGCCGATTGCCCGACGACTCGAAGATGCGGTTCAGATTGACCAATTTGTTTCTGAACGAGCTCTGGGAAACACTCCCCCATCCTCCATCGACGTATGTCTCCAGCCCAAGCTTGTCCCAACCGGTCGAAACTGACCATTCAGTTATGTCGGAGAGAAATACGCATACCGGGCTGCGGACGGCTCCCATAATAACCCTTCGATGCCAGCTCTGGGGGCGGCCAAGACGGAGTATGCCCGAACAGTCCGTCCTACGACCACCAGGCCACCGAATCTCCCAGACCCTGGCTTGATCTTTGATAGCTTGTTCGCTCGAGAGCAATTCAAGCCCCATCCGAATAAAGTTTCCAGCATATTTTTCACTTGGGCCTCGCTAGTAATTCATGGTATTGTCCACGATGACAGCTCACACCTACCAAGAGACCTAATTGTGATATAGATATCTTCCAGACCGACCGCAAGGATGAGAACATCAACAATACTTCGTCTTATCTGGACCTCTCCATTCTATACGGAGACTCCCAAAAGGACCAGAACACGATCAGAACCTTTAAGGATGGCAAGTTGAAGCCGGATTGTTTCTGCGAGTTCAGACTGCAGGCGCTGCCAGCAGCTTGCGGTGTCCTCCTGGTCATGTTGAATCGATATCACAACTATGTGGTCGAGCAATTGGCCCTGATCAACGAGAACGGTCGATTCACGAAGCCCAAGGACGAACTACTCTCACCCGACGAGGCCAACAAAGCGTGGACCAAGTACGACAACGATCTCTTTCAAACGGGCCGGCTCATCACATGCGGCCTGTACATCAACATAACGCTCTACGACTACCTGCGCACGATCGTCAACCTCAACCGCACAAACAGCACCTGGTGCCTGGACCCCCGCGTGAAAATGGGCGAACACGAAAAGACGCCGTCCGGAATGGGCAACCAATGCTCGGCGGAGTTCAACCTGGCCTACCGCTGGCACAGCACCATCAGCCAGCAGGACGAGGAATGGACTGATATGACGTATGAGAAGTTGGTGGGCAAGCCCGGCGAAGATGCCTCGGTTCAAGACCTTTTCACGGCGCTGGGTGAGTACGGAAGGAATCTGAACCCAGATCCCTCCAAGCGGACCTTCGCCCAGATGGAGCGTCAGAGCGACGGTAAATTCCCAGACGAGGAATTGGTTAACATCCTGACCGAAGCTACCGAGAGCGTAGCCGGGTCTTTCGGCGCACGCAATGTTCCCAAGGTACTGCGCGCTGTCGAGATCCTCGGAATTGAACAGGCGCGCCGGTGGAATGTCGGGTCTCTCAACGAGTTCCGCAAGTTCTTTGACCTGAAGCCCTACAAGAGCTTTGAGGAAATTAACTCAGACCCGGAGGTTGCAAACCGGCTTCGACACTTGTATGAGAAGCCGGATTATGTGGAACTGTATCCGGGTATTGTGGCCGAAGAAGCGAAGGATCCTATGATCCCCGGGGTGGGAATTGCCCCAGGTTATACTGTTTCGCGCGCTGTCTTATCTGACGCGGTTGCTCTGGTCCGAGGTGATCGATTTTATACTGTACGTGATGTATTCATGCCATAATGGTCAGCCCTCCTAACATATCCAGCTGGACTATAACGCCAGGAACCTCACCAACTGGGGCTTCACCGAGTCGCACTACAACCTGGAGACCAACCAAGGATGTGTCTTTTACAAACTGGCTCTCCGCGCATTCCCCAACTGGTTCAAGTCCGACTCCATCTATGCTCACTATCCCATGACGATCCCGTCGGAGAACAAACTGATCATGCAGGGCCTGGGAAGAGAAAAGGAATATTCCTGGGATCGACCATCCTTCACCCCCCCGAGGACCAATGTCTTTGCGTACCCGAATGTTAGGGAGATTCTGAACGATCGGGACACTTTCCACGTCACCTGGGGCGAGGCAATTGAGTACGTGTTTGGCGAAGGGGGCTATTACTTTATGCTGTCGGGAGATTCACGGTTCCATTCTACCCAGCGCCAGTCCATGGGGAAATCCCTCTATATTGGTCAGTGGCATCAGCATGTCAAAGACTTTTATATAGCCGAGACTGAGCGGCTTCTTCGCGAGAAGTCATGCTCGCTGGGCAAGGTCAATCAGGTTGACATCACTCGCGAGTAAGTGACCCTGTCGTGGACATGCAGAACGCTCTAACTGGACTATCTACCTAGTGTCGGTAACCTGGCCCATGTGCACTTCGCCTCGAACGTCTTCTCGCTTCCGCTGAAGACAGAGCAAAGTCCGCACGGGATCTATACCGAACATGAAATGTATATGATCATGGCTGCCATTTTCACAGCGATCTTCTTTGACGTCGATCCGGCCAAGTCGTTCCCTCTGCGCCACAAAGCCAGGGATCTGGCCCAGGGTCTGGGTAAAATAGTCGAGACCAGCGTGAAAAGCACTCAGAGCTCCCGACTGTTGTCCTCGTTCTTGGGGAACTTCCACACCAGTGATCATCCCTTGAAAGACTATGGAGCACATATGATCGCACGGCTACTGGAAACAGGACAGGATGCGTCGGAAATCACCTGGTCACAGATTCTGCCCACCGCAGTCGCCATGGTGCCCAACCAGGCACAAGTGTTCACGCAGATCATAGACTATTATCTTTCCGACAAAGGGAAGGAGCATCTCCCTGCCATCCACCGCATTGCCAAGGAAGACACCCCTGCCTCGGACGACAAGCTCCTGCGCTACTGCATGGAAGCCATCCGACTGCATGGGATCTTCGGATCGTACCGGGAAGCCCAGGCGCCCGTCACGATGGAAGACAACGGTCACCACTTGAGCATCAAGCCTGGTGATAAGGTTTTTGTCAGCTTTGTTAGTCCACCCGTTCCCGGCAAATAGGAGTTTACTAACACGACGCAGGTGGATGCAAACAAGGATCCCGTCGCTTTCCCAGACCCCGAAACCGTCCGTCTCGACCGCCCCATGGAGTCTTACATCCATTATGGCGTGGGCCCGCACACCTGCCTGGGAAAAGAAGCTAGCAAGGTCGCATTGACGGCTATGCTTCGCGTTGTTGGTCGTCTAGACAATCTGCGCCCCGCCCCTGGCCCCCAGGGCCAGTTGAAGAAGATCCCCCGGCCGAATAACTTCTACAGTTATATGACGGAGGATGAGACGAGCTTCTTTGCCTTCCCGATGTGTATGTGTCTGGCTGTTTGCTCGATAGGAGATTCGTTACTGACTTGCGTGTACAGCTTTCAAGGTTCATTTTGATGGGCCTGTCCCGCAGTCGACTGTTCGTGCCGGTTCTGTTTGAGCCTTGATTGACGGTTCTGTCGGTATGCTGGAACCCCATGGAGGAACCTCATAGTATATATAATCTTAATTACGCTTATACTGGACGCATGTTGGTGTATGGATTGTGTTGGATAGCCATCTTTCCAGTACGTAGCCGTTCAAAGGAATGGGAGGCGTTGGTAATCTGTATATGTGGTGCCATCGTGACGAATGATGGATAGTTCCTCCATTTCCACCTATGTTTTGACCGAGATTTATTCATCCCCGAGTATATGTAGAGGAGATTCCAGGAGAGCAGAGGATGAAGGTGTAGACCGCAAAATGATCTGCCGGCAGATCGCGTCCTTATCGAGATCGCCCGCTTTGCGTCAACTTTCCGTCCGTCTTCGCTTCCCTCCGGTTTTCTGATTTATCAACTTCTCAATTCCCCACACGTTCCTCAGCCATGCCGGGGTTGGATTGTCTGGCTCTCGTTTGCCCCTTATGCCCCCACTAGGCGTAAATTGCATGGATCCGCTGGGTTGGGAACAGATTCACTGACTGCTGCAGACGCCTTTCCGCCGCTCCTCTGCCTATCCTCCGGCCGGCCCTCAGTTCGCATCCACCCCGCGCTTTCTGCTTTCTCAACGCACCCCGGGCCCTGATCGAGGTACACAAGAAAGCAATGACTCGATTGATGCGGATGATGTCGATTTATTGTCGACCCCGGTCGCCACAAAACGAGGAAGAACCTCCGCGACGCGACGCGACGACGTCATTGAGGATCGAGACGAGGACGATGAAGATGTAGACGACAATGGAAGGAGGGTCGCTCTCAGCAGCAGTCCTCCACAAGATGCAGGTTTTCTCGATAAGGAGTTCGAGGCGTTGTTTGGGCCGACATCAGATCGCTCAAAGCGACGTCGCGTTTCTACCCTGATGGACGACACGGAGACGCCAGTACAGCCTCGGAGGAAACCGCCCACCGATATGATAGTGTCTTCCTCTCCTCCATCGCCTGCCGGATCACCCGCGATTGAGGCGAATCTGTACACCCCAGGGCCTTCTTGTCTAATGGCCACCCCGATGAAAGTGTCGACTCCCAACACACAACCTCCATCAACTCTCCGCAGCCAACCACGTTTTGTACTCTCCGCAACCGATGCTCATCCTCAAAGTAGCCAGCTACCACCGTCCGGTTTCAGATCACATCTTCAAAGCAGTACTCCGAACCCGACCCGCAAACCCGCCTTCGTCCTCCCGCGTCCCCCCTCACCGTCGCAAGTAGACAACTCAGCAGCCGCCATCCCCACCCCATTCTCTCCCTCCTCGCGTATACTCGGCCGTCGTGGCCGTCCACGAGATGGCGGCCCAACATACTCTGCCGGCGGCATGGCTGCCGAGGTGCGCAGTTGGATTCTGGACATGGGAGCCAAGCGCGACCAAGCGAATATGACGAGCCTCTCCTCTCGTCCCGCCCCAGACGTGCACGATTATGCTCTTGCTGTGAAGGTTGCTAGTGTCCGACAGACGACGCTGACAAGCTCGGGACCCCTGGCCTTCGTAAGGGGATATCCCGTTCTCACGTTGTCAGAGGAGACCCAAGGACCGGCCGACTCTGAACCTACTAAGAATGTCGTACTTTTTGGTCCCCCTCGTGCGCGGCCCACTGCATCGCCAACCGAGCAGGTCATACGGAGTCGAGCTCCCGATCTACAATCTGGAAGCATAATCGGGGTGTGTCGGGGGCTGGTCTGGGAGATCGAGCTGAGTGATCTCGGGCTGGAAGGTGCTGTTGAGACTGCTAGTGCAGGGAAATGGCTCGTAGGGATGGAGTGGGACTTGATTTCCTAGCTCTGCGACTAGATGGGGTTGACAGACATGAATTGTATGATATATATGATACCCGGCCTGAGGAAGCGATAGACCGCAAGGAGACCTTTCACTTGCTGCCAAGTGACATTGATCATTCGATCACGATGGAAACCATGTACATAAGGGATTCGAAAAAGAAAAGAATATTTATATATGCAAAGCTTTTTTTCCAGTTCGCCAGGAACCAATCCTCAACCATACGCCGGAGAATGTAACAAATATATCACCTACAAAGACATCATCATACCCCCTCCTCCTCCTTAGCCACCACCTTCAACGCATCCACCGCCGCGCCGCAACCCCATTTCACCATCTTCTGCTCCTTGCTCGACGACACAATGTCCGTCTTAGCCACCACCTTCCGCAGGAAGAAAATCAGACCCTTGGCGATCTGCGGCGTCTCTCTAGTCCGGAGGAAAATGTCAATCAGGGCCCTTTCGTCCCTCTCGGACTCGACATCTTGGCCCTCTTTCTTGTCCTTCTTGCTCTTCTTGGCTGCGGTCTTCGCCTTCTGCGACTGCTGAATGACAGTGATCAGGAGCAGCTCGACGAACGTCTTCGACTTGGGCTGCAGGTAAGCGAAGTTAAGCGTCTTTAGGATGCCCAGGTTCAGTGTCCCATCCGCGACAAGCGTGCCGTACATCTTAGCGAGGTTAACGAGCGCCTTCATCGGCAGCTGGTTTTCCTCGTCCTCGGCGCCGAACGCGTCGTCTTCGTCGTCGTCATCGCCCATATCCCCTGACTCGCCCATCCGCTTGAACGCGTTCCAGAGCGTGTACATGAAGGAGACTTTGAGGCGGCGGCCGAGTTCGCCGCACACGCGCCGCGCGATGAGCGTGTAGTATGGGTTGTATGATTCCTCTTCCATGGCGCAGTGGGTGAGCACGCGCGGGATCTCGAATTCCTGGACGCGTTTCAGGCGGAGCTTGAGGAGTCGCACGTGTGCATCTTGGTAGTCTTGGGCGGACATGATGGCCACGAAGATGGAGCGCCGCACGTCGGTGTTCATGCGGTGGGATTTGGCGAGCTGGACTAGGTCGGGCTCGCCTTCGCTGTCGTCGTCCTCGACTGCTGCTGCTGCTTTGCTGTCCGTGGGGAGGCCGGAAAGTTCCTGGCGTGCGGACTCGAGCGGGTCTTCGCGCCAGCTGGCGCCTACTAGCCACCATTTGCCCTTTTTGGTGGAGTTGTGGATGTCGTTTCGTGAGATGCTGATGGGTTCGGAGGCGCGGACGACGCGCGTGTTGTTTAGGGATCCGAGGATCTTGCGCATTTTGGTAAGGTGTTCTGATGCTATGTTTGCGTTGACTCCCGCTTTGATTTTGTTGTTCTTCAAGTCGGTGATTGTGTCGATCATGAATTTCGTACGGACGGAAAGAGATGCTTCTCCGGCTTTGGCGACGGCTGGTTGGATCAGGAGGACGATGTCTTTCAGGGAAGACGGGTCATCTTGACGGAGTTGAGGTCCAGAGTCTGTTCTTGTTAGGGATATTTCTCGTCGGTCTTAGGGAGAGGAAAAGGTACTGACTTCGTATAATCTTGAGGAGTAGCTCGGTGTTCTCCTCTGTGATGTCCTGGAGATACAGGCGAATGTAGTCGAAGATCAGGGCACTTCCAATGACGTGGAAGTTGTAGAGTTGGGACAGCAGAGATATCAGGTTGGTAGACTCCTTCCCTTCAAAGCTCCCTCTTTCGTCCCCACCTGCGTCCAGAGTCTCCACAACCTTTTGTACAAGCTCTGCACCAAAGTCCATCCCCACAATCTTGTATATCGCCGCAATGAACCCAGCGTGGAGGACCATGAAGGTGTCCTGGTGGACCGACCGTTCGCAAATGAGACCGAACAACAGGGATATCAGTGTCGACGTTACATTTTGTCGGGGATGATCACGATAAAGCTTCTCGAATTCGGCGAGGATGGAGACAAGGTTCGCTTCCGACAACTTGTTCAGCTGTCCTTGGGCCTGTCGTCTCAATCGAGTGAGGGACTCGGATTCAGGGCTAGCGGCAGCTCGAAGTGACGGCGGGATATATTTTTGAGCTGGTTTCTCGGAAACCGGTGCGACGTAAGGATTTTCCTTTTTCTTCGGTGTCGGTTTGGTCTCCTCGTCTTCCTGGTCATCCTCGTCGCTAAAGTCTTCCTCCAGGTCCTCCATATCCTCACCCTCCATGTCATCCATGTCTTTATCGCTTCCAAGATCCATGTCCTCATCATCGTCTTCGCTTTCGGATTGTATTCCTTGAGCCTTTCTTCTTTTGCTCAGCAGCCACTCGTCGGCTTCTCTTTTGCGTTTGCGCTTTTCATCGCCCGACCCCTCGTCGAGCTCGCCAAGCAGATCCTCAAGTCCGTCTTCTTGGAAGGATTTCGGCAATTTCTTGCCTTTTTTCATTCCAAGCTTCTTCTCAAGTGCCGCAATTTCCGCGTCATCCTGGTCTAGCTTGTCCTTCATCGTTGCCGTAATGTTCCGCCGGCGAGGCTTGTCCTCTTCTTCGCTACCTTCTTCACTCTCGAGGTCCGGGTCCGTGTCTTGTCCCTTTTTAGCCTTCAAGATAGACTTGGGCTTCTGGTCGGCCGTCTTTGTCGACTTCGACTTGTTTGTCGCAACTTCATCAGCCGATTCACCCATATCCGAGTCCATTCCAGAGCCGTCAAAGCCGTCGAATGCATCCTCATCGTCATCCTCCTCGTCGTCATCGTCGGCCTGCTTCCCACTGCTATATTTGGAAGCTGGAATCGGCGCTCGTTTCGTCTTCTTGTTCGATCGCTCCGCTTGTCGGCGATCTTTCCGCGTCAAGGGTCCCGAGCGTTTGTTTTTCTTCTTATCTCCATATGTATCTTTGATACCGAGTTCTGCTCGAAGGTTCCGAGGCAGACCGGTCGTTAAATGCATGGGACGCCGCATGGTGGACTATTGTGTTGTTTTAAATCTGTGTAGATCGAGGAATCGCATAACGACTTTTTTTTTATGCCGGAGAGAAAAGCAGCGGAGCGGAGGCGGAAGCCCAAGGCGGTGAGCCCACAAATGCGGAGTCTATGGGTGTTCCCACTTCTCTCCCCACCGCTCATCGTCACTCGCATTCCTCTCTTGGTCAATTAATTAGACTGTACGTCTTGACTGCAGCAAGATTTGAAGGTTTTCTTGCGTACCGCATAGATCAGTCATTCTTGTTCTGCCATTCCAATCCAGCGGAGCGAGGCACGAACTTTGCGCGCATTCGACCCACAAACCCGCAATCTGTACTTGTGCCGTCAGGGCATACTAGGATTTCAAGATGCCTGCCCCTCTCTCACACGACGCGGTATGTACACTTGTTCTCGCTACTACACCTATCCCGTATATCCTATTGTTTACAGCATAGCTAACAAGTAACCAGTTTTTCTCGTCCCTGTCCGACCTCCTCACCAAAACCTCCCAAAAATCTCGCGGGTCCGTGACGCTCACCCAAAAGCCTCTCCTTCATCCCACCCCGGACTCCTCCTCGAAACCTTCTATCCTCATCCGCGCCACGGACGGTAACACGAATGCGCCCAACCCGAAAACGCACAAAGTCGAGAAAAAGAAGTCATCCTCCAAAGTGAAGCTGTCAACTGTTGCCGCGCCTGAAGAACTCGATGCTTTCTACGCTCGCTACGCGGAAGTGTGCAAGGCTGGCATGACGGGATTGAAGAAGCGGGACCGGAAGAAGGGGAAGGCCAAGGCCAAGGGCGGTGCCGCGAAGGGTGCCAAAGCGTGATTGTTTTTTTCTTCTTTTTTTTGTCGTTTGCAGGAACTCGGTATATGGCCGACTGATGGTAGCGGTAGAAACCGTGGATAGATGGGCTGCGTCTGTTTGTCTTGCATCTAAGGCGTTAAGGGAATCTTATGTGTTTTTAATACTCGATATGTTGATACACCGGACAACTGATGAGCACATGGGTTGGCAACTGGTATCGTCTGGGGAGATTTCCCTCTTCCAACACGACCCATAGTAGTGTAGATTTGATATGTAATGACTACAGTATCTCAAAATGGCATCCAACCCCAGAGAAGTCAACGTCGTGGATGTTGCATGCACAGCGCCTTGAAATGGACAGATCTAGTGGGGCCTCAGGCATCATATAGCATTCCTGCCTGAGGCTGCAAGGGGGTCAACAAGGCGATGACGCAGCCATGCTCGCAGTTTATGCATCTGCCTGTCGCTCTCTCCAACCTCAACCCCCGACCTGAACGAGGGAGATCCGCCGTTCTCAAAATCATATCACTCTATTTGAGGATCTAAGCGACCTGGGCATCGATCATGTCGAATTTCGAGCCGAATGCCGTGATTCGCGGCGCCCAGCTCACCATCGTAGGAAGTCAGTCCCCCTACCCTAAATCAAGCTTCGAGCGATCTAGGTGTTTGATAGCCCTCGCATGCACACACGGGCCCAAATTGAGAGTTTCGCACTGGCTTTCGTTTCTTTAATCCTTTCTCTGCACCTTTGGAGTTGTCATCGTTGGCTATTGGAAACCTGAATAGCTTGTCGTTTTCACGTGCCGGTTCGTCGGGCTGACCATATATTCTACAGCTATTCGTGTCCTGAAAAACCCCGAACTCTTCAAGTATGACCACTTCCGACAGGCCGCTCTGGCAGTGGCAGTGGGAATCATCATCCAGTTGATCATTCAAATTCCGGTATGGTACCTCCATGGTTCTTCCTGGCAGGTTCGAGTCATAGACGTAAATACTGATGACTTGCCACTATCTTCAATTGGATTAGATCATTGGAGTACGATTTCTCCTCTGGACGACTTCATTGTTCGTCGACTTACAGAGCGCCTCCTGGGATGACTCGATTTTGGAGGGTTTGAACTTCCTGAACCAGTCGGTCCTCCAGGTGCCATTTTTACTCATGACGCTGATGCGTTACGTGACGCCCACCCTGGACGAGATGTACGGTCTACCCACCTCCCCCCGTTAGTTCGTCTTGTTAATTAAACAGCTTCATGCAATCTCTTCAATGGGTCGATACGACCTATGTCACGAAACACAAAGCGGAAGACCCTTCTACTCTACGTGCCATGTACTATCCGCACCTGGTGCAGTACTCCACCAAAGGCGGCACGGGAGTATCGAAGCCTGTGCCCGAAGCAATCATGCTGTTTATGCGCAGATACGGACGCAAAGTTGGCATGATGTTGGGTGTCTATCTGCTTTCTCTTGTTCCTATAATTGGCCGGTTCGTGATGCCTGCTGCCTCGTTCTACACCTTTCAGTCGGCGGTCGGGACCACACCGGCTGCGGTGATCTTCGGAACCGGGCTTGTGCTACCCAAGAGTTTCATCGTGTCCTTCCTTCACACTTACTTTTCCTCGCGCAGTCTAATGCGAGAACTGGTATGTATCACTCTACACATCAAGGACGCCGAACCTCAAAGTACAGGACAAGACTAATATCAAGAGTAGCTGGAACCGTACTTTTGCCGAATCCGCTTTGCCCCCGAGCAGAAGCGTCGCTGGTTCCTGGATAGAGAAGGTGTCCTGTTCGGCTTTGCGTTCGCTTTCACCGTTGTCCTAAAAACCCCCTACATTGGGGTCCTCATGTACGGCGTGGCTGAAGCATCCACTGCTTATTTGATCACCAAGATCACAGATCCCCCGCCGAATCCCGACCAGAGCGAGGGTTTTGCGGAGAGCCAGGTGACTTGGGCCAACAAGCATGACTTCCTCCAGCTTTCGCTCGAGAACTTGGACAAGATCAATGAGGCAGCTGTTAAGAAGCGTGAGGAGAGGAAGGCGGATACTCCTGATCTTACTCCTCGAAAGTTCTATTAGCGATTCGGGGGAATGTTCTGATAGTCGGGGAAAGGTTCTGATGATAAAATTGTACGAGGCAGCATCAAGTATGACATCAAATTTCGGGGGCATTAGCTGAGACTGGTTGCATGTATCTTAGCATCTTGTTTCATGAAAGGGAATAGACATTTAGTTTCAACGCATATAATTCTCCTCAAACGGTGTCTCCACCGGCATTTACTGGCAGCCACCAAGTCACATGAGCGGGGTCATCTCTATCAAATGGCGAAGATAAACGCTCGATGATCGCTCGTTCAAATCCCATGAAAACAAAGATCCTCCAGCCAATCGCCGTTCCTTTCCCATAATGAAAGCTCCCCAGATATCACAGCTCTCAGTGGCATCTGCATTCGATGGCCTAGACCTTCAGCAGAAGCTTTATGCCCATTACATGGCTAAGTAAGCCGAGCTGCCCGCAGCGCAACAATGAAACCACATACTAAACCGAACCCAGGGCAGCATGGGCTGGCTCGCGCATTGTGCTTAGACAAGTATCACCGGAAGCCAACGGAATATATGATTTCATAATTGCGCTCTACGACGGCTGTGATGGGGACTGGGAGCGCCTCGCTACTCAGGCAGATGTCGAGTTCCATGATGTACAACTGCTGCTGGACTACGCTGCGACGTTCCTGTCTAATATGGGGAACTACTATGTAAGAATTTCTACTAGCCCTTTGGATACGGGTTAACCTTTTGGATTCTATGTAGGGCTCTGGTGATCAAAAGTTTACGCCTGCTATCTCTGCAGAGAAACTCGCTGCCCTAGCGGAATCTGCTTCCCCCCGTGCGGCTGTACTCTGGAAGCAGGTTGGGAGGGCAGTTCTTCAGGAAACGCCGCTCGGTCTGGGACCTCCGTCTGACTTGACCCAGAGTGCATATTACCCAGGACTTGAAGGTCCCTCATTTCAGGATGACATGGCGTTCGTTTCGAAAACCATAGATGAGCTGGCCATACTCCCGGAAAACACCCGAGTGGAGAGGAAACGCATCTCCCCGGAGATAGAAGTCTTCAATATACTCCAAGCATCGGTGGCTGAAAAGACGTCGACTTGCCAAGCATCCAGCGATCTTACCTCCGACGGGAGGATCATTCGTCTGGTGAACGGAGATCACAAAGAGGAGATGACGCGCATATCCGCTTATTTGTCGAAGGCTCTCCAGTACGCTTCTAATAAATCGCAGGACCACATGGTACAGAAACTTCTAGAAAGTTTTATCACCGGCAATCTGGAAACATACAAAGATGCCCAAAGGCTTTGGGTGAATGACAAGGCCCCGCCAGTGGAGACAGTGATCGGGTTTGTCGAGCCTTACCGCGATCCACTGGGGGTTCGATCCGAGTTTGAAGGAATCGTGGGCATACCTGATGCTAAAGAGACCAAGGTACTGGGGGAGTTGTCAAGGATGGCGGACAAGTTTGTCTGCCGGCTTCCGTGGGTGACTGGTGACAGCGATGACAAGGGGCCGTTTGAGAAGGAGAAGTTTGAAGCGCCAGACTTTTCCAGCGTTCAGAGTATGAATGTCTTCCTTTCTTTCAAAATCTAGTTTGCTGATCATTCAAGGCCTTGCATATTGTTCGAGTATCATTTTTCCAGGGATAAACCTCCCCAACGTGAGTTGTGTACAGGTCAAACTGCCGTGACGACTATAGCAGGCTAAAAGTAATAGTACAACGATATCCGTCAAGAAACCGGCTACAAAGGCATCATCTTCTCCAATCGCATGGTGGCGGAGAGTCGTCGACCAAGGGGTCTACACCTGGTTGACGAATCAGAACAAGAGACCTTTAAAAAAAACCGCTTTCACGCATATTATATCTGGGTTGTTCTGCATGAAATTCTAGGACATGGGACCGGAAAGTTCCTGAATGAGTCCACCCCAGGTAGTTTCAACTTTGATCCGGATAACCCGCCAATGAACCCAGTTACTGGAAAGCCAGTCAGTACCTGGTATGGACCTGGCCAGACGTGGACTGGGGTCTTTGGAGATCTTTCGACTACCGTGGACGAATGCAGGGCTGAGCTCGTGGGAGCTTACTTGATTGATGATCAGGATATATTGACTTTGTTTGGATACAGCCAGCAAGGAGATGTAACACCAGATGACGGTATGACAACTGCATCTCCATTGACTACCTGCTACTGACAAGTTACCCTAGTTGTCTACAACTTGTACCTTCAACTAGGTACAGACGGACTTCGAGGTTTAGAAAACTATGACCCTGCCACAAAAGTATGCTATTCAACCTTCAACCCCTGTATATCCTTGAGCTATACTGACATGAACAGAAATGGGGCCAAGCCCATAGCCGGGTAAATTCATGCTCCAACGCCTACCCAACATCCAGCCCAAGTTCTAACAAACCATATAGGCCCACTACGCCATGCTTCGTCATCTCCTCCGCGACACCCAGGGCCTCTACACTGTTATATGCGACCAAGAAGCCGGAAAACTCACAGTGAAGGTTGACAAGAGTCTCATGATTCAACTAGGGAAGCCCTCCCTTGGTCGCATGCTGTTGAGACTGCACATGTATCGGTGCACCGCAGATATCGTTGGCTGCCGTACGTTTTACGAGGACCTCACTACTGTGGACGACGAGGCCTTGAAATGGAGGGAGATCGTCATCGCAAAAAAGGATTCACCACTGATATTCTCTCATGCGAATACGTATCTTGATGGAGATACAGTCAAATTACGAGAGTATGAGCCAACAACTATTGGTATTATTCAAAGCTGGGCCGAGCGAGGAATAGATGCGGTTGTCGCATGACTTGGCCTCACCGGCGGATTGACCCCGTATCAGGATCATGAGAGATCTGCCGCATATGCGTTACCATAGCATCCACGGAACAATTCTTTCGAAACTGGAAGGGCCCGCTTCCGCAGAAGAAATCTCACTGTTGATTATGGTGAGAGATTCTCTGAGGAAGCCTGCCATCTCAAGGTACCCTGCGCTTTCTCTCTTTTTTCCGAGTTCTCCCAGCATCTGTGACAGCTTGTAGTTTGCCCGAGCTTGATGACCTACTCCCTCAATGGGTGCGAGCCCTCTCGATATTTTTATACATTCCTCGAGTAGCTGCACCGCTAATCCGGTGTTGTCGCTGCGATGAAGAAGGACAGCTACCTGATGCAGGGAATCACAGACTTTGAGGCGCTCGCCCAAACAACTCTTTCGGAAGGTCAGAGCCTTTGAAGCAAATCTAAGTGATTCGTCCAGGAGCCCTTGCTCAAACTTGATCCTACTGAGCAGGACCATATCACTAGTTCATGTTAGTCTGAGAACAAGCGGCATTTCATGTCAAAAATCAGTACGTACCCAGAAAACCGCGGATTGCCGGTTTTCAGAAAAGTCTCATCCGAGAAATCCTTTAGGGAAGGACAACTCTTGAGCATTGCCTCTGCCCCACTAGGGTCACCCGTTTTGAGCAGCAAGCTGGCCATAATGCTATACGAATTGCCGATTCTATCACTATCGTGCATCAAGCGAATGTTGATCGACTGCTGGAGATACTCTCGAGCATTTTCGTGCTCTCCGAGCTCTGTGTATGCAAGACCGATGTTGACCTGGCTGGCGGCCAGGAAGGGGTCGTTGTCTGGGAGTATCGCTGTACGTAGCTTGTATGCTTCTTTGAAAGACTCTAGGGCATCTGTGGGGCGACAGATGTCAAGGTTGATCAAGCCCCGAAGATCAATAGCACTCGCGTACGGAAGAGAGCCTTTTTCGTCGAACTTCTTGAGTGTTATCTCAACGTACGACAGTGCGATGCTGTAATCCTCCCTCTCATAAAGATACCTACTTCGAATTAGCCATGGTGTTGAGATACGACACAATCACAGGGGGTCATACCAAGAACAGCGAAGCAGCAACTCCGCAAATTCTTGATTCCTAGGTTCAAAGACCTTGTAGTGTTCATTTTGCTTGATAATGCTTTCTATATGCGGCAAGCTCTTCTCACAATAGCTCGAGGAGGCAGCCTGGTGGCCCACGTCGGCACTATACGTGTCTGGAAAGTGTGCGGAGAGAATGTCTATGCTGAGATAGAGGGCCTGTTTCCGTTCATTCATCGTCATTCGGCTGATAGCAGCATCCCGGTGATGCCGGTTCATAAGTAGAATCCCGCTCTCGGTTGACTTGTAAATAAGAGATTCTTCACGCAATGCCTCTCGAGCATCCACAAAGCTATAGACAGGTTAGACGCTGAATAAATGTGTCAATCATGGTGGAACTCACTCTTTCTCGTCCAACATGAATGCCAAATCAGGATCGTCCACTCTAAGAGCGCCATCCTTTAGGAGCGACTCCTCAATGTAGTCGGGATACAAGAGCGCCATGGTCTTGTAAAGGGTCTTTGCGTTTTTGGAAAGGATCACTGAGCGACATCTTGCACACTGTCGAAAGAGGTGATAGTTCTCCAGAGCCTTCACCCTCGAGGGAGAGAGTTTTGCTCCTGGGGAATTCTTTGTCATTTTCCCTCATTCCAAGATTGGACTAGACCTGCCTCTCCCCTCATTAGATGCTGGTATAACAAAGAAACAAAGAATCTCTTAGGGCAAGCCATCATAGCAGTCTCTCCACATCCTTGTCCGACCATCGGATGCGCGTTTCTTGGACAGACGGGGTTCATCTGAAGACCTCAATGAGTCCAACAAATTAGGACCGATAGTGGTTATGTGTGATCCTCATAGACCCCCCGGTCGATCTAGAAAACCGACTGGGATTACGCTGCCCGATTGATCCACCTGGCGGTGTTCCGAACTCGGGAACCACCATCCTGAAATCCCCGACAACATTGATAAGCGGTGGAACCCAAGATGATCAATACCAAGACAGTTGTAGGATTGAGGGGAATACGATGGAGATAACATAACTTGACTAATGATAGAGGACTCAACCTACCCAGAATGGTTCGCCTGTTTATTGGCTGTTGTTTGCGGGGTATCAGCCATCGTTGGAGATAACGTCATGTGGGCCGGACAACATTCATGGATAACACGTCCTCCGCTGGGATTTATTGGCTATCAATCTCCATCACTCCGAATCTCCAACTCTTCGGTTATGGTTTCCGGCTGGTGGAGTAGTGCCTCGCCGTTATATAACAGCTGCCATTAGTCTCAAATTGGGGCTGATATCTCTCCTACAACGATCTCTCCTATACCACAGCCAAGTTCAGGACCAAGTAACCCAGCCGAAGATATGGGCGTCAAAGGAATTCGCACGGCCTTGAAGGTCGACTTTGATAAGCATGCTAGTGAGCAGGCTGGCTTGCACGTATGTTTAATCATATTTATTGTTTCTACGTGTGGCATACTGACCCGATCTATGATCTAGAACCGGTGGCACCCCGATGGTACGTCTAACAGAATCGCTCAGAATCCCCAAAAAGGCTGTAATGCCTACTGTCTGTAACAAAACTGACAGCATTAGTACCCGCCTACGGCAAGATCGCCAACAACGAAGTCGTCAAGATCGAATGTCTCGACTGGACCGGAGGCCAGATCAAGAACAACGACTCAGCCGACGACATCAAAAACGTCGACCTCACCCAAATCCACTACCTCTCCGGTCCATTCGACATCGAGACCGCCGAGCCAGGTGACGTCCTATTAGTAGAAATCCAGGACGTGCAGCCGTTCGAGGACCGGCCGTGGGGCTTCACGGGCATCTTCTCCCCGCAGAACGGGGGCGGCTTCTTGGATGAGCTCTATCCTGAACCGTAAGTTCGACCTCAGTGCACGTCTTTGATCTAATTCCAGCCTAACACCGTCATACACAGCGCTAAAGCCATCTGGGATTTTGAGGGCATCTTTTGCTCTTCCCGCCATATCCCTCATGTGCGCTTCGCCGGCCTCATCCACCCCGGTATCTTGGGCTGTGCTCCCTCCGCGGAGGTCCTCGCGGAATGGAACCGTCGCGAAGGCGAGCTGATCGCTACCAACACCACCAGCCGTGACGTTGCCAAACCCCCTGAGCCGCAGAACGTCCACGCCGGTTCCGCCGAGGAAGCTGTCAAGGCAAAGATCGGAAAGGAAGGCGCACGAACCATTCCCGTACGTACCAATACCATACCCTTTCAACCCCGACCCCATCCTCGATGCGATAAACCCCCCAAACTGACAAAATCAGGGCCGCCCCGAACACGGCGGCAACTGCGACATCAAGAACCTCTCCCGTGGCTCAAAAGTGTACCTCCCCGTGCACGTCCCCGGCGCCAAGTTCTCCGTCGGCGACCTGCACTTCTCGCAAGGCGACGGCGAGATCTCCTTCTGCGGCGCCATCGAAATGGCCGGCGTCATCACGCTCAAATTCACCGTCATCAAAGACGGCATGTCCAAACTGGCAATGAAGTCCCCGATATTCCACCCGGGCCCCGTCGAGCCGCAGTTCGGCCCCGGCCGCTACCTCACCTTCGAGGGCTTCTCCGTCGACGAGCACGGCAAGCAGCATTATCTCGATGCGACCGTCGCGTATCGCCAGACGTGTCTAAGGGTTATTGAGTACCTTCGTCGGTACGGGTATAGTGATTATCAGGTTTATTTGCTGCTGAGTAGTGCGCCTGTGCAGGGCCATATTGCGGGTTTGGTGGACATTCCGAATGCGTGTACCACGCTGGGGGTGCCGATGGATATTTTTGATTTTGATATTAGGCCCGAGGCGGAGGTTGTAAGGGGGGATATGGGGTCTTGTGCGTTTGCGGGGAAATAGCTCGGCTCCTGTTTTGTAGCTTGCCATGCGTGGTTGATGTTCAAGAATACTGTCCGGAGTTTCCTTCGTCTTCATTTCGTGACATCCTCTCCCAAAGCATAGCTTGTATAATGCCACAGCTGGCAGTTATCCACCGTAGTCTACTGTGTCTTCTTACTTCCTGTATAATCATCACTCTTCCCGACGGTTTTTCTCATACAATGATAGGGATCAATGACCCCGGAGAATGATTATAACCCATGTATATTTATGCTGGCCCCTTAACGGTCCCCGTTAGTGTGGATCTTTCATTTTTACTTCCGTATTATTAGACAACATTGCATTTCTTTTGCTTCTCGTTTTCTTCACGCGACTTCTCTCTTGACGATACTCCAGCGGCGGGGTCATCCTACCCGGCACAAAGTATAAGAAGATTAGTTGGAAAGAGACATGTATTGCGCCGAATTCCATGCTACAAAAGACGGGGCATACCCCGGGAAGGAGGTTTGCTTGCGGGGCAAATGCGGGGGATGTGACATTTGGCGGGGGAGGGGGGAAAAAGCGTTGCAAGAAATGATGCACAGTGGTGAGTATTTTCTGCTTATCTGATGCAAATGGGACGAAGAGTATAAAAACACTCATGAATCATGAATCATGGAGAGGGCGTGTCTCCCCCGCGAGAACTCCGAAGCAGTCTACGAGAAGAATTTCCGCGCCGTCGCCCGCTCCTTAGCCTCGCGGTTCTTGATCGCCTGCTTGACCCGGGCGACTTCGTTGGTGATGCCCGCGTCGCCAGGGGCCAGCTTGGATGCGGTCTCGAGATCCGAGAGCGCGGCATCCTCCTCCTTGAGACCGCCGGAGGCAACAGCGCGGCGGTACAGGGCCTTGGCACGGTCGGTATCCTTGGCCTTGGCGGCGTCGGCGACGTCGAGCGCGTAGGTCGCCCAGTTCTGGGCGTTCTTATACTGTGACAGCTTGTTCGCGAGCAGGGCCGAGTTGGAGTGCAAGGCAAAGCGCAGGGCCTTCAGCTGCGGTTCCAGGTCCTTGGGATCCTTCTCCTCGTCCGGCTCGGGGAACTCATTCATGTAGCGCAGAGCCTTCTGATACTTCTCGAGACCCAGGGCGAGGTTGCCGGACTTGAAGGCGGAGTTGCCGTAATTCTTGAGTTCGGATGCGATCTTGAAGCACACGGGAGCGCTCAGCTCCTCACCCTGGTGGTCATCGGGGAAGTCCTCGAACGGATCGCCAGTGGCATCAGGAACCTGCTTGTCGGCTTCGTCGTAGTCGGAGCCCGTGAGCTCGCCGCAGTCGACGATAGTCACGTCTTTGTTAGGCTTGTCGGCGTTGGTAGGCATGTTCTCGACCTTGCGAACCACGCTCTTTCCGTTGATCACTTCGCCGAACACGACGTGCTTGCCATCCAGATGAGGGGTGGGGACAGTGGTAATGAAGAACTGGCTACCGTTGGTGCCGGGGCCGGAGTTGGCCATGGAGAGGAGGAAGGGCCGGTCATGCTTCAGATCGAAGTTCTCGTCGGGGAACTTCTCGCCGTAAATCGATTCACCTCCGGTTCCGTTGAAGGCGGTAAAGTCACCACCCTGGATCATGAACTGCTTGATGACACGGTGGAAGATGGAGTCTGGTCAACGTGGTGGGGTTGTCAGTCCAGCACAGATTTTGCGGAGCGGGGAAAATTTAGCCGCAGGGATCCCCTACCTTTGAAGCTCAACGGCTTGCCCTGCTTCCCCACGCCCTTCTCTCCTGTACAGAGAGCGCGGAAATTCTCTGCAGTCTTAGGAACGACTAGAAAACGGTCAGGATATGCTCGGTAATATTCTGTCGGACACGTTCCCAGGGATCCATACCATCATTGAACTAGGTTGGCGGGGTAGTTAGCACGGAACTCATGCCTCACACAACAGGAACAGCTATAGTCGCACAGAACAGAAACAGGAAGGGAAGGAATAGAAGAGAGCCAAACAAGACCCACCACCGACTTACCAGTTCGATAGCAATGCGCCCAGTCTTCTGGTTGCCAATCTGAACGTCAAAGAAAACGCGAGGGCGGCCTGTTGTCTGGCGATCAGCAATGGATGATCAGAACAGCGGAACCCCACCGCGGAGACAAGGAGTCCTCAAAACATACGCTGCGACTCGGCCATGGTGAGTGGGAAGAGAAAAATAAGGTGTTAGATAGGGAGAAGTGCGATGGAAGAGTGCAGGACAACTCGAGGGGTTCGATGGGAGGAGGTGGAGCGGGGAAGAGAGGAAAAGAGGAGAGGTCGGAAGGGAAGCGGAGAGAAAGAGCTGAGGCTGCCTGGGTCTTCAGGAAGCTTCCATCACATCACGGGCCTCAGACGTTCTCTCCACACCCTGCTTTCAGCCACCACTCCCCCACAATCCAGTTCATGTCATCTCACCACGCTGTTGTCTACTTCACCCTGCAGGATCTCATCTACTTGATCGTGAATCCTGGCATTCATTTGCTTAATTGGTTCCGGCCAATTCCGTCTAACTACATCATGACCCCCATACCAACGCCAATGTACCGACAATGCAGATGATAGATTCTATGTACATGGAGAAAAGCAAACAGAGATATCTCTATACTTGGATCGCTGGGATGACGACACTCCCTCTCTTACTCGAGTAACGAAGCGGGGAGTTTGAACTCATAGCTTTTCTTATCGTCCTCGGTCGACTCCGCCGGGGTCTGCGACTCGCTCCCCTCGTTAGGCTTCTTCTTCTCCTTCTTCGGCAGTTGGGTATTAATCTCGATGGTGACCTAAGACGCGACGAGGCGAAAGGGAAAAACGTTAGCGTGGAACAAGCCTTGGAGAGAGCAGACGAGGAGAAACAAGTCTATACCGCTGCATCTGCACTGCGGTAATTTACACCCACCGGCCCGTCGTTCTTCAATTCGACATCCATCATTGCCTGGAAGACGCCATTTTTTACCCTTTCGGGCTTGTAGGCTGCGCACAGTCGTTGGAAGAAGTAGTCGTATAGTCGGCGCGCGGTCTCCACATCGGCAGCATCATGGAAGTCGGGCTTGCTGCCTTTTTTCAATTGGCCATAGAGTGTAAATTGCGACACTAGAGAGTGTGAGACCAGAAGGGATCTTGTGGCTAGCACGATGAGGGCATACCGCAGAGTATCTCCCCTTCGAGATCCTGGACATTCTTCTTCCACTAGTCACGAAATCAGATCCGTTAGGTTCCCGTCGCAATATTTGGGCGTTTGTCGGCCGTCACTCACCTGTCCGCCGCTACCTTCGTCTGGCCAGAGTCGGGCCTTCAGTATGCGGTTGATGAGCGAATCTGCGTCCTTTTCGGTATCCCCCTTGCCCACTCCCGCCAGTACCAAAATGCCTTTGCCTATTGAAGACACCAGTTTCTCATCGACGGTGACGGAGGCCGACTTGACTCGTTGGAGGACCGCTAGACTACTGTTTAGCAAGGACTAATCGAGTCGTTGGGGTCATCGTAGCGCACCCTTCATATTGCGGGGTATGGTTCGGGAAGAGGGCGGAACTGGTATAGGTTATAGGACGGATAACAAGGGATTGAGATGGGAACCCAAGTCGTATCGCCAGCCTGATAGTATTGGAGAGCTGTTTTGAAAGCCAGGTGATGTTTAGCAACTCTAATAGAGCAGTATACTGCAAACGGAGTTATACACATACCGGTCGGTGTTTGGAACGGATAGCTGTCATGCACATACCACCATCCCAGGTACAATTTGGATCCAAAAGTTATGCACAGATCAGCAGTGAAGATTTCTCTACAGCTATCACGGTAACAAAAAATAAACAGAGTGATCAATTAACTGGGCGATATCCACTGTCGAAGTCTAGCATCCGCATAACACGGGTTGAACTATGCAAACATGTGCTCGTCGGAGGCACGATAATCCGAAGGCGGTGGCAGAACGCACCGACACAGCATAAGATCCCCTCTAAACCGGTTCTGTTTAGTTTCCTTCCGTTCCATCTCTTATGCATCTTCCTTGCCGCGTGAAACCAGCGGAACAGATTATCTAAGAAAACTATCCATCCATCCGCATATCTCTCGATCAGTCAGCCTGGTCTTGGCAGCCTCCCGAAGCAGCAGCTGTTCTTGGGATAGCATCAGGAGATTCTACTCCAGATTGCTAGACAAACCTCGTGGAATTCCGCCCTCGCGACGCGCTCGACATCTGAAGAAGTTGCTGGGAAATCCTGTGTTTCTTCTCCGCCGCACTCCCTCTCGACTGTCCCCCCACAATCCCTCCCCAGATTCCATTTGAGATTTCATCACACGTCCCCTCTCCGCCCGGCCTGCTGCCGCCATGACGTCCCGCAAGACGCAGCAGGAGATCGACAAGACCTTCAAAAAGGTCGCGGAAGGCATCCAGACCTTTGAAGGCATTTATGAAAAGATCCGATCCGCCAACAACCCCACGCAACGAGATAAATTGGAAGAGAACCTGAAGCGGGAGATCAAGAAGCTCCAGCGGTACCGGGATCAGATCAAATCATGGGCGTCTGGCAATGAGGTCAAAGACAAGGCTCCGCTGCTGGAGCAGCGCCGTGCTATTGAAACTGTAAGCTGACCATGTCATATGTCCAGTGTGGGGTGCGACAGCTAACCAACGAGGGTGAAATAGTGCATGGAGCAGTTCAAAGCCGTGGAGAAGGAGATGAAAACCAAAGCATACTCCAAAGAAGGTCTGTCGGCAGCATCGAGACTAGATCCCAAGGAAAAAGAGAAGGTGGAGGCAAGCGACTTTCTGTCAGGTATGGTCGACGAACTGCAGCAGAAGATCGAAGCTATGGAGGCAGAGGAGGAAACGCTCCACGCGCAGATGAAAAAGAGCAAGAAAGACACCAACAAGGCCAATCGACTGGCGGACATTCAGCGGGTCACGGAACGGCACAAATGGCACGTCGGCCGATTGGAACTGCTCAACCGGTCGCTACAGAACGGGAATATCGAGACGCATCAGGTGCATGAGCTCAAGGAGAGCATCAAATACTACGTGGAAGATGGCCACAACATCGACTTTTCTGGGGAAGACGAGACCCTGTATGATGATCTGAATCTGGATGGGGATGCTGAGATTCAGTTTGGCATGACCGGCGACAATGACAAGGTGTCGTCGCAGGACGCCCAGTCACTGCAGGACGACGAAACACCAGAGCTTGCACCCAAGCCCAAATCTAGCAAGAGTGAGCCTGCAGCTCCGCGCAGACCGTCCGCTCAGATGAAGTCCCCGCTCCCTGTGCTTGCTACCTTGCACCCATCCACCTCGACCAACGCAACCTCCGGCATGAAGCCCGCACCCCCGCCTACCCGTCTGCCTGGCGAAACGCTCAAATACGCATCTGCTGCGGCCGCTGCTGCTGCCAGTGACAAGAACGGCGTTGGCATCGCTCCGCTTCCCCCTCCGCCCGGTGCCAGCCCTGCGTTCCCGCCGGCCGTCCCCGTCTCCAAGGCCTCATCCACCGCGTCCCCCAGCGTCGCGTCCGTCCAACCCGTATCCAAACCTACGTCGACCGCGGCGGCCGCCATGGAAGAATCCGGTGGCCGCTCCAAAACCCCCGCCCTCAGCCCGCACGTCGCTGCCGCGAGTGCCTCAAACACGGTACCCCCCACCCCCGCGATGGACAAAGCGACCGCCGCGTCCGCGGGGTCCCAGGGGCCGGAGACCGTGGACGGAGAGGAGGAACCCAGCGAATCGATTTACCATCTGCCTCCCGGACTCCAGGATCTCATCCAGTCGTTTGAAGTGACCAAGGCACGAGCCAATCAGTCGGGCAATCACCAGTCGCCGTCGACGCAGCGCCTGCTGAACGCCTCACTGGCTTCGTGCCCCGAGCCCGTGGATGCCGAGAAGCCGCGTCACTACAAGCCTCAGAACCCGTACAATACACCGGCCTATTATCCCCAGGAGCCGCTGGCCATCTTTGACGATCCTCGCCTGTACGAGACGGGGCGGATCGACACGGACACCCTCTTCTATCTGTTTTACTACCGACAGGGGACGTATCAGCAGTACCTGGCGGCCAAGGCACTCAAGAACCAGAGCTGGCGTTTCCACAAGCAGTACCAGACGTGGTTCCAGCGACACGAGGAGCCCAAGACGATCACCGAGGAGTTTGAGCAGGGCACGTATCGATTCTTCGATTACGAGAGTACCTGGTACGTTTCTTATCTTATTATTATCTTTTCCCTTTTCCCTTTTCTCTTCCCTTTCCTTATTTTTATTTTTATTTTTTTTTCTTTTCTTTTCTTTTATCATACATGTTTATTTGCTAACCGCATCCCGCGTACAGGATGAACCGCAGAAAGGCGGATTTCAAGTTTGTCTACAAATATCTGGAGGACGAATTATAATCGCCCATCCATCCATCGGGTTCAGATAAGGTGGTTGCGATCCCGTTGTCCGGGCCGGGTGAGACGACTGGAAGCTTTTTGACCGGCGCATCATGCAGGAGCCCAGCTTGGGTTGCATTCTTCCTTTATCACTTCTTCCCCCCTTTTTCTTTCCCTTTCCTCATTTGTTGTCGTCTTTTTCTTCTCCCCGACCGGATAGGAGTCTAACCCTTTATGTTTTTTCATTGTCGTCTCCCCCTTTATTTTCTATTTTTCTTTTTTATTTCTTTTCTCGTTGATCGGTTCAGGAACGAGTCAATGACTGGGACAGGGATAGGGGAGTTATTGCGCGATTCAACTTAGTACAATTGCACTCACGGGGGAGATTGACAGTTGATGTTCTCGCTGTTCAATAGGTGATCAAATGATCCTTCATAGGCCTTGAGGAAAGGGAAATCTTCCGACCACCGATTTTCGCTCAGATCCGGTAGTAATTGAAGCGTAAAAGTACATATCCAACGAAGCCTGGAGGAATCCCTTAATCGAAATGATCCATACCATAAAAGAATACATAATAAAAACACACAGTAACCACGTAGATCAATCAATAAAGAATGAATCAATCAATAAAGAATGAATAAGTAAAATAGAATCAATAATATCCAACCCGAACCAAGACACCACCAGTCAATCAATGAGAAATGAAACAAAATACATGCAGAGAGAACATGAAGACAGAGACCCACAGACCAATCAGCACTGCCATAATCACGATGATCCTCCTCCTACCTTCCACCTTAGTGGTCGTGAATGATGATGGCTGAGGAGTCTGGATTGACCACCCCCAAATCCAACGATGTTGGGGGCGATATCAGGCCACTTGCAGTACTAGATAGGGGCCAAAGCATCCACCGGAAAGGCAGACATCAAGTCACCGGAGGGGGCGGGAGGATCAAACAAAATGATCATCCAAACGAAGAGGCCAATTTTGTCGAAATTGGCAATGAAGGTGGAGGCAGAAATGCCGCATTGTCCGATATCATCCAGGCTCGTCTACGTGAGAGTAGGAGTGTGTACGTATGTAGGTAGTATGATAAGGGCGCTACAGTATCGAAGGAGCGTAAAATTACCAGATCGGGGTGAGGCAGACCGCCAAGCAGGTCACTAATACCGTCCCTGACCGTAATTTACCCTCTGATCATTTCCTCTCTCTACTTCTCCTCCTCATGCAGGTGTCTCTCTCTATCCGTATACTCATCCACCAACAGGTACTCTCCTCGCAGGCCGGACTCTGTCAGACTGATGATAGCTCCAATCAGTGTCTGGGGATTGACCTTTTGATCTCCACTAAAACCTTCCAGAATTTCTATCAGGTACACGATGCCTGCGATAGTGTGCCCAACTCCTATCCATCCACCAACCATACTTCTTTCCCCAGCACGCATTACCTGTTCGCCTCACTGGAATCATGGATAGCTTCTCGGCTTTCCCCTTTCGCCGTAATCAGAAGAGGCGGGGGAGAGATAAAACTCCAAGTTACAAGACTAAAAGATGGAAGGATCGATGAGGGATTTTTACCTCTGGGTCCGCAGTCTGCCTGACAACTCGAGTCGGCACTCAATCATGTTCCCAACTGCGACAATATTGTCGAGACTAAGAGGGAGGCTGTGCTTTGTTTCATTTCCTCATCGGTCCTCACCCTCCATTTCCCCAGTCATCCCATTCTTGGCACCGCTGCCGACTAGACCTGCGAACTAGACTCAATCCAGTCAAGCCTCGAGCCGAGTTCGGGCGGCAGGGTTGACCACAAGGCTAGGGGAGAGAATCACGGTTGCGGATCATCCACATCCTCACCGGGAGAACGTGCCCTTCGAGGATGACTTCCCCGCAAGACGAAAGTGCGCGGGTCTATTGTAACTTCCGTGCATCAATCTTTCCTCCTTCCAGACAGACCGAGTCAATCTGGCGAGGAGGATTTCTCCCCTTTCGATCCCTCGATCAATTAGATCCTTCAGTCTACGGACCGCGTATCCTGTATTCTGTATTTTCCTTCAGTCGGAAACGGGATGCCCCCCCAAAGATGCGGTCGCACAATGCATGACTGACTCCGCCGGCTTCTACTCCAACTTGCGGTACCTTTGTTGTTGTCCCACCGGCTGACATTCCCGGCCCCTTCTCTCCCTCTTTCTTTGATCTGATCCCCCGATTCCTTTTGATCATGTATTGCAATGTGGACCGGGCGGATTGGGGGGATGGCTTCCGGCGGGTCTATGATGCACGGAAGGCGCACAGCGTCATAGGGCCGACACAAAAAACAATACGATCCGTCCAACTTGTAAACAGCTAACAGTGGAGGGACGAAATGGAGACCGACCCCCCCTTGGCCCCCCAGAGGGGTGGGGCAAGCTGCAAGCCTCAGCCAAGGAAGAAAAGGAAGAAGAGAAAAAGAAAAAGAGCAAAAAATACGAAATGGAACATGGAAAATGGAAAACCAATAATAAAATAATCAAAAAAAAAAAAAGAAAGAGAAGATCACCCCAGGCTGCGCTACTAATACTGACTCGTTCAAACAGCTGATTTATTCACACCCTTGACCAGAATGACGACAGGTCTCTTGCTGGAGCCGCCGTTCTTTCCGCTGCGGTGATAATCAGTCGTGCCGCATCATCGCTGGCTCTCCACCATCCAATCACCATGGACATGGCTGACTTAGGGCGCCACTAGAAGATCTAGAAAACGCTAAGAACCTTTTAAAAAGTTTCTAGCGTCAGCAAGACCGGGATCCCGCTTCACAGAGCGCAGGGGCTACAATTCAGCCAATGGTTAGGCCCCGCTACTGGGGCGGTGCGATCACTGAAGCTGCATACCAGTCCCTCGTCCACGAATAACACGACATGGGGATTTCCCCAGGCGGATCCTTAGTCGCAAATTGTAGGATTCCCTGCTCAGGTGATGGAGACCCATCATGCAGCGTTCGTGTTTCCCTCTGCTCCTAGCCTGCTCGTTCCTTGACGCGGGTGGAGATGGATCCTGCCCTAATGCATGTGCAACGTCAAAGACCTCCAAAAGTCGCTCGCTCTGCGAGTAGGTTCCGGTTTCTTATAATCCCCCGACCTCCCCCCAGGTGACATGTCCTGATCTTGCAACCTGGACTCGGTCTTCCAATAAATAGATCATCAATCGCAACTTCTTCTCTCCCCCATATCTTCTCTAGTTTTATGTAGCACACCATGTTTTCCGTTATGGTAATTATTAGCTGACCCTACCCATACCGTTCTTACCTACTAACCCTCACTGTCCAGAGTCCCAATGTCCATATGTGTCCACCCATGGACAAGTCATACTCCGCCCATTCCTCGTACTCGTCCTCCAGCGAAGACTCGATTCCGTCAATGGGCCCTTACGACATGTACGGCCTGATGGGCAGCAGCCTGCAGATGGGGATGCAACAGTCCTCCCCAGTGTACTCTTCCTCAATCGAGTCCTCGTACTTCGGCTCGCCGGCAACACCAGAGCCGTACCACGACTATGCCCCTTCAATGTCATACTCGCCAGGCATGTACGCCGCCGTGAACATGTACCAGAACTTCTCATCGGCTCCGAGCCACCCGTGGGCCCCCATGCAAGAACCTTGCTACGGTGAAACCATGACACCCGAGCCGTGCGACATGGAGATGTACGGCGCGGGGTCGGATGTTTACGAGGCTCCTTTGGAAGTCACCAAGTATGTACCTTGATTTATAAACCTCCTATTTGGGCTCGGCTCTAATGACTCTGAAATAGGCCTATTAAACCCTTCGGCTGCGAAGACTGTGGCAGAGCATTTACTCGCCCTGCGGACTTGCGACGCCACCAGACTAGCGTCCACAACCCCGTGCCCGAGGACTGTCCCGTGGAGGGATGTCCGCGCAAGGCTGGCAATGGCTTTCCCCGGCGGGATCACCTCAAGGAACATCTGCGGTCTTACCACCATATTGATGTGCCTAAGCGGTCTAGGAGGGTGACGAAGACTGTTTGATGTTTTTTTTTTTCTTCTTTTCTTCTCTTCGCTTCTTTCTTCACTTCTTCCTCCCTTTCTCTTCCCTTCTTCCTCCCTTTCTCTTCACTTCTTCTATTCCTCTTCTATTCTTCCCCTCCTCTTCTCTTCTTCTCTAAACCCCTTTTATGTGTGGATTTCACGCGTAATGATCCCATGTTTATGTTCTACGTCGATGCTGTATGGATAGATATGCGGATGAATTTGTGGGCGGCGTTAGCTGGTTATACCGTGGGTCTACAAAGTTGTCTTTAATTTTTTTTATTTTCTTTTTCAATCTTATCCCCATTCTCATATTTTTTTATTGGTTATTCTCTTTCATATTTTTTTTCTTTGCCTTGATTTTCTTTGTCATTCCCATTTATTGGCTTATGATAGACGACCGGCGTTTCGCATTAGAGGTGCCTTTCTTGCTTGCATTTTGCATGTTCGCTTGCATTTCTAACTTACTCTACATTGATAATGTATCCTAGTATAAGGGTGCGATATATTATCATCACTATTCAGTATACAGTATACGTATCGTTAATAGGACAGTCGTAGGAGTCAACCAGGTCCGAGCAAATTCGAGCCCACATAACCAAAATACCAATAGAAAGAAGAACAACAAAAGAATCTAGAAGCTAGGTAAACCCCCCAAAGCACACCCCCTTCGCCCTAACCCTCCCCGCAGAATCCACCCCGAACTCAACCCCCTCCGCCTCTAACAACCTCCTCTTCCACTCCAACTTGTGCTCTCCTCCTCCATTTCCCTTTTCTACTCCCGCTCCACTCGTCCCCTTCCCCTTCCCCTTCCCATCCCCCTCCTTATCCCCCTCCTTCCCCACCCCCTCCCTCTTCCTCTTCAAGGAGGCAACAGAAGAAGAAGGAGGACGCGACCCCATATACCCCCCCAAATACCCCCCCGCAGCAAGAACGCGATGACACGGCACATCGGGCGCAAAAGGGTTTGTGCGCATGGCGGTGCCGACTGCGCGCGGCGAGGACGTGCCCAGGTGTGTCGCGAGCGCGGTGTAGGTTGTCCAGTGGCCTCGCGGGACGGTTAGGAGGGCGAGGTAGGTGCGGCGGCGGAGGGGGGTGAGGGTGGGGTGAGATTTGATGCGGTGGAGGAGTTTGGGGGGGATGATATTGGTGTTTTGGGTGGTGGTGGTGGTGTTGCTTTGGGGGTGATGGGGTTGGAGGAGGTATTTGGTTAGGGTTGGGGGGAGGGGGTTGGAGTCTTCTTGTTCTTTTTCTTGTTCTTGGTTTGGGTTTGGGTTTTGATTTTGGTCTTGTTGTTCTGGTTGTTCTGGTTGTTCTTGTTTGAAATAGTTGGATATAGAGGTAGACATTTTCTGGGTAATCTCCTTTGCTTTCGTTATATGGTTATTAGGTCGTGTTCGGATAGTCGCGTTAAGGTCCAGGCTAGGTATAATAGCTGTAGGTACCCGTCTTCAGGTGTCGTTGCCAATACCAATTGTTACTGATGGTGGAGTATTGGTCAGACTGGATTTGTTAGCTTATCGTGTTATATATTTTAATAAACCTGGTATATACTTACTGATATCAGTGTAGGTGATAGAGAGATGGAAATGTAAAGATGGAGAGGTGGAAATGGTGAATGATGCATGTTTTTAATATGTTGGAGAGCCGTTGCTGTCGATGTGGCCAATCACATTGAAGTTCGCATTCCCCATACCATGGAACCTGTCGCTATAAAGAATGACCACACTATGCTAAATCATATACTCACGAAGAATGGATGTAGAAGATAAATTGGTATAAAACTATAATAACTCGCAATCAGTTCATTATCCACCAGGCACTAGATATGTACCCCTATCCCCGTCTATCCTCGTCCTCATTCAATATATATCCGCATAACTCCCTCCTATCCGCCAACTACGCAACCTCCAAATTAATCACCCCCTTCTCCCCATCTAAAACACTATTATTCCGACTCACAGCCTCCACATGGCCCGGATTCTCCGCCTTCAACCGCGCAAACGTTTTTTCCGCATCCCACACCCACGGCGTATCCGCCGCGAACAGCAGATCCATGTCTTCCAGCGTGCGCTGGTTGCTCTCCGGGTAGAACGCCCACACCATCGGGATGGCAATCACGTTGCTGGCGGCGAAGACATAGAGGGTTTTTTCGCCTATTGAGCTGAACATTACGGGGCAGAGGAGGGTCTATCTTGTATCAGTATCTTTATTGATTTTGGAGGGAGGCGATGGGACACCTACCAGCCAGCCGTTTCCGATGCTCCATCCGACGACGCCCCAGGCGTTGCCGCGGGCTCGTACTGCCAGGGGATAGATCTCGGCGGGATAGATCCATGGCACTAGATGGACAGTTAGTTTTTGACACAGTCGAGGGGGTTAAAGAGGGTAAAGAGGCGGAAAACATACCCGTCAACCACGTAGCTCCAAAAACGGACGTAAAGAGAAACACCATCGCCGCAGCGGCCGCACCAAATGAATATGCTCGGCCTTCGTCACCTGCTGCCCGCGCATCAATGGCTAGTCGTGAGAAACCCCCGGCGAGGAACATGGCGATTCCTTGCACGGCTGCTCCCCACCACAGTGTTACGCGACGGCCGAGACGGTCGAGGGTGAAGACACAGATTAAGGTTGCGAACTATCTTGTTAGTTTGGTAGTTTTTCTGGGTCGGGATAGGAAACGAACCATGTAAAAGATATTGTTCAGACCGCTAACCCATTGGCTCTTCATCGAGTCGAATCCGGCAATGCTGAAGATTGTCGGCGCGTCTAGTTCGTTAGTCACGTATCACACAGTTTAAAGAAGGAATGAAAAAGAAGAAAAAAGAAACATACAAACTGTGACCCCCGCAATGCCAACCCACTCCTGCATAATCTGCAACCACACCACGAGCTGCACACGCCGCCCCAGATGCAGCTTGCCCGTCTTGTACCCGAACAGCATAGACAGATACGATGTGCTGTATTGCATAGACTTTTCCAACTCCGCCACGGCCTGGATATCTCGGAACTCCGCCTCCGCACGGATGGCATCGTCGCCTGTGCTCCCGCGGAGCCGTTTGAGGATATACCGGCCCTCCTCCTCGCGGCCCACTTTGACGAGCCAGCGCGGGGACTCGGGAAAGAACCAGACGACGGCGAACAATACGAGGAGGAAAATAATCTGGAAAGCGATCGGGAAGCGCCAGCGGAAGGCAGATTCGCCGCCGTCGATGAAGGACAGGCCGCTGGACTTTGTTAGATACTTTTCTCGATCCCAAGGGAGGAGATACGTACAACTCGAGCCAGTAGGCCAGAACGACACCGAAAATGTTCAGGGTAAATTCAATCGCGATAAATTGTCCGCGGGACGTGTGTTCGGCGGTCTCGGTGGCCCAGACGGGCACAATCGCATTCAGGATCCCCGTTCCGATTCCGTTGATGAAACGGGCTGAACAGTCAGTCACACAGTGATCTAGCTTTCCTTCGGGGCACACTTACAGCAAATCATCCAGTCATGATTCTGTGCCGAACACTGCAGGGCCGCACCCAGGATAGCCCAGGCCGCACCGATGGCAATGGTCTTGATTCGTCCGATCCAGTCTCCGGTCCAGCCTCCTAAAAGGGCACCGCACAGCGTCCCTAGATAGTAGACCGACACGATGCCGCCCTGCAACAGACTGTCTGTCACCACCGGTGTGGGCAAGCCGTCTTTCATCTCGGTGTAGCCAAAGCCCATCAGGTCGATGTAGTCCTTGGAATTGTTGACACCGGCCATCATGCCCTGGTCATAACCGAAGAACAGGATGGACAAGGCAGCGACGGAGTTGATGGCGATGAGAAGACCGCGTTTCTCCAGCTTGTGGACGACATTCCACGAAGGGATTGAGTCGCACATGGTGCGAGTATTCTCAACAAACGCAGTGCCAAGTAATCGTAGTAGTTATAGCGCCTTTCAAATGGGTGTGCGCCTTCTTATATGCCGACCGGCCGCTGCTCTACGCAGATCTAAACGAAATACTACATAAAAAGGTGGAGACATTGCGGGGGACCAGGCCATGTATATACCGCGCAAAAAGTTGGCAGTCAGTCGGAGACTCGACCTGGTGATAGACGACCGCCCAATAAGGGCAACCCGCATGAGCCAGGAGTTAGGTCGAATTTGGTTACAAGCCGGTGGGAGAGGAAGCAAAACCCGAATCGAAGACCATAACCCCACCAAGCCAGGCCTTCTGACTCGTTGACATGGGCCCACTTCCCAAACCTGGAGCCCCAGACTGGGGAAACGGGAAACCGAGACGGGTAGCAAATTGGGGATAGAATTGGAGAGAGGCACTACTAGTGGATGGTCGATCTTTATTGAATTCGACCATCTTCAATCGCCCGATATCAAGTCACTTCACGTCCCTGACGAGTTCCGTGGCGCGAGTGTGATGACTTAATTTTATCTTGTCGGGGTACATTCGTTGTCCGTGATGCCGTCGGGGTATTCGAAGGAGATGCATCCATGTCCCAGAGCGAAGAATCGATTTGTAGATTGGTAGACGTGCATGATTGACACGGCTTGACTTCGTTGCGGGACTTTTGGACGGTTAATGTGGTCAACATTTCACGATCCTAGAGGGAGACAGGCAGTGCATCGAGAAGTCGACGCGAACTGCACGTGTTCCATATCACATGATTTGATGGTTTCTCTCTTTAGTACCATGGAAAGAGAACCAAACCAGAGAATATGAGTCGCATTGAATGGCTCGAAATCCGACGATACCCCTCATGTCCCGGACCTTTGTGCAACGCCCTCAACAAACACCTCACTGGCCATATAACAGGGTGATTGGCCAGACATGCCGCAGCCTCAGGCTCCACCCGCGTCATTGGGCGTGCACGTGGCAGCACGTGAGCAGCACCTGCCTGAGGCAGTCACGGGTTGTCCGTTGTGTGGAGAGACTGTGGGGTAAATCCATCGCCAATTCCAGTGCCAATTGTCTTCGGGGAGGAGATTTTATGCCATGATGAGTGCATTCGTCGGCCGATATCGATTTCACGTCCTGGGACACACCCCAAGCGCGATGATCTAATAGGGGTCCGTCACATTCGGACCAGATACTTAGTGCCGTCTCCTCTGTACCTCGGATGAAAAAAGTGGACAGAGGCTACGGGGGAGTGCCGGAGTAGTGTGGACATTCCCTATTAATATGACTATTTAATCAGTTGGCTCCCTGAAGTTCCACGGTCTGGTCGATTGCTGTCTCTGGTGTTGTGGTTGACTACTCTGTACACCGGCACTAATATCAGGGACATCCTGTTTCTGCAGTATTCTGGGTCTGGTATATACTCCAGTCACAATGACGACTATTGAAGTTCTCAACCTTGGCCCAGACGCCTGTGCAAGCACCTCCCTCCATCGATCTCAAAAAAATGACCACAGCAATCGATCGGGCTCCGCATAGAAGCGGTCGCTAAAAGCTAACCGGCCCGAAAGCCCACTGCGGTATTATAGCTACTCAACGTTACCCGCGGATACCATCTCCACCCATTTGAGAACCAATTGCCCGGTGCCTGGCCCTTTGGAAATCAAGAAAAGAGGTGTAGATTCCGGTCGATAAAATTGAGTTATCTCGATGGGGTACATCGGATGAAGAACCTGAGGATCCGTGAGATCCGTGAGGCCTGACAGCCTGAGGTGGGCTTCCCACCTCAGGCTGACAAAGGGCCTCGAAATGTCTTTTCCGTACACGTTCCGGGCCGTCGTGGCGGTTACGCTTCTCTCTCCCGGTCCGCCGATGTTGACTTTGGTCTTTGACTGGATCTTCTGTCTGTCAATTCACGAAGTGATGAATTCCAATTCCTCTAGACCAGTCCTCGACTTCCAGTGTACTCTGAGACCATGTATGGTTGTTAAATGTTAACCGAGTGAAGCCGGGTGAAAGTTACAATACATGACGGAATTACCCCGTCTCTACCGCTCCCAACCAGACCGCCCGAACTAAACCCGATTGAGATTCTCTCTGTCATCCATCCATCATTCATGGATCCTTTTTTCCCTCATTCCTCCTTGTCTCATATCACTTCAATCTTCTTGCTCAATTGCTGCCCCTCTTCCCTCCCTCCCTTCCACCCTTGGTTTCCGTTGGAGGCCTCTCTACTCTGTCATTTACTCTCGCTCTCTTTTTCTTTCGGTCGCCTCTTTCACTATGTTTCGGAGTCTCTTGCCGCGGACGTCGCCGCGGACTACTCTCCGCCGGGCCGTCCCCAAGGCTGTTCCCTCCAACCTCGTCGTTACTCCCTCGCTGGCCTCTTTCGGCCTCTCAAAACGTGGCTTTGCCTCGGAAGCAAGTACGTCATATCTCGAATTCTGACAAGGGAAGCCCCAGGCCCGATGCCTGAGCTTCCGGATTTCACTGTCCCCGGCGGGCTAACGCGGTTTCTTTCGGGTATCTAGGTGAGCACGATGTCGTGATCATCGGTGGTGGTGTCGCTGGATACGTTGCTGCTATCAAGGCTGGTCAGGAAGGTCTCAAGGTGAGCTAATCTTTGACTCCTTCAACGCGGTGAATGCGATGGTCGGTCGCCGTCCGCCCGGATCTGTCGCTAATGACGATTTCTCTCCATAGGCCGTCTGTATCGAGAAGCGTGGTCGTCTCGGAGGTACCTGCCTCAACGTCGGCTGTATCCCGTCCAAATCGCTCCTGAACAACTCCCATCTGTACCACCAGGTCCTCCATGACACGAAAAAGCGCGGTATCGAGGTTGGCGACGTCAAGCTCAACCTTGAGCAGATGATGAAGGCCAAGGACACTTCCGTCGATGGTCTCACCAAGGGCGTTGAGTTCTTGTTAAAAAAGAACGGTGTGGACTACGTCAAGGGTACCGGTGCCCTGGTCGACCCCAACACCGTCAAGGTCAACCTGCTCGACGGCGGCGAGCAGACCCTCCGCGGCAAGAACATCTTCATTGCCACCGGCTCTGAGTCGACCCCGTTCCCCGGCCTGACCATCGACGAGAAGCGCATCATCACGAGCACTGGCGCTCTGGAGTTGAAGGAGGTCCCTAAGAAGATGGTTGTCATTGGTGGTGGCATCATCGGTCTGGAGATGGTATGTCTGAATTTTTTCCCCTGTTCAATTTCTTTTCTTTCTAGCCCCCCCCCCGTGTTTCTGGTGATTGATTGACTAACCGTTTGTTTCAAGGCCTCCGTCTGGTCGCGTCTCGGCGCTGAGGTCACCGTCGTCGAATTCCTGGGCCAGATCGGCGGCCCCGGTATGGATGCGGAGATCGCCAAGCAGACCCAGAAGATCCTCGGAAAGCAGGGCATCAAGTTCAAGACCAACACCAAGGTCACCAAGGGTGACGACAGCGGTGCTACCGTCTCCCTCACCGTTGAGGCCGCCAAGGGTGGCAAGGAGGATACCCTGGACGCCGATGTCGTCCTGGTGGCGATCGGCCGCCGCCCCTACACCGAGGGCCTGGGCCTTGAGAACGTTGGCATCGAGAAGGACGACAAGGGCCGTCTGGTCATCGACCAGGAGTACCGCACCAAGCTCCCCCACATCCGTGTCATCGGTGACTGCACCTTCGGTCCCATGCTGGCCCACAAGGCCGAGGAGGAGGCCGTCGCCGCCGTCGAGTACATCACCAAGGGCCACGGCCACGTCAACTACGCCGCCATCCCCAGCGTCATGTACACGCACCCCGAGGTCTCCTGGGTGGGCCAGAACGAGGCCGAGGTCAAGGCCGCCGGCATCAAGTACCGCGTCGGCAACTTCCCCTTCGCCGCCAACTCGCGCGCCAAGACCAACCTCGACACCGAGGGTCAGGTCAAGTTCATCGCCGACGCCGAGACCGACCGCATCCTGGGTGTGCACATCATCGGCCCCAACGCCGGTGAGATGATCGCTGAGGCCACCCTGGCCGTCGAGTACGGTGCCTCGTGCGAGGACATCGCCCGCACGTGCCACGCCCACCCGACCCTCGCCGAAGCCTTCAAGGAGGCCGCCATGGCCACCTACTCCAAGGCCATCCACTTCTAGATGAAAACGTCCTCTACCATCTTCCCTTACATTTCCGCCATGACCCCCTTTTGTTGACTACCACCACCCTGTATCTTCCTTGAGTCTAGCTCCGCTAGCACCTGTAGCATGTGACCGATTATATCTTCCTAACTGTTGTTGGTTGTATTGAGAATTATGATAAACAATTTATCACTATTATCCTAACATAGTAAATGATCGTCATAGTCGTTTGTGCGTAAAGAATGATTGCTATCTATTCATCTATCATCTCTGTATTCACCAGAAATTCCACCTCTATCCAACGCCCCTCCAAACGGCACCCCTACACCCATCTCCCGTCACCATGGCCAAGGACACGACCATGCTCATAATAATGATGATCATGATGCTGTAGATTTCTGTGTTGGTGTTGGTGTTGATGCTGATGCTGATGAAGATGCAACGGATGATGTCCATGCCGATGTCCACCAAAACCAACCCGACAGCGCCTCCCTAATCCCCCAGCTTCTTCATCCCAGTGTTGAGCGTGAGCGTGAGCATGAGCATGGGCGTGACTCCGAGAATGGGCGTGGACACGGGCATAGCCATGACCATGACCATGAACCAACGCATGCGATCGAGCGTGTGAATGCGAATGAGAGCGAGAACCAGCCGTAGCAGCGGCAGAACTATTCCAATGGTCTCCATGCATAGTTGGGGAGTAGGGGCTTTGCTGTCTCAGGTGATTGTCACTGTGCGCGTTGTTGTGGACACCGGCGTGGGCGTAGTTGCGAGAATGGTTATGGCCATGGCCATGGTTGTGGCTATGATAATGCTGGTGAACGTGATTCCGCTGCCGAAGCTGCGTGTGAAAAGGTTGTGATGCCGCAGAGCGAGCACAGGGGTGGAAATGTTGGGTATTATTTGATGCGTCCCTTTCCCTTGTGGGATTGGGGCTGCATCGGCAGTAGTAGTTGTTGTTATTGTTGGTGGTGTGATTGTATGAAGTGGGTGATGGCTCTCCGACGCGGATGTGGACTTCAACCCTGCTACTATTGATTCTTAGAGTGGCTGCTGTGATTGTTTTTGTGTGAAAGATTTTGGAAAAATTGACCAATGATCAGGTCTTGGGCTGCAGAGAGATACGTTCTCCTGGCACCTTAGAGATGCAGGAAAATATAGAAAGATGTACGTACTCGGACTTAGACCTAGACGGGAAAGGCATGATTCCCCCGCAGGCTCGGCATGTGGCGGCCTTTTCTGGCCTCATGTTTGCAGATGAGGCTCGTTGTTTGTGCAGTGGAGATGTTTTGGCTCTGGGTTTCTGTGGGATGGAGCTGGAGCTGGAGCTGTCGATAGAGTCGTATTCGGATTCGGATTCGGATTCGTCGTCTTCTTATCCTTCTGATACTTCGTCTGACTTGGTTGTAGAAAAATAATCAGAGTCAGAAGATTCGGAAGAGTTGGGTTCAGTGTTGAAGAGAGTGACGCTGTCCCTGGACCTGGATCTGGATCCGTGAGGTTTCTTGCGGGGGACGATACTGTGGGAGTAGGGGAAGCTGTGGTATCTTGTCATTGTAATTGCTTTTAATTAAGCATCCCTATCTTCGCTCTCTTAAACGTGTCCATCGTTTTGGGAGGTGCATGTTTGGAGAGATGATGGTAATGGGTAATGCTGGGCGACCTTATATACCTAGGTACCCACCTACCTGCTGCAGACCTCCGGTATAGATATAAACTAGTACTACACCAACTAATCCATGTCCAGAACGCAAGTTACACTACTAGGTAGAGACATCGCCATGCAAGTAATACAACGAATAGAATCAAATTCCTGTCCCTGATCCTGGCTCCGAGTTGCATGCGGTGCGACGTCGGACAGTGTAATCCATCCATCATGAGAAGTAGTTTGCTAGGCTCACGAACCAATCTCGTGAATGGAGTCTATTTGTTTACTGTTGTAGTGTCGAACTTTCAACGGTATGGATCCACGTAGAATCTGGCCTTTATCTATATCACTCCTGCTGTGTTCCATCGAGGGAGTATTGGCGAATGGGCTATAAGATGTGGGCTGACCGTTATTCTATACTTGGCCAGGGCATGCATGTGTCTTGAACACAAACTTGCTGTTGATGGCTTGACCATGATATGCTGGTTTCCTCACCGACCAGACCTTGGGGATACGTTGTACCCCCAGTAGTCCAGACTCCTGTTATCTAGCAGAAGAAAGCTGTAATCTGATATGGTAGTCATTCATAAAGCAAAGCAGGTGGCAGTTCTTTAAGCTAGTGAATTCCTCACCACAGACATATGTTGAAATCTGTTAGTATGACTGTCACCGAGGTATGGTCTAGTTCCGGTAGCTGAGTGATAGTCGTTCTTCGTTCATTAGGGTTATATTTGTATCCGAGGCTACGGCCTTCACAATAACTTTGGTTTCGTGTCAGAATAACTAGTTGATGGGTGTAGGATAAAGAACTAGTAGAAATGATAATCTATGACTGATTCCATTTCTGTATGCTCAAACGTTATAGACCCATATCATCTCTGCTATCTTGTTCATCAATTTACAGCGGGCCTAGTGTTAGCCCTATCATCTTGATACCGAACTGAAGCAAAAACAAACCCCACGCCAGGTATATACTTGAAGAAAATCTATTTTAATAATATAGGTCTTGTCCGGGGATTTTCCGGGTCCTAATATTAAGAGTAAATAAAGTATAAGGATTGGAGTTTGTAACTAGAAAGTCGACAATACGCCGCCACTAGTGCATCTGGCATGATGTGAATTCTTACCTATTGTAATTCCCACTATACATGTATATAAGTACTGAGCAACGTGATATTATATCCATGAAAGCATATTGGTAGTAGGTCAATCCTGGAAGATGTTTGATAACTTGCATCAAGAACTAGCCAAGAATAATGCAATAGCACTGCCCCTGCTGCATAGAAAGCATAGATTAATGCATCCGCTCTAACTAGAAGGGTTTGAGGAAATGAGGAGGCGTTTATTCTGTATCACAACGCTTTAGCGCCCCTAAGTGGAAGCTAATGCGAAACATCACAAAGCGACGCCACTGCAAGACGAGATTAAGAGGAGAACCTGGCTTGAGCGGACTATATGCAAGATCCCTGATCAATTCAAACATTCTATATATTGAAACGAGTACTTAAATGCCCATGTAACCCCCTCCTTTCTGCTGACATTCAAGATGCGGGAGTTGCCACCATGTTGGCTCCACGCCGGATCATCCTTGCCGTCTTGGCCGTCATTTTCTTCCTGTCTAGTGCGAACTATTCCTGGCGTCAGCTGTCCCACAGGCTTAAAAGGACTTCTTCTCTTTCCGATCGTCGCGCCCGGCTCTGGAAACCACTCCATTTCCTGCTGGAACAGCGTGCGCCAGACGGGGCTCAGCCGATTCTGCAAGGCAGCGTCGGCCTCCCACGATTCAACGCCATCAGTGAAGTTGCGCGAGAAAATCACATTGCGAACGGGGACGAGATTCGACTCCCTCTGCAAGCCGCACACGATGGCTTTGTGCAGGATATCCGCGATCTAAATGTCGATCGTGCCTACATTCCGGGAACGGTGGGGATAGTGTCATCCGCCGGCGGGTCATACTTACCCACTTTTATAGTCTCTCTTCATTTGCTGCGGCAGACGGGATCAGATTTGCCAGTCGAGCTCTTCATGAAAGATTTGTCCGAGTATGAGCCCCATGTCTGCGAGGTGATCTTACCTCCTCTGGGGGTAAAATGCGTGGTTCTGTCCGAGATCCTCGCAGGTCAGGACGACGCGAAACCTATAGAGGGCTTTCAACTCAAATCATTTGCGATGCTGTTCTCCTCATTCGAGACGTTTCTCTGGCTAGACGCAGACTGCGCCCCTCTGCACGATCCCACACCAATTCTCAGTTCTGAACCTTTTATATCCACAGGGCTCGTGACCTGGCCCGACTTCTGGGCAAATACAGCTGCTCCCGTGTACTTTGATATCTCCCGCCAACCGGCGCCTCCATCCACTGCTCGACAAGCGACAGAAGCAGGAGCGCTACTTCTTTCGAAAGAAGCACACTTCCTTACTCTCCTTCTCGCTGTTTATTATAATTACCACGGGCCGGACTACTACTATCCATTACTCGGCCAAGGCGCCCCTGGAGCAGGCGACAAAGACACCTTCCTTCACGCCGCAACCGCCCTCAACACCACGTTTTACTCTGTCAGTGAAGCAGTAGTAGACTTAGGAAACGTCACTCCTTGGAATCCCAGCACCGCCGTGAACGCCGGGTATATCCAAGCTGACCCCATCGAGGACTATAATCTCACAAGCCACGGAAAGTGGAGGATCCAGGATCCAGCTGTGTCCACGCCTCCCCGGGCCTTGTTTATCCACGCTGGGGCCCCGGAATTCAACCCGGGGAAGAGTCTTTTGAGTGACAAGTTGCGCGGCTTTGATGGAAAACACACTAGATTATGGACTCATCCGCCCGAGGCCATGGAGAGGATTGGGTATGATGCTGAGAGGAGGTTCTGGGAGGAGACTTTGGAAGTGACCTGCAGTATGGAGTCGGTGTTTGAGTCGTGGAAGTCGAAAACTGGACTCTGTGATGATGTACGGGTGCATTGGACGGCTGTTTTTGAGGATCCAGAAAAGGAAGCCCCGAAAATCACGGATGGTGGCTCAAGTTGGATGTCGTCCCTAAGTCACCGTCGTAGCCCCGGTGTTTGAAAAATGACCGGGCCACAAAATCTCTTTGAAGTATGTCTCTACTAGTTTACACCCTGTATATACGCATGCCATATCATTGTCTATAGGTAATATAATTCATGTGGCCACATTCTCAGTGATCTGCACTTTTATACAGCGGAAGTAGTGGTTGCCACAGTCCAACGCGTCACCGATCATGCATGCATGTTCCCACTGCTGCAAATTCAGCAGATTCTACATCTGATTCGTCATATAATTCGTCAACCTTCCTATACCTAGGTACATACCTAGTGTCCATATCATATATCTCTGTATTATCCTGACTATCTTCATCGATCATTGCCCAATCTCCGAGTGCCTGCCTCAAGATTTTTGCACAACGAGATGTAATAATCAAAGTCTAAATGTAAAAGAACTATGACGGACTTCTGCGCTTCCAGCCAGTCTGAAACCTGGTCTGCTTGAATCGAGGCAATACATGAGCCTCTGTATTAAGGCTGGCAGCTGTCGTTGTGTTTTTCGCTTGATGAAATGGATGAAGCTAGCTTTTTGGGTTATCGAATTTGAATTTCATCAAGGTATACGACAGAAGGAAAACCTGTATCTAACATAAACTTTCACAAGCGGACGATGTCGAGATATTCCCAGGCTCCCCTAATGCCAGAATCCTCACACGCTTTCGTATAGGCGGTCCAGCCCCTCGCGGCTTGTGGAGCTCCTCTCGCTCCCCAATTCCCACCACCCCGCTCACATAGACGTTATCCAACTCTTTGCCCTGATCGCGGAGCTGCGCGCCAATTCTCGCCAGCGTCTTCGCATCGAACATCGATGTCCACGAAGGCGCTGAGTAGATGAATCTGGCTAGGACCAACAGCCCGGCGACCTGAAGGCAAATGAGGAACGTGATGACGATTAACCCTGGAATTGACTTTTGGGGCTTTAGAATAGTATAGCCTGGTGAAGTGTATATCTCCCTGGAGCTCTTAGAATATGCCTCGGCTGTTGTTACCAGCAGCGCTTCGTTGGCGAAGAATGCTGTCAGCTCCAAGAGCTGCTTTGCCGCGAGTGGAGAATCCAGCATTTGCATAAAGCCTCCAACAAGTTCCGGAAGATAAAGAGCCTCCGTATCCTCGTCATCATCCAGGTAGTAGACAAATTCACACCGGTTTTTTAGCATTTCATGGCCCCGGTCATTAAATTCGTCATATGACATAAAGGGAATCAATGAATGCTGGCAAATCTGCATGGTGGTCTGTTTCTTTTGGCCCTTGGTAGCCTCTCGAGCCGAGTGAAGAAAACTTCCGTTGCCAAAGAGGGCCAAAGCGGCAGACAGCAGCGGCCCAGGGGTTTGGAGATCAAACGTCGAGAAAGGATCCACGGCATCTTCAGTTTTGTAGGGTGTAAACCCATCGGATAGCTCTCTACATCCCTGTGTGTGAGTATATCTGGTCTTGACGGTACCGGGAAGCATAGGGGAAGCTTACTCATTTATGGGCCAAGGTGACTCCTCTAGACTGGTGCCAATGTCGTTAAAATTGGTCTCCATTGCTTCCGGGCTCGGCCAAACTCCGAGAACTGGCTGATAAGAATACTCGTTCTGGTAGTTCCCTAGCTCAAACCATCCTCTCGTTGATGTGGCATCGCAGCGCATTGTGAAGTTTTTGGCGGACGGTAGATCAGTCTTATGAGTCGCAACCTGATGGATGGTGTCTGCATTGACCTTCATGTGCATCCAAAGACGCTCATTGATGTCCTGCTTATCCCGGGAGTTCTTCCAAGGTGACCGCTCGTGGTTGCCCTCCCCACAGACTGCAACTTCCAGAACAGGGCTTGTGAAGTTCGTGGTAAATGGACTGTCTCCAGCGCAATGGTCTGGAAAGCTGTGGTCCATGACGCACTCCACACTGGTGTTCATGCGGATCGCATGCTCGCGAAGGACGCCCGTTGTGGTACCACTTCTGAGCGACGATACAAAGTAGTGGCGGTTCTCCAGAACCCCATCCGGTAACATTTCCTCATCATAGTAGAACTGGAAAGTGTCTTTCGCCTGATCTTCCGGTGTGAATTTATCGTGCTCGTGAACCTCTCGCCATAGGTGAGGCTGGATATCGAGCGGCCGGACATCGATGATCTTATTGCGGGTCCGTTGGATAACTGTATTCTGCGGGCATATTTCCAGGGACTGCGGTTCCGGGTCATAGCCAACAACCTTCTGCCATATTGACGGGTCCTTGCATGTCACGTCATCGTTCATCATTACTACGGGCTGGTCAATACATGCGATCACGGTTATTGTCTCGTCTTGAACTAAGAGCTGGCGTAAAGGAGGCTGGATGGAAGCTGTACAGGACGTCATTCAGAGATTGGTTCAAATATCGATTTCATTGCGCGTACCCAGGAGAATGAGCAAAGCCCCATACCATAAATACGGAGAAGACTGCTTCCGGCTCGGCTTCCGGAGCGCAAACCATAAGGTAAGGGTATCTGTCCAGCCCCGGTCGGCGAGAGCAAACATCTGTTGGATATTCAGGTCTTGGCCGGCTTTACGACGCTGGGTGTAGATGACCGCACCGTAGGCCAGAAGCGCCGAGACGATGGGGACCGCCAGAACCGAAGCAATATTATGGAGAATATCCGTCGCGGTTTTCCAGCGCTGCATGGCATAAATGTCGGTCATGGAATACTTCGCTGCTTGGTTGATGTACGAAGGCTTCATGACCGGACGAAACATCATAATGCAGGTAAAGATCCACGGGAGGACCAGCACCGGTAGATAGAGCGAGAGAAGCCACAGAGCCCGCTTCCGGCGCCTCAGACGGTGGTCGGGTGTGTTTCCATGCAAGCTCTGTGTCTCCTTCATCTTGAGAGTGTCCGCCGGTGGATTATGATTCTGCCCTTCGGGTCTGGTCTGGGAGCTCCTGGAATAACGAGGGTTATCCATGATGGAACCATCGAGTGTGAAACAATGGGGTCGAGAGTGTTTTTGGTGATGGCAGAGGTAACTTCCAAGATTTTGACGTCCAAATGTGCAAGTGCAGATATAAAAGGCGCGTTGCTCCACAGACTCAGCCTCGGCGAAGAAGTCAGCCTCGCCCAAGACGGAGGACACAGACGATTCCTTTTCTGGTGGAAGATCAGCAATTGAACATCAACCATGAGTATTAGTGGTTCATTAATATTCTTGTTAATGCTTCTTGCCAGCTTGCCCATCGTTCACGCTTCTTTGGCATAGTTATATAATCACTCCGCACACAGGACCCTTTAGAGGTACGATATCCACGCCACCCCGACGTCACCCTCATTTTCTCTCAGACCTAGCTTATAATAAAAACGCTCAAGCCCAGAACTATCAGTTCTTGTCGTGATTATGTTTCAAATTGCGACATCTCAATTCTATAGATTGCCATCAGGTTTGCACGAGATCTTTTGCATGTCTGGAATGCCTCAGCCTCGCCAAATCTCTGAGACAGAATGCACTCCATAATATTTCTCTCAACAGCTCGTCTCTTCGATGTATTGAAACTGTTGGTAGAGAGAGTCGATATGGAACTGGTAAGTACCCTGCAGTAGTTGTTCCAGCCCATGTTTTACTTTTTCAGTCCATGAATTTGGCTTTAACCATGTAGAGATTATGGTCATTATCAGAGTATTAGAATTCAGCTATCACGCAGGTGCAAACTGATCGAGTTTCGGCTCTTGTATGATCAGTCGACAGATAATCTCATACTCCGTAGTGCAACACAAGCATTCACTGCTGATATCAGATCTAATGTGATCCTGTTTGATTTAGGGCTTGGACCCAGCCGCAGACCTAGACTTACCCAGAACACTTACCTCTAACCTCGGTATTCACTGCCAGAAGCAAATGCCCAATAGCAGACACCTTACAGACCTCAAACTGCAAGCAAACACGAACATCTCAATGGAAACGTGACTCCCAGACACGCCGACGTGAGGGGCTGGAAATACATTCAGACTTATTTTGTTGGGTAATTGGCGTGTCCTGTTTACCCACATCCATCGGTCATTCATAGTGGATAGATTCCGTAGTAGTTATAGGTACTTCTATGCGCCAGTGTGCCTACCACCAGTCTAGTGGGAAGAAGGATATAATAATATCAATGCTTCGCAATTTGTACGTTGAAAGTCCCACATACTACACATGTTTATACCCCAGTCTCGGACCCACTCAGCACAAAGACAACGGAGTAAGCCTCCTCAGTACGAGACCAGTCCCTCCAGAACAGCCTGAACGCGTGCCACACTTTCCAGGGCACAACTCACCCGACGGCGCATTTCTTCCGCCAATGCCGGAGCCTGTTCCGCCTCTGGAGCCTCCCCATCTGCAGCTACCGCCGCCTGCACGTCTCTGATAACCCTCTGCACCTGTCTATGGACCTTCTTCTCTAAAGCGACGAACGGCTCTACCGTGGCAGACTGATACATCTCTCGATTGATGTGCAGGTAGCGGGCGAAAAGTCGAGAGTGTATCAGATGATCGCGGATGGTATCTTTGCGGATTTTGTCACTTCCTGTCCCTATATGACATGCAGGCAACCCCCTTCAGGTCAGCCTATAGAGTCTCGGTTGCCATTGATATAAGAGGAAATGTGATAAAGTGAAGACATACCTGACGCACTATTGCAGGAGATATACGCAGAGCGCATGAGACCTGTCATGACGGAACTCGCGTGCCCAAAAAGCATGTCTCTTCTGATGAGGCTGCAAATAACTTAGCTTGACATTTGTGTGAAGTGAGGTGGATTATTTGAGCTTACTACACATTGTGAACAATGTTGGCAAAGGCATATTGAATCTCATCTGCGATGCACTTCTGTCTGGCCTCCACCCCAGTCAGGAGGTTTCCAAGGGCCTGGGGAGCTAGATTCTGATGCTCTAAGTTGAGAAATGTTAGCACATCCCCTTCCTTTCTTCCATTTTTTTTTTTTCAATATACTCATCAACCCTCAATTTATTTGGAGAGAATAAAAAGAAAGAAAGAAAGAAAGAAAGAAAGAAAAGACTAAAGTCTCACCTGCCAGTACACACTGCATTCTCCCAAAAGCCCGAGAGGTATCTGAACCCAGTGACTCTATGCTGGATTCCAGATGGTCAACAATTCGATCCCAGCCTGGGCCAAGACAGTCTCGCGGGTTCTGGATCAAGGCATCGTTCCAGCAGCAGTACTCTTGTGTCTTGGTTCGGTGGGTTCCAAATTTGCGACACCACGCTGCGTAGGTCCCGTGGGCCCACTAGATCAGCAACGCGTTAGCTATATACGAATAAGAGGAATGAAAAACCTCACTGCTCTCCATTCCTCGCTCACTCGTACAGAATGTGCTGTCCATGCGCTGCCGCGAGTTCCTGTGGCTTGATTAGAGATCGTTTGGATCCCGATTTACGGCCTGGGGACATTGGACGTACGGATACTGTTGAGGATATATTGATCAAATAAACGGTCCACGTTTTTTTGTGTATTTCGGAGAGGTGCTTCACGCGACATGAAATCCTATCACAAATCCCCAGAGTGTTATTGGACCCCGTGCATTGCGTTCATGATGAAACGGCCGGTGAGATATACCTGACGGAGCGTCGCTTCCACATCCCCTAGCACCCGTCGAAGAGTGGCAGCTTTTTCGACCGTGACGGAATCGGCCCCTGATAGCGCCCACTGGCGCAGCGACATCAGATGTGCGGGTACTTGATGATTCAGAAAAGCGGACGTGGCGCGTAGTTGGGCATCCGCTGGAACCAGCTGGCAATAGCTGCGAAGCTGTCGAACCCCGCTGAGCTGAAGATACGCTTCCGCGTGTTCCTCATGATCATCGTGGTACTCCCTGTATAGGGAGTTGCTGACGCAAAAGACACGCTCGTTTCGGTATTTGCTGGCCAGTTCGCGCGTGATTCGCGTGATCCGCTCCCGGACCAGCAATTGAGTTCTCCTGTGTATGGGTTAATATCTAAGTGGGTAGACTTTAGTTTACCCATTCCCGTGACGAGGCCTTACTCCAGTTCGAGCGCTTCCATTCGCTCTCTATACAGTCGTCAGAATATACTCAAGACGTAATGGTTTGATGACGGACCTCAAGCTCGCTTGTTCCAGAACAATTTGTGTCTTCTCCGGGTCGACGGCCCTCTTCTTCCGAATACTGGCATCTCGTTGTTGCTCTTTGATTCGGTCGATGCCTCGGTTCATTTCACGTACGCGCGGAGCTATCTGCAATTGTCCACGGGCGGTTTCTTCGGGGGAGACGTCCTGGCCGTACGGAGTTAAACGCTTAAGCTTGTGCACGCAAAGGGAGGAGCGACTACTACCTCTGATCTCGTGCAGATAATGCGCCGCGGCTGGCTCTCCCTGCATCTGCCGATGATATCGGGGATGGATTGGTCGGTTATGCATCGAGTGATGTTGGTCACAATGAACACCTCGTCGCACTTGTGGTTGAGATAGTGTTCTGTGGCTCGAACCCTTGCGTAGTTCATATCTCGTAACCCTTACTGTGTCAGTGGCCTCGCGTTCATGACACCCAACAAGGTATTTTACCTGGTAAATCTGCCAGGACCAGGCCTGTACGCAGGATGGTCGCGTCCAGATACACTCTGTCAAACCCATTAGACGAAGTTCATACCAGGGGAAAGGCGGTGGATGCACCTGATCAATTTAATAAACGGCCACAGGGCAGGCCGGTTTTCCTCCGGTGAATCGGCCGTCAGAAGGTCCAGCTGCTGCTTGCATTCGTCCAAGCAAGCACACACTACCGTATGCTCCAAATTGTTCGGCCCCCCCGGTCGATGGGCGGAACCCAGAAGGGCCCACCTCTCGAGCTGGTTCAGAATAGCCAGCTCCGCGCCTTCCTCGTCGCGCGATACGTATTCGAGACTCATTTCAGCCTCGTTTTTGAACAGGGACTCCAGCGCTTCCCACGCGCGATCGGATTTCTCTCGACAGCTCGCCCGCTCTTCGGCGGATCTAAGCTGCTGGTAGAGGGAGTGGGTGTAAAACTGGCGAACACTTTGCAGCAGCTCTTCAAGCAGTTCTTTCACTTCGTCCGGGTTCATGAATTCGGCTTTGATTGTGTATGGATCGTGGTCGTTGCCCGAGTGTCGAAATTCGGTTACCACACAGGTGCACGCTGATCCGTCTCGGCTCTGAAGCGGTCAGTCAATGGATATTATTCTACGCCTGCAGTGGCACACGAGGTCATACCGAGCGCGCGAGATTTGCCTGGTCGAGAAGTGAGTTGATCACTGAGCTCTTTCCTACCTGGTCGTTAGATGCGTGGTAAGATAAGGAGGAAAACAGAAACGGTTACACACCAACACCCGAGTCCCCGATGAGCCCTACCGTCCGAGTCTCCGGGTATCTGAACTCGCTCGCCTTTTTTGTCTCATTGTACAACTTGTGAAGACTGGTGTTTGGGTCGTCAGTCAATTCCGACAGGCGCATTGTATTTGCTATCCCCGCGAGCAGGCTCTTGACTTCGCTCAACCCATCTTGCAGCTGACTGTTGTATATTGGCGCCGGGGGAAGTGGTTCGTTATGAGGGGTGTCTGTTCGATCGTCCACCTCCATCGACGTCCGACGAGATAGTGTCTCATCTACTTGATCTTCCCCCTCTGTTAGATCCACAACGGACGTAAACGGACGTTCGGTGGCATCGCGGGTAGATGTAGATTGGACTTCTGGGTCCCTGTATGTGCTGAAGGGATCTCTCCTGTTAACGCCATTCGTGGCATCTGCTGGATCTCTAGTCCCTGTGCTATTGATATTGAGATTCCCAAATAGAGATGTGGGTGTCGGCGATGTTCTCTGGACTTGCGAGATGGGAGGGGTCTGGTGGGAGGTTGGGGTTGTTCTGGTATCCCTATCGCTTGATGATGATGCTGATGATGATGTTGGAGTGAAGACTCCCCGTGAAGACCCCGATGGCGAGGCCATCGGGGAGAATGCGAAGTTCGACGTGGATCCAGCCATATCCCAAGACATGAAGCGTTGTCTCTTTGTTTTGCTCGGGGGGACCTACCTGGAAGGAAAGGCCTATTTATAATGCAAGCTCATCGGTCCCTCTCTGCTAAGACTGCTCATAGCCCCGCTTTGCAAGTCCCCTACTTCTCTTAAAATGGCAGGTTCATGCATGCTGCGCCGCACTTTGTGTTTGAAACCGAGTGGTTCATGAGGCCAGCGGTTATACATTGGCTGTCGTGTTTGGATAGTCCCATGTCTATTTATATATCTACTTATATTTAGGAATCCTCGAGAATGATGGGGTATTATTGCATCTCCCCCAGGCGTCTCATCGGCGGCACAATGGGTCATTATATCAGTTACGTTTTTGAGCTCCTGGTTTTCAGCTCGTTCAACCACCCCACGGCAATCATTTCCGTTTTTTGATGGTGTGTTAATTATCCCTGCTAGGCTCTCGCGCCATCGCGGCGGGGTTGTTAGTGCTAAACTGTCGAAAAGGGAATTTCGGAAGGAGACAGAATTAAATACATTGACTCTATCGCTACCAACATTTTGCTGCACCAGAGATTGCATCGCAGACGATCTTATCTCATTGGTGTCCTGATAGGGAGGGGTATGTCCATATCAAGTTAGCTCACGTCTTCTCATTGCTATAAGAACTCTGCCATGCGTGTTCTAACCATGTCCTGCATAAGCTTATGTGGACGCTGGCCGGGGAATCATGCCGCACTTTGTGAATTGTATTATATGAACTATTCGACACATATATGGCCATGCTCTATAGAGTATTATCACACCTGCTGTGTCCTTACCGAGGCAGCAACGGCGAATCGGCTCCCTCTGCAATCGCGGAGACGCGGGGTATCACTCATCCTGGCACGGATTCTATAACCTGGCCAGTACATGCATGCATTGAAAACAGGTTATTGCCTTGGATGGCTTGATAGTTAATCGCCAGTTCCCGCGGACAGCGAACCGCCTGGGATAAGAAACATTCATTCCCTTGCCCCTTCACAGAGCACGTTTATCGTGAGACATTAGAATAGCTTAGAAGCTATTCAAACATCTTCAGCTTGCCCGATATGTCCCACACTCGAAGCAAATACACCTCTGAGGTCCTGGCTCGACCCGGTCTCACGTTCGACACGGAGATCCGTGATCCCAAACAACGAATCCAAGCATACATGGATTCATACAAGCAGAACCCCCCCTCAAAGGTTGGTTAGTCTATAAAATCTGGTCAAGCACAAAGAGAAAATGAAATAAGTGACATACTAAAAATTCAGAGCATCGATGAATCCCTCCTGCGAGACCACCTCGAACTCGTAGATGCCTCTGCAAGCCCCCAAATCAGCGCCTCGTTCCGCATGCGCGTGAGTCCCGAATACTGCAGCCGCACGGGGAACATGCACGGCGGACTGATCTCGCTCGTCTTCGATCTGTGCACGACCATGTGCGCAGCCCCGGCTGCCAGGAGCGACTTTTGGACATTTGGAGGCGTCTCCCGCACGTTGAACGTCACTTTTTTAAGATCTGTTCGGCAGGGATCGTGGGTGAGGATTCACTGTGAATTGCTGCATATTGGATCTCGGCTTTGTATGAATTATTTTTCTTTCTTTCTTCTTTTCTTCTGCCCCCTCTGTCCGCTTGGTCGTTTGTTTGCGTTAGCTTGTTGGGTGCGCTCCTGGGGTACTAACTTTTTGATCTAGCGGCGATTAGAGGGCAGATGACGAATGAATCCGACGGAAGGTTGCTTGCGGTTGTGGAGCACAACAAAGCCAGTGTTGCACTTGGGGGAAAAAAGCAATATGTAAAGGTGGAGCTGGCGCTTGTGTGGTGACTGGTCTTAGTGGTCTGCCGCATCGGTTTGGAGAATGATGGCAGGGTTGAGTTTCTGTCATTGGGGGAAGCTTTTCCGACAGATGGCGCATATGTTACTGTGCTCTTCGTGGAAATATTGACCAGGTTCAGTGCGACGTCGACTAATCCATCTCCAGAGCTTGAGTGGTTGTAGAAACGTCTGGGGCTACACAACAGCGGATGGAAATCGAATGTGGAGTATCTAGCCCTGGGTTGGCTGCCGTGTGGTGCTGGGTTGTATTCTATCAGAGGGCGCCGGCATCACTCATCAATGGCTTGTGCTTTGTCAATTCAGTGGCAAGGCACTTCTTTACTTGGATTGGTCATTGGAATTCTTTGCTCGAAAGATGCGATATGTTCATAATGTGTTGTTTCCCCTGATGCTTGGGACTGTGTAACAGGTGGCATATACAAGAATAGAAACCAGAACTCGACTATGGACAGTGAAAATGAAAGGATGATGGCTGCTTTATTCCAGCTGGAAGATATGCCCAGACGATGTGGGCATCTGTTTGCTGTAGGTCATGGATGGAGCAAAAGGCCGCACCCATTCATCCAGCACAGCGAGGAAGGCATCGCAGACTGCCTGCACAGCTTCGTCGCGAGATGAGCCACAGCTTTCGATATAAACTAACATTTTGTTAGCTTTTATTCCACCCGGAGAGCATTGCGGATACGTACGCTTGACTTTCGGTTCCGTCCCCGAGGCCCGGATCGTGAACCGCACGTCGCGGTCCAGCCATAGGGTCAGCATCTGGCTGCTCTTGTCTTCTGGCAGGGTTGGCCGGTGGTCCGTTGTGCCAGAGTCATAGCCTTCCGTCATGTCTCGCCATCTCAGGATCTTGAACGACCCGAGCGACTTCCCGGCCCCGTACGGCCCACTTCGGATGGCCCGGAAAAGAGCCCCCGTAATATCTGGGCTAGGGGATCGGAAGTAGTTATTGAGAGTCTCAAAGTGTCCGTACTTTTTGAACAGCTGCTCGAGCTTCGTGTAAGGCGTGAGCCCCTCTGACCTCCACTTGGCTTCTGCCGCGAGGAAGATCATTGCCGCCGCGACACCGTCCTTATCGTAGCAGACCTCGGGGAACATGAACCCCAGAGCCTCTTCAAACGCGAAAGGGACATGATACCCAGATTGTTCCAATTTTTGGCCCATATTCCCCATCCACTTGAAGCCAGTCAGGGCTTCTTCATAGTGGATCCCTTTTGCGACGGCCATTTTCTCCAACATGCCCGTGGACACGGCGGAGTTCAAAACCGCCGCGGGCTTCTTGATATCGCGAGCCTTGTTTTCCAGCGAGTCAAATAGATACGAAGCAATGAGCACCCCGATATGGTTTCCCGTAAAAGTAAACCACGACCCGCTGAACGGCACGCTGTTAGTCCTGCGCCGGAATCAGGATGGGGTTACCCACTTAATCTTCTCAGCAGCAGCAAACCGATCTGCGTCTGGATCGTTCGCAATAATCAGGTCTCTGCCTTCTCGGTCGGCGGTCTGCATAGAAAGGTCCAAGGCGCCAGCCTCCTCCGGGTTTGGGAACGATACTGTGGGAAAATCCGGGTTTGGCTTCAGTTGCTCAGCTACGGCTGTAAAATTATTGATGCCTACGGAACGGCATAAATCCGGAAACACCAGGCCACCAACGCCGTGCAAAGGAGTGTATATGAAGGGTCTCGGTTTTTGCCAGTCGACCGCAGTCGAATTCTGGATGTGTAAGCTCGCGCTCCTGAAAGGTGTAGTAGACTTACTGTATACGCCCACACTGCTTTGGTATATTGAGGCAGAACTTGCTGGTAAGCGTCCGCGTGGAGGAGCTCGCTCGGTTGCAAATCTCTCCATGCATCAGACCATGGCACTAGGTTTTCTTCAATCGATTGGGCGATTTCCAGGTCCATGGGCGTGTTGATCTGGGCCCCATTGTGAAAATAACTGGCGAATGTTAGACGAGGTCAAGCAAGGCAGGTTTGCAACTGACACTTTGTAGCCTATGGATATTTAGCGGGATTCTTGAAATAAAGATGCCTGTGGGCATTACATACCGTTGTCTTGTGCTGGATTCTATAGACACGAGTCAGCGTGTCCATGATGTTATGGTTTCAGTTGGATCAATCTTACATGACTCGCAGTAACCATGATCCCCGCCGCTGCCCGCAGATGGGTCACGCCGAAAGGCACAGAGGGAGTAATTGACGGCGGGGAGTAGAACCAGACTGGGATACCCAGCGAGATGAAAGCATTTGCCGCTAGCGCAGCGAATTTGTCGGAGTTGTGACGCGCATCGTGGCCAATGACCACCCCGCCGGGTGCGATGGCTGCATGCTTGTCCTTGATGTACTTGGCTAGACCTTGAGATGCCTGGATAACTGTCAAGCAATTCATGCAGGAGAAACCAGCTGCCATGCGACCCCGCAGTCCGGCCGTTCCAAATTGGATGCCTATCTCGTCATTAGCAGACGAGACGCCAACGGTCTACTCCGCTTCCTGGAACTGGGTCATGGCACGGAGGTCTACGCACGATGTCCAAGCCGCTGTTCTAATTCAACCGTGTCTCCGGATCCTTGGAGCTGTTCAATCTCCGCCCGTGTTTTGGGATCCTTCAGCGGTCGCAGAAATCAGTCCGTGTCCATTGATTCCGTCGAGCGTTACGTAGATCGTCACATACTTGATCCCATTCCAGCCATGTTTGGATCGATTGAGCGAGGGAACCCTTCGAGACAGTCGTCAGCGATCCACACCAACCCCATCATAAGGTTTGACCATGGAAGGATTGGTTGGTGTATCAGAAAGGTGGGCCATACCTCGGCCGCAGTAGCAGACATGATAGATCATACGATGAGCGTGTCTGCGTGGGGTGATGTGAAAGAATGTCGATGTTGAGTATTCGGGTGAGCTGTCTTTATGAGCACCTATATCCAGAGCCAATCGAACCTTATCCAAGAGTAGTGGCGTGAAGCCGGAATCAGGACGAGAATATCTACACGATGATCATCCAAGCGGGGGGGGCGGGTTACTTAAGCGGGTACAAGCGGTACCTAAGAATAGGTGGGAGTTGTCAGCATTCCAAAGTATCCCCAGTGACCAAGTCTCCACTTGGCCCGGAAACGTGAAACTGTCCCTGGAACCGTTCCACCTTCACCGTCCACCTCATCACTTTTCTTGTTAACTTTATTCTTCGTGATTCCGTTTCCCCTTCTTGCCAGTAATGGTTTGTTAGCGGTTTTGAATCCATTGCTGTTGTGTTACAGAATCACAGTCAACCATGGCCGCATCGAAACCAGCGGTCACAGCGGCCTCATCCACCGCGTCCCGCAAGGACACCGTTCTGTCTCGACGCTGGATTGAGGGTCAGATTGCCCAAGGCAAACATGTTATTATTTTCGAGGGTCGTGTGCTCAGGGTAGACTCATGGATTCCATTCCACCCCGGAGGAGACAAGTCGATCAAGCATATGGTCGGGAGAGATGGTACAGATGAAATCAATGCGTAGGTGCGCCGACCACTGTTGCCTAACTGTTGCTAATGTGTGGTTCCGTTTCCAGATTGCATTCAAAAGAAGCTCGTCAGCGCATGCTCTCCTACCAGATCGGTCGCATTGAAGGCCTTTGGGTCAACTTCCTCCCTCCCATCCAAGGCGGCAAGTTTCGCCCTTACTCCGAGGATGCCCATTCGGTAGAAGACGAGAGCTCTGGCCAGGAGACATCGGTCCCACCATCTCCGGTCTTTGACGCGGTCGATGCGACGTCGAATCTGCGTCGACGCAAGTCCATGTCCACCGATACCACGGTATCCACCCCTGATACCCAAGAGTCCGAGGCTAAGCCGTTCTTCCTCGATGCTCGGACGCGAGAGGAGATTGTCTTCGACACGGCGAAATACCCGTCTCTCGACACGGACAGCCAGGAAAATATCAAGAGGAAATACCGCGAATTGGACCAACGGATCCGCGACGAAGGTCTCTACCAATGCAACTACTTCTCCTACTTCATCGAATGCTGCCGCTACACGCTGTTCGCCGGGCTGGCCTACATGTTCCTGCGCATGGGCTGGTGGGGGACATCAGGGTTCTTTTTGGGTTGTTTCTGGCACCAACTCGTCTTCGCCGCTCATGATGCTGGTCACATGGGCATCACCCACCATTTCCACGTGGACAGCGTGGTCGGTATCATCATTGCCGATTTCCTGGGCGGTTTGAGTCTAGGCTGGTGGAAGCGAAACCACAACGTGCACCACATCGTCACCAACGCTCCCGAGCATGACCCCGATATTGAACACATGCCCTTCTTCGCCATCTCCCACCGCTTCCTGAACAGTCTCCGCAGCACCTACTACGACCGGGTTTTAACCTTTGACGCCCCATCCCAATTTCTACTCAAATTCCAGAACTACCTCTACTACCCGATCCTCCTCTTCGGCCGATTCAACCTCTACCGCCTGAGCTTCGAGTATCTCTTTTGCGGCCAGGCGCCCAAGAAAGGGCCCGCCTGGTGGCACCGCTGGCTGGAGATCAGCGGCCAGGCATTCTTCTGGACCTGGTTCGGCTACGGCGTGGTGTACTGCACGATCCCAGACTGGCAAAGCCGTCTCACCTTCATCATGATCTCGCACATGGTCACCGCGCCGCTGCACGTGCAAATCACGCTCTCCCACTTCGCCATGTCCACCGCAGACCTTGGCGTCCACGAGTCCTTCCCGCAGAAGATGCTCCGCACCACCATGGACGTCGACTGCCCGACCTGGCTCGACTTCTTCCACGGCGGCCTACAGTTCCAGGCCATCCACCATCTGTACCCGCGCATCCCGCGCCATAACCTGCGTAGCACCCAGAAACTGGTCCTCGAGTTCTGCCAGGAAACCAACATTCCTTATGCTATCTTCACCTTTTACGACGGCAACAAGGAAGTCATTGGCCGGCTGGGCGAGGTGGCGAAGCAGGTTCGCATCTTGGAGGAGTGTCGCAAGTCGTGTGCGCAGCAGGGCGTTTTCTCAGATCACCACTAGCGGCTGTTTTTAGCGTGGGGGTGCTAGATTTTTATAGGTAGACAGATACTGCGTTGATATACACAGCCGACATGATATAGACTTGACTAGTCGAGCTGCTATGAACTGAAATGTCAGACAATGTTACGAGATCCAACCATCTTAATCAAGAGCTTTTCAATGGAGCACCATACCAGACCGCCTACATTCCATCCCCAATGGACTCCGCAAGGAGATTGTTTAACCCACAGCTAGCGATGCAATCTGAGTCAGGAACCAGGCCCATATATACCAATTCTGGATATACAAACCGCTCAAAGCTACACGCCAATGCACATGCTCATCGTAACAGCATTGGTATTTACCTATGTACCAAAGTATCATAAGATTGCAGCGGTCTAGTCTACCCAACCAGTCCCCCCGCTCTCGCCACCTTCTTCGCCCTCTGCTGTCGCCGATTATGGTTTGCTCGACTCGATTTGTTCTCTTCTTTTCGCTGCCGCGATGCTGCCGTACTCTGTTCACCTCCCCCTCCTGCTGCTGCTCCTCCTCGTCCGCGACCACCACCACCGCCACCTCCTCCCCTCCGGCCGCCACGGCTGCGTCCTCGTCCACCACCTCTCCCCCTAAACGAGCCAGACGGCTCATCCACGTCGCTACCCGACTCGCCACCTCCAGGTCGTCTATAAGATGTAGAAGGAAGTTCAGGCTGTGCGAGGCCCGCACCACCACCGCCGCCACCAGCAGCACCACCGGAGAGAGCGAGTTTATCTTCAAGTCTCGCCATCCGTCTAGGATCACGAGCCAACATTACCGCCCACCCCTCGATAGCCTCGTCCGTCATGGCCGTTTCACGCTTGAGCGCCGCGCGCGGCTGCGAGCGTCTCGTGGCGGCGTCGCGGCCGAAGATGCCTGCGTTTGTTTTGAAAGCGCGGAAGAGCGCCATATCGAGGTCGTCGCGGTCTCGCGCGCTGGAGTCTTCGGCTGCTGTGGAGGATTCGACGGTGCCGCCTACGTCTGCGACGTCGTAGGTGTCGTCGCGCTCGTCGTCGTCTGAGTCGAAGGTTGCGAGCGCGGAGAGGATCGCTGCTTTGTTGGCTGTGTGTTGTGCGGGGTCGGTGTCTTCGTGTGTGGTGAGGTCTGTGTCGGTGCGGCCGAAGCGGAGCTTGCCTTTTGCTGCGGTGGGGGTGGTGGACGTGGGGTCGTTGGGTCGGGCGAGGTCGGCGAGGTCGATGTCGCTGTCGAAGACGTTTTTGCGGGATGGGACGAGGCCCGGAGATGTGGGGGGTGTTGGGCGAGGGAGGAAGGGGTCGTGGTGGGCGGGGGAGGCTGTTGTGGGGAGTTGTTCGGATTTGTCGAGAGATTGTTGGAGGGAGGCGGGGATGGAGTCGTCGAGGAGGTGGGCGACGACTGTTTCTGGGTTGTCGTCGTAGATGTCGAGTAGGCGGACGATGTAGCCGGAGCCGAGGTCGGGGAAGAGGTCCTGCACTTGCGTCACGAGGGACATCTTGTGGATGTGTAGCTCGTTGGCGCTAGGCAGGTCGTTGGCGCTGGCGCGGCTTTTGCCTTTGTCGACGCGCTTCTTTTGCTTTTGGTACCGGTGGTGGAAGGGCCGCGACTGGGCTTGGTAGGTTTGTAGACTGGTTACTAGATCCTGGCCGCGCTTTTGCGGGTGCGCTACGAGATATTTCTCTAGACGGACGAGCAGGTCGGAGCTGCAGATCAGGTCGGACAGGAGTGTGGGCTCCTTCATTTGAGGGGTGCCAACCCCGGCACTGGCTTTCAGGCTGAAGAGCTGGTCCAAGAGTAGGGAGAGGTTCGGCTTGGAGCCTTTCAGGAGCGAGGTCAGGCCGACATAGACATTGGCGACCAAAACCCTGCGGAGGTCGCTACTCCCGTGCGTCGTATATGCATCTGAAAAGGTGTCCAGGAAATCCGACCCAGCCATCAGAACTTGCCCGCAGTCAGGCAACACTGACCCCAAGACGGTCAATAGCCGGACATCTGCTGTAGTTGCGACGACACTCCTCGGGTCGGAGACCGAGAGCTGTTTAATGACTGCAGCCTTGGCATCGTCGACGCTGGCGGATATCGTATCCTGATGCTTACCCCACACATCTGATAACAGCCGCTTGAGGGATGCGCTGGAGGGGTAACAGCAGCACAGCCCACCCAGGTACTTCCATGCGAGCAGCTCCACCGGAGAAGTTGAGACGTCCAGAAGAAACCTTCTTGTTAGCAAGAAACAGAGCTTGCGCAAGGTTCTCGCGCGCGGTCCAACATGGAAGCCAGATGCTCCCGGGATGGACCATTGGTGATAGAAGGATACCAGGAACGAGACGGCCGACTCGTCTTGGGGAGCCACGTCCCTGAATTCAGCCTCGGAGGCAGCTATTCGAAGCTCCAGGAGCAGGGTCCATGCATCGATATAGAGGTCCCATTCCGCAGAGGGAATGGTCTTCTGCACCTCGGGCGGTGGGACCGATGCCAGAGGAGGCCAGTGTGCCATGTCACCGGGGAGTCGATATATGCTTGAGTATGGTACTTGAAGAAATCAAAATCAGAAGCTAACTATGTCCAAGTTGGGTGATCCATAAACCAGATACGAGTGACTGCGATGACTCCGTTGTTGGTCAGTGACCATGAATGAAACCTGAGGCTGAATGATCGCTGCATAACTAGCTAGTGCATACATATATATTATTACTCATCTGCCTTTCATTGCCGTAATAATGCGGCGTCCAGATCCGGCTAGCGCACAGATAGCCGAGCGCCAAGATTTCCATCCGCACACGATCCGATTAGTCATGCGTGTCAAAAAAAGATTCAACGTCGGTCTATCAATACAATCTCTTCCCCGTATATAACCTCCACCGGCCATCATCACTTTACCGAACCGTGCAGTTCAGGTCTTGATCGGCAAATTAACCCCAAACACCAAACCTCAAAATGTCTTTCCAGAAGCCCGAGAAGGATTTCGGCGAGGGCCCCGTACGTGACCAACATAATACCTATGGAAAGCACAGAAGAGAAGGAGGCCGAGACTAATATGTTCATTGTTCGACTGTACAGAAGGTCCACAAGATCCGCATCACCCTCACCTCCCGCAAGGTCGCCGCCCTCGAGAAGGTCTGCTCCGAGCTCATCGACCGTGCCCGTGGCAAGTCCCTGCAGGTCAAGGGCCCCGTCCGTCTGCCCACCAAGACCCTGCAGATCTCCACCCGCAAGACCCCCAACGGTGAGGGTTCCAAGACCTGGGACAAGTATGAGATGCGCATCCACAAGCGTCTGATCGAGTATGTACCATCCTATCTTCTTGTTCTCTTGCGGTGTTGCGACAACCCGCGCGCGCGCGACATGGGAGACTGAAGTAAATACTGACGAATTGCGCTTCTAGCCTGCTCGCCCCCACCGAGACCGTCAAGCAGATCATCATCAACATCGAGGCTGGTGTTGAGGTTGAGGTCACCATCGCCGCCTAAGTGCGCGTTGGAGATTCTCGTTCCACTCCGGGCTGCCGAGGGATGGCGGTTGCCGCTTGCGAGGCTCAACACGAGCCCGCGTCGATACCCGCTAGAACTTGGCGCAAAAATGAAACAAAAATCTGGAAATGACTAATGGCTGTTCCTGGTACTCGAGCTTTACGTGTGTAGATTTTCGTCTGTCGGACTTGTAGTTCTTGTCGGATGTGTAGTTGACGGTTCCGTTGCGTCAAAGTAGTTGGTATTGCAATATGGTCCAAATGTGTAATTGATTGATTGATCGATTGGTGAATTCACCGTAGACGCCTTCATTTCCCTGTATAAAACGCCTAATTACGATAAACATACATAAACTTTGCGAGAAAGTCCAATCCCCATGTCTAAAAGTCGAAGCTCACCCACTCGGTCTTGGGAGGTACGCTAGGAATAACACCGTCCTTGAAGTACCCATTCTTCACAAAGAACTCATACTGCTCGGTGACCTCCGGGGTGTATTCTTCCGGCTTGCCATGCGCATCTCGCAGACTGGCTGCGTCCGGTGGTCCGTCGGGAAAGAAGATGTGCACGTATGTCTGGCGATCTTGCGGGTGTAGATAACAGGGAGCGTTGTCGATGTACTTCACCGGTTGTCCTTTCCATGTATCCAGTCGCTTGGTCAAAGCATTGCGGGTCGTCTGTCCGGATAGGGGTGGGATCGGGTTCAGGTCGTTGGGGTCCTGGACCCTCAGGATCGCAGGGGGCCCAGTACCTGCTGTTGCGGACTGTACGGCGGCCGGCTGCTGTGGTTGGAGCTGGGCGAATCCAGACGGTTTGGGTTCGGGCTGACCGAATCCAGCTGCTGGCTGGGCGGGAGCCCCGAACGGGTTTGCAGCGGCGGCTGGTGGGGTTGGTTGGGCCGGTTGGGCCGGTTGGGATACCTGCCCAAATGGACTTGTCTGTTGCTGGGGTTTCCCAAAGGGTGATGCGGCCGGTGCAGCCTGTCCGAAGCCACTTGGCTGAGAGGACGGCTGGCCAAACCCAGAGGGGGCTGCGGGCTGTTGTGCGGCAACTTGTCCGAATGGAGAGGCAGCTGTCTGTCCAGACGGCTGCGCAAAGCCAGCCATGCCCTGGTTCTGGGTTGACAATTGATTGAACGGGGACGCGGTATTAGAAGCCTTGCCGAACCCGGACCCTCCCAGCGCCGACGGCTGGCCAAATCCCGACTGACCAAACGCAGGCTGCTGTGGCTGTGGCTGTGGCTGTTGCTGTTGCCCAAAGCCAGACTGACCAAACGCGGGTTTTCCAAACGGAGATTGGCTCCCAAGTGCTGCTGGTTGTCCCCCAAGCGGCGCCGGCTGTCCGAATGCAGGCCTCTGGTTGATCGAGCTGGGCTGTCCAAACCCTGGAGCCTGCCCCGCGGCCGATGGTTGCCCAAAAGTCGATGGCTGGCCAAACGCAGACGGTTTGCCAAATGCCGACTGAGAGCCGGGGGCAGAAGGTTGGCCAAAGCCCGACGGCTGCGGCGTTATACCGCTGGGTTGGCCAAATGCTGAGGGCTGACCAAATGCCGAAGGGCCTTGAGGACCGGATGGAGAAGGGCCTGTTTTCCCCTCTGATATATCAATCCGGTTGGGATGCTCATTTGCCCCGTCAATAAGGTATTTGACGGCCCCGTCCAGATCCCTCAGGATAACTTCCATCTGGCTCAGGGATTCAGCATAGAGCGCCTGGGCCTCTTGAAGCGCTTGGTTAGGATTACCGGCCGCAGTCGCTTCATAATGGCGTAGACGCAACTCTTCGAAACTCTGTTCGCGCTGAGGTCCTCCAAACAGTTGCTTCGGCGCATTCCGCCCAGGACCATAGCAGGAAAAGATCCAGTTTGGCCGGCCTTGACCGGCTGTTAGATCAGTCTTGATATCAGCCGCTGTTATCCCGTAACTTCAAGCTTGTTAGAGAATACCACGTAATTTGGGAAGGATCCCAGGCTTACTTTTGGACCTGTTGGTTCTGCTGGTTTGAACGCCCTGTAATCTCAAGTCAGATACGAGGGGAGATAGACGTAGGCGCTTGGACATGTCACTTCTCGGAAGCTCATCTGTCCAAACAGATGAATCCATAGAAGCATGTCTGAACAATCGCAAGAACAAGAGCCGGAAGCATACCTGCAAACCCGCCTCCCCCGGCGAGCGCACCAAATCGATTACCAGCTATCGTTGATTGGCTTGGGTGTTCAAACTTGCATCGTTCTAAACCAAACATTAGTACGAGACCTGTAACAGATATTCACGAATAAGGTGCAGCATACCGCCAAATTTACACCGGCCTTGTTGAAAGAATGTACAGACGACCATATTGCCTTAATTCGGATAGATGAGCGGAGAGAGCTTTCACAGCACGCCCAATGGACCGTATCAGAAATCCAGGGAGCGACTTGGGCAGCAACCCAACTCCCAGTTCACTAATTAACAGCAAAGATCTGGTCTGTTGTCCGTGGAGACTAGAGATTGAGGAAAGAAAGAAGCAAGGATGAAGAAGTGAGTCTACGGAGATGCGAGATAGAGTCGATGTTTAACCCGTGACAATACGTTTCGCCGATCCGAGCACTTTTGATCGGCGGGCTCCCTTAAACCACGGCTTGAAATTACGGTAATTACACTGCATAAACAACATATACAAGAAGAGATGAGAGAAAAGCTGCTGCTTCTTCTATTAATGTAATGGATGTGAATATGATTCTAATTGACAAAGATAACTCCTGTTCTCCTGAACCGTTTTTCATAATAGTTGGGACCGTAACATTCAAGCATCACTCAGAAGTAAATGTCATCCAGGCGAAAGCCTCAGTCACTGCCGGACAGCGATGTGACCTGGGAGTGTTGCATGCTCTGCCGGAGAACATCCCAGTTCAATCCATCGATCTTCTTCCCACTCAAGGACTCCAATTCTCCGGCCTGTCCCTGCAATTTCCCTGTGGCCAGACGGCGCATCATGACCGTGTCTTTAGCCCCATGCAGCGCTTTAACCTTTCCGTGGAGCAGCGCTTCCTCAAACCACTCCTCTTCCTGAGTGTCAAATGGGAGGCCGATAAGCTCCATCGCGTGCTGACTTCGCTGCGCACCGGCTTGCGTTGTAAGAACAAACTCAATGAGCTGCGTAAGGTAGGCTTGACGGAGCGCATCGTCGTGGTTCCGCGTGAAGTAGAAGGCCTCCGTTATACTGGCGCGACAAAGAGTGTCAAAAAATGTTTGCTGGACCTTCTCGGAGGCTAACGGCGGGGCGACAGTGAGGTAGTAAGCCATGGCGAGGCTGTCGTCATGTTTGGGAAGAAGTGGGTGGCTGAGGACGTAGAGGATCTCGTCGGGGAAGGTAGGGATAATCGACGGCTCCGTCAGGTATTCGACAGCTTTCTAGAGTCGCATAAAGTTGAGCAAGTGACGACCCCCGCCATCGGGTGCAAAGACTTGACAAACCTTGAATTCTAGCCGGTCCAAGTTCCAGAGTCCCTCGATGAACAGTCGGTACTTCTCAGGCAGGAAGCAGCGTCGCGCAAACTGCGATGCGGCCTCACCAGCTGCGCGACAGTCCTTCAGGATATAGTAAATCAGTGCTTGCTTGTGGTGGATATCCAGTTCGGAAGACACGATGTGGCCGACAAGGGAACGAAGGTCGTCGTTGGACTTGGGGGGGTATAGCTTCGTTACTAGATCGACGCCCAAAAATCAGCCATGATATCTTGCATCCAGACCTGCCAGAGAATGATACCTGCTTTGACTTGAAGCAATCCCAGCAGTCGATCGGCGAACAGTCGGTTTTCCAGCGCACGCCGGTTGGAGAGGATCTGATCAATGACCTTGACATCGTACGAGAAATTCCGGTTGAAGGAGAAGATACTATCGAAATCATCCCAGGGGACCATCTTGGCGTATATTAATGCTCCTATCCCTGGGGAATCTTGTTGAGATCAGTAGCAGCAAAGCAGTAGATATGATGATATTATTCGACCGTCAATATTACCGTATCGAACACCGATAAAGAAGGCGGTGACGGCGAAGCGGGCATTTGTTTGTGGCAGAAATCCCACCTTTCCCGATCGGGCGAATGTAAACAACTTCTCCCACTCTCGGACTCAACCAGATTCGCTCTCTTTGACATCCTCGCCTTCATGACTCCCTTACTTCCCAGTCCTATTACCACAACAGCATAATGTCATCTACCGCCAAAGGCCGGCCATCCCGGCGCTCTGTTCCGCGCAGAAGTTATGTGATGGAGGAGACCACCTCCGACGAGGAGGATTCCGGAAATGTCACCCCCACCGCATCCCACACCAACGACGACGACGACGACGATGATGACGACGATACCGAAGAAGAATATACCCCCGTCCCAAAGAAAGCTAATGCAGGAAGGAGATCCTCACGGCGAGCGACCTCGGAGATCCCCACCCCGAGCACCGCCCACACTGCACGAAAACCCCGAATGTCAGAGACCCCAGAACAATCGGAGGAGGAATCGCAAGTGGGCGACATCGATGAGGAAGGCGATACGATGATGGGAGAACCAGATTCTCCTTCTGAAAATGCTGCGGCAAAAAGAAACAGTATGGCCCATCCCCGCGAGGACCGTGGCTCCTTCGCACCCAACCCGGACAAATCCTCACTCCCAACTCCAGAGCCTTCAGTTTCGCCGCATCCCCAATCGCCGTCGCCGTCGCCGTCGCAGCGAAACAGCGGGCCCCCGCTTGCTGATATCACCGAGTCCGCCGTCAACAGCCAGACGCCGTCGAAGCCTGCCGAGGACCCGAAACCGATTTCGATCATCAATCCGAATACGACCGTGCTCGACAAACCCATGGATATCATGCTCAAATCGCGGAACCTAACTGCACCGACGCAGCCGGAGGAGCCAGCCGCCCCCAAAAGTCGCTTGATCATTACGACCTTGGTTCTGACAAACTTCAAGAGTTATGCTGGGGAACAGATTGTCGGACCCTTCCACGCCTCGTTCTCCTCCGTTGTCGGCCCGAACGGATCGGGAAAGTCAAACGTGATCGATGCGCTACTATTCGTGTTCGGTTTCCGCGCTAGCAAGATGCGACAAGGCAAGATTTCTGCTCTAATTCACAACTCGGCTGATTTCCCCAACCTGCCCTTCTGCGAGGTGGCGGTTGATTTCCGGGAGGTCATGGATCTCCCCGACGGCACGCAAGAAGAAGTCCCAGATTCCCAACTGATTGTCTCTCGACGAGCATTTAAAAACAACACGAGCAAATATTACATGAACCGCAAGGAAACGAACTTCACGGCAGTGACGACCTTGCTTCGCGAGCGGGGCATCGATCTGGATCACAAACGGTTTTTGATTCTGCAAGGTGAAGTGGAGTCGATTGCACAGATGAAGGCCAAGGCTAGCAATGAGCACGAAGATGGACTTCTGGAGTACTTGGAGGATATTATCGGGACGTCGCAGTACAAGACGCCTATCGACGAAGCGGCTGCGGAGCTCGAGACGCTCAACGATGTCTGTGTTGAAAAGAACAACCGTGTTCAGCACGTCGAGAAAGAAAAGACCGCCCTGGAAGACAAAAAGGACAAGGCGCTGTCTTACATCCGCGATGAGAATGAACTGACCCAGAAACAGTCTGCGCTGTATCAAATCTACATCGACGAGTGTTCCGACAACCTGCGTGTCACGGAAGAGGCCATCCTCCAGATGCAGGAGCTGCTAAACCTCGAGCTTGAGAAGCACGAAGGCAACGAGTCGGGAATTAAAGAGCTCGAGAAGGCATACAAGCGCGGCATGCGCGAGTACGAGAGCATGGAGAAGGAGATGCAGGCCCTGTCCAAGGAAATGTCCAAGTACGACAAAGAAACCGTCAAGTTCGAGGAAAAGAAGAAGTTCCTGGTGGGCAAGCAGAAAAAGCTGGAGAAATCTATGAATACTACTCGGCTCGCGGCTTCGGAGTGTCAAAGTTTGGTGGACAAGCACATGAGCGACATTGAGAAAAAGACAAAAGAGACTGAGCAGTTTGAATCGGAGATGGCTACCGAAGAGGCAGAACTGGCCACGATCCGAGAGGGCTTGAAGGGCAAAACACAGGGTCTCTCTGATGAGATCACCACCAAGCAAAGATCTCTTCAGCCATGGGATGAGAAAATCAACAAGAAACTTTCCGCAGTTGCGGTGGCCCAAAGTGAACTCGACATCCTTCGTGAGAGGAGCAACGCCGGCACTGTCTTGCTTGAAGAAGCGCAGGCGAAGGTGGGGTCAATTGAGGAGACTCTCGCGACCAAGGAAGCCGACCTTGACGAACGGAAAGCGCAAAAGTCTACTCTCGAAGAGGAACTGGCCAAGCTCCGGAGCGATCTCAAGAAGTACTCGCACAGAGAGCCTGAAGTCCGCTCGCATGTCTCCACCGCCAGACAACGAGCCGAGGAAGCGAGGGCTAGTCTTGCGAGTACCCAAAATCGTGGCAGCGTGCTCTCGGGTCTGTTGCGTCTCAAGGAGTCGGGTCGTATCGAAGGTTTCCATGGACGACTTGGAAACCTCGGCACGATTGATGAGCAATACGATGTTGCAATTTCGACTGCCTGCCCTGCACTTGAAAACATGGTCGTCGACACGGTTGAGGTCGGCCAGCACTGCATTGATTACCTGCGGAAGAATAACCTTGGGCGCGCCAACTTCATTCTCTTGGATCGCTTGCCTCGTCGAGATATGTCTTCAGTTTTTACGCCTGAGAGTGTTCCTCGATTATTCGATCTAGTCAAACCCAAGGACCCCAAATTTGCCCCAGCCTTTTATAGCGTGATGCAGAACACATTGGTCGCAAAGGATCTAGAGCAAGCCAACCGTATCGCCTATGGTGCTCGACGGTGGAGAGTGGTCACATTGGACGGACAGCTCATTGATACATCGGGTACCATGAGTGGTGGTGGTACGCGCGTTGCTCGTGGCGCCATGTCATCGAAGCAAGTGGCAGACGTCAGCAGAGAACAAGTAACCAGCATTGAGGGGGATCTGGAAGATATGGAACGGAAATTCCAAGCCTTCCAGGAAAAGCAACGACACATCGAGACAGCGATGAGAGAAAAATCCGAGGAGATCCCTCGTATCGAAACCAAGATCCAGAAGATTATGATCGAGATCGACAGCACCAATCGCAGTCTTGCGGATACTCAACGGCGAATTACTGAATTGAGCGCTGCCCACAAGCCATCCAAGACCGACGCCAGCCAAGCCGCGAATCTCGAGCGTCAAATCTCTTCGCTAGAAGAAGAGATTGAAGCTCTCCGTGAGCAGAGGGGTGGGATCGAAGAAGAGATTCAGACTCTGCAGAATAAGATCATGGAGGTTGGCGGTGTGAGACTCCGGAGTCAAAAGGCCAAGGTCGACGGTCTCAAGGAGCAAATCGGACTTCTGGCCGACGAGATCTCCAATGCCGAGGTCGGCAAGTCCAAGAATGAGAAGCAAATCACCAAGCACCAGAACGCACGCAACGATGCTGAGAAGGAGCTTGAGCATATTGCCCGCGAGCTTGAGAAGCTGAACCACGACGTTGAACACCAGGCCGACGATGCGTCCGGGTGGAAGCAGAAGGTGGAGGAATCCGAAGAAGCCCTTGAATCTAAGAAGGGAGAGCTCAAGTCTCTAAAGAGTGAGCTAGACGGCAAGGTTTCCGAGCTTAACGAGACGCGCGCCACGGAGATTGAAATGCGCAACAAACTCGAAGAGAACCAGAAGGCCTTATCCGAAAATGAAAAGCGCCGACGATACTGGGAGGAGAAGCTGTCTAAGCTGACCTTGCAAAACATCAGCGATTTCACCGAGGACCAGCAGCCCGTGGAGCTCCAAATTTACACCAAGGACGAACTGGCCGAGATGAACAAGGAGTCCCTGAAAGCAGTCATAGCCGCCCTGGAAGAGAAGAGCCAGAACTCCTCCGTCGATCTGTCCGTCATCGAAGACTACCGCCGTCGAACGGCCGAACACGAAGCGCGCTCGGCGGATCTATCCACGGCCCTGGCGTCGCGCGACAGCGCCAAATCTCGCCTCGATGGTCTGCGATCCGCGCGACTCAACGGCTTCATGGAAGGCTTCGGCATCATTTCTCTCCGTCTGAAGGAAATGTACCAGATGATCACGATGGGCGGTAACGCGGAGCTGGAGCTCGTGGATTCGCTGGACCCCTTCTCCGAAGGCATCCTGTTCTCGGTCATGCCGCCGAAGAAGAGCTGGAAGAACATCGGCAATCTGTCCGGTGGTGAGAAGACGCTGTCGAGTTTGGCACTGGTCTTCGCCCTGCATCACTACAAGCCGACGCCGCTGTACGTGATGGACGAGATTGATGCCGCGTTGGATTTCCGCAACGTGAGTATTGTTGCGTCGTATATTAAGGAGAGGACCAAGAATGCTCAGTTCATTGTTATTTCTTTGAGAAACAACATGGTATGTTTTCTCATTCTCTTTCCTATCTCTCTCTGCAGAGCGATTCCGATGACTAACTACCACCAGTTCGAACTCGCATCCCGCCTAATCGGCGTCTACAAGGTCAACCATAAGACCAAGAGCGTGACGATCGAAAATAGGGACTATATCACGGGACGGTGATCATTCCAAATTTGCTAGGCTACATGTTTGACGAAGCTGTCTTTCCATTTCTTTCTTCCTCTTCTTGTTGTCCATTATGCTAGGGTTATTTGTCTGTTAGTTCATTATTGTTGTTGGCTGGCTGCTAAGGTATTCTATATTCATTGGGAGGTACCGGTACCTAGTTTGGTTGCGTTGAATTATCTATTTGCTACTTTTCTCACATTCATATTCACATATTGTCTTCCTTATCTATCTTTACTACTATTACTTCTTCTTCTTGTCATATAATGTGCAACGTACCAATGGTATATGATATCATGCTGATCATTGATTCTCTGTTGTATGGACCCTGGCTATTCATTCTTTGACACCACATGTAGAAGACAGTAAGTACTCATCCTTTCTCCTGACATGAAAAACAAGACAAGACTCCCAGAGAAACAAACAGAAATAGTAGAAGATCAAAAAGGTAAAAATAAAAATAGACTACAGACAACTCTGGAAACATTACTAAAAATAAACAATGATGATGATAAGAAGTATATAGTGGATGACCCCTTCACTACCCGACTTCCCTCCCATCCTTCCATCATTTACCACTACTAAGATAATACAATGCAAAAGACCCAAACAAAAATACAATCAAGAGAAAAAAAAAACAACCTCGATGCATGTAAGTAAGAAACGATACGAAAACCATATCTAAAATACAACTAATCATACATCAAATACGTCACCACGTAGTCATATCCATCCATGTCCGTGTCCGTGTCCATGTCCGCATCCCGCACCGAGAAGTTAATCACCCAACGCGTCTAATGATCGTCTCGTCATTTAACGAAGGCCGCGCGGGAATTATACTGAATATGGGAGAACAGGAACAAATGAGTGAGGGAAGGGAGGGAGAGTGGCAGGCAGGTTGAGTCATTTAGTAGTTTCTAGGTAAGGTAGGTAAGTATCTAGGTAACTACAGTGACCCGGCTCTCGGTGGGCTATACTCCTGCCTTGCGCCATTATCCAGTAATGCAAGGAGGGGGGAATAATTGGGATGGAATGATAAAATGATTAAATAATAGACACACGTGTAATTAAGTGTGTTAATGTAACTCCTCATGTTGAAGAGACAGAAGGATTAGGCGCGTAAAATTGACCACCCTCGCTTTGCAAAAAGAGAAAAAAGAAGCACAAGTAAATGCAAAGGAAGAATAAAGTAAAGTCCCCCGGAACTCCACTTCCTATCTGATGGCGCCAGTCTATATCCGTGTTGCAAAACAGGTCAACAAAGAAAAACAAGTTAAAGGAAATGCAAGGAAAATGCAAGAGGCGTAAACAAGGCCTAGCCTAGCGATGCGAATGTGCGCGTGAGTACTCGGAAGGCATCGTATCACATGGTCAAAAGATCCGTCCAACGAGCTCGAAGGACGGTCGATAGTGCGGTTGTGGTCCAACCGGAGGGTTCATCGGAAGGGACATCATAGATAAATTTAGGCAATGACCGGCCGGCGGGGCGCAATTGGAATGGGCTTGGGTCCAGAGGAGATCTCCAGACCGGACATCCCCAGGTCGCCGTCTGTTGACTGCTCCTTGTCGCCGGGTAGTAATGACCCCCGGCGGGACGCACTGCCACCCGCTTCCTGCACCGTACTGCAGACGAATCGTTCTTCGGAAACGGGGACGGCGCCAAACATGTTGCCCAGCTGTTGGAGGAGGGCGACGAAATGCGCATGGATTTCGGCGAAGATGGAGGGGTTGCCGACGATCTCGGCGAGATTGCGGGCCCGCACCTGGCCCGGTCGACGGGCCTGACCGTCGGGATCGAGGGCGCGTCCGGTGAGGAAGGAGGAGACGGGGGTGTAGGGCCGGTTGCCCGGTCGATTGAGGCTCGTATTCTGCTCCTCGCGACTCTTCTCGGCCTCCTGGAATCGCTCCGCGGAGTGGACGATGCCGGTGGCGATGCGACCGAAGGCGCGCCAGATGACGGGGCAGGCGCGAAACGCGCGGCCCGCGTCTTTGCCGGCCAAGGCGACCAGGGCATAGCTGCGCCGTTTGCCGCGCGCCATGGGGTCCGGGAGACGGAAGATGTAGGCGACGGTGTATCCGGCGTTCGAGTCACCGAAACAGAGCGGCCCGGACGAGAGGCCGCGCGGGAGCAACTCGCAGCTGAGGGTGCGGATGGAGGAGCGACGCAGCAGGGCGTAGTCGGCGGGGTTCGGGGGCCCACGGAGGGACAGGTAGGTGAGAATGTGGGTGTGACACGAGGCATCGGACGCCACCGAGGAAGAATGGAAGGAATCGGGCAAGGATGGGTGGGCGTGCGGATCGCGCGCAGTGTCGTCGACGTCAGCGTGATGGTTGGCGCCACACGAGTAGACGACCTCGCGGGAGCGCAAGACGGGACTGCCGTTCCTCCCCTTGCCATCCCCCTTGGCGGTACCCGGGGCCCCCGGGGGCAGTTGCCTGCTCACATCCTCGGGCAGGGTCAAGCTACAACTGGCGCAGGTATCGCCGTCGGCGCCACCGAGGGGACCCGATCGGGTGGCATTGTCCAGCGGGTTGGATTGGGCTCTAACGAAGTAGGGGTGGTCTTCGATTTTGGGACAAGGATGGCTCAGGTCGGCGGGACGGTCGGAGGGCCTCGTCGGGGCCGTGTTCTTCCCATTGGGGAGGTTCGATGGACCGTGGAAGGAAGCCGTGTCGTGGGAAGTGGCCGGCGTATCATCGGGGGAGAAATCGGATTTGTCGGGGTAACATTGGGTGCAGGAGAAGGGGAGGACCTGCGAGCAGATGATCGAGGTGGGACCATGGACCTCGCAGAAATGCGTCAAAGAGAGCTGGAGGGGAGAAAGTGGTTAGAGAGATGGATCTCCAACGAACGGACGCGCATCGCATGGCGACATTTGACCTGCATGATGCAGGGCCGAACCGATAACCCAGGCATGGGGAGTGGTTCAGGAGTGGGCGCATCGAATGCAGGCCATTCAATCCATGCGATGGGAGCCAATAAGGGAAAGAAAGGAATTCGACAAGGAGGCGAATGGGAGAGGCTCACAATGAAATCCATATCCGGAGATTAGCGTCTAGCAGCATCCAGCAACCATATTAAACCATTATTGCTATACATGCTTTCGCGAGAGGAGTAGACGCAGGGCCGGATACTTCTCAGGATCTTAAGAAAGCACCGGAGAAGAAGGAAGAGGGAGAATATCACTCAGGGGAAGGGATCATGAAGATGAAGCCCAAGTGAGTGAGGTGAAGTAGAGGAAAAGGACTGCAAAGGCCAGCTTGCAGACCAGAGACAGCGAGTGGGGGGGAGGGAGAGGAAGGGAGGAAAGAAAACAGGAAAGAAGAAGAGGAAAAGGGAGAAGTGAAGGAGTATATAATAGTATAGCATGGAGAAGAGAGAGAGAGAGACAGAAAGATACGACCCTGGTTTAGGATGATCCCGAGTTCGTATTGTCCCGGTTACGAGTCTCGATCGCCTAGCGTATGGTCAGCCCAATGCCATACGGTCAGATTGGGCATTCTTTCTGTATAAATACGGTATTCCGGTTGTTACGCCATCGAAGGTTGATCGAATGGACGATGGAAGAAGTCTAAGTCGATCCGGTCTATCCGCATTCCTTACTGATCTCCATCAATAGGGAGCCACATTCACACACAATGAAATAATCAAGCAAGGATATCCAGGTAGAATATTAGTATATATTGTATTATATCCTACCTGAATCATATATTGTGGTATCTGGTAATATAGAAGACGGAGTATATAAAAGGTAATAGAATACCATGCGGTATTGCTCGTCACAATACCGACTCCCAACCCAGTAAGAGTCCCGTTAGTCAACCCGTCTGTTTGTCACATGTGCCGATCTTCTCCTTCTTTTTCCTTCGATTCTTCTTTTCTTCTTTGGATTCGATTTCTTCCTCTCTTTTATTAATATCATTCTTGTTCTTCTTTTCTCTATCATTGAAGGAATTGATACAAAGAGTGAGGCGTGACTATCTTTCAATAGTCCTTCCTTCTCTTCTCCGATGAAAAATCACCAATCTCCCGTCTCCGATTTGTCTCTCGACTCGGAGAGACGGCAAGTCCAAGTCCACTTTCGTCTCGGTCTTTTTCCTTTTTCTTGGGATCGGTGGATCCGACTAAAAAGTCTTGGAGCCCCAGCCCAATCTAAAGCCACGCGGGTGTATTCTCCTGATCAGATGGGGTTCGAGACACTTCGTCCAAACCGCTCGCGGACGGGTGGAGATGTCGATGGTTATTCTATATTCTCAAAACATTGTATATCATAATACCACCTAATACCACATCTATATTAACACAGATGGTTACTATATACATATGACCATGTAAGATACTATGTATTATCCCATAGTAACGTCACGATGCAGCCAGGATCCAGGGAATAATCTCATCTTCACCTCCCAATCTGATCCAGCATAATCTCCGTCCAACATGCCTGTCCATGTTACACCTCTGCTTCTCCTCCGATTTTCTCCATCCAATCCAATCCTTCAACCTCTCTCCTGCGAACCACCTCCCTCCTTTGTTTCTTTTTCCTTTCCTCTCTTCCTTCCAATCACTCTTTAAGCTGATGTCAATCCGAGGTCATCGTCTTTCAACATCCTTGTCCTCCGCATTGGATACGGTAACCGGTGTACGGAGCTGAGTACAAGACTACTGAGTATGGAAACTCGGCAGGCGACAGTCTGCCCACCTCGTCTACTCCACACGATGGAGAGCAGCTGAAAACCACCGACGGTCCCCTCCGACCGGACGACCAATAATCTTCACATCGATTCCACTCAGTTTCTCCCCTGGACCCAATGAGCCGCGAGACATCCCGGTCTTTACCAATCCGTCCCCACGTGGCGACTTTCTCCGTTCATTTGCCGGCGTTTTCCATCGTGAGAATTACCTCCACTCAGAACATTTGGTATACGAAGGACTATACTACTCAGTAGTCCTCCGTAGGTCCTACTACTAACTCCCACGATGGAGTATCTCGATCCACTCCATCCTGTCATGGAGGCAACTCTTTCACGAGGGATCTCCAAAATACTCCCTCCTTTCCTTCTTTTTCTTCTTCTGTCCATTTCCTGAGGATCCGGTCTCCGTTTGTTCTTCGTAGCATCTTCTTTGCCTAGGCAACATTTCCACCTTCCGACCGTTATTCCGACTGTGGCGCGAATTTTCCCGTCGCCGTTTCGATATATCCCGGACGGATCTCGAGTCCTTCCTACGTAGTCGGCTATACGACCGACTGGACAAGGCTGACTGATCCCTGTGAGTCAGAATCGTCGACGTTGGTCATACATCGTTGCAGATGGACTCGTCTTTTCCGTGCGGAGATTTGAACGGACAATAACACCGTCCTTCCTTTCTTTCTTCCCCTCCCCACCTCTCTTACCTATATTATTTAATCCACCCCCCCCCCAATCACATGGCAACGGTCAACGGCAGTTAGCCTGGCCATTTGAATGAAATAAAGAAATATGACAGAAACCAGTCACCCGTCATTCGTGAGACGTGCAGCGATCAGAACGCCGCTTCTACCTAGGTCCTGGTCGAGGTCGGTCCGGTCGAGGTCTGGTCGAGGTCTAAACGGAACTCCATGCGTACTGTACTGAGTCAGAGTACTCCCCGTACATCTGGATAGGTATAGCACAGTCTCTGCCAACTGCAACTAGCCTGGAATATCGCGACCCGCGCGTCGTTGTAAAAGCCCTTTCTTTGGACATGTCCCAAATCTCCGCTTTATGACCCCTCTCCCGCCTGCAAGCCGGCTATCTGAGCGGGGAGGTCCAGACCGGCTGTCTCGTTCGTTCTTCTCCGCGGGTGGGAGTCCGAGCCTTGCAGTGGTTGATACGAGGATCTTCTTATAGCAGGGATAAGGTGACAACGAGGCGTTCTAGAGCGAGATAGACTGACTCTTTCTATCTCGTATTTTCAGTGTCTCTACTGGTGTTTAGTAGGTCTATGTGGAATCGGTCGGGTTGAATGCGTGGTGGTACTAGATCAATCATGGTCAACACTTGGGCCTCCCCTAGTGATCGAATTCCCTGTTTTTTAAATACTGATATTGCTCTCGCATCACTTCAATAATTTAATAAAGTAAAAAAACGAAAAATGTATAATGGCCAGCGCAGATGTTGTCGCGGCCAAATAGCTCGGGGGCATTGTAGACCGCAGACCAAAGTGGTCCGTGCTCCGCGGAGGAAAAAAAAAAGGTTATCGCTCCAACAGTGAACGGAATCTTACCAGACCACTTGACGCTTTGCGATTGACACCACCCCCTCCATTCTATACAGGCGCATGGTCCTCGACTTCTAGCTGGGCCTCATTCGTGTCACTTCTACCTTTTTTTTTTTTATCCCACCCGCCGATCGACACCCCGATCGACGCCATGGCCGCCAAAAAGTCCGCCAGACCTCCTACGCCGGAGAGCTCGAGTAGCGCGTCCAGCAGGTCGAGCTCCCCTGAGACAACCAAGAAGTCTACGAAGCCGGAGAAATCAGACGAGTCGAGCTCGGAAGATGACAGCACAGGTAGCTCTGGGGGCGACTCTTCGTCGTCGGAGGACGAGAAGCAGGACCATGCGACGGACGGACAGTCCAAGGACAAGTCCGTCTCCCTCTTATTCCCTTCACAATATCTATTGTATTATCTCCGAGTACATCCCTAACCTCTACAGACATTCCTCCAAGCCCGCCTTCCTCCCACCCCAACCCTACAAGCCCCCCACCGGATTCAAGCCCATCAAAAAGCAATCCCCCCCGTCCGCAACCACCACCTCCCTCCTCTCCGACCTCCGCGGCAAGCAAGTCTTCCACGTCACGGCGCCCTCCTTCCTCCCCATCCACAAAGTAAAGGAGATCTCCCTCGCCAAGGCCCTACAAGGCGAACCGATCCTCACCCACGACGGCGTCCAGTACGGCATCCCTGCAAACAGCACCGGCCAAGACGACACAGCCGGCAAATCCCTCGCCCTCTACGACCCCAAGACCCAAACCTACCGCCCTTCGCCCGCGACAAACATCAAGAGCTTCCACGTCCAAGAGCTGGTTCACATCCCTGCGCGATCTCAGGACGCAGACCAAGATGTGATTCTGGAGGCTGCGCGCGAACAGGTCAAGCCGCCGCGCAAGCAGCCGTCGAACTTGAAGATGCGATTCCGTCCTGTCGGCAGCGGAGACGCTCCGGCTGAGACGCTCGGATCGAGCGACGACGAATCCGACGCTGAGCAGCAGCCGGCGCGCACCGCCCGCGAGGAGAAGAAGAAGAGGAAGCATCACCAGGCGGAGGAGGAGAGCCTGCCGGCTGCCGGTTCGCCGAGAAAGAAGTCGAAGAAGGTTGCCTCTTCTTCGCAGGATGCGGGCGATGGCGAGAAGTCAAAGAAGTCGAGCAAGAGCCGTGATGAGAAGAAGCAGAAGAAGTCGAAGAAGTCGGCTTGAACTTCCACTCTACGCGATCATTTCTAGGACTGGGTTGATTCTTTTTTCTTTTCATTGAATAAAAGTTTGTTATAGATGGGATGCAAGATGTGCTATGTGTGAGTGTGATGTGGATGTATGTGCATCAGGGCGTACGGTACCCGTTACGACTTTAGGCGTTTGTATTGCTTGCTCAACTTTCTTCTTTCTTCTTCATTCTTTCAACATTGTATGTATGTATATACGGATCTATACGAACTGATGTGATTACAAGTTCGATTGCTTCTGACACTTGGAGAGGACTAGATAAGATATGAGACAAGTATTTGACTGAGATCATGTCTGTTGGTCTCTAGTAATTATAGCTTGACCAGCTAGCCTCACCCTGTCTCATATTACAGCCAAAGAGATAATAATAGACCAAATCTCTGACCTAACTAACATTCTAACAAGCACTTCTACTCTGTACAGAGTTAATCCCCTGTATTTTATTAACCAAGATACCACCAATTCCACATCAACCCTAAAACCAATCTCGACAGGTATCACCAACGGCGCAAGCCAAGGCAGTACGCAGGTTTGATCTTCTGTCCAGGATGTGGATTTGGACTTGTCGATTGCCTTCGTAGCACGGTGGCTTTTAGAGCTGGATAGATAGGTAGAAGGAACAAGTTTGTGTTGGTTACACCGGGCTGGGCTGTCTTGCCTATTTGAGATGGGTACTTCCCTAACTGAGGTACGGAGTAGTTGGGATGTAAGAGTGGTTGTTGGGATGTTCTTTTTATCTTGTTTATAATGTCTTGAATTGAGCATAGCAAACTAGATATAGATAAAGCAAACGTGCATAACTTGCTCAGCGTATACGAGATTTATCTACAGAGGACTTGCGAGAGACCTATCTATCTATCATCTATCATCTATCCCATACATGGGCGCGCGCATACAGTACAGCTTGGGAAAGTGATCTATCTACGGTATTATCTCTCGTAAAGATGGAATTATCTGTATATTGACATGGTTCGGACAGACCCACTCAATAGAGTTGATTGATTGATTGTCAAGTGTAGCCGCTAGTTAGTCGCCGAGGGAAGGCTGGATAATCATGGGGCGCGGTGGGTTGGACTTTATCGGGTTTCATTGAACAGGCTTATAGTATATCTACAGGTTATATACTATGAATGTAGGTCAAAGGATACTTTCTAGATCTGGTCTGTTTTTGGATCGTTGGTTTCACATGGTATTGGTATGGATGGACTTTTGTGGAGGCAAGTAGGTGGTATGCTGATAGAGACACCATGTCACATGCTCACAGCATAGCATCACTTTCAAACATTGAATCATGCAGTCACACATAATATCTTCACAATAACTCTTTATTGTCTGTATAAATCAGGTGACAGTGTCACAAGCGATGACTCTGAAGATATCCGGCTATGCAGATGGTTATGCACTAAATATGTTGATTAGATAAGCACATATCAGGGGAACCCGTCGATGATTGGCCCAGACCGGGGACAGCTGATATGGGCGAATGACGTGCCGCTGGATGGGATGGATTGATGCACTGCAGGTGTGGAATGCCGATGCTTTCAAGTTGCTTCGCTCATCTTGCTCTCCTGCCTACTCCTTCCTTACATCCTGGTCACGGTGAAGATTGTCCTTGTTGCTATCTCCCATCCGTGAGACTCTTTCAGTCCTCTCCTTGATCTGTTTTTACTCCTCCACAGACGGAGCCTCATCTTCCCCACAGTTATGATCGTGAATCCGCTATCACCGCTGCTTTGATGGCCAAGCTTTCATCCAACTCACTTTCCATACCGACTTTGTTGAAGTAAAAGTCATCTCCAATAGGAGACTACACGTACGCATCTCTGGTCTATCCTGTTCTCCCCCTTCTTTGATGCGGAGGTCTGGCCTGTTGATGTCATCTTGTATATAAACTAACCTGGATGATCACCCGTCTTGATAGTCTCCACTGTTGGTATCCTCTATCCTCACCGTGCCTTTCGAATCGACTGGATCATCGACCCTTTTCCTTGATCGTGGTGGTGGATCACACGCGCTGTGGCTGTGACCAGGGCATACTCAGCCTTCGCCTCCCTTCCGCCCTTGCCACACCCTCTTCCTACACCCTCCTGCCCATCCCCCCACACCCACCGCCCAAATGCGACCTCTTCAAGAAGACACGAAACGACGGCTCGACCGGAGGCTCAGCCACGGCCGACAGTCCACCCCTAGCCGCATGTTTTCAAGCGCCCTGCCTGACCGGTTAAAAGACGACCATGACGCCCAAGTGGACTTCACCGCTCCCCCGGGCCGGACAGGCGCCCGGGATGGTCATATGCAGTATATGCAGCAGTCTATATTCTCGATGATCGCGGCTGTCGGGTCAAGGTCCGATTTACATGCGCGATTTGACGACTCCAGTGATAGCGACGAGGAGAAAGAGAGACGGCCCCGAACGAAGGTCGCTGAGAGAGGGCGTCACCAACACAGGTCGGTTTCGGACCATCGACTTCTGCGACCCTTTCAGTCGAAGTCCGCGTCGAGAGAACGGCACAAGGAATCCGCAACGGGCGACGACCAGCCTCAGATTCCTCCCCCGCGGCCTCGCAGTGTCACTCCGCGAGCGGCCCCCGTCCTTAGCCGCATGGTAGAGGCACAGGCCAAGCTTGAGACGGCTACCGAACCGACCGCCCCTTCCCATCAACCTTCTACAGAAGAGAAGAGCGCTCAAGATTCTCAGCAGCTGGCCGCGTCACCGCTGGCCGAGAGACTGGCGGAGATGTTTGGCTTTGGCGCGCCCGAGAAGATCCTCGTTGAGTATGGGTGCTCCCTGCTGCAAAGTATGCTTCTCCAGGGCTATATGTATGTAACAGAAGGACATATATGCTTCTACGCCTACCTGCCGAAAAAAACAACGGTTGCCATAAAGTCCGGCTACCTGCACAAACGCGGACGAAAGAACCCCAAATATGCCCGGTATTGGTTTTCCTTGAAGGAAGACGTCCTCTCCTACTATGCCGATCCGTCGGCCCTCTATTTCCCCAGCGGTCACGTCGACCTCCGCTATGGGATATCGGCGTCGCTGGTGGAGCCAAAGGAGAAAGGGAAGGAATCCAAGGATTTTCAGGTGACGACAGATCAGCGAACATACTATTTCCGCGCAGACAGCTCCGCCAACGCAAAAGAATGGGTCAAGGCTCTGCAGAAGATCATATTTCGGACCCATAATGAGGGCGACAGTGTGAAGGTATCCTTTCCCATCAAGAGTATTATAGATATAGAAGAGAGCCCGATGGTCGAGTTCGCAGAGACCTTCAAGATACGCGTGGTGGAATGTGATGATTCCTATGCGATTGACGAGGTGAGATTCCCGACTACTCCTAGCTTGTGTCCCCTTTACTGATAACATTCTAGTACTACTTCACCTCCTTTGACTCTGGCCAGGACGCCTTCAATTTTTTAAAAGGCCTCATCAGTGAAAATTCGGCCAAGTCTTCGCGAACCATTTCCCCTCGGCCCGATAAAACTGGTCACCCAAGCCGCGCCCGTAGCCCCCGAGGGAGGTGGTCTCTGTCCAGAGGGTTAAGCCACCCCAGGGGCATAGGAACGGCCGATACTCCCCGGCAAAGAAGTGTGAGTGCCAGCAACTTCAGCCTTGGCCACGATGTCATCGGACAGTCGCCTCCACGGCAGATGGACTCGTCGGACTCATTTGTGAATTCCTTTGAACACGCTACGGAGTCCTCCGCCGTATTGCAATCGATGACTGGCACGGCGGAATCCGCAAGTCAAATATTGAACCGAAGCGATGTCTTTCATTCTCCCACGATACATACCCTGCGGATGCGGTCTTCGGCCGCCGATAAGCCCAATCGCCGCCACTCAGACGAGACCGCGCGATCTTCCAACGCCAACGCCGTCATGGATCCGTCTGCTCCTGCTTCGAGAGACGGGCCTGAAATCCAGTATGCACACAGCGGATCTGCCCATGACGCCCAGGACCCTACCGCTGCGTCTAGTGCGTCTGGGTTGAACGATCTTGTGCGGGCTGGTACTTATCCTCTCCAGCGGGCCGCAGGCATCGCCGGATATCTCAAGAATCGGTCGCGACAGATGAGTACGCTCCTGGCCAGTGAGTCCATGGGTTATATAGAGAAGGTCTCGGGAATGTGGGTCGGTGGCCGTCGGCATTATGGAGAGACCGAAGGTGTATTGCCGGATGATCAGGCCCTGGATGCCGATGACCAGGACGATGGGTGCAAAGACGGCGATCGATTCCGTGCCCACTTCGCCCTCCCCCCGACTGAAAAGCTTCAGGCTACCTATTTCGCACATCTGCACCGCGTTCTCCCGCTTTACGGCAAGATCTACATCAGTCAGAAAAAGCTGTGCTTTCGCAGCCTCCTTCCAGGAACTCGTACCAAGATGATACTCCCCCTCAAGGATGTCGAGAATGTGGAGAAGGAGAAAGGGTTCCGGTTTGGCTATCACGGACTCGTCGTCATTATCCGGGGTCACGAGGAATTGTTCTTCGAATTCAACGCGTCGGACGCCCGGGATGACTGTGCTGTGACGATGCATCAACATCTGGAATCCATACGGTTCCTGGTGGAGTCGGGTCTTCTTGCAGAGCAGGAGAAAGAGGAGTCGGAAGCCGCGCAGGAGGAACACCAGATGCTACAGGAAGCTAGATTGGGCACCTCGGGAGAGAATGATACCCGAGCCATGTTGACTGAGGACTCGGGGGAGCTTCATCCCGTTTTTGATGACCCGCGCGCCTCGATCGTCAATTTTAAGCCCGCCGAGTCTTTGAGGATCACCTGTCTTACCATTGGCTCACGCGGAGATGTCCAGCCGTATATTGCCTTGTGCAAGGGTCTTATCGCGGAGGGTCACCGACCAAAGATCGCCACGCATGCCGAGTTTGAACCCTGGGTGAGGAAACATGGCATCGACTTTGCTCCTGTCGACGGAGACCCAGCAGAACTCATGCGTATATGCGTCGAAAATGGAATGTTCACGTATTCATTCCTGAAAGAGGCGTCGATGAAGTTTAGAGGGTGGATCGATGATCTGCTGTCGTCGGCCTGGGCAAGCTGCCAGGATAGCGATCTCCTCATCGAATCCCCAAGTGCCATGGCTGGGATACACATTGCCGAAGCCCTTCGCATTCCCTACTTCCGTGCTTTCACGATGCCCTGGACCAGGACGCGTGCGTATCCCCATGCGTTTGCTGTTCCAGAGCAGAAGATGGGCGGCGCGTACAATCACATCACCTACGTCATGTTTGACAATGTCTTCTGGAAAGCGATTGCGGGTCAGGTGAACCGGTGGAGGAAGAACGAGCTCGGTCTCAAGGCCACCAACTTGGACAAGATGCAGCCGAATAAGGTTCCCTTCTTGTACAACTACTCGCCGTCAGTGGTAGCACCGCCGTTAGACTACCCGGATTGGATTCGTATCACCGGCTACTGGTTCCTGAGCGAGGCAACTGGTTGGACGCCTCCGGCGGAGCTGGTTGAATTCATCCGCCGTGCTCGCGAAGACGGTAAGAAGATCGTCTATATCGGGTTCGGATCGATCGTCGTGTCGGATCCGTCTGCTCTGACGCGGACGGTCGTCGAGTCTGTCCAGAAAGCCGACGTCCGTTGCATCCTTTCTAAGGGTTGGTCCGACCGTCTTGGCGACCCCGCCAGCACAAAAGCTGAGATTCCTTTGCCCCCTGAGATCTTCCAGATCCAATCCGCACCGCACGATTGGCTGTTTTCCCAGATCGATGCGGCAGCACATCACGGAGGCGCAGGGACCACTGGCGCCAGTCTGCGCGCGGGCCTTCCTTCTATCGTCAAGCCTTTCTTCGGTGACCAGTTCTTCTTCGGGACCAGAGTTGAAGACCTCGGCGTAGGGATCTGTATGAACAAGCTGAACGTGAGCATTTTCTCGAGGGCGTTATGGGAGGCGACCCACAGCGAGCGAATGATTAAAAGGGCGCGAGATCTGGGGGTGCAGATTCGAAGCGTAAGCTTATTCTCTTGAGATTGTACCAATTTGACTGAAAATGCTAACTTAAAATTAGGAGGATGGTGTCGACACCGCCATCCAGGCAATCTACCGCGACCTCGAGTACGCCAAAACACTCGCGCGACAGCGCTCCATCTTCTCCGCAACCCCATTCTCGCCCACCCCGTCGGCCAAGCCCGTCGCTGACCTCGATGCGGATAACGACATGGCCGACTCCGAAGAGTGGACCTTTATCGGCGATGACATGGACATTGACATCTCGAAGCGAATGCGTGATCGAGCTATTTCTGATGCGAGTTTGCTACCTGATCCGGTTACTTGTAGCATGGGATGATTTTACCTTTGACTCTCGTCTTGATCTTTTCTTCTTTTCATTTTCTAGGGCGCTCATGATGATTTATGACTGCATCTTGCTTGTTCTTGCTTAAACATTGCTAGCAACATCTAACTGCATCTAATATTGTGTTTGAAGATTCACTCAAGACTTTCTGCAGATTGTTACATGCTTGGAATGTCTTTCTTTTCCTTTCTCTTTCGTTTTTTTTTTTTTCTCTTTTTTTTTTAACATGTTGGATCATATCATGTCCTCCTATTCTATCTATCTATCTTACAACGACGCTCAGCGACTGATGAATTGATGAATGAATACTTGCCACGGGGACGGACATAAACTGTTGGGATTTGATTTGGATTTGGGTACTAATGCGAATAATGTGGTTGATAGCCAAATGGACAAGCCTGCTTTATTTGATAGAGTGGTGGGCATAGCGCAATGGACTATTTCTTTATCATCATTAATATTATCACCATCGTAGATGACTATGACAGGATATTAATCAGTACCAATTCAACAGATAATCAATCTCTCATAAAAATTTACATATGGCAAACAGTGTCACGCATAATTCCAGTGATATAAGAGGAAGCAGCAATATAGGATTGGGGTTTGAATTCATCGGAAGGAACGATGGACTCGACCCTGCCTGCCCTAACCTGCACCACCTGCGACTTCCTTAATAGGTAATCGGTAGTATGACTTGCGAGGAAGGGTCGATCGACGCTCAGAACAGCTCCTTCTTCTTCTTTTTCTTCTTCCGTTCTTCTTCTTCTACCTCATCGAAGGCTGGAATCTTTTCTCTTCTGAGATCGACAAGTCCCCTTCACCTAACTAGATAAGGTCAGGTCCTCGCCGAATATGTGATGTCTGTCTGAGACATCAATCAAGCCAATATCTAAAGTCCAACGTGCCCTCAGCTACCTCAAAACTAGACGCCAGAATATTCCCAATACAAGCAAAAACCGTGTCCCCTCTGATAGCGCATGTCGTTGTAAAAGAGGATAAACAGGTGGGTAATTCTCCATATATTCATCTTATTCTTGTGTATTATAGGATATGGATAAACTAACATACAGCTGACAGATCTCCCTCTGGTCCAAAGAAGGCCTCCTTCCCTTTTCTCTGACCTCTGCGGTAAACGGCATCCACCTTTGACGAGGCAGTTTACTAACACCAGAATTTACAAAAGAGTTTCTTGGCAAAAAGTCTCTGTACAGGCTTAGTTTGATCTTGGTCCTTCCTTATGCCCCCACTCCCGGTATATTCCGGCAGCATCCCCTTAGCCCTGACTCGTATCACGTGCTATAATGTTGACTGACCCACTTGGTGAGTCGCGTCTATTCAACGTTCTACATGATCAACCTGATCGCATTCTCACATCAATCCAGAAGCCACAAGAACGAACTTGAGACTATTGTTATGTCGGGTCGACCGACCCTTGTCTTTATACCAGGCTCCTGGCATAGACCTACATGCTATAATCCGATCATCAAGCCCCTGGAGCCTAAGTTGAGATGTGTCACAGTTTCTCTTCCCTCAACAGCATATAACCCCGAAGCGACCTTTAAAGATGATATCGATGCAGCCCGGGATGTGATTTCCGCTGAAACAAGTACCGGGCGCAACGTCGTTGTCATTGCGCACTCATATGGCGGCATGGTGGGCAACAGCGCTGTCAAAGGCTTCACAAGGCCGACAGACGCAGATGACAATCGAGCGGGATCCGTGATTGGACTGATTCTCATAGCCTCTGGCTTCACCTTGACTGGTCTGTCTTTCATGGATCCATTCTTCGGCCATCCGCCACCTTCTTGGCGTGTTAATAATGAGACCGGCTACGCGGAGCTTGTCACTCCCCCCCGCGAACTCTTCTACCACGACCTACCTAAGGAAGAGGCAGAATACTGGGTTTCTCAGCTTATAAGTCAGAGTCTGAAGGCTTTGTTCGAAGGCGGCGAGTACAGTTATGCCGGGTGGAAAGACGTGCCGTCCTGGTACATCGGGACTGTGGAGGACCGAGGGCTACCGGTCCTGGCTCAGCGGATGTCGGTTGGCATGGCGAGAGAGATGGGGGCTAATGTAGAGCATCGAGAGCTGCAGACGAGCCATTCGCCCTTTCTCAGTCAACCTGGATTGACAGTGGAAATCATTTTGGAGGCTGTTGATGCTTTTACCAACTCCAGGAGTGATGGGTCTAAATCAGCGGTCAATAGGGCTGAAAATGACATAGTCGTGCCGCGTGCTGACCTCTTGAAACCACTGACATGGTTCAAATTTGGACTGCCGATGGTTGTTGGCCGTGTGTTGGGCAGATGCATTCTTTTATTTGGCTGGGGAAGGAGGCTGTGGAATAAGTAGTCATTGATCAACGGAGCTTTTACCTAGTTATGTTGACGTTGGTTACGTTCTTGCATATATTTTAATGACAGGAAGCTTACTCCACTTCGCCACCTTGGCTATCTATGAAGGGCGCTGGGATGCTGGTGCTTGAGGTAGCACCAGTGGGGTTGGAGAATAACGAGTTGGGTTGTGGTTGTTTTCGGTCCTGCCACTCTAGACGGGCGAGATTTGCAATGAGAGGGGGATGTCTGTATATACTGCAGCACTGACCGACGACCGGTATGACGCGATAATCAAACATTATGAGCAGGCATTAATTAAGGTAACTTTAAGAACAAGGGTTACAATATAGAATATATCATAACTTTAACATGGTGGTATCAACAACAGGAGGATGGAGAGCCCGCCAGTCAACGCGACTTAAGGAGAGCATTGATGTAAACACAACATTCTAACAACTCTGATTCGAGGCCTAGTCCCTTCTACAAGTTATACCTCGTCTGTTGCATCTCTAGAGCAACGCAATCCGTCAAACGCTCACTTATTGTATGCGTGCGAGCGCTTTCGACCCCTTTCGACCTCTTTTCTATCGAACCACCCGTCTATACTCCCCAGCCTGGGGAGTATGCTTGGTATATTTTCGACCCCCTCTCTGATTTAGGGAAACTTGGGAACAAACGTCGGTGTCGCAGAGAACTTTTTGAATCACGGCTTACTCTCTTGACAGCTCGGGTAAAGCATAGCTCTCAGCATCTTGGTAAATTCATAGTATCAAACATCACTAGATAGGCCTTTGCCTGCTTATTTCTTGAAACTCGACCAGTCCATCCGCCTCAGCGATTCCTCGGTAAGTACAAGTGACTTTCTTGCCTCCTCGCTCATCAGATCCTGGGCCTGGATAACGGGGAACCCCTCCACCTTGTGGATATCAAGCTGGTTGTCCCTGAGGAACTGGAAAAACCGCCACTGACTCGCCTGTTCCTCGCCCATCAACGGCCAGAGAGCGCAATACTGCTCCGCCGATATCTGAACTACCATGGTGGACCCGTTCTGTGGGCTTAGTCCACTGGCACGCCCCCAAGCGGCTAGATAGGACTCCAGTGTAATAGTCTCCACATTACACTCGACGTAAGTACCTGGAGTGGGGGGGTTTTCCACGATTGAGCGAACGAAGATACCGCTGTTAATCCGGTGATCACCCACTGAAGGATACGGCGCCTGTGGGGGTGCTGGGTAAAACTGTATCCACTTCTGTGCAGAGGGCTATCGGAGTGCATTAGCCATTTGCTTTTTCCCTTGCAGCGGTGCACAATACTTACCAGATACAGAGGTCTGAAGATGTCGTACAAAACGACGTTGGCCCCGAAGATGGTGAAAATCGTGAAGGTGGTCTTCGCGTACAGCTCGGGCAGGTGTTCCTTGATGTACACATCCACATTTGCCTTGCCCTGGAAATGTGGCACTATAGCTTGTCCCTCTGTGAAAAGTTGGGTGTTCGGCAGGGTGCTCCAGACAAACCGCTCGAGGGTGGGAATGGTCGCCGCGGCTCGAGCGATGTTACTTCCCTGGGCGGTTTCTCGAGCCATCGATCGTTCCGGGCCGAGCTCAAAGAAGTAGTCGTAGTAGTCGGTGAAGGCAAAGATGGCATGCGCTCCCTGGAACGCTGCCTCGAGGCTCGTCTGGTCATCGGTGTTTCCTTGGACCATCTCCACCCCCTTGGCTTTGAGGGCCGTCGCCTTTTCACTGGAAGCATTGCGCGTCAACCCGCGGACTTTCCAACCAGGGGCTTGGAGGAAGGAGTCCACCACCGATCCACCCTGGCCACCGGTGGCGCCCAATACCACAATAAGCTTGTTCATGGTTGCAGAAGTGAAATAAGTGCCCGTTTCAAGTTGAATGTGACTAGCTTGCTGGGGATTATTGAAGTGTTTGGTACGTCAGGAAGGGGGATCGCCAGCCTGATTTATAGAAAACCTGGCCGGTTAGATTATGTTGGGGCGAACCCCCATGATTACAACACTGGGCCCTTCGTGTTCACAGAGGTAAGTAAATGATGCCTTTTGCCGAGGTGTCTTCTGCATGATCGATCGGATAAGCTCGTTGAGTCGGTTAGTTGTTAGCCCCATACTTCTGGCTAACCGGTCTTGACAGTATATCCGAATCAAGAGTACTTCGGCACTCGGCACTCGGCAGGGTGAGGTCGGCAGTCATCAGCCTGGGAATCTATTCCAATGGTCCTATGAGTATCGCAAGTATAGGAATGGATTCATGGAATAAAATAGGCGATGGACTTCGCTCGTTTTCCCAGGATTTCCATGATACAAAGCGCCTTTCTCCAGCCCCGCAATGGCTCAAACCAGACTTTCCCAGATCGCATCACAGCTCTCTCCTGGCGGTGGACAAGGCAACAGGAGCCCCGACGGCGACGAACCATCGTATACAGTATGCGAAAGGCCACTGGGGGCCCCTCGGCCAATTCGCATTGTCTGCATCGGAGCCGGAGCCAGTGGGCTCAACCTGATCCGCAGTGCTCGCCAAGGCCTCACGGATTTCGAGATTGTCGTGTATGAGAAGAACACGAAAATTGGAGGCACTTGGTTCGAGAACCGTTACCCAGGCTGCAAATGTGACATTACATCACATAACTACCAATTTTCCTGGCACCCAAATCCCGGGTGGACAAGCTTCTTCTCCCCTGCGCAGGAAATTGAGGAGTATCTGTGCACGGTTTGCAAGGAGGAACGCATGGCCGACGCCATCCACACAGACCACGAAGTTGTCTCTGCCGAATGGGAGGAGTCGAGTGGCGTCTGGAAGGTGAGGGTTAGAGATACGACTGGCAAAGCTGGGGAGTTCGAAGACCATTGCCAGTTTCTCATTGATGCTCGTGGGATTCTGAAGTGAGTTTGAATGACTTCTGGAGCAATGTCGCTGGTGTCCTGGGCTAACGTGGAGATGTGCCAGCCATTGGAAGTGGCCCACTATTCAAGGTCTACATGACTTCCAAGGAACTCTCGTGCACAGTGCGAATTGGCCCCGCGAGCTAGATTATACCGGCAAACGCGTTGCTGTGATTGGCAATGGCTCCTCTGGCATCCAAATAGTTCCTGCCATGCAACCAAGTACGGCCACTGTGCACTCGTATATTCATGTCGAACTTGCTGATCGTGAAACTAGCTGTTGATCACCTTGTCCACTTCGTTCGATCCCCAACCTGGATTGCACCACCGCGTGTTGACACCCTGCGTATGAGCAACGCCGCCAAAATTCTTGATCAGATCGAGCTAGACGCCAACGAAAAGTTCACGCCGCGCCAGATTGAAAAGTTTCGATCCGACCCTGCTTTCTACAAAAGGTTTGTCAAATCCGTCGAGGAGGAGGTAAACGGTAATTTTCCTATAGTAAGTCGAGTCTCTTGATCACGAATGCTCGTCAGCTGTTCGATGTATTCACGAGTGATCAGACCTTGAAGGACAGCGATACGGCTGCTTTTGCCACTGCCTCTCTCCGCATGTACATGGCCGACGCATTAGGTGACGACGAAAGGCTATGCAAGGCACTCATTCCGGAGTTTCCCGTCGGCTGCCGCCGACTGACTCCGGGTACTGGATATCTCGAGTCTCTCAGGGCTCCCAATGTTCGCCTGGTGACCGACGGTATTTCTGGTGTTGTGCCACAGGGAATTCAGACCACTGGGGGTGAGATAATTGAATTGGACATCATCGTTTGTGCCACCGGCTTTGATGTCTCTTTTTGTCCTCGTTTTCCCATAGTCGGCCGCCAGGGCAACCTTCAAGATATCTGGTCGACTTGCCGTCCGCGGGCCTACATGTCGTGTGCTGTACCAGGTCTTCCCAACTACTTCTGTGAGACTCCATACCAGCTTCTTCCATTTCAAACTCACCTCGATATCCTAATGACGATTCTCTTTTTTTTTTTTCATAGGTTTCCTAGGACCTAATGCCCCCATTGGCCACGGAAGCGTGTTTACGGTGACAGAACACGTGGCCAATTACATCGTGAACGCGATTCGAAAATGCCAGACACAAGGTATCAAGGCTCTCGCACCAACCCACGCAGCAATGGAGGACTTCTACCAGCATATCGACATTTTTATGCCGCGGACTGCCTGGGCGGGGGGTTGTCGATCTTGGTTCAAGAATGGAGCAATGGATGGGCCCGTGACGGCCCTGCACCCTGGCAGTCGGATCCACTTCTTTCACATGCTGGAGCAGTTTCGTGGAGAAGATTGGGAGTATGTCTATGATAATCCATATGGCAATCGGTTCTCCTATCTAGGAAATGGATTCTCCACCAAGGAGCAAGATGGAAGTGATTCCACGTGGTATCTGAATCACTGAGAGAGTCACCCAGGCGAATACATCAACTTCGAGCACTAGAATCACATGTACTTTGAAATTGTTTATTGAAATACTACTTATCACATTCGGATTTTACAACGCTCTCGTAGGTAGGTGTATGTCTAGCTAGTAACGTCCGTCCCATTAGCGGCTACATGGCTGCTGGGTTACTGGTAGCCCGACCTCGACGTACAGTGGACGTATAAAATTTTTGCTATCAACACCAGTAGCTTCGGCCCTCGTGTGAATGTAACTTGCCAAATATAGTACGGGATACTAATCAATGTAGTAGTCACCATGGAGGCAGTAGCTCGGTGATTCTTGAAGCGGGTGACATTTCTTCCATGCACAGTTCAGCGCTTTACGGTCTTACCTTCAAGTAAAGATCTGATCATGTCGTAACTACTACTCCCAGCATGATCCATTGTTAGCTACTGAGAAATCATAACAATCCAAACCATAACGCTGATTGCGGTGATTAATATGTTCTTGACCATCGGGTAATATTACCGAGCCGAGCCGAGCCGAAAGACACATCATACCTACATACACATTCCCATAAACAGTAAAAGGAAAATCATATATATATACATATTTATCTGATCCTTGGGATTGGGTTGACCTCTAAAACAGTCTTCTATTTCACTATAACAAAGACAACCCATACACGAGACCCAAAATGTCGGTCCTTCCAATCACAGGCACCTGGGCACTGAAATCCTTCGGTTTGCATCCAGCTGCATCTCCCAGCTCTGCAGCATTATTCCAGCCGCTTGGTGGCCATCCTCTTGGGCGCATCATTTTTACCCCTGAAAACTACATGTCATGCACGCTCACGTCCCGCGACGCTGCATCGCCCATGGAATCTCCATCATGGATTGTGGCAAATGACGATGAGGTGCTGGATGCTGCGCGGGCAATGACAACCTACTGCGGACCTTTCCGAGTGTACGAACAGGACGGACAGCAGTTACTGAGTACCAACGTGGATATTGCCTTGGATCCAAACTGGATTGGGAAGCCACAGGTGCGGAGATGGGAACTACATGGAGATCGCACGTTAGTGTTGAGGCCAGTGCAGGAGTTTACTCTCCCGGTATGCGCATGACCCCATTAGACTAGCTAGTCTCTACTCGAGGCCATGATGTTACTTGATCACTAATGCTTTGGTACACGGGTCTAGGACGGGACCAAGACAGAGGGGGTTCTGGTGTGGGAGAGAGTCAATTATGATGCCAAGCAGCTGGCAAACCTTTGAAGCGGGCATGAGCGTGAGCATAAACATGTGTATAGGAGGTGCAAGTAACGACGTTGTATTCGTGGGGACAGCTTTCATTAGGGCTGGCTGCCACGTATATGTAACTGGGTGTATCAAGCACGCTGGGTCTCTCTCTAACATTTTAAGGCAACAGTGTTCGGTAGTTGTGTCCATGTGTTTTTAAGCAAAGTATTACCAGTATATAGATTATGAAGATAGTTGCTACTTTGGCCAGAAAACACAGTGAAAATGAACTTAGGACACATGACCGAGTATAGAACTCTTACCAGCTATGACTTATGGTCTTGAGGTTTTGGAAAGATATATAATACATAGGTATCTTATACTCGCTCATAAGAAGCCATCATCTCGGCCATCATTTTCTGGCATGTTTTCAGTAGTCTCGGCATTCGGCAAATATAGGCAGGCTAGGACAATCTAGTAGAATCGATTTTGGTCTTCCAGGACCCTTTAATGTCAGACTTTTGATACACGACTAAAATAACACAGACCATTGTTATTCTTCAACCAAATTTTAGGATCCTGTATGCGAGATTATTAGTTAACACTGTCGGGTGCAGCTGGTCATAAGGACAGGCTTACCAGCAAGTAGTGCAATCGCACCTATGATTTAAGTTTTGCTCTGACAGAACCGAGGTTATAATATATTGGCAAAATAAAGTCCTGCTCCAGATCGTCAGCTTTTTTCTTTCATCAAGAATCTCATCAGGAATAGTACCCAAGCTGTATGCCACAGAAAACTGGTTACAGCCCAGATCCCAGTTACCGAGCCTCCTATCCAATGATGAACCGTTGGCCGACGCTTTAAAGCATTCTGGACCACCTTTTGCGCGTATTGATCTACACTGATAGCCGATTGCTCTGCTACACTGCCAGACATTATATTCTCCACCTCCTTTCGGGCAGGAGCGTATACCGATTTCTCGGGAATCCTCGATGCGGAGAGATTCTCGTGAAATCGAGTTCGCACCGTGCCGGTTACAACGAGAATGACCTTGACTCCCAGAGGCTCGAGCTCGATGCGAAGATTGTCTGTAAGCAGATTGACGGCGGTTTTGGATGCATTGTAGAATCCCTGGAAGGGGAATGGACCCTTCCCAGCTATCGACCCAATGTTTATCACGGTTCCCTTGGACGCCATGAGCAGGGGGGCGAAGGCCTGGACGACAGACACCATGGCAAATACATTGACATTGAACATGTCCCGGGCCACGTCGATGTTTGCGTCCAAAAGCGGCATCGAATACCCTGTTTCGGTCAGTCTTTTGGGCGATTGAGGAGGGCCGTGGAATAGCACACCTGACCCTGAGTTGTTGACAAGAAAGTCCAAAGTGCCCCCGGTAGCAGTGCTGACCGTCTGGACGGCCTTCTCGAGAGAAACCGTATCAGCGACATCTAGCAGGACGGTCTCGATACCTAATGCTTGAAAGTGCTCTATTTTCGCCGGATTTCGCGCGGTGGCAAACACCCGAAGACCCTGGTGAGAAAACTCCTTGCAGAGAGCATCCCCTATGCCACCTTGGCTACAGCCGGTAATCAACACAGTCTTCGAAGGCATGTCTCAACATAAGTGAAAGCAACCTACCTGTGGTTGAAGACATTGGTGGGGTCCAATCCCGAGCTATTTTAAGCATGGTTCGGTATTCGGCAGGAGGATCGCCGCTCCAGACTACGGTAAGATAAGATGCCGAATCGCTCGGGTCTCGGTAGTTTCGGCAGTGGTTGGAGCTCGATGTGGGAAAAAGTCTTAATTATGGTTTCAATATCAACGATAATATCAATGTTCAATTTGGCGATATGGTTCAGGGTGGGCTGTCAAAATATTATTGAAGGACTAACATACACTACTTATCTTTAAGATGATTACGGTTCAAATGGCTCATACCGGTGTCTTCCAGAACTTCGCCGAGCTATAACCTCCCGGCGCCTAAGCCGGTCGTCTTGACTCTTGGTTACCTTCACCCATTAAAATTTCGGATTCCTCAATCTCCCGCCACATTCCGACCTTTCGAAATTTCTCCTCCGATTCAAGCAATACATACCTCGCGCTTTACTACTGATCCGCACCAAATCAGACCATGGCTGATACCGGTGGCATACAGTTATCGTTCCTCACGACTGGAAGCGTTCGAATCCGACCGTCCATGCGCTCCCAGGCCCCTGGCGGTTTCGCCCTGATGCGTCGTCTGCGGTCACTGTGTGATAGAGGATGGACGGAGTCATTCCCAGTCGGTGTATTCCTGATTCGCCACCCAGAAGGCCTTTTTCTCTTTGATACGGGCCAATCGCCCTGCTGCAACAATGCGGGTTACTTCCCCCGCGTTGCAATCTTCGGCGGTCTCCTGGCCGAGTTTACCATCCAACACGAAGATGGAATTCTGGAACAGCTACACCAGCAGGGCATCAAGGCGACCGATCTCAAGGGAGTCATCTTGAGCCATTTGCACAGTGATCATGCAGGAGGCTTGGAAGACCTGGCAGCCGAAGCCCCCGACCTACCGATCTATATCAGCCGCGAACACTGGAACGCCTTTGGAGAGCACCCTCTCTTCGCCAGCTTCGAGGGCGCAACTCCTAACCACTGGCCCAAGCAATTTGCACCCAGGATTGTGGACTTCCAGGACAGACCGCTCGGACCGTGGCCACAGTCTTTCCCCGTGACCGATGATGGGAGGATTGCCATCGTGGACACATCCGGCCACGTTCCCGGTCACATCGGGTTGGTAGTGCGCAGCCTTGGTGAAAACGACACAACGCCAGTTACCTACTTCCTACCAGGGGATGCGACCTACGGGATTGATACCCTTGACAGGGAGGAACCGGATGGGATCAACGACGACCCAATGCGGGCTTTACAAACGTTGAAGACCATCAAAGCCTTCGCCAGAGAGACCGATGTGGTCATCTTGCCGAGTCACGATAATAACACGCCACGATTGCTTGCCGAGCAGGTGGTTTATCGGCCGGACCCTCAGTGATATGAGAACTAGTCCAATACCCCCCTGATAGCTTGGCCCTCCGTTTGATGGGTAGTTCCAGGAGAGCTTTTTCTTCCCTCGTAGTGGTTCCTTAGTAATTGCAAGAAGGGCCATTACGCCTAGTTCAATGTGTCAGGCGGTTGCAGGTCTTTCAGGGAGCTGGATGGTACATGTACTACTATGGAATATAATCTTGAATGGGTGAGAGACTGAGGCTGGCGATTCGATATATCTAGTAACCCCTCTGCAACTTTTACCATAGGCCCGCTATGTAGTAGTGACCCTTGAATCTGATATTGAAACAGCTGCCGGTGGGTTCCAGGCGTGTTCCCTGTGGGTATGCTGGTCACGTGGTCCTGGTTTGTTCACCTCGGCTTGAAAACAATATATACCGGCCAGGATTCCTGGCAAGCAGCATCCATCTCCCATCTGCATTTTTAGCGACCAGGTCGACTTGGTGTCCACCAGATTAATCTTATTAGCGCTATTCATATCGCGAACCTTGTATCTTGTTTCCAACCACCTAGCGTATCAAGCGTCTTTCGTGCCAATCCGGCACAACTACTACTGGTCAAGAGCGAATGGAGCGGAATAGGATCGTCTCCCGCACGCGCGCACGGGTCATTTGTGTTCCATGCCACGAGCGCAAGGTATTTATCGGGAAGGGGATCTACCGCATGAGACACACTAACTTCAACCTTTAGGTAAGGTGCGATCTTCAAGACTCGCACAACAAGGTCTGCAGCAATTGCCGCCGGTTGGAACAACATTGCATGTATGTCCTCGGTTCCGCCCCATATTCTGTAAATCAGGGCCAGGTGCAAGTTAGTAACATCGCATGCTGTTAGACCACGTCGAGGCCGTCGCCACAAGGGTCGCATGTTGGCGGGTGAGCCGGCCGATATCTTCCGCCAGAGTGATTCGATGCTGCGAAATGGGGCAGGAGAATCCACTCCACCGGCAGGATCCCCAATCGTGGGAGACAGAGCAACGTCAGCTTATCGCAATCCCGGGTCTCGGAGCTTCATTGCCTCAGATTCTGTGCTCTATGAGGCACCTTTGTCGGGCAATATCCCCTCCGCCTCATCATTAGATGACTGGAAACAAATAGAGCAACAACTTCAAGACCATAGCCGTCGCAATATCACCGCCCAGGTTGGAGAGCCTTTGGGTCGGGCACTTTGTGATTCCTTTGCCGAAAACCTTGGTCATTGGTACCCCTTCGTTGACATCTCAGAAATTGATCTCCAAACTTCGCCACTTCTAGGCAAAGCGCTACTTCTAGCGGGGAGTCTAACCCGACGCATCGAGACAGTAGACGATTTGCAAATCCCATATGCGCTATACCAACAAGCCAAGGAAAAGATAAATTCAAGCAGCGGTGATGATCCAATGACTCTACTCCAGGCCATCACTATCATAGCTTATTGGAGTTTACGCCCGCCTTCTGTGGTGAGCTTAGATGGACCCTGGCACTGGGCAGGCCTTGCCATGCGGCTAGCTTTGCAAATTGGTATGCATCGAGAGTCGACTTACTCTCGCCTCCAAGATCCGGCCAGATGCCGACTGATATGGTGGCACCTGATGGTTAGTTGCTCTATCGACCGTCATTCCTCATGAAGGGCCCGCCTTTAACATTCTTACTCGGTTTTAGAATAGCGATGTCCTCCAGGCGGCGTGCTGGGGTAGACCATGTCTGATCCAGTTCTCGAGCCAAGATGTACAACTCCCTCAACAATTAGACCTCACGAATATTCCATTACAGGCTTCTGAAGGGATAACTCGACTGTTACTCATTTTAAGAAAGGCAATGGAGCTCGAAGTTTCGTCACCTTCTAGCACTGTGGCTGCTCTCATCGACTGGCATCGGGCGTTGCCTCTGCAACTGAAGCTACACAATCTAGCCGGTACCCGCAACACGTATGTTAGAGCCATCAACGAAATGTTCATTATGTATTTCGCAATCATCATACATGTGTTATTCCGCCATGATCTGGACAAAGACCGGCGTCCCCGAGCGTCTCCGACGACAATTGTTGCGTCCTCCTGCATGATTCGGCTTTATGAAGAAATGTATTATCACGAGCATGCCGCTCGGCTGGGATCCGTTCACGGATTCTTCCTTATGCTGGCAGCAATCCCGCAGATTTTCCATCGCACTCAGATCGCAGAAAAAGAAACGTTGCGCGAAAAAGAACTGGACCTCATATGTGCTATTCTGAAGCACCTTCGTGTCAAATTCGGCGGATCCAATATGGTTTTGAACAGGATCTTGAGGCTCCGCGCAGAGTCACAATCTAATGCAGGACAAGATTCGGTGGCTGATGCCTATAGTCCTGCTGGGGGAGTCTCTGCGGAGGACCCCATCGAAGGGGTGGACCAGTTATTCCCGTTTCCGGCGGACTTCTCTACTAACCTCGATCTTCTGCAACATGGCGAGTCCGTTGGCGAATCTCACGAGGATGTCATGATTGATGTACTAGCTTTCGAGAGCTCCCTGATTGATTGGTCAATGGATAACTCCTCTAACTTCCATGCCATGACTGCAGCTGACTTTCCCCTGTCGGCAATGTCGGCTTAAGATCAAAGTTTATATCAATTTTTAAACGCCGGCTGTCCTGGGATTTGGCCACTCTCAGCCAGGTTTCCCGTTTGAAAAAATTATTGATTACATATATTCAGACTCTGTATCATCGCAAGGGATTCATTATCCACTACATTGAAGAGAACGAGAGCGCGTACCAGGACTACATGGAGATCTGCGCTTTCCCGCTCTATGCGGGAAAGTAGACGCCTGACAGTCCTCCTTCATCGAGTCTACTGAGGATTCCGATGCGAATCCCAGAACCGGCGTGCATCCTGTACAACACGGCCCTCCCACTCCGGCACCGGACCAATGACCTCCGTGTCCGTCTGACCCGCCGCAAACACCACGCGACAGTCGAGCGTCATGGTGAGGTTCTCCGGATTTGCCGGGCCCACGATGTCGCGCAGGGCCGCCTCGGACGCCAGGTAGACCAGACGGCCGATGTGGGCCCAGTAGATGGTGGCGGCGCACATGGCGCACGGCTCCCAGGTGGAGACGAGGGTGCAGGCGGCGAGGTAGGCGGCGTCGAAGTTGTCGGCGGCGTTGCGGGCGAGTTCGCACTCGGCGTGGCGGACGTGGGAGAGCGAGTTGGATGAGAGGAGCACGGTGGTGTTGTCGGGGCCGAGGAGGAGGGCGACGAAGGGCCGTTTACGGTGGATGTCTTGCGCGGTGGCTTGGAGGTGGAGGCAGGTGGTGGCTGCTTGGGCGAGCTGGTCGGGGGTGAGGGGATGCAAGTCCATCGTGTTCGTGTAGTTGATCGGGTGATCCGTTCGTGGGGTTGCGGTGCGCGTGGGGAGGTTTATATATGGTGGGTGTTGAGGCGGCGACCCCCGCGTGGGGTCGTTGCTTGGGTCGGAGGGGGCCGCATGTTTCCATGAGAGAGATGTCAAAGTTGGAGATTCTTTTCTGTCGATCAGGCTGGCTTTCTGTCTACAACAGAACTCTGGCTCTCATTATCGAATCAACTGGCTAATCACCTTGCTGACTCCGAAAAGAACTAGCTGATTTGGTCTGACCCAGGTCTATAAAAGTAGTTGGTTCCAGTCCGGCCATTGTCATACGACGATCAATTTCAATAGAAGGATGTAGTTGTATAGCGCACGAAAAAGATGGGAATTCTCCATCACCATGATTCAAGTTAAGGGTCTCTCTTATGCTTTGTATTAAGTGTAAAAATATCAGAAAACCCAAGGTCTTGCCGATTTTCCTTCAAATCCCTATGATTAGCTATCAAACTTACTTAGCTAGTAATACATAATTCCGACTTGCAAGTATACCAGGTTTATCTAGTATGTAGCGAGATGATAAGACCCACTCCATACTGACGTAGGCGCACGATAACATGAGCGCTACTGCTGCTGCTGCTGCTGCCGCTACTACTACCTGCTGGGAATAATGGATTTCATCCAACCATAATTGTCACACCATGTTAAGCTTTAACTTGGAATGCATGGTTTGGTAGCGTGGTTCTTCACAGATATCCAGGAAGTTGCATTGCCTGGCGGCAAAGTGAATATCGCTTCTAATGTATAGATTTAGAGAATGACTAGATCCTTATAGATGGATAAGCTTAACCTAACTATTCCTCATAGACACTGACTCTCAGGATAGATAGTCTGCCGTGTGGTTACTCAAGTCAGGGAGTATTTGTTCAAGAAAGGAGATGTTGAAGTCTCATTCTCTGCCACTTGACCAAAAACACCAATTGGCGAGTGGTAAGGGCTTGAAACTATTGATATCCAACAGGAGACATTCAAGTTGATCAAGAAATCATCAGTCCCTGATTATCCTAGTCCGAAGCCCCGCTCGTTGCTGCCCAATGCCGGTGTCCCAACAGGGACCTCTTAATAACGCGCTGTATCTGAGCGAGGAGCTCACTGAGGTAACAGCACTTCTTCTCTATATACTATGCCAACGTCGTCTGAGAAACAGTATATGCTCTGCCGATCCTTGAGTGACAATGACTCAGATGGAGGCTTTTCTACTTTTGATACTGTCAGGCTGCATCTCCAGGGCCCTCGCAAGAGATACGCGGTTTGTCAACTTCTTCCCAATGCACCGAACAGAGTTGATCAAAACCCGCGATACCGCATGTGCCGAGCTTTTTGCGCGCAAACAAGCCGGGGATCAAGTTTGCCACCCCCTGCTAAACTGCATGCTAGAGCACACAAGTGAAGCAGTCAAAAACGACATTGCTGGAGCAGTAGTCGCTCTGGGTCTCATGCCTTCTCTGCTCACATTCCTGGGTTCTAGCACGACGGAGATAGCTCTTCTAGCTAAACGCCGACCGCTCCTTGCCCTGCTCATCGCGTCTGGTTCTCCCTCGGTCAGCCCTGTCCGGACATTTGACTATCCCAATCCGGTTGAGAAGCTCAAGATCAGAGAAGGCGGCTTGGCTCTTCCATACTTCTCCCCGTTACAGGCGGCTTTTGTCTCAATGGTGGAATATGCCCTTGTCTTGGGAGCTGTCGCAAATGTCTATACCGCGGCGTTTTATGCAGGGCGGTGGACTATCAATATGGTGGATTGCGACACGGATTTCTATGCGATTGTGTGGGCGGTTCTTACAATTCCTCTTCATATCTGTGGTATGTGGTGCCTAGCACTGCGTACGGAGACAAAGAATGACAACAAGGCAAGGAGGAGAGACGGATGGAAAAGTGTGGGTCTACGCTGGCTAAGGCATGAAGCAACTCCGTGTATTGTACATGAGAAGCTACACTTAGTCCAGAAACCCGAAACTTATCTCTTTGTTGTAGTGTCTTGGTGGATGGCTACCTACACTGCAGTGCACGTCCTTTACGGCACGGTTACTTTCAGTACCCTGCAGTTTCTCGGTTGGTCGTCACGACTCTTGATACTTCGGCTGATACCAGGCTTACTGATGGAGGGATGACAGGATGGCTCGATAGCCTTAAGCTTATTGCGAGGTTTGTAAGCTCTGCAATTGTGTGCCGCGCAGTCCTGATGTTTGAACTCTCTGGGATGAGGAATGCTACGGAAGAGCCGAGTGGAACTGAGGACTATTCTCTGGTCAGGTTGGCGCAATCCAATATATGATCATGTCTCTAGTTGACAGCCAGGAAGTGATATAGGAAAAGAGATCAAAGGAGACTTTGTAAAAGGTCCTTCTTCAAACACTGGTGATATCTTCGCAGCTCGTTGGCCGTCTTCTAGTCTGAATTAGTAGATTTCTACTAGAAAAGAGAGTATCAGTAATAGGTATTTTAATAGCCTAACTTAATTATCTCGTTTATAGTAATGATATTGAAAATGTTGGATTTTGAAGAGTGGAACAGGCAAAAGTAGACTACAAGTTGTTTATTAGGGTAAGTGAGAAACAGAAATCTACTCACTTGGACCATGTGTGGATTACTAGTTAAAGTAAAGTTTATTAAGGTTACTTACTCGAAGCACTTGGCCTTCTCCTCAGCCTATACTAGATTATAATCTTAAGCTACTCTAGGAGTGCTCAAATATTCTCAGTGAGTAAAAGCAGCAAGAGTGAGCACTCAAATAGAAGGCGAAGAAAGACAAGGTGTCTACAAAATCAAGTCCATATGTATACCCTCACGTTTATCCGAGGGTATTAGGGATCAGGGGGATTCAAGAATAAACTAAAATATTACTACCAGGCGCCCCGTTCTTGGCGGTCGTATCATCTACTATAAATGAACTTTATATTTCAGTGTCCACCGAGCTAATGTTCCAGCCTCGCTCCGCCCAGGGTTGATCGATTGTGGATTATCCATGGGATTGACGGAGCACACGTTAATATATATAGTACTACCCGGGCCGTAAACCCTACAGGGTCCAAGTGATTCTATTTTCTTTCCTCACTTACCCTAATAAAAGATTGAATTTGAATACACATATATACTACAAAACCACATGGCACGATGACAATCTCACCAATCTCCCCCGCGGGGCTCAAATCCTCCAGCCTCAAAGATGAGATCACCGCCATTTGGTCGCAGGTACAGGCGCGTGTCGTCCAGCTGGGTGGGGGCGACGTCGCGAATCTCAAGCCGGACCTTGATATCGAGTCAGTGTTGTCTCTGCTGGATCGCGCGCAGCAGCGGGAGGAGGAAAAGGAGGAGGGGTCCGGAGAGGGGCGCCGTGCTGTGCGGGTAGCTTTCGATACTACTTTGCGGTTTGTGGAGACTGTTGGGGGGTTGGTTGCTGTGGGGGCTGCTGATGTGAGTGCACTTATGTTGATTTCTTTTGATATATATTATTTTTATTTTTATTTTTATTTTTATTTTTATTTTTATTTTTTTTGGATTGGATTGAATGCTCACAATGGTAGGTTTTTGGCCCTTCGGAGCTATGCTTCAACGCCATTTCGCTCGTCATCCACGCCTGGCAGGACTATCAAGCTGCCTTTGAGAGCCTAGCTAGTCTGCTCGACAGATGTGGGCAGTATCTGTGTCGACTGCAGTACTACATCCGCGGTGGTATGGACGTAGCCCTCGCCAAGGTCGCCTGCCAGCACCTGCAGCTTTTCGTCGAGATCTGCGACCGGGTGATCAAACTGCGGCATTCCAAGCGGAGGAAGCTAGCTCTGTTCGCCAAGTTGTTCTTCCTAAACGACAATGAAGTCCAAGAACTCTTGGAGAAGATGGATGGCTTGGTGGATCAGGAAGGCCGGCTGGTTACGGCGCAGACGTTCAACTTCGCGTCTGAGGCTGCGCTTGGGGCGCGCGAGAACCTGGCTATCAGCAAGGTTGTGAATAGTAAAGTTGATATGCTGATCGCGAGCAAGAAGGACCAGAAGAAGGAGTCTGATGTCAAGAGCCGCCGGGAGGCGATCTTCAGGACTCTGGCTTTTGATGAGAACAAGCTTGATCGAGATAAAAAGGAGCCTCATTCGTACTGGCAGAGGATGTACCACAACTACCGCAAATCGGTCGTGCCTGGAACGGGTCAATGGGTGTTCTCCGATCCTGGATTCAAGGCATGGGAAAGTGGCCAGCAAGGCTGTGCGCCGGTTCTGATGATCGAGGGCGTGGAAGGCTCAGGGAAGAGCTATCTAGCTTCTACGATCATTCGAAGGCTGCGGAATCGGAGCTCGGTAGACAGCTCAGGGCCCAGGACTCTCCTGGCTTTCTACTTTGTCGAAGGAGACTCGAAGGAGGAATTGAAGAGGACGAACCACATTGACGTTATTGCCAAATCGTTGGTTTGGCAATTCGTCCAAGCGGACGTATCCTACACAAAATCTGTGGCCGGTATATGTCAGAGACAGGGGGATTTGGATCCCCATGAGATTCTCGAGGCGTTGTTGTTGTATAATGAGGACCTTGATCGGGTCATCGATGCCACGTTCTACATTGTCATAGACGGACTAAGTGATATTATAGGTGATGCGCTGCTCAAGTTTCTCCAAAGAGTGTCTGCCTTGTCTGCGAGCCATAACCGCGTTCGCATTCTTCTGACTGGCCGCCCGAGAGCTTCTGAGCAGTTATCGAAGACTCAAGATATTTTGTTCGAGATACTACCCATCAGCACCAGGAACAGGAACGATGTGGAAAAATACACACTGTCGAAAATGGACCAGATCGAAGCGCTCAAAGATACACACAGACTGGGCGTTCCGGATTTGAGAAACAAGATCTGCCAGAGTCTCTGTGACAAGACACGAGGTGACTACTTCAGAATCAACACGATCCTAAAGCATATCAGCACCCTAGACTCGGTCAACGACATCGACCAAGTACTCGACGACGCCGGCAAAGAACGCTCAGAGCAGATTCTGGCGGAGATCGAGAAACTGAACAGTGTCCGAACAGAGAAGGAAATCGAAGAGATGAACGAGATCATCCTCTGGATTATCTACGGCAGACAGTGGTTCCAGGCTCGTCAAGTGGCCGCCATACTGTACCAGAAAACCGGCGAGCGCTCGCTACTACCGTTAGAGTCCAAGCTCCAGATGAAGTATTCCTTGTTTGAAGTTGACAGCGACGGGGACATCGACTTCCGATCTGATGAGATTGCACGTCTGATTCCTGAAAGACAGCGTCATTTTGTCACAGACCAAACGACCAACGCTGACGCTGACAAGAGGATCCAGCCTGCGGAGGTCTCTATAATTAGACACTTCTTGAAAACCGTGTGCCCGCAGGAGCTGTACAACAAGTTTGACTTCGAGGCTTTCTTCGAGCAAAAGTTGAGTCCCAAGAACGGGTTTATCTGCCGGGATGACAAGGATACCGCAGAGCTCAAATTAGCATTGACTTGTCTGCATATCTTGACCGAAGAAAGAGATGAGAAACATGAGATCCTCCGGCCCTACGCAGTCAGCTACCTTCTACAGCATCTGTCATCTGTGGATCTGGCTCTTGTAGAGAGGGAGAAGAAGGGCGCCGTTGGGCCACACCTTCTCCGGCTCTTCACAGACGAGAATGCAGTAGATGCGCTTATCTGGACGAACGATGCCGCAGATGTAGCTATCTTCACATGGCACGCTCGTGCTGCGTGGCTGGACAGCGACCAAGGAGCACAGGAGATCCTGCGATGGTTCAAGGACTCTGCTGTGATCGCTAATGTCTCTGACGATGATTCTCGAGCATGGATTTCCAATCTGAATGCGAGTGTCAACCCCGAGAAGGACTTCGTTCAGACTTTTGCTAAAAGAATGGCGGTTCATTGGCTGCGCGAGTCGTCTCCTCCCACGTTAGCCTGCGAAGCATTTTGTTTCGTCTACGATGCTATGCGAAAGGTACGCATCCCGCTGCACTGATCTTTCGCTAAGACAGTTCAACTGATGAAGTGTATTCCAGAGTCAAAATGAAAGTGATAATACAGAAAAGCATGTCTCAGCCCTCGAAGGCCAACTTTCCAGCCACGAGATCTCTGAGGCCGAAGATTGGTCGCGATCTCTACTTAAGAGTGAAACGTCAGACTCATTGTGGGAAATCCAAGTCGCTATTGTTCTCTCCAAGTATCTCCATACGGAAGAAGCCGAGAAGAGATGTCGCCATGCTTTGGAGCTCGATCCCTCCAACTGGCGCGCCTCGTACCACCTGTCCCACATCGTGTCGTCCAAAGAAGAAGCGACGGATATACTAGAGTCCATAACGCAGCGTCTCCAAGCCAACAGCAAATGGATGCAAGAACCATCCAACGTCACCACGCTTGCAGAAATGCTCTTCGACCTAGGCCAAATATACTGGGAAGCCGGTTGCCCAGACCCTGCAATCCACGTATACACAAAGTCTGTTTCGAGAGGTTTCATCGGATACGAGCGCATCTTCACAATCCTGGAACACTACCACCGCTCCCACCGGTGGTCGGAAATAATCGCATTACTAGACACAGTCCACGATGTCTCCACCGACAGACCCGGTGTCTTTGATATGCTCGTCAACCTAGCAGACAGAGAGTCCCTCCACGACATGATCCTGCAGCTAGCAGTCAAAAACGACGAGTTCGGCTGGCTGGAACACACCTACGACGGCGCAATGCATCTAGCGCTAAAAGATCAAGCCTATACCAGCCTATACTTCATCCGCTATCACTACGCAAACGCGCTCTTTCAGCACCACGAAAACGAAAAAAGGGCCATCACCATGTGGGAGATAGCCCTGCAAGACGATCTCCCGCGAAGCTTCCTCGACATCGAGGAGGTCCTGCCCAGTCTCGCCATCAAACTCGGGCCCGTTTACCTCCACAAGGCCAGGGCCGCAAAAACCGACTTGAAAGCCCGTAAATACCTCCACAATATCTCAAACATATTTCCCAGCGAGATGGCAGAGAACAACATATTGCTACCCGCGAAGCTCTATATCGCTCGGTACTACCAGGTGAAAGAGGACACGGTAAAGGCGAAGCAGATCGTCCGAAGCATTGTCAAGATGGCGTTGGAGCTCCTGTCTGACAAAGACGGGGATAACGACTTTCAGGCGTATTGGAGGCTGTTTCTCGTGTTCCTGCCGCTTAATGACGATGAGAATGCGTTTGTGGCTATTGCCATGGCGGCCCTTGCGAGGGTAAATGATGATATTCACGCTGCTAGCGGGGGGCAGGGTATTGCTGGCTCATCACGGTCCCCGCGAGCTGCAGCTGAAGGAAAGATTGGGGCTGTAAGTCGACGTCGCGACCTCAGAGTCAACACTGTCATAGACCATCGAGATGATATCGAAAGCTCCGACAGTCAATCAGATATAGACAGTCTGGCTGAATCGGACAAATTCGCCATTTGTGATGGGAAATGTGGGTATTGTTGGACGGCAGCTAGTGAGATGTGGTGGTGCAAGGATTGTATCAACCTGACGTTCGAGAAGGAATGTTTCCAGCAACTGCAAGAAGGGACCCACCCACTAAACATCTGCGATAAGAATCACGAGTTCTTGCACATTCCTAGCTGGGACAGAGAAAAGATGGATAGATTCCAGGGAGGCATTGTGCCGCGTGGCGAGGAGGGGATCTCGCTCGAAGAGTGGAAAGGAGAGATCAGGAAGAAATACGTCGAGGAGGATTGAAGGAGAGTTACGCTGCCTATTGCTCTGTGAGGGAAACAGTATGCGATATCTCCATGGTTAATCATATTGACCTTCTGTCTATCAATGTTGTGCCCTTCCATCTTCATATCTCTCGAGGCCCCTCAAGCACATCGCCATCCATCATTCCTTCTAGTACGGATGTTTAGAGGCCAATATCAATAAACCCAAGGATGTACCATCTTCTGTCTACACACTCTTCAATTTGTGTTCGACTCCATTATCGAGCTTCTTTCCCACTCCATTTTTGAGCTTCTGTTCCGCTCCATTCTCGAGCTTCTGTCCCATTCCATTCTCAAGTTTCTGTCCCTCCCCATTTTGGATCTTCTGTCCGACTCCATTGTTGAGTTTCTGCCCCTCCCCGTTTTGGACCTTCTGTCCCTCTCCATTTCGGAACTTCAACTGCTCCTCGCAGAGTTCGGGGTTCTCATACATCCTTGTCAGCCACTCAAGCATCTTCTTCCAAGCCGCTGGCATGATGCACTCAACGTTCAAGTCCTCTCCGGACGAATAGCAATTGCAGACATGTTCGTCGCTTCCAGGAACCGGCAGGCCAACCGGTTTGTCAGACAGGACATAAGCACGGCAGCGCGACGATACGAACGAAGGGAAAGAATCTGATGGAGGCGACTCGGCCCCGGGTTGGCCCAATTCAAATTGAGCATGATGGAGAGGATGTGAAAGGCATATGGCCGAAATAGATCCACGCCAGTAATCCCCTTTGCCAAAAACATGATTAGAATCCATTTCTAGTACCGGTTAGGATAGAGGGGAATGCAGCACATACACTCGTCAGCCAAGTACCGGATCGCTCCCAAGCCCCCGTCTGCCAAACCAATGATGTCAATTTTGGCATCTTTCCTGACGAACCGACCATTAGGATTCAAGATTCTCTCGAAAACATGATAAATGTGTTCCTGCCAGGTATCGTTCCCAGGTATCTTGTTTCGATCGCTCATCGTATCAGGCGGATCGACGGCAGACGATCGGGGAAACGCCAGCCAGGATTGGAGAGACATAGCTTGACTGGAACCACAGTGCCAGATCAACTGACCAGGGTTTGTCAAAACTAGAGCTGTCTTGTGTGTTCTTATCTGTTTGGCGGCACTGGCTGCGTCCTCGATATTACTTTCCAGCCCAAGGACAGCCCTAGCAAACGACACTGCGGATCCAGTTGCGATACCATCCGAAGACACCTTGCGATAGGCCCAAATCCCCAAGTCCTGCACGTTCTCGCCAAAAACGACGATTATGCGTGATGCGGTCGAGATATTGGGCGAAACCAGGATGGGGACGTGCGGCTGTGTTGAGATGGAAGAGAGAGGCAGTCGCAAGGTAACAAGGCCTGACGCTCGAAGACGTTGAGAGACAATTTCTCGGATGCAGGCTGGAATGATCAGTCTGCTGTTAGCACAACATGGCAGTAACCGATGGAGAAGAGAAATAAAAACCATTCATCGCTTCTCTCTGCGTCTCGTTCCAACGGTCATTCTTGTTGATCTTGAACTGGAACTCCTGCTTCGGATCCGAGATCTTTCTAATCTGATCTTGATCATTGATGAAATATCTGACGCCACGCCTTAGTTAGCGTTTGAAAATAGTCTCGTAACTTTTAGCATACGCATACCCCAGTTGCTTCAAATCCGCAGGAAAACTGGGGTCTGGAGGCAGATCTCCTCGGTTGAAGACAAACATCCTTTCGATTTAGGATTTGACCTTTGCTTGAAGAGCTTTCCTCGGCGTATACACTCAACTGGAGTGAAGTAGAGCAGAGAAGACCAGGTGAGAGCGAGGTGGAAGAAAAGAGAAGTGAGGAAGAGGCAGGTGTGATGAAGGAGGCAGTGACTGACAATGACGACACACCAAGCCCGTTTGCTTGCAGTGAATGTGCCTCAAGCCATCCAGACAGACGGAGCTGTTCATGTAATTCATAGTCTCTGTATGTGAATACTATGCTTCTATGCTCTTCAACGATCGTCAATAAACAAAGAATGCCACTATTCATGCGACGCAAAACACGAGTAGATCTGAGTTTACCTTAGAATTGAATATATCTACACCAGCCAGTAGAACAGTATAAGTACCGTCAATGATATTCACAAATATAGTACATTTCTCAGCATAAGGAAATATAGAATACAACGCCATCCGTGCAAAAGGCCAGTAAAAGCGCCTAAAGCGTCTAGACACCAGAGACAGTCCCAGGTTTTTTTTTCTTTCTTTGGTTTTTTTTAATAATTTCCCAACTTTGTCCATTCGATTTACCAGCTCGCCTTCTTCACACCGGGCAATTCACCAGCAAGCGCTTGCATACGGAATTGGAACTAAATAGGCACAAGCGGTGTTAGCAAAGGACCAAACCCGACAGCACACAGCGTCTGTGGGGGACCGAAAAACTCACCCGGCCAAGTCTGAAGGCCCGGATAACACTTCGCGCTTTGCCACCAGCGACGCAGCGGTTCTTGATCTGGGTAGGTCGGGTGTAGCAGTGCATCTGGGAGAGCTGCAGTTGGGCCTGGGCGCGAACACGCTGGGGGAGAGAGGTGTTGCGGATGGCGTATCGCAGAGCTTGGCTAGAGAATAGAACGGAAAGTAAGCAAGTGTCAATTTCAAGTATTCTGAAGAAACCTATGGTTTTTGAAGGCTTCGCGCAATGCGACAAGAGAGAATCTCCGGGGAGTGGGTTTCGTACCGTTCGGGCTCGTGCTTCTCGAAAGCCTTTCGCTTGCTATAATCGCGGAGAGCAAGGGTGTTCACGAACCCCGACAGCTCCATCTTCTTTGGCCTGAACATCGACATGGTGGGCACTGATGATTGTTGAAGTCACAGCTCACTAACTGGTTGGGATGGTTGGCTGTCTCTTGTCGGCGGTTTTGGTCGGAGTAGCGGCGGGTCACGGGTCTGCCCTATTGGGACTAGTGGGTATGGGTCTTGGCGAGAACGTCTGGCAATAGAATTTTTATACTGCACAATAGCGAGTAGCAATCACGGAGGATGTGGTCCAGCGTAGATTAGTTGGAATAGAGCTTGCTAGAGTATGGTAGTTGGCATTATAGCATAAGGTACGATGGTAGATATATGGTTAAATTGACTGCAACTTTGTACACCAACAGTGGACGCTACTAAACACTAGTCGACACGCATTCCTTGAACACTGAAATTGAAGGTGTATATCAACTAATGTTGGAAGAAAGGCTTTCGTGCTCTAGTACAAGTTTACAATTTGTCGTCTGGCCACAACGCATACCTCGGCGAGAAGGCATCAGGAAAGACCGATCCTACGAACAGCGAGAAACATAAACGGAGTCCCGTCCTGCCTGCATCTTTGCTGTAGAGACAGACCCAGTCCAGTGGTCGGCAGATAATTAGCTGACAGGCTTAGATGCAGTGTAGGCTAACCGCCATACACCGCCAACCTGGAAAGCCTGGCATCGTGCCGGATCCGCCACTGGATCTCAACCAGTTCAGGATGCAACCAGTCCGAAATGCAGCCAGGAAAAGGACACGACGATAAGAATAGTGGTACAACTTGTCAATTCGTCATTGGATCTATGACGGTAAAATCTATGCCTGTACAGATGAACCGCCCGCGACGTCGAAACAAAGGCGAAACAGCAATCTGGGCGTCGAGTCGCCCACCACAATCCTCACTCTTTCGACACACCGTCTTCAAAAAACTCCTAAGGCACAATCTAGTGCTTGGGGTTCTTGGCGTTGGGGTTGCGGGGGTCGTTCTTGAACTCGTCGGCTGATGGGGTGTCCGAGGTTAGCAATGGCACGGTAATCAACCTCGAGGGTGAAAGTGGTCGTGATTGGCATTCCCGCCCGCGGGAAAAAAATGTCTCAATGGAATTGAAGCAGCGGGGGACTCACTCGACATGAGGACGTTGGCGAACGAGTTGACGCCGTAGAGGATGACGACACCTAAGGCACAGTTAGAAGCAGAACGTCGGACATATACCCTCTCAATCCCAAGCTCGAGACAATATCCCATATCAATCAGGGTCTACACATCACGATGAGACCGACAGCGCAAGAGTAACACATACCGGCGGCGAAGAAAGGAGCCATAGGCTTTGCTATAGTGAGGCAATCCAGTTAGTCCTTATTCCGGGCGGTCCACCGAACAATCCCAGTACTGCAAAGCGACAAACTTACCGACAGGGGTCGGGAACTTCTTTCCGAGGAGAGACATGATTGCGTATTCGTGTACTGGACAGCGAAGACCTGATTGCGGAAGAGGGGGATGGAGTGAAGGAGCTGAGAGACGGAGAGCGACGAGGAGAAGCGGGAACAACGAGGTTTGTCCGGAAGTCCGACGCCTAGCCGCTTTTGCCCGATCAGGTTTAGTGCGCTTGCCGCTTTTGCCGCTGCATCAGCCCCTCCGACAACCGGCATGTAAACACTTACTCTTTGAAGTCAACTACATTGTTATTCTTGGTTGATTCATAACATCTCTACATCATGGCAGCCTCACTCTCCTCCTCCGTATCCTCCCTCCAGTCCTCCCTCCACCTCCTGGACTCGTCTATCTCCACCCTAGACGCCGGAGTGAGCGACTTCCCCCGACTATGCAAGGTCCTACAGACCACACGAGTAAGTCCCAAGCCTCTATACAATCAATCAAACATACTAACCCCACCCACAATAGCACTTTGAACTCCTCCCCGAACCGACCCTCCGCGAGGCGCAACAGTCCCTCCTCGACGAAATCACCCCAAGCATCGCCCAGCTGCTCTCATTAGCCTCCAACCACGTCGAGAAGCTGTCCCGCCGCGAACAAGGCCTGCGCGCCAAGTGCGAACTCCAAGAAGGCCGATTAAATTCGAACGACACGCGCCAACCATCGAGTCGCGACCGCCCCAGCTCAAGCAATCGACTGGGTGCGACCTCTACAACCTCGGCAGCCAAAGCGGCAGAGTTGCGACGTCTGATTCAGAAGAAAGAGCGTCTGCAATATGCGGTGGAGAGACTGGAGCTGCAGAGTACACAGAGAGAGCGCCAGCTGCGGAAGAGTATGGCTTTTCAGTGAGGGGTCTGTCCGTCCGCCGCTCAATTGAGTCATGAGTTATGAGAATATGTCTGCTACCTTCGTGTGGTATTTACCAGCGGTGAAATGGAAATGCGTTTTGTGCGCATTTTTGAAGCCCAGACATCCTTCAGTCTACAGAGCCGTAGTCTCTGAGCTGAATGTATGCCCAGGTGATGAGACTTCCAACCTACCACAACAGCATTCACGGCCTGTGTCCATCGCTATGTGCAAGGGCATAGAACTCTCCAGAGTTCATGTCTTCCTACCCAGGGCTTCATGTGATATGATAAATATCCCAAAAGATGTTTGAAAACATATCACGGATTTGGAACGGTTAACAGTGGGAAAAATCACGCCAAGCCTCGGTGTTGGAAAAGCGTGCTCATCGTTTCGGCGTTTTACCAAATCGTAACGCTAATTAACGATAACGGAGTTATGATATTGAGGGAAGAGCTAATGTACACGCAATATATCTTAACCAGATTGAGCCCCGCTTATCGTACAGATATGATACATAGAATAACATCCTAAAGCATTCAAAACCCAAGCCTGTCCATTCCTTGGAAAATAAAACAGGAGTTGCAACCCTAATGCGCCGTCTTCATAACCAAACTTTGTCCAACGAAGAAACAAAACGACACGGCCACAGTTCAACCAGACTCAGACTCAGCCAGATGCTTCCGAGTATTATTCCTCAAAGCCTTTCTATAACTCCTGTGTTCCGCCTGCTTCTTCCAGGGAGCGACTTTCTGCCCCTTCTTCTTCCGCGGAGGCTCAGGATCAGCCCAGGCAGGGGAAGTTTTATCCAACACGGGCACTTCCGCTCCCTCTTCCATCTCTTCCAACCCGTTCATCTCCGCTTGCTCGGCCGCGCGTCGCGCCAGGCGCTCCTTTTTGCCCTCTCCGCGCTTATCGCCCAGTCTCAAGGAGCGGGGGATGCGCGTCTTTGCGCCCAACGCCCACAGATCGCCCCACTGGGACTTGCGGGCGTCTTTGTAGGCGCGGCGGCTGAAAGAGCGGGGGACGGTCCAGCGCTCGATCTTTGCGGCCGGTGTGCACACGTCGAAGGTGACGTGTCCGCGGCGTTTCATGGGCGGGTAGACGAGACGCGGGAGGGACAGCGTGTTGAATTCCTGGCCCTTCTCGAGTCCTTCGCGCTCGCTTGCTTCGGGCTGTAGGTGGGGAACGGTGTCTGCCTCGAGCTCGTCCACTTCTCGTTCTGTCAGGTCGTGGGGGGTCTCGTAGCCTTCGAAGGCGGCTTCGGTGGCTTGGGGGCCTTGGACGATGCCTTTCACCTCGCGGAGGTCCACGCCGCGCTGGACGGCGAGGTAGCTGAATTTGACGTCTTCGTGGTTGCGGTCCTTGGCGCCGATGATGCGCTGGAGGAAGTCCGGTCGGATATATCGTTGTTCGAAGTGGCAGAAATCCTGGCGGCCCTTGGCGTGGCCGGACATGTGGAACATTGGGCATTTGGAATGGTTGGTGCAGGGGGCGATGATCATGCCGGGTTCTTTGTCCACGTGCGTCTGCTCTCCGGGCGATTCGGTGAGATCCTCGTACCGCGTCGACCCGGGACTAGCGATGTGTCGCTTGAGTAACATCTCGCGGGCACTGGCGACGGCCTCGAATCCTTTCTGGTGTCCCTTTTCCAGGAGAATCAGAACTCCACCGTTGGGGTTGAGGAGGTTCCAGAGGTTTTCGACGTGTTGCTTCCGCACGTACTCCTCCTCGATGCCCATTATCGAATGCGGCGCCACAATGATGTCAAACTGTTTCCTTTTCGGAGCTCGCTCGTCTTCCAACGTCGGCTTTCCACGGGTGTTAACATAGTCAGGCAACCGTGGAAGGAAGGTTGTGTTTTCTAACATCGCACTCGCGCGCATCCGGAGAGAGTCGGACCCAGTGACCACAGTCGACCTACCCACTGGGATAGGGTTGGATGGGGGATGGTCTGGAACCATCAGCTCCCACTCCGCGCGAAGGACATCCCTCCACGCTAAGACACCAGCACCGCCGGCACTGGCGTCCAGAACATTCGGGCCGCCTTCTTGCGACATCAGACGGCGGATCCATTCCGAGCCCAAGCGCTTCCGAACCTCGACCAGGGTGCTAAGAATGGATGCATACATCCCAGGGTACAGGGTAGCAAGATAAACATTGGCTTCCATCTCACCCATATAACGCTGAGTCGCATCCAGGGCAATCGGGAGCTGGGGGAGCTGGGCCCGTGCAGGAAGGGTTGAGGTAGAATTCGGAAGTCGGGGGCCGCCGAATGTACGATGGGCGACATCCGCAATGTGCTTGTTGGAGAATTCCGACAGGATGATGGAAATCGGCCCAGTCATTGAGTCCTTGGGCGGGAATACCGTGCTTGGATCCGGAGAGAACTTCCCTTCCGCTGTAAGTGGATGCAGCCGTGGGGTAGCGTCGGGAACTGCTTCGTCTTGGAACTCCTCCAGCATAACATGCCCACCTAGCTGCTCGGCCACTTCCCTGGTCCGTTGCATAGCGGCGGTTTCGTCCGCCGGCGGCGGGAAATCCATATCGTATACCACTGGAGCCTCCTCTTCAAGCACAGACTCCTCCTCTATCTCAATTTCTTCCCAACCTCCTTGGCCATCCTCCCGGTAGAGTTTATCGGGGCTCTCTTCCACCTCTAAGAGCTCCAACTCTGTTTCTTGTTCGCGTATCACCGGCTCGCCATATAATCGGGTATACAGCTGAATCTCTCTAGCATTCAGATGACCCTCCGGGAGAAAATCTCCAAAATCTTGTCGCGCAAGTCGTACCCGCGCTTCCAGTGTCTGTTCATCTCGGTGGCCGATTGTCTGGCTAAACACGTCGTCAAGTTCGGGGCCTTCGAGGTTAAGGACTCCGCTAAAATCATCCAATAAATCCAACTCATCCATCATCTCCGCCAGTACAACCTCATTGCTATTGATTTGGTCGATCAAGGCGTAGATAGCGTCTTTCCGATCCGCGCGGGCTTCCACCTCCGCAGGCGCGTCCGTAGACAAGGATCTCGCACCAATCTTCCATCGCCCAGTACAACGGTCGCTGACTATCGGTCGCGGGAATCGAGTTCGAGACGTAATCGTAGGCGTGCCACTCAACGCATGGGTGGTTTTCGACCGCTGAGGAATGAGGCTTGCAGCTCCGCGGAGCTGGTTCGAAACTGTCCGCGACGGAGCATGAGAAGTGAGAGTCCGGAGCAGATGCTGAGGACAAGATCGACTCGCCCTCGTTGCCGGTGATCGTGGTAGCATCCTCACGCCTTCCACCAAGCTGAAAACAATGAAACAAGCTGGGTTTGTGAAAGAACCTGCAACGCCACTTGCGCGACCCTGATCCAAAAGGAAAACTTGTGCCAAGCCCGGCCGCATTATGCGCCGCCCATTGTGGCGTTTCTCATTGGTGGGCATCCAGCCCGAAGTATATTATATAATCAATGCATGCACTACTGTTTTATGTCCTACCTATGCTGAAATACTATCAAGTTACTGTTTTGTCGGGTTGTTCAATATATCATCAAGGGTATCTATCTCTGGTAGCTTACATACAATCTCTAATAGGAAATCTTATTCACAGAGGCTGTTCGTCGCTGTCCGTGTCTTCAGTCCCCATCAGCACCTTGAGAGCGGTCGTCCATTTCATGACTTCGTGCTCCAGGGCAGTTAACTTGGCCATCACAGCCATCAGACTGGGATCCTGACTCTCGATACGGATCCTCTCTCGCACTCTGACTTCGTCACCTTTCCAGGCGAAGAACTCCCCAGCTTCGTCGTGGGTGCGATTCCGAGAGCCAAACAAGCGGTCTCGGATGTTGAACCCGGTTAGAGAGATGTCTGTCGCGAAGGCGGAGGCCGTGTGGGTGGGGGAGGTGGACTCCAGCGTTCTCAAGTACAGGACAAGTGCGGAGTCCACGATAGAGAGGTGGAACGAGAGATACGACGGTAGCGGAGGGTCAAACATCTAGAGGCCATCATGTATGAGCAGGGGTCATGCACACCATAGTACCGACATTCGTCGGGCAGCTTACATCTTCCGGCGCGCTCCCATTACACCAATCACTTTTGGTGTGATCGCTCTCCCCTTTCAACATCTGCCGCGCCTCGGAGATGGTTTCATGTAAAAGGCGTAATTGACCGAAGATGAAGCTTGGATTGAGGGGGTCACCCGTCCAAGCGCTAACATCCACTACATCCAAACTCTGGTTAACCAGATTTCGTACCGAGACTAGTTGATCAAGCACGAGCTCCGGAGCGGTAGGCGCATTCGACAGGCATAGGCGAGTAGTAGAACCTCGAGCAGAGGCTAGGGAGCTCAGGCGAAGTTGGATATCCTACCGTATCCAACCAAGTCAGACTTTTCCCCCAAAGCAGAGATATGGAGACTACAACATACACCTTTCACGATCTTGGTGCCAACCCTTGTCACAAACCCTTTTACATTTTCCGATCGTACGGACGAAATGACCAGAGTCGACCCCGGTTCTTTGGGGGCTAGCAAGGAGGCGCAATCCTGTAGGCCTTCCCGCAGCGATGTAAGGGAGTCTTGCAGAGATCGCAGTAACCATTCTAACTCTCTGTCCTAAATACGACAGTGGATGAGCAACGTTCGTAACTCTGGTGCAAATCATCCAAGTAAGATCACCAATGCAGGGCGAGTATGAAGGGGCGGGGGGGGGGGGGTACCAATGCGCTATCGGCCTCCTGTTCGATCTGCGCCGGAGGGAGCGGTGGATAAGCCCATGTCGCCATGATGGCTTCACCAGAGCCCAGCCCAAACAATCAATCACCAGGAGGCTTCCTCCACCCAGACTCTTGGCTCTCGGGGACCTCGGATACACCTTAGGGCTAGGCACTCCTAGTACAAGGCGTTGAAACTGACAGCTCGTAGACAGGGAAGAACGAGACCTGAGTTAACTTTTTCCAAAGCAGGGCCCACGTCAACTTCGTCAGAATCGGGAAAGAGAAAAAAATTCAACGTAAAACAAAGCACAAAGCAATCGGGAGGGTAAAGCCTTGGGGAATGCAACGTCGGTGGATGAAGATGAAGGCATTCCTGGTGGTGGTGGTCGAGACAACGTCATGGATAACACTGACCGCCTACTATAATAGGCCTAGTGTATGCACTATCCCAGCATAGTTAGCGGCAACTGGCATAACGATGACGTCGAGATATCTCGGTGGAGCCAAACCTCAACTCTGTATCGACTCTTCTTCCCCCTCCCGAACCCTCCTTCGCATGACCCTGCGTTCCTCTAATGGTAATCATGATGATGATGATAGCAATGATGATGCTCTCTTCTGCCTATCATATGGTTGTCGCACCCGGGTTCTCCGGATATCCCCCTTAATAGCAAGCTTAATCCCGGACTCTATTTCCCACCTATTTGCTGATATTACTTCCGCGGACTTCCTGAGCTCTCGCTCTTTTTTCCTTTTGGTCGGTCTTGATCTTTTGTCTCCTTTTTTCTTCGGTCTGGAGAGTTCTTTCAAAGGAAGCAAAAAAGATTAAACAAAAGCCAAGGATTGAATAGTCGCATATTCAAGAGCCTCACTGACATACCAGCCCTTCAATCAAGTGAAGTAAAGGGCAATTCAGCGTAATCATGCCTCTGAGCAGTATGTTTTCCAGAGAGCTACATGTGCCATTGATAGCTCATGCGCTAACAGTTTCCCTCTAGGAGTGGCCATGGGCCTGTTGGGCCTGTTCTTCACGGCCTCCGCCCTACTATTGATGTTCCTCACCTTCCTTGGAGGCGCCAGGAACTCGAACCCGCTGAACCAGATCTACTTTCTCCAGGTAGATACCAGCAGAATCCCGGGGGCACCAGCACTCTCCCGTTGGACCTACTGGAATCTCTGCGCCGTAAATGATCATGGGAAGAGCGAATGCGGCACAAACTATCCGGCCTACCCATTCGACCCCCCGAGTCACCGCACATTCGGCACGACGGAGGGTATCCCTAAGGATTTCATCGGGTGAGATAGACGGCTTCTTTCATTTGGTGCATGGGGCATTGGACTAACCACTGCAGGACAAACCACTACTTTCTGACGTCCCGGTTCTCCTTCCCGTTCTTCATCATCGCCTTGTTCTTCGCGGTCACCTCGCTGTTCACGGGCTTCCTGGCCATGTGCACCCGCGTTGGGAGCTACCTGTCGTCCGCCTTGGCCTGGCTCGCTCTGCTCTTTGAGACGATCACCACCTGTCTGATCACGTGAGTCGCCTGTCAACTATGGAAAGCCCAAAGAGCTCGGCTAACTCCCTCTTCAGCGCCGTGTACGTCCAAGGCCGCAACAAGTTCAACGCCAACGACCAGAGAGCCCGTCTGGGAGTCAAGGCCTTCGCCTTCATGTGGACCGCAATGGCCTGCCTGCTGATTTCCTGTGTCCTATACTGCATGGGCGGCGCCGTGGGCCAAAAAGATTCCGGATACAGCGGCCGTGAGCACCGTCGCCGCGGATTCTTCTCGTCGCAGCGTTCCCCCAGCGTCGAGGCCAACAAGGAAGTCAACCCGTAAACCATTTCAAACAAGAACAGTCTCAATAAGAGGCACGGCCCCTAGAACGTGTCTCTTTCCGTCTTGTCGACTGCATTTGCTTCCTCATTGGACCTTCATCGCAGGTCGGTCTCGTCTCATCGGCACGCTTTACCCGTCAGATTCATATCTGCCACTGGTATTGTCAGCGAACGTGGCGCCGTGCCTGCGATACCAAAACTCATGACAATAGCTCCCTTCTCTACGTGTGGAAACCTGGAGCCCTCATCATTCTCATATTTAATATTCTGAAACCCCCATCTGTCTTATCATATTTTACAGTTACATGCACGTTACTTAATTTCAACGATATATGTCACCCCATGATATCTCTGTTTTTTTGTGCTTGTGCTTGTGCTTGTGCTCTATATCGGCTGTATCACTAGGCAGTAATGTATACAATATAATGGAGTTCACGAAGTGAAAGAAGAAAATGGTCCGCAAGTACACCACAGGAAGCAGCAGCAATATGGGATTTATCTCAATACCGCTACGCCAAAACGGTGGCCAAACGTCTAAACCTGACTGATATCCCAACAATCTATATAGGTTTCTAAAGAAACTCCGCTCTTCTCATTTTAACCTGTCATATGTGCATTTGTGAAACTTAAAAAACGGCCAAACATCAGCCGACATACGTTGTTTCCTATCCACATAACTTGTTCTTTTGACTGTCGCGGTTGTTGCAACCCTTTTTGCAACCACTCGCAGCTGAATAGTCATCAATAACAAATATTATTGTTCTTGGGACCGTTTTCGTCGGTCCTTCCACATCATAAGGTCGTGCAATCTCTACATCTACACAGCGAGATCATCTCGTCGAGTTCTCTATTGTGCCGTATGAATATCTCTATATACTTTTGAAGACCTTCATGGATACATTCATCATCAAACAGTCATTGCGGATAGCACGCAGAAAAGACAAAAAAATGGAACCAAAATAGAAAAGAAAAGGGAAGGAAAAAAGAAATCTAAGACTTGCTCTCTCGACCCAGGCCCGAACACCCCCGTCTATGCCCATTGTTATTGCCACCCCTGTGACAAAAGAAACAAACAAACAGAGACAAAGTAGATGTACCCGGTCCAGTCTTTATGATTCTATAATATCCATATCCAAGACGTGGAAGCAAGTATCACGGTACCTGCATCGGGAGAAGCAAGCAGATGGGGGGGGGAGGAGAGGGAAGAAGAAGATTGATTACGCGAGTGTCAGTGATAACCACCGCTCATTCAAGCCGACTGGACGGCTCCACGGACGGCGCTCTGGCCACCGACCTCCCGGGCGGTGATCTGCATGCCGAGGTCGGGGTTGACGTGGACCATGAGCTCGACCTTGCTGCCGGCCTTGGTGCCCTTGACGGCCAGCTCGGCGATGGGCTTCTCGGTCTTCCAGACAATCTCGCGGGTCTCCTCCTCCTCGTCCTCGTCGGAGTCGAAGTCGGAGTCGTCTTCGTCGCCCTTGGGCTTCTCTTCCTTGGCCTTAGGCTCGGGCTTGGTGACCTTGATGGAGCGGACACCCTCACACACACGGATGAGCACATCACCGCCCTCCTTGGGGGCGTTGTACTGCGCCACGCGGCGGGCGGGGAGAGCGGTCTCGGTGTGCATCAGGGGCTTGAACTCCGTGGCGCCGCCGGAAGAGATCTCGACACCGATGGCGTTCTTGAGGTGGGTGGTGGCGGTGACCATGGGGTGGATGGACTGCTCGATGTCCTCCTGGTCGAACTCCTGGATGAGAGAGGCCTGGATGGCGGCACCGCGGGGAGCCAGCTCGGAGGGGTTGATGGCGCTGACCAGCGTCGAGGGGGCCAGGATCTGGGTGGTCTCGGGGAAGATGTTGCTGGCCAACTGGGCGATCTTGGGGGTGTGCGAGGCGCCGCCGGCGAAGATGACCTGGGATCATTGTTAAAAAGGTTTCCGTGACGGGGAAGGGGACGGGGGAAACCCCCCCCCGGGAAATACTCACCTGGTCGATATCCAGAACATCCAGGTCGGCCTTCTTCACGACCTGCTCGATCAGACCGGTGAACTGAGCGAAGACCTTGTTGGACAGCAACTCATAGCGGGTACGGTTGACGTTGGATTGGAAGTCAATGCCATCCGCCAAGCTCTCGATGCTCAAGCTAGCGTTGGTACCCAAGCTCAGCGTCTTCTTGGTGGCTTCACCCTCGAGCTTCAGCTTGGCCAGGCCACGGGCGTCCTCGCGAGGGTCGGTCTTGTGCTTCTTGATGAACTCCTTGGCGAAGTGGTCGATAACAATCTTGTCAAGAGTGGCACCACCCAGCTCGTAGTCGTGAGCGGTGGCCAGGATGGTGTACATACCACCGCGGCAGGCAACGACGGCGGCATCGGAGCGGGTACCACCCAGATCAGCGACAACAACCAGCTTATCGGCGACCACGGCCTCGGGGCGAGCGTCATAAGCCAGCACCGCAGCAACGGGCTCGTGGATGAGCTGCAGGACCTCCATGCCGGCAGCCTTGGTGGCGGCAATCAGGGCCTCACGCTGGGCGTCGGTGAAGTCGGTAGGGACGGTGATGACGGCGGCGTTGACATCCTTACCCAGGAAGTCCGAGGCGGACTGTCTCAGACGACGCATGTGGCGGGTCGCAACCTCGGAAACGGTAACGGTGCTGGGGGTCTCGCTCTCGCCATCGCAGATGGAGAAGGCGACAGTGGAGTCGCTCTGCTGGGGGTGGGCGGAGTTGTGGCAAGGAGTAGGATCTATCGACTTGAAGCTGGAAGAAAAAAGTCTGTCAGGATCCTTTGCCCCGCCATTTTGGAGTACTCGAGAGGGGCGAAAACGAAAGAAAGAATAAAAAAAAAAAGGGTTATATGACTTACTCCTTGCCGAGGTAGTCTCTGAAGTATGCGACAGTATTCTTGGAGTTGCGAATGAGCTGAGCCTTGGCCTGAGTGCCATGGTACTCTTCACCACCAATGTACGAGAGGACGGAAGGAATCTGGCGGTCTATCGATGCGATGTCAGTGCCCATCGAAAGGTCAAGTTTGAAAGGAATATCATGACATACCTCCCTCCTCGTTGGCGATAACCTCAGCCTTGCCTTCCTATAAGTCCCATATATTAGCATCTATCATCAAGAAAGATCTCCTCAAGAGAAACTGTCGCACGGGGGACAAGCCATACAGGGTTGATGCGGGCAATCGAGCTGTAAGAGTTGCCAAAGGAGATACCAATTGCAAACCGCTCGGCGGCGGTACCGTTAGGAGCGTCACTCATCTTGAAAAGAACGAAAGACGAAGACCGGAAGGAGTTGAGGGGGGGAAGTGAGATGCGAAGTGAGGAGAAGGATCGAATCAATACAAGACCGGAGAAACTTCGAACTTTCGACTTTGTCGGCGGAGAGAAAAAATTTTTGACATGTTTGCACAGGGCGGGCAAATTTCGCCATTATCGATAGCTTGTGCAGTGGATTACTAATTATGAATGTATCACGTGGTGATAGCCGATAAGCATGGCGCATCTTCCCGTTTTTTCCTCAGCATCAAAAGACTCGACCATCTGTATATCCTTCGCCATCCTACCAACACCATACCTCACCCGATTCCACTCACCATGACATCCCCCTTAATACTCCTCCCGGGCGACGACATCCCCCCGGAGAACTTCCCCGCGTCGTCCGGATCCGCACCCCTCCGACTAGGCCCCGGCCTACGCCTACTCTCCTCACAACCGACCCCCACCACCACCTCCAAGTCCCACACCACCACACACGTTCTCTCCACTACGCAGCCCGGGATCCTCTCAACAGACCACAAACGAAACGGACTATCAATGCAAACCCCGCCAAACAGACGCTACATACCGACAGCCAACGACCTCGTCATCGCACAAGTCCACCACTCCAGCCCAGACTACTTCCACTGCGTGGTGACGCCGCAAGCACCGCAGTTACTCTTGGGCCAGCTCTCATTCGAAGGTGCAAGCAAGAAAACCCGCCCGATGCTCAAGGGGGGCGATCTGGTGTACGCGCGCGTGCTATCTATGGGGATGGGGCCCGGCGCGGAGGCCGAGTTGACGTGCGTTAATCCCGCGACGGGGAAGGCGGAGCCTGGGGGGTTGGGGCCATTGACTGGGGGGATGGTGTTCGATGTGTCTGTTGGGATGGCGGCGCGGTTGATGCGCGCGAGCTCCTCGTCGTCGGCGGCGGCGGAGGACGAGGACGGTGCGGTTGCTGGACTGGTGGTTTTGGCGGAGCTGGGGAGGAAGTTGGAGAAGGTGGGGGGCTTTGAGATTGCTGTTGGGAGGAATGGGAAGGTTTGGGTGGATTGTGCGAATGGGGGTGATTCCGCTGTGAAGGCGACTGTTGCTATTGGGCGGTGTTTGAGTGCTATTGATGAGTTGGGTTTGGCGCCGGCGGATCAGAGGAAGTTGGTCTCGAGGGTGTTGCGTGAGATGAAGATTGAGTCGTAGGGAGGCGTGGATGGGCGTTTGGTTCGGCTTTTGCATTGTTGTGTTGGCATTTCTTTTATCTTCGACTCATGAGCTCTACATGGATACACTATGAACTAGTATCTTCAGGGGAAAAAAACCCCTATAACGGGCTATTCTCAATACATGGATGAATGATTGATCCAATAAATTTGCATGGTCTATTTATAAAAGCTCAAAGGCCTATCCAAATATCTATAATTCCAAAGGAACGGTAAGACGACACGCTACAGTTCATCTTTATCCCACCCCGAATCATCATCCTCATCTTCCTCCTCCCCATGCATCTGCTCCTGCTCCTTCTGCAGCACCTCCTGTTCCAGCGCAACCTTCTTCGACAACGCCGCAATTTCCTCATCATACTCCGTCCACTCAGGCACCTGCCTGCGCGCACGGTCCAGCTTCGGTTCCTTCGTCTGCGGGTTATTGCAGAGATCGATAGTGCGGGCCTGGGTGAGGGAAGCATCAGAGCACCAAGTCTCACACCACAGCCACTCCTGCGGGAGGCTCTTAATCGGGATTTGGTGCTGCATGTGGTTGGGAAGGTCCTGGTCCAGGTTACTCAGACTGTTCTTGTCAGCCGAGAGCATCTGGTACTGGCCGCGAAGGCGGTCTCCGGCAGCGAGAGCGCGGAAGCGGTTCAGATCGACGACGTAGAGGGCTGAGATGTGGTACGGCTGGCTGCGGAGGAAGTTCTTCCAGTAGCCCTGCTTCCAGAAGCGGAAGCCTTCCATCTCCTCGCGCGAGTCGCACATGGGGGTGAAGCCGTAGGGCGCGCCTTCGAGGTCCATGGTGACGAGGTCATACATGTCTGTGCGGACGATCTGGTCTGCGTCGACGAAGATGACCTTGTCTAGCGAGAGGGGGAAGAGCACGTCCAGGAATAGGATCTTGTAGCCCCAGATCTGGCGCTGCTTCTCACTCTGGGCGCGCAGCCAGTGTGGCCATTTATATGTGACCATCTCGTACGAGAAGCCGTATTCCTTTGCCAGGTGGGGGAGGAAAGATTTGAATGATGGCGACAGGAACTGCTCGATGAACCAGAACTTGACGGAGTGGTTGGTGTTGCGCATGACCGACACCATCATAATGTTCAACATGCGCTCGTACAGATGGCCGCTGGCAACGGAAAAGATATTGATGTCGGCGTGCTTCTCTTCACCCTTGGAGCCGACACCGACGCTAGAAAGTATGCCGGAGGCAAAGTTCAGTCCTTTGGACACGTAGTCCATGGCCGTACCCGGCTGCGGCCCAGTCTCAAGGACATCTTCATTCTCTTGGCCTTTCTTGCGCGACAGACGCGGGAAAAGCGTCTTGCCTTGGAAGGAGAGGAGCGCGACTTCGGTATTCTCATCGCCCGGTTGTGGGCTATAGCCCAAGCTTCCAACGCTGTCGATATTGTAGATGCGCTCGCTGCGTCCCGGCTTGAGATCGATCTTCCACAGTCCGGGCTGAGCCTTGAACTGGAAGTAGCCCAGGTTGGCCATGATGATCGTGTCGGCAAAATGAGGGTTGTCATCGGTTCCAAGAACCAGCTGCACCCCGCTTGGAGGCGATCTAATGGTTGTATCCCGGGAATGACCCTCGATGAGGATATGCTCCAAGGCATAAATGGCATCGACGTCTGCGCCATCTCTCACGGAGCTCAGCTTGATGTTATCAAGATCATGTATAGACTCCTTGGGAGCCACCAGCCACGGGGATGGGACGTCCATTCCCAAGGTAAGAAGGGCATCAATTGGTACGCCCGAGAAGGACGCGGTCGGTCTGGACAGGGCCCCGTCATCGTCGAAAGAAGGCTCGGAGTCGAGTACATATCGGTAGAAACGCTTGGTTGGGAGCTCGCTGATCTGTTCGCGCGGGTTCAAGAACAACCTCAGTCTAACGCTTGCCAGTTCCGAAAGGACCTTCAAAATCGGCAGCCATCTCTGAGCCACTTCCGAAGTAGGGTCGATCGAAGCGACAATGGTGATGGCCGGATCTTCAGAGCTTGAAACGGTGATCGTCGAGCGAGAGTCCTCCCATTTGCCAAACAGGTTCAACCGGACTTCCGACATGGGTTGGGAGATTCCTTCGGGAACATCCGAGATAGTCGAGAGGGTTGTAAGCGAAGTGAGCTTGGCAAAAGCAAGCGGTCCGGAGAGCTTTGATCCAAATCCGAGCTCCTTGACAGCCTTTGCAACCGGGTCAATGCGTTTCTTCTGCTCGTATGCAAAGAGCTGATCTAAGTCATCGAGGAAGACAGCTACATTTTCCTGGATAGGTCCAACCGTCCTCCCGTTGATGACAACCCCCCGTGCACCAGGGGCAAAGCCAAGGTCTTTGGCCAAAGACTGTTGCGCCTCCCAGAATTGAGCAATCTCAGGAGCCTTTGCACCATCATAAGATGCCAAGTCAACGAGGACTTGGGTAGCATCTCCTTTCTTGTCTCCTTTCAGAGATCTATAGAGTGCTGCGGATGCACCTGTGCTGGAACCATGCGTGGTAGGGTTATGAAGGAAGAGGACCTCTACTTCGGGGTGCTTTCCCCGGCTTTCGAGGGCAGCAGTCAAGAGAGCTTGGCCATTCCCGGAATCAAAATCACCGACAACAAGTAAATGGAGACTGTCAAGGGCATTATCGCTTTGCGACGCAATATGCGGCAATTCGCGTAGAACCTCCTCCCTAGAATCCGAAACCGTGGCAATGTCCACAACCTGGATATCTTTGGGGTCTTCAGGCACAACCCAAGAAGTCCGCCGGTCGAAAGCCCCAGCAAGGAGGTGCTCGTAGATCACGGTATCGTCGTCGATGACACCCTCAGCGACGCCCTGTTGGATCGTCTGTATATCCTTGCTAATCGCGACACTCATCTCCTGCATCCAACTCTCCCCGCTGGAGACGGGAGCTCCATTTACCAAGATAGGTGGTTTCTTGCCCTCAATTCCGAGCCGTTTCTGGTAATCCGCCGTTCGGGCCACAAGGGCGTCGAGGTCCTTGTCCTTGAGTACTTCCTCAAAGGTCAGGACCTGCCTATCGGCCCGCGCGGTTCGGTCCTGTGTAGCAGCCTCAAAGCAGGCTTTATCTGGCGATGCTGCACTCTTCTTGGCAGCAGTCTAGGTCGATTAGCAGTCGGCAAAGGGGTGTCGATCGTCTAAGGCAAGATCCACATACCTCTTCCAGAAATTGCATAAGACTCGCCAGACCAAACGTTTCCTGCAGATAGTGTGCCACTTTCAACTGTGCTGAGGATCCAGGCGAGGAAGCAACGGGAACGAGTCCAAATCTGACAGGAATATTATTCTGGACAAAGATCTTAATGTTGTTGATAACCACTTGCACGCCCTCCATGCTAGACAAGTCCACAGGAATCACGATGTTGTTCGCATTGCGGCGCACGGCCGGGAGCTGGCCCGGATAGCTGCGTTGCAGATACTGTACGGTTATAGTTAGCTATGCAGGCCAGCAAGTTCACAAAAGAGGACGTACCGCTCTGACTGAGCTGGGCCACTGTTCGTATCTGGCATCCTTCTCTACATCGTTCATCCAGATGATAACGCGGCCTCCTTCAATCTCATCCCGGTAGTTGTAACGCGGGGGCGCATCCTGGGCCAGCGCCTCGCCGAGGTACTCGTGCGACAGGAGGTCCACTGCTTCTGTCGCAGAGATGCCCAGATCTCTGAACTTTTCGATGAGTTTCCTTTCACGGCGTAGAGTGTCGAGGAGAGAGAAGGCATCGATTTCGCGAGGATCCACTTGGACACCATTGATCCACATAACATTGGTCCCCGGAGGGAGCAGCTGGAGCCGGCTCGAGCGGATATCTTGCAAGAGCTCGGGGCTCGCATCGTGGGCTGCCACATTCGCGGAATATTTCGGGAAATCCTGAGAAAGCTTGATGAGGGTGTCAAGAGGACTGTCGCTATCCATGACATAGCTAACAGTGTTCACCCCCAAGCGCGATACTTCTGACGCGGAAAGTGGTTTAAGGTCGTCCGGCGCATCCCCATCCGCATTGCTGAGTTTACCCTCTCGCTGCTCGGCATCCCGGTCATCAATGACTATATAATCAGTCCGTTTCAACGCGAGCTCGACACCATATCCGGAGACGAAAAGCGGACGAGGGCTCCTGTGTTGGGAAGGGCGGTAGCGAATACGATACGAAATCTGGCCTTCCTTCGCGAGGGCGCTCAGCGCCAGGTGGAAGTCCTTGAACATCGGAGAAGACACATCTGCGTAGAGCACTGCAGGCGGAAGAGCCAAATCGCCCAGAACCCTATCAAACGGGAGCTCGCGCGGATCCCTATATGGAAGTAAGCCCACGATCCGACCAACACCTAGGTATTCAGAGCCGCTCACAATTCACCCGAGACATCCTGTTGCGCGCGCTCCATAGCCGAAGAACAGTATTGCTTCCCATCGGTATGTACCCAGACTGGACAGGCAGCATCCTGCGCCGCCATCAACGTCTGCTGGACCGAAGCATTATAGTACTGGTAATGCGCAGCGATTCGGGGAGTCGCCGACCGGATCGCCAGAGACACCTTGAATGACGATAGGCTTTCCGGAGTCCGGAGATGACCATCCCCGGAAACGATCTGTAGAAATCGATCATAGAGTTCCTTATCGGTAATAGTGTCGTCGAACGCGCCGTCGGCAATGCGGTCAAGCAGGGGGAAGTAGGCGGTTGAGTTCTCTTCAGCGGCAGTTTCTCTAGTAGACAGGTACCAATTAGCCACTTAACCAAGACGATAGCACTTTGAGCTGGGCTGGAGCATCTTACAAAAGCTCAACCAAATACTGGGGTGAATCAAAAGAAGCTTGCAGAGCAACATTGACCGACGGACTGGCGTGCACCAGGGGGGTCAGGAGAGCAACCCCCACGGCTGCCAGTCGGCAAGAAGCGGCCAATCTTGACACAATATGCATAGCTATATCTGAGCGTATACAGAATCAAATGTAAATAAAAAAGAGTTGATGGACGGTGTGAGAGCCGGCTACTCCAAACAAAGGTTAGCTTAGCCAAGGAGCATAACGGGCAAAGCGCCGCTCCGCAATACAAGTGCGGGATAAGATCTTTGGGATATAATATAGACTGCTCAATTTCAAGTAGACATCTGAATTAGTTATGACTCTTAGTAACTCCAGGAAGTGGTGTAGGAGAGTAGGATGAGTGATGTTTATTGTCGAGGCTGTATACTCCACAGTGGCCACATCGCGATAGGGACCACTACGGCTGGCGTCGCGGCCAACTGTGCACAACTTCCGTGTCTGATGTAATCGCTGATATTTACACAGAAGTATAAATGAAGTATAAATAAACAAATAAATAAATGTCAGATATACATATAGAAAGAGAAAGTAATTACTTATAATTTAGTCTTGTATACGCTCATCGCAACTACCTACACACGTCAACGACTTGTCCGATACGGGCACTATGTCATAACGCCTATGTATGCATTCTGCCTACTTATCCAAGCCAAGTCTCCAACAGCAACAACAACAACAACAACAAGTATCTCCAAAATGATCCAGCCTACTAAGGTCTTGACAACTCTACTATCAGTTTGAAAATTTCACAGTCTAAAGAAAACATAGACCACAACTCGAAAGGGTATCTTCTATAAACAATCATACCAATGTATGAACTATTTTTCAACTCAGGTCCCGTCATAGAACATCGCCATGTTGCTAAACTACCTCACAATTCAATTCTTGATATGAGGAGGTAACACCAGCTACACCGACAGTTAGGTCAGATCCAGCGACCAGATCTGTCCCGCCCACAGCTATAACGCATTGAATAAAGGGCCGTAGTCCGGTCGGTGTATGACAAGCCCTGATCCCAGCTGTAGATCATGCGGTGACGCGTAGGACACAAATCTATCTCGATTTTCCAGGATCCTGGGTATATGGGTCCCAAGTAACTAACTAACCAGTCAACACTAAATTTAAAATAAAAAAAAAGAAGAAGAAGATCTAGATCTGCAGGGTGGAGACAAACAGTTCCACCAAACCAAATCACTGCAGAAAGGGGAGACATGCTGTGCATATCCATGATTGCTGATGCTGTCAATCACCGTCGCATTATATCAAGATTCTGCCTTAAGCTGTCATCTATATGTCATGCTGTCATTGGTGTGAACTGTGCGACGAATGAATGTCAGATTTTATGTACGGATTGTCGATCAATCTTCTGTGAGGTAAATATGCACATAATATCTATTATTATATCATACTAAAGATCTTTATGCAAACCCTGCAAGTATCCAACTGCAGAACTAGAGCAAAACAAAAAAATAACCACAGCATGAACAGCATTGCATGTCGTACGACATATGTTTGATCACAACAAGGGACTACTAACTACTCACTCAGCGACGGACGGACGGACTTCCTGCACGCTGCAAGGGTCCGATCCATCCATCCCCGACTGGGACTCCGGATCTGCAAGGAACTATATTTATGTACCAACTATACCAAGGTAGATAGTTGGTATCGAAGTGGGTATTTTCATTACAGTGTCAAGTGTCAACAGCTCGCTTCCATACGTACAGAAGGAAGGCCCTCAACCCTGTTATGTAAAAAGTAACAAGATAACTAACTCCATTTTATTGAACTCCGATCCTTTTGGTAACAAACACCTCCCGCAGTCATAAAACATTATGGTCATGAGTCAGTAGTCATGGTTCAGTCAAGCTCCCAGGCTTGTTTGTTTGTTTCCCTCCCTTGGAGGCCATCCATGCAAAATCCTTCCCTAAAACAAAAAAAAAAACAGCGAATGTCGATATCCCCAGTTCACCGGTAAAATCAAACCTAGAAACACAAAGACACCCAGAAGGCTGGTTTGATCCTGAACAAGGGCGTGAAAAAACAAAGGGCAGATCAAATCGAAAAGCAAAATGAAAAAGAAAAGAAAAGAAAACCCAGATGCCCAACTCCGGAACGTCCCAAGGATGATGAACCCATTTTGTCTTTCCTAATTTTGTCAAGAATGGGAAATGCGGGGGGGACGATAACAGGATGATAATATGGAACAGAAAAAAGAGGTCAAGTCGCCTTGAACAGGTCGGTATTGAAAGACTCTTTGGATTGAGTGCTAGGCCGCTTGTGGTGGGTGTGTCTGCGGTTCTTCGCCTCCCAGATGAGTCGCTTGCGCTTTTGCTCGTCAATGTCAAAGAAGGATGCGTAGTCGACTTGGCCGGGCTCCCCGCGCGTCGTGAGAGCGCTGGTCGACTTCATCTTTTTGAGGCTCTTGGTCTTGCCGTCGCCGAGGCCCAGCCTGCGGATCTCCCGCGCAAGTCGTTCCAGAGTCGAACCGCCCTTCTTGGTCGGCGAAGGCGGCAGGGGCTTGTCAGCCATCTCATCGGACTCGTCCGCGGATGGTGCGGGCAGTCGCTCGGTAGAGCAGAAGCTCACGCCTGAATCCACCTTGCGGCTTTTGCTGCGGGACGACAAGGGCTCCTCACCCAAGCTGCTGGGGTCCGTTACCGAGACACATTCGTCAATGATCTCATTTGCGAGCCGGATATACCGGTCCAGGGTGTCCCGGACGGGCGCCCATCCGTCCTCCGACCCCTCGGGGGCACCCTGGGCACGGAGCTGTTGCAGGATGTCCTTCCCATTAGTCTCGACCCCCCGGATGTAGCGGAAGAAGCCATCGCGATGGGATCTAAGGATGTGGTGGGTCAGGTGCGCCGCGGGGGGAGCGGTCGTCTCGGTCACGGGTGGGAAGAGCGTGTTGAGCATGGCGATACAGCCTCCTTTGCTGAACGGCTCGAGCAACATCTCATTGATCAGAGTCTAGGGTTCGTTAGTCTGTGGTTTTATTCTTGCGGGGTTCATCGGTGTTCACTTACCCAGCGACGGAGACCAATGTAGATCTGCGTGTACAGCGCATCGGCCTTGCGACCTTTGGAGCTCATCGACTCGATCCAGCCCATGACGCCGGGATACCTCGTGGCGAGATCGGATCTCTCAGTGAGATCTTCCGGTCGGATCTGCAACCGCTGCAGGGCCGCCGACACATCCTTTTTGCGACGGATGTCCAGGTCTTTCAAGTAATCCAGCGCGCACAGGGCCTGGGGGAAGTCGACATCCTCGAGCTCCGGGGTAAAACAGCGACGAAGGAAATTGGTGATGAAGCTGGGAGGCAATGAGCACGGCTGAGACGGCAACCGGGAGATCTGTTGCGTCAATTGGGCCTTGAAATCGGCGGTGGAGTCAATGGAGGAGCCGGAAGAGTGAGAAGCCTTGAACGAGTTGGAGGGGCGCGGGGTAGTGGCCGCTGTCTCGGGAGTGCGCGTTCCAGGCGGCGATTGTCTTAATGAGTTGCAATTCAGTTCGTACATGGAACGCAGGGGAATCTCATAAGTTCCCGGGTAGCGGACGCAATGGTCCAGGATCCAGGTTAGAGAAGACCCATTGGGGGTATCCAGCAATCCCTCTTGGTGAGCCATGATTGTGTCACGTAGGAGATCAATGGGGGGGGGTTTTTTTTTCTTTCCAAGAAAAAGCCAAGGAAAATCACGATAATGAAAGAGGAGGTCTAATTCTCACGAGGGAAGACAGGAGATATAAAAGGGCGTTGTATGGAAAAGTCCGCAAGGCGGGCCAAGGGGGCAACCTGAGCTCCAAGAACCCTCCGATTCGTGCGACGTGATAGGGATGCGGGACAGTCAAGGTTTGATCCAAACTGCTCTAGATGACCGCTAGTATTACTTGCATGTAGCATGGATCTTGGACGAAAAGAAGGAAAGGGGGCGCAAAATCTCCTTGGCTAGGATACTAGGGAGCCAAAGAGGGAACTGAATATCCCTTAGGTTTCAGTCGCGCGAGACAAACGTGCGATGGGAACACCACGGTTGTTGGGTCTCTCCTCCCCGAGTGACTTGTGACTCCCTTTATTTGTTGGAGAGTCGATCAAAGGGGGTTAACTCGATCGAGCCTGTTGCCCGATAGATCAAATCAACCGGGGAAACAAGGATTGGTCGACCGAGGATGAAGTAGTTATCCGATTGTTGTCCCCGTATGGAGTCGGAGACGGAGCGGAGGTTGTACGGGAGGCGATAGTCAAAAGACAAACAGACGCGTTAATTGGTCGTACCAAAGTTCGAGAACCAGAAATCTTGACGGTTGATGTTGGGATTGTATTGAGAATTTTGCTGTGCTTTGTTTTGTTTTTGTTTTGAGGAATTTAGAGTTTCCTTGTGTGGGCGTTTTGGTTTGAGATGCGTCAGAAGAACGAACAAAAAAAGAACGCTGAAACCACCAACAGAAAGAGATTGAAGGATGGTAGGAAGAATAGTGTTAACAGAGGAAATTGTCAACGAGTGGATCAGTAATTGTGGATAAAGAGAGAGAAAGAGGGTAAGAGAGAGTGTGAGGGAGTGAGATGTGAAAGAATGAGAGTCAACATTCAAGACAATGGGAGAAGTGAATTTTAATATTCCAAGGTCGAAGCACGATAAGAATAGTAAGTGGGCGGGAGGAGCAGCCAAAAGATTCCAGAGTCCAGACTTTCCCCTCCTCCAGGATCGATCATCCACTAACAGAAACTAGCCTTCAAGCGGTCTCCTGTCGCCCCCGTTCCAGGTCTTTGGTTCCCGTCTCGCTTCCGAATCCTTCTGTACCTTTGCTCGATGGACTAATTCTCGAGTGATTTCCTTTGTTTCCTTATTGATACATCTTCGATCGATGGGATTTTCTATTTACCAACACCCAATGATTATAGTCTGAAAGTAGAACAACCGAGGGATTTAGAGTCATCATCGTGATCATCAGACTAAAGGGAGAAAAAAGACACCCCTTCCCGCGGCAAACGGATCCCCCTCCCTTGAATCGATCAACCGGTCAGGTCGCATCCATCCGATTGTCCCCCAGCCCCAATGGGCTGGTTGAATCGACCGTTCGGGGAACCGACGATAATCCCCCTGGCCCGGATAGACTAACCCGTTAGCCCTGTCGACCTTTGAGCTCCAATGGAGGCGAGGGTAATGCAATGCACATGCACAAGGGAGGACTCGGACCAGATACTCGATGCAAGATGCAGGCTGCACTCTGCAAACAACCTGCTCGAGGTGTGGCTGTGGCGATCAATCATCACCCGACGGGGTATTCCGTGCTAGAGACCAGAATCGATATTGCATTGTTGTCCACCGGATTGGATTGGATTGGACTTGACCCGTCAGATCATCCGCCTCCCGCCAGTAGATGGAGCCTGGCTGGTAGGCTACCCATAATTGAAAGTCGCATGAGCTCATCGGGGACGGGACCCACGGAGGCCGCAAACCGGGTGCCGTTGTTAATTAATTTCTATTCATTTTATTACAGTAGTACCTCCGAGGGCTGTGGGATGATCTGATTGAATCGACCGGCGTCGAGTCTTGCTTGGGTGTCAGCGGCTCTAGGACAACGCGTTGGTCGCCGACAGTGGGTCGTCGTGGGTCAGTCTGTCACTCGAGGATTCAGGACACGCAATCTGAAAACCGAGACCCCGAGGGGCTCTCCTCATTCAGCTCCCATGTTTTCATCACGATCATGCCTCCTGACTTGCATATTGTGCAACAGCCATGGAGAGCTCTCAGCTTTTTCTCTCCCAGTTGCCCCCTCTCTCGTGATCGGATCGGATCACCCTCCAATGTCCCACTTCTCGTCATTGTCCATTGGACAGGAAAGTCAGGAGTGGAGAGTGCCTGCCGAGGCTCTCTGTATACTTGAAACAGGTTAACATTTAGTCGAGCCACCAAGCCATCGGGGCTGATTGTACCTCTTTCTTCGCCCCCATTGCCTCTCCCCAGCACTTCAATTGATCTAAATCGATCCATCAAATTGATATTCTGGCAACTGATGTAAGGATGTAACCTTGATTGGATCGGTGACATCAGACGACATACCCCACCCGCACAAAGAATTACAAGTGTAAACCTATTATTGCTTCCCAAGACTAGAGGTCTTGTCTTGTGCGTTGTACTTTTGTCGGTCCCACTTGTCCCGGCGTCTGATGGCGGAAGTGGTGGACTCACGTCCGCTCCCGAGACAAAGCAACCATAGGGGAGATCCCTGTGTAGTGTGTACGGAGTACTTCAGATACTTGCAGATCAACGTCCTCTGTCGAGGATACAGTGTCAATGTACAAGAAACTGCAGTTCACTCCCTCTTATTTATCTGCTCCATCTCTCCTTCAATTTGCGACACCACCATCACCAATACTAGTCCAGAGTGCTTCTATTGAATTGTATCCCCGAGATTAACTCAATAATTCGTAAACATCACAACAGACAACAGCAATGAGACATTCAACACATAAACACACTCATATATGATAGATCAAGAAATCTACCCTCAACCCCTCTCTCGAAAATGATCAAGGGAAAGTGTTCAAGACACTGGTATCTTTCCACTCCCAGTTCCAATAAATATCTACCCAACCCAACACGAATCCAATACCCACAACAGCAGCCACCAGCGGAATCCAATCCCTCAAGCGAGACAATACCCGGACTTCCGGGTCTACAGGGCAGAAACCGCCTAGTTGGGCGTGCAAAAGGCTAAGCACAGACTGGAAGGAATTAAGGGGGGAAGATACAGTCAACCCAAGAATCAGGCACCTGGACTAGTGATCGACACTCCTCAACCATCTTACTGGATACCCCGTCTGTCAAGAATCAATAGTCAAACAGCACTTCACGCCCCTAGTTACCCGCCGAGCGTGCCAAGTTGCTAACTAAATAAACGCGGCGCAAGTCCCAAAAAACATATGTATGAATGCATAACGGGACCGTCGTGTCGGAGCCAACACTAGTCTTATTAGCGGTTTAGCCTAGCTATAAGCGAGTAAAATGAAAGACTCAAATCTGGGCAATGCGCCAACTAACGGCACCTAAGCCGTAAGTGCGAATCCTGCCAGGCAGTTAGTTGGTTATAATGCGAGTATGACAGCCGGACAGAGCCAGTCGTTGGTGGTGTTGAGTGTCCCCCCCCCCCCTTATGCGGAGATCAACTGCCGATCGAGTTTGTTCCTGGCGCGGGACTCGTCCCGGTGCCCGTATTTGGGATTACATAAATCACATGTGTTTAATCGATCAATGTAATGCTATGCGTAGTGGGATATTCCGGACTATAAGCGCAAAGTTAGCCTCTGATTAGGATGACCCAACTGGTCGGGTACCAACTACCTATCTACCCAAGACCCAGGAGATGGTAATAAGGGGCGTGCGGGTGGGCCTGCAATAGTTATATTGAGAACGATGATGATCATGTACTAATTCTACAGTATTGCATGTGGGTGACTTTTTGCCCTTTTTACCCCTGAATCGGTAGATGTAGAGGCTGACTACAGTCAGTCGGATATTGGTAGATAAAACCAATGGTTCGTGTCATTTTCGTCATTGGCGTCTGCATTAATGTGGGACACGTACTCCCTAGTCGTCTTCTCGGCTATTATCATATACCTAGGTAGTAGGCTGTCCAACTTCAATCAGCTGGATCCTTACCTACGAGGACCACGGCTACACAGCTACCTGGGTAGATGCGGTAAGCTGACTAGACGGAGGATAGTTTCGGAGTAGCATATATCTTCATGTTCATCACTCGGCAAGCCAGTAAAACCTGAGAACCCGTGTACAAGCCAAATTCAAGGACCGTCAATATGTGTACTAGAACACAATGTACCATGAAAATGGTAGGCGCAGTGAATATAGAGCCATGCATTTTATGTGCTTGTCAAGATAATTACTATTAACATAACAATATAGCTATTACCAACATAACAGATATTGTGGCACTTTGATCTTTGACGGTGGCCTGTTTATGGTGCTACATCAAAGATCAAAGACGGTAGACAAGCTATTCATGGTCACTACTAATTTAGCTATTTCTTGTACAGATTTCTTGTACAGTGAGTGATAAATCATGAGTATCATGAGCAGATCTAGAGGTAGAATCAAGATCCTTCCTGCCTAGCAGGCAACATGATCGAGAGTACAGCCCTCCATGCTCGAGTAACACGCTTGCTGCGATTAGAACAAAAAAAATCCCATCACTAGATGAATTCAAATTTCCTATATCAAGTCGCCTTAGCAACGCATGTATCCGCATACAGATCCAGCCCGCCTGCAACATGCCATGTCTGGTGATCCTTCCTCACGTGGTGGCAACATACAGCTATCCCACATGTTTGAACCATTGATTCTCCTTCAGCCTGCTTTTCCAAAATGCAATGGGCCCCGCTGACCTGAGACAGGTGGTTCAAATGTGGCAAGTGGTACACAACATACATGCAACTTCTGGTTCAGCTTTGGTCGAGCAATTGCAGACTGCCTAGCCATGGCATCCTATCCAAAATTAGACCGTTACACCCAGTCCCACTCATAAGTGGCGTAGTATAGAGATCCTGCCCGGAGCCAAGAGAATCTACTGGCTCGTCGAGTAACATTCGAGCAACATATTCAAAGTCAGGACAAGGAAAGACCGACTAGTTACAACAAGTGGTCGTATATAGTAAAAATGATTAGGGCTTGGTATACTTGTAGATACCAGAACCATCCAACTGCTTGAAAAGCTAACCGGATCCGTAATAAGCGCCACTTGAGAACCATGAACAACCGAACTCCACTCTCTCCGGATACACACCTTCAAGATGTAAAAATCTTAACAAAGAGCAAAAAAGAACTGACAAGAGTGGGATTCGAACCCACGCCTTCTTACGAAGAACAGGAACTTGTAAAGTCGCTGTTAAGGTACACCTTAACCTGTCGCCTTAGACCGCTCGGCCATCTTGCCATTTGATGAAATAACGGTTCTTGATATTAATATCTATAGACTATTGCTCCAAATATCTCTCGTAGGTATAGATCCTCTCCATGACCTATCAGGCTTGATGCACAGAAATTCGTCTTTAAATCATAAACATTCATCTCATAGTAAAATTAACGAATTAGTATACATGTATCTTGGCACGACGACAATAGATCCCTGATTTTCTTACATCAAGTCATCTACTGCTCATGCCATTTCGTTTCTCGCCCGATTGGGCATGGAAGGGAGACATCAGCTCCTGACAGCGACGAACCCGATGACAGCATCTATTTGTAGCACTGCAATGCAAGCACCCGTAATCAGTCCATCAGGCTTATTCCCGAACAGCCAAATCCCTGCAGCTTCTATACACAGCCAGTGCAGTCTTGCGATTTTGTCTCGGACCATATATATATATCCGTAGACTCAAATGTCTTAGCTTCGAGCAATTCTATTGCCCCGAAGACACGCAACAATAAAGCCACCCCTATGAATATCCAAGACACTGTTTTGTTGTCAAAAACTCAGGCGACGCCTCCATAGACCGACCAACCGGATACGCATGTCCTCCCGGGACCTCTCACATGGCGGCGCCGAAGACCATGGAATACGAGCGGCAGCTGCGCTTGGATCTGGAGACGTCTGTTTCCAACTGGGCTTGCCATAACAGGTCTATATACTGTTGCTAGACAGACGTATATATAGCCCCACGATGAGAGACTCGCCCAGTTTCTAATGGACTCGAATATACTTAAGAATAAGTTCATCACCATTCGCATCAGTTTCATCCACCTATCCTACCACACCTCCCAATCTAACAGATCATGCATTTCCCTACCTGCCTCCACGCGCTGCTCGCTCTTCCCATCCTCGCGACAGCTCATCCAGCGCCAGCAACCGAATATACGTACACCACGGTAGTAAAAGACGCAACTATCATCCGCTCCGGCAACTGCACGGACTGTCCATCCGGCGAGTGCAACCAATGCACACTAGGCCTCAAAGACACCCTCGTGGCCAGCGCCACCAACGAAGAGGAAAGCCAGATCTTGGTAGGCTTCGAGCAACCGATGCCAGGCTGGGCCGTGAAATCCTGCTCGATCCTCTTCCCAGGCTTCGGAGACCTGCTCCCGAACGAGTTCGAGGTCACCTTCGCCCTGGCGCTGTCGTCAGACTGGGACGAGGCGACTGTCAATGGTGACAATGCGCCTCCCTCCGCGCCTCCCTTCAAGACAGTGACGGTGCCGCCGCTCACAAGGAGCATGGACTACGTCGACATCACACCCGCGTGCAGGAGCGCTGATACAGACGGTCGTTTCTCGATGTACCTCACTGCTTTGTCTGAGCATGCTGAGATCTGGGGTAAAGACTCTGGGAATGCCGCTATGTTGAAGATTGTTCCGTTGTGAGGTGAGGTTGGCAATGGCTAGGAAGGACATAATGTATAGGAGTTGATGGTGGCCCTTCCTGATCTTCATTTTTTATATTCGACATTGTTATGGAGGCTGGTTTACTGATCTGCTTATTTATGGATCTGGAGGATTTGTCTTTGTATTTCAAAGTATATTGTCTCTAGTTAGTTATGTAGTAGTTAGTATGATTCTTATGTATCACCTTTTAGGAGTTAGCGACAAGGGGTAGCTCACGGCCTTCTAATATATGAATTGGAAAATAATAGCAAGTGACCGGAGGCCCAACAATGAAGGTGGTGGTTATCCTGACGCCTGCAAATTCTAGAGATTGTTCGGCTCTCTTAGACAGTCAAACCATGCGCCATCTTTTCTGAAAGATTTCTCTGTTGGTACAGCACTTTGCCGTCTCCACTGGTAGCTAAACGGGTCAGCAATGAGCGCAGTCATAGATATAACGGGATTATATTACTTTTCAAGCAAAACCAGCCCATAGAATAGATACAACTGTCCAACCGAGGTCCTCAAGGTCAATGATAGCGTCTGCAAGAACCTCCCAGGCTTCGCTGTATAAGGGTATCTCTGAAGCAATACTGAACTCTCACAACGATGACTCAATCGGCGAAATGACTAGCCACATGATGCGCAACAGCCGTCTCGTCCCCCTCAAAACCCCCACAAACAGGACAAATTACCGCCGGGCCCTCTTCCTTGGGCTCGTCCTGGGGCTCATCTCGCCGTTCGTTTCTTCGGTTTTGCCGCGGTCTGGAATTAACCACATAGGCATCGAGGCCAACATTCGACGAGGGGAGCTCGGCCCCTGGAGGATCGCCTCTCCTCGTCCACTGTCCCTCTGTCGCTGTCGCTGCCGGTTGCGAATGCCCCCCCGCTCCCATAGACTGCACTCTCCCGACACGACCATCCGTGAGTCGGACCTTGATTCCCCGCGGATGGTTCCCGCGAGTCAGCACGGCGGCAATGGTCCCCGAGACTGTGCGACCGGTTGGTTGGTCGGCTTTTAAGACGATGTTGACGGGTGCGCCGGGCACGACCTCCTTAGTTGTGGGGACGCGTGGCATGTTATGTTCCTTTTCTTCTTCTTCTGCTTTAGATACTGAGATTGAATGGGTTTGTTGTAACAGTAGTTGGCTTCGTATTGGTTTCTGTTTCTTTCTGTTATGGATCATTGATGATGATAAGTGTCTTACATCAGCGTGTTGGTGCCATATCGGTCAGGCAATACATTTCAGTGGGTCAGGAGAGCCAATAATCAGTGGATGCCGGGATTGGCTATAACTATCTCTTGCTGTACCTTGTTGGATGAGATTCATGTTATCGAAACGTCACAGAGAGTGGAAAGATGCTGGTTATAATGGGCCAAGCGTGGGCTGTCACCTGACTGGGAATATTTTAAGGTCTTCATTGTGTTTCCTACAGGTCCAAAAGTCCCATCACACTTTCACGTCTCTCAGTCTCATCAATTTTATCAACCACGTCAAGTTTATACCAATTCGATTGATCCTTGTTAATGGTACACAATGCCCCGTGATAGATGAGTACTGAGCCATGTGCAGATCAGCTCGACTCAGTTGATTCTCCGATGGGTGGTGTTTCCATGCTCTCCTTCTGATATGGGGACCACCTCGCAGTAGTAGCACAATGGATTTCGACCGGCTTGCCCAATTCTCTAATGTCCCCCACAATGTCTTCAGCCAACAGCGGTTCAACAACGTGACAAATTATTTTTAGAGCTTGCCCGCCATCATTTCCATCATCTTGAGCTACAGCGCAACGATGCAGTGGCAGATGAGGCTGATTGCCGGAGAAAGTACGTCGCGCGTTGTCTGTTCCGCAAATTGTCCTGTGATATATCCAAGAAGTACTGCAACGGTCCTTTCAGGCTCTATTGCGATGACCTCCGTCCTGATAATGTTCTTGTTGATGCATCAAGCCTTGCTGTTACTGGAGTGGTAGATTGGGAGTTCACGTATGCCGTTCTTGTAGAACTCACATATGCTGCTCGTTGATGGCTCTTGTTAGAGAAGCCCGAAGATTGGGAATCCGATCTAGGTCAGTTCCTGGTCCGTTTTATGCCGAGATTCTACACCTTCCTCGAGGTCCTCCGCGCTTGTGAGACCGAGAAAATCAACAATGGTCCCTTGTCACAATCACAGCAACTATCCCCTGCCATGGAGTAGTCGTTGGAGACCGGATTATTTTGGACCTGCCTCGCTTCTCGCCATGGCACTATGTTTGATGAAATCTATTTGAAGTTTATCGATCCAAATTTTGTTTGGCCCATTCAATACAATTGAGGGTCGTTATGGTTTACTTGGTGTGGAAGAGCAGGCCAGCATTGACACCGTTGTCAAGAACAAGTTGCAGCAGGCAAGTGAGGGCACTTTGGTCTCTCATTATAACATTGACGAACTGGTTGATCTATTAAGGTCTGTTCCTCTATGGTTCACAGTCCATGCCTGTTGTAGGAGTACATCGAGAACGCATGATCAGTTCATGTGTCTTCTAAGGAGTATCACTTCTGCAACATTCTAAAGAGTTGTGTGTATCATGCTAATATATATGATGTACTCTATTAAGATTCATGGTTCCCGATACGATGCAGTTGAGTCTTTATATCAATCACTTCTCTAGCTGACAATCACAAATTCCGGTTCATCCAAGATTTAAGACTCCTCCTTTTGGTCCTTTTGGTCCTTATGCTCCTCCAAGACGGCAAAGACATATGATATGACCGAAGCATCACGTCCCTCCGGGCTTTTGAGATTGCGCTCACCGATCAACTCCCAGACTGGCGTGTCCTTGTCTTTGGTAAACTCGGGCGCATTAGTACCAGCCTGGTAGTCCTTGAGTGTGCCGTCGTAATATACGACACAGTTCCCTGTGAAATCATCCCGGGCGTAGCATAGCCCGATCTGACCGTCAGGAACGCTGAGCTGGCTCGCCAATGCGGGGAAGTCCCACGGTCCTTGAGTGTCATACTCTTCCAGCCTATTTCCAAGGGTCAGCGAAAGAATTATGTGACTCATGTTATTCTGCTTACCGGTAGTTTCGACCCGTTTTATCGAGGAGGCCTTTCAGATGATCCGTCGTAATGCCCTTGTTTGAATCCCCCACCACTGATTGCGCTTGTTGCTTGAGTTGATCCATTGTCTGACCCGTCAACTGGGCCAATGTGACCAGGGCAGAATTGCCGCTCAATTGGTAAGGACTATACTGCGACGGTACGCGATATTTCGTGACCTCGATTGCTACTTCCAGCGGCAGGACATAACCTTTCTTACCGGTCACATGGTCTGTAACGGCGCCCACAGGATCATCAAGGGCGTTCGCGACATCCTTAACGCCCTTTTTCTCCTCGCCGAGGAGGGACACGGCGCCTAGATCCAGCGGATGGAGAGTGATGGTCGGGGTGGCAGAGGGATCATCGTTGGGGAATGTTTGGGCCGCTGGTCCGACCACTGCGACTGTGGTGAGCGGGGAGAATGTGAAGGTGAGATCCTCGGTCAAGCTTTCCACCGAGACCGTTTGGTCTGGGGGCGCCACCGTCACAGTGGTGGTGATCGACTCGAATTCGACGGTGCAGGGGTTGCCACATTCACTGGCCGGGAAGGTCCTGGCACCATCGTGCTGTTTCCTCACCACACGGGAAGCAGCCGCCCAAGAGGACAGCAACAGGACAAGAGGAAGATCAACCCGGGACAACATAATAAAAAAGGGAACAAGAGGAGTGGTTGAGAAGTACTACATCGCCGTGGATGGGGAGTGTTGCATGTCTTATGAACGGTTGCGGTCGTCAATCTACCCAGCTCAATTTACCAAGGGAATCCTTCTGACCGGCCCTGAAACCTCTACCGTGGAGGATGTCGGAGACTCGGAGGTAATTGCAAAACCTCTCTATATCGTCGTCGATCGGCCCATGGCGCCCGAAAATCCTTGTGGGGCCGGAAGCAGACCATGACTCTCCGTCGGAACATGCTCTGCCAATAGCCGTTGAAGAACGCCCGTTGATCCTGAAGGATTGATGTGAAGATCACATCCGGGCCCGGTCCTTTACAACCAATTTTCTAACAAGACACCACGGACACAATTCCTCCCTCAATCTCCGATCAAGGGATCGAGAGGAAGGTGAATATGGGCCACGTTCGCTTGTTGGATTCAACAGCGTTGATGTCCTATATGATAAATACCCAGACGCTGGCGGTACGGTTCACCTCGTCTCATCATTCCCCATCCATCTACCAGCTTGATTCCCTGACAGAAGACAGGAGCAAAATGCGGTTTGCTGCGTGGCTTCTTACTTGCGGCCTCCTACTGCAGGGAGTCTGCGCACATCCCGGGGTGAGACCTGGGATAAGAGATGTCACGCCTGAATTGACTTCATCGTCCGGAGATCATCCTGCTGCTACCAAGATATCTCAGCATCTCCCGGCCAATTCATCTAAGCGTCGCCCTGGCAAGACGTGTCGTCCGCGCCCTGGTCACTCCGTCTCTGGCCATCCCAAGTCTGGCGATTCATGGCAATCTGGCTCGAACAACTCAACCCTACCCACCTCTGGCGATTCATCCCAGTCTGGCTCGAATAATTCAACACTGCCCACATCTGGCGATTCATCCCAATCTGGCTCGAACAACTCAACCCTACCCACCTCTGGCGATTCATCCCAATCCGACTCCTACAATTCAACCCTGCCCACATCTGGCGATTCATCCCAGTCTGGCTCGAATAATTCAACCCTGCCGACCTCTGGCGGCTCATCCCAATCCGACAGTGACAACGCCGACCAACATGAGCAACAGTCCCAAGAGAATGCCTCTTCTTCCGATGGTTACCTGGTTGCAACCGCCTCAGTCAGCATGTCTGACCCAACCGGTTCCCCTGCCAGCGCTGCGGCAGCTGTTGTGACGAACCCGTCAAACCCTCAGCAAACGGCGACATTCGTTAAGGAGGAGGCATCGGATGATTTGCTGGCCGCACTACCACTCATTCCAGCTGCGGGTCTGCCGCTCATTGTTAGCGTAGGTGGTTCTGCCGTACCTGCCGTTGTTGATTCCGCAGGCATGATAGTGAGGCCTCTCGGCTCGGCGCCTTCTTGGATCAAACCCGACATATTTCCAGCAGCCGACAGTATTGGGGAGACGTTGAACCCTGGAAAAACGGTGCCGGTAGGGTCTGGCTCTGGTGGTGGTGCTGGGACTGGCTCCGGTGGTGGTAGTGAGTCTGGCTCCGGTGACGGTGCTGGATCTGGCTCCGGTGGCGGCAATGAGTCTGAATCCGATACCGAGTCTAGCTCGGGCAGCAATACGGAATCTGGCTCGGGTGCAGAGCCCACAGGCAGCTCCAGCAGCACCTCGCCGGAAGAGAGCAGCACTACTGAACCCGAAAGCAGCTCTACCGAACCTCCAGGCGAGACCCTTGCCACGAGGACTATCACGATCACGACGGATATCAATACCTTTAGAGCCATACCAAATTTTCCAATCATCACCGGCTCCGGACGCCCTGCCGACACTCCGGGCGCCTCTAACACCCAAAATGATTCCCAACCGTCTAAAACCGACAATAATTCCCAGCCCACCAACACTGACAATAACTCTCAACCGTCCAACAACGAAAACAACTCCCAATCGTCCAACAACGAAGATTCTCAACCCTCCAACAACGAAAACAACTCCCAACCGCCCAACAATGAAAACAATTCCCAGCCGTCTAACACTGAAAACAATTCTCAACCCTCGAACACCGAAAATGCTTCTCAAACCAGCAATCTCCAGCCCATGTATACGCCTGATCCTTCTTTGACCACGGTGGATTCCCACGGCAATGGAACCAAAATCGTGAGTCCCCGTACTCTTCTACTCCCCGAAACAAATCGCACGATAGTGCAAACGCTGACTCAATGGACAGCATGTTGATTCCGGATGTATCTCTGTCAATGGCCAGACCATCTGCGGCCATTGGGATCTGGGTAAGTCACACTTAATTCCCCAATGCGCCTCTAACTATGAAAGTCTGGCTGATACTGCTTCCAACAAACAGCGACTGTACGTACCGATGCAGAGACCAGTAAGGTGAAGATTTATGGCAAATTCGACAGCGAGGACGCCGCTTGGTATAACAAAAAAGGCGGCTGTGAGCTCACCGCCAGCTGGCCGTCAGAATATGGCGATGTTCGCTACCAAGACGACAACTGCCTCCATGATGCCGATGGTAGCTAGCCACCCATCTACATTGAGCTTCGAGCGTCCCTGCGTGACTGACACCGTTTAGGCAATATCATAGACAACCAATGCTGCACTGAACCGGCGAAAGATGACGTTCCAAACCCTTACGGGCCGATCTGCAAAAGGGAGTACAGTTTTTCCGTTGATCAAGTCACCATCTACAGCAGCGGCTGGATGACGGATGACGGATCGAACCTCTGGAAACAGATGTCCCGTTGCGGCCCGGTCACAAAATGGGAAGTCAATCCGGTTCGCAATCAGGCGGGTCAAAAATGGGTTTACTTCCACCTCCCAATCCAGATTGGCGGGTCATGTGTGCAGCAGGGTATTTGGGAAGCAGGGGGGCCATGGGCGAACTGCTAGTGGACGATGATGGCACGGTATCTATCAGATTGCAATAGAGTCTCATTTGAGAAATACAACCGGTTCCAAAACGATATCTTCCGTAATCCTAGATGTAGAACAACTGCCCTGCCCCATCTACATGCTTATGATCACGGAAAAGGAGCACGCAAATTGTCCCCTTCGCCTCAGGTGTAGAGTCCGGAGTCTTTGTCCCCCCAACCACCCCGCCCACTATTTTACCCAGCAAGCTGGCCCTGCACGCGTTGGAGCAGCCAGTATGTCGCACGAAAAATCCACCAGCATCCTTCTCGCCTTGTCGAATACTAGGACTACTGCCTCTTGGCATCTGCGCATAGCCCCACAGCGGGATAGAGATCCGTGAGGGATCCAGGAACAGGAACAGGAACAAGAATGGGAATGTTTTCTCCTCCAAAAATTCGGGCGTTCTGTATCTTTTTCTCCATTTTTCTAATGTCTTATCCTTACCATCCTTATTGGTTAGTCATGTGTTTGGCCCTCTATAACAGCGGATATCATCCTTCAGGATTCCCAGCGCGGAAACAATGCCAAATATTATACATAACTACAGTTCAAGATTCCAGACTGCAGTAACCCCGCAGTGTAACCAACCATAGATTGCGCCGGTGGCTTATGCATTCCAACAGCAACGGCCCGACTAGAGTGGAGCCTGGAGGAATATATACTTGGTTAGTTGTTAGGTATATATAAACCCGCCCCCACCAAGCTACCAATCGAGCGAGCTAGCATGCGCCCCCGACGGTACCGTATGGTCTGGACATATTAATTGACAAGTCAATCCCACGTCTGTAAAGGCGAAGCTCACGGGAGGTTCGTGGGCCCGGAGGGATTCCGTGTGGGTCGCAGCTTGAGGGGGATAGGGAAGGTAGCTTCCGCGTTGCATGTTCTTCACAAGCCTTTTCTTATACGCTGGAAGGGATTCTCTTCCTGATCCTCTTCCTCCTGTTCATCCTCTTGGCCGAGAATAGTTCATGGCACAGGATTGGGGCGACAGAGTGGGATAGCAAGGCGGTGCTATCAGCCAGCACGGGGTCTCATAAGACTCCGATGAGCACCGTGGATACCCCTGCAAGGGGCCCATAAAATCGCGTCAAGAGCTGTAAGAAGTTGTATCATCCGTCAATTGTGTAAACCACTCTCAATCCTCTGGATGTGTGCCCCATATCGAGCTTGAAAGACCCGGTGCAGAGACATTAATCCTGCAAGCAAGGACAGCATGTGGTGCTCGGGGGTTGAAAAGTGCCCGACAACGCTTTGGCGAGGCCACCAACCACTAGGCCGGTAGCTTGATTATGTCAGAGGCAAGATGGCCGAGCGGTCTAAGGCGACAGGTTAAGGTGTACCTTAACAACAACTTTACAAGTTCCTGTTCATCGTATGATGGCGTGGGTTCGAATCCCACTCTTGTCATTTCTTTTTGTTTTTTTTGCAATTACCTGGTTATCATATAGTTGCAGGTCACAGGAAATAAACAAGGGGTCTTCTGCATATTTTTTAATGACACTGGGGGTTAAATTACTTCTATGACTGGCTGCAAATTACATGTGCGGAGCTAATGAAATTTGGAAGTTCAAACACGCATGTACGTGGTACATGCATGATGGGTTTCGAAACAACTAGCCAACTGCGCTGGTCACAAAGGGGCGAAAAAGAGATATGGGAATTCAGCGAATGTAAAAACAAAACGTGACTTAGCGGGCCTCAGGAGAGATGCTGAAATTGACAAAAAGAATTGACAAGAGTGGGATTCGAACCCACGCCTTCTTACGAAGAACAGGAACTTGTAAAGTCGCTGTTAAGGTACACCTTAACCTGTCGCCTTAGACCGCTCGGCCATCTTGCCATTGGATATTTATTGGCAATTGTTAATGGAATAGTGAGAGTAACACCTCTATCAACGAGAATGCTTATCTAGGTTGAGCCTGCAAATATGAAGATGAGAGCCGATAAGTCGATGTTGGCTGTATGAAATTATTTGCTAGCTGGGCTTGACTATGCGACTGAAACATGGCTGGAAGATAAATCTGGCAGATGAGTGGCTGGTGAGCATAAAGAAGCCAGGTCGGCCGTGAGCCCTAACCCTCATTCAGCAACAAAGAACCCATGTCAAGTTTGTATCTATGTTTCTCATGTATACATGACTAGAGAATTACTTGTTTCTGATTTACAAGGGATGCCAGTGGTACTGTATCCGATACTTGCCAGAGTAAGGCGAGATGCCCGTGATTTCAAGAAGCAAGGGCCGGTTCTATACACGGCATGATCGAGATCACAGTACGAATGGCATAGATACGTATAGCAGTAACATTGGGAATTCACTTCCCTCGGCTTCTGGATACTCTTCAGAGTATTCAAAATTCAATTTACGCATAAATCTACCTCCCACGTCAGAGTGATGTACTGGGGTTTTTTCTTCACTTTGGGAAAGGCCCAAAGGCATGGTGAAGGGGTGTCCACTTGATGATCAGATGGTAATTTGGCTTGCATATGACGATGAAAGATTACCAAGGCAAGATATTTATTAATATCTAGCTACAAATATCTTCGGGTATCATTCCAATCGCTGTAGAGTACCTTGCTGGCCACTCTAGGGCCTTTTCTACTTCAGTCAATGGTGGTAAGACAGCCAAGGAGAGGGATAGGATAAATGGTCAAGGACGCCAAACCCCCTCATCCTAAACTTCTCACGGGTAGGTAGTGATATCCTGCGTTAGAATATACTGTAAGGTAGTGTCCAATAGAGGTGCAATGACTTGACTCCTTTATCTATCTCCCTGGAGTAGACAAATGCATCAAGCTACAAGTATTCGCTCTCGTGGTATGTCAATACCCCACGAGACGAGTATATCTCCTACATGAAATACTTCTGCTTTGAAAAGATATGAATTATATGGCAAGGCTGGATAAGTAGAGGGGCCAAAGGTAAGCAGTAGTAACTATAAGCTATAAGAGCATGACACGTCTTATGTGTGCTGTCTAGGGCTTGCATGACCACCTGCAGCCACCACTTATCTACAGATCCTGTTGGGGGGAATATCAGCAGACTTAGAGAGAAGCGCAATGAAACGACTTGGTGGTATTCATGGATATTTCTGAAGCAGACTGTAATCAAGGGATTTGAGCTGAGCAGCAATACAATGAAAGTTGGCAATACCAGATCAGAGAGTATTATATGAGATTAGAGTAGTATTTAACAGGTGTAATACTATACCAAAACCTTAGATAACTGTTCTATAACCCTCTGCAACCCTCTACGACTGTTGACAACCAACCCACAATTATCCCATAACTATCCCACAACCAGCATTATCTGGTGAAACAATAGTCAGTGAAATTGCGCAGCCTCACAAATATACAAATACAAGTACACAATTCGAAAATCCTTGCTTAAACTAACCCACCCCCCCAGGCCCATATGTGGATATAGATGATGGTTTCGAAAGGATCTGTAGTTTTGGAGTATCAGTTTTGGCCAGTAATGATAGCGATGGCTCATTTTCAAAGTCTCGCTGGTTTGTCTTCACAACTAATGGCTTAGAAATCTGGAGGACCATCAAATTACAGTACCGATGCAGTGTCTGGGCGTTGTACTTGGGCACTACTGTCTGAAGAATAAGAAGGGGATTCGAACCTGAATCTCTTTTCACTTGCTTCTTTTACCTCGATCAGTTTCGGATTGTTTCTAGGTTAGGGCTGAGGGTTGAGGGCTTTCGGCATGAGCTATTTCTGCCTTGAGATTGTTCAAATTGGGCTCGATGAAATAAAATAAGTACGATAATATTGCTTAATCCCCACTTTGCCCCTCACACCCAGCAGGGCAAAAAGGCAATACATCAAAAAGATAAAAATGCAAAAAGATATGACAAGAGTGGGATTCGAACCCACGCCTTCTTACGAAGAACAGGAACTTGTAAAGTTGTTGTTAAGGTACACCTTAACCTGTCGCCTTAGACCGCTCGGCCATCTTGCCGATTTGTTGAAGAGCGATTCTTCTATCAAAACTATGACGGGATGGTAATGAGTTGTGTGAGGTTATTTAATATGGTGCCTGGCAATCATCACCTCGGTGGTTGTGTAGAGCGTTGGTGTCTGTCGCGGGGAAGTCCCTTTCAAGTAGATAAGAGGAAAAACATATAGCTGTGTTAGTTAGAGAATGACTGACTGAGGACAAAAATCCCTATGTAGCTAACTATCATGAGTTACACGGATTGATAGAGTCCCCAGCAGATCTCCATACAATATATATCTATACGTATCCGGCAGATCGCGAAATCGACATGTCCAGAGGCAGCACATAATAAGTCTGCATAATGCACGTACTAAGTACCGGCCAAGTATCAGCAAGCATGTTTTTATTTTTATTTTTATTTTTATTTTCATTTTATTTTCATTTTATTTTTTTCATTCCCTTTTGTTTTCTTAACTTTATTTTTGTTGTTGTTATGTTTCGCAGTAGTAACAGGGATGTATAAGGTCAACCGGAAGCGACCGATTATCTATTATTGTCAATCAGACGATTGTTTGTTTGATACTGTAGAAACCATAAGCGTATTGTGTAACTGGTTCCAATTACACACGCTAATACTACGAGCACTGGCAGCTGAATAGGTAAAGCTGAACATAGGTAGAGCATGCCTTCCACATCCACGTGATGAATCAACACCAAAAAAGGATAGGTCCCATGAGTTCATCTCATCATCAGAACGGCGCAGTCCATCGCTCAGAGAGTCACAGCAGTCGCAGATACAAACATTCAAAAGCGCCTATGAATGAATACGCTTCATAGCCATTCTTCATTAAATGATTAACCGTGCTGCAACGCCAAGAGGAATTGCCTCGCAGAATTGAAGTTGCCCTCAATCCGCCCAATGCTCAAAGAGTATATACATCATAACACAATCCTCTGCAACACCGCTCGTCAAAATTCCTTCCAGTGACCGACTTGCACCCTCCCCATCTTTCAAGGAAGGGCCTCGAAGAATCCCCGGATATATCGTACAAACTAGGGCTAGCCCACACGCAAGGTATCTCCCACCGACGTGTTGAGCATGGGGACGGCTCGTCTATTCGCGAACAGACCGCAGGGGGTGCTGACGGGGGAGCATCATCGGAGGACCGCGGGCACGAAGCCAGGCATCGTTGTAAGGTCCTTCGGTGCGGATGACGCTACCGATGGACATGAACAGACTACCGAGGAGAGATAGGTCAGCACAAGATGAGCAAGTCCCAGAGGGAGATACGTACCCAAAGGTTGCGCCGGATCCAAGCATGTATTTACCCAGAGTACGCATGACGCCATTGGGGCCAGCACCGTACTGGAAGATCGTCACGGTTCCTGTGATCTATGAGCGACATTGTCCAACAGAACCCCGAAAAATATACTGACCGATGATGAAACCCATGATACCACCAACCGCTAAACGTTGAAATTGATGGGTTAGCCAGCCCGAGAACCAGCCAGGCAGGGAAGGTTTGTCGCAAGCTTACTGGAGCCCATCATAGCACCCATTTTCACTAAGAGACGATGTCAGCCCACCACGTACCCACCTCACAGCAGCCCATACACCCCAGCACTAGAAAAAAATTGCCCACCGGATATGGGCTTGCGACCGAGGGGACTTACTCTTGTCGAAAGTGGAAGGGCCATGGCTCTGGGGAGGTCCTGCGACGACGGGCATGATGAAGGGAGAGAGGTTGTTTCAACCGAGTTCAGAGAAGACAAGCTTTGTCAGGTAGTCAAACGAGCACCCGATCCTTTGATACGGTGCAGGAACAATGCAGGGTTTAAGTGACCGGCGATGAAACCGAGGTGGAAGACAGACTGCAAAGCTCACCATGATTGACCGACCCATCCAATTCCACTGATCGGACCCATCCCGCAGCACGTGATACCGCTAGGCCGCATCGGGACAGCCGTTGTGTCGTCCCCTCCGGCACACGTGCAGGTCACGTGCCAGTACGGAAGGAGGAGAGTTTTGGGGGTTCGAATGGATCATCCGTTGTGGCCACCCATGCGATCCCTTCCATTTCCCTGTCCCTCCCCAGTATTTCGCTGGTCTTGCTGGGTTACAGGATCCCTTTACGCCTTCTCTGTGCCTCGCCCTGATTTATCATCGCCCTGTCTTGCTCTCTTTCGATTAGCCGGCCCCCCTTCCTTGACCCTCCTGTTTGGGTTCGGTCGCTCCTTGGGTCAAAGCCAAGACCTTATACCACCTACCACCTCACGCCGGTTGTCTTATCGTCCCTCGAACTCCCCTTGATTCAACCTCTCTCTCATTTCATAGCATCCGTGTCTGTGTTCGAGGTAAGCTTGATGATTGCACCGTGCCCTTGATTGCGGGAATGAGCCCGGTGTCGCCCTATCTCGGCTAGAAAAGCAACCCTTGTCTCTCTGGGCGGCCCTGACCCGGGCTAACGTGACTCCCTAAACAGTGCGTGAGGATCTAAGACCCATATATTTTGGCGCGCGGAACGTTCGCTCCTCACCCTATCTGATCGATTTTCGTCGCATACCACGAGGAAACGGGAAGGAAAATAAAGAAGAAATCGAAAGGGACCAATACTAAGAAAAAAAAAAGAAAACGAAGAATTATTCATAGGGGAATTTGAAGACGACCACCCTTTTCCTCCGTCCCTTCCCTCTCGTCGCCTCGACACAACATCACCAGGTTGGCCAGCACCAATGAAATAAGACCGACCCGGCCGGCTATCGAACGCTCCTTCCCAACCGGTTGTATCCTTCTCCATGACTGCAGTGGCTTCTCCACCCAGTGTGCAATCGGGGTCTCGTTTGGGATGGTACGATCCTGGTAACGGAGGACAAGGGCCCCTGTCTTCGATGAACGCGGAAGAAGTCTCGCGCATGTTCATGCCAAGGAAGACCGTTCAGAGATCGAATTCGTCGTCCTCTCTAGCATCCACAACCTCATCTACGTCGACTGTCGCTGCGCACCCGCAGACGGCCGATGCCGCGCAGAGTTCGAACTCCGAATCTAGCACGTGGTCTTCGAAAAAGAAACCTTCCAGGGGTATCTGGCCAAATTCCAAGTCCGACCCGGTAGCAGGGGTGAGCAACGCCCGCCCCCAAGTCATGCCTGCGTTTTCGGGGCCCGCCGCCGCCTCGACCATGTCGGCCCTTCAGCAGCCGTCTTCCATCGTTCCCTCCCAACACGTGCTTCAATCTCCTCAGCAGAATGGCGTCCGCGCTGGTAGCGCGCCATCTGGGGACCCCCCCGCCGTCTTGACCCTCATCCCTCTCAATGGGACCTTTGAAAAGAAACAGATCAACGTGCCGTTCTACCCGGAAGTCCTGCGGATTGGTCGGCAAACAAACGCGAAAACGGTGCCAACTCCCATGAACGGGTACTTCGACTCCAAGGTGCTTTCCCGACAGCATGCGGAAATCTGGGCCGATAAGACCGGGAAGATCTGGATCCGAGATATAAAATCGTCCAACGGGACCTTTGTGAGCGGGAAGCGACTGTCTCCCGAGAATCGCGAGTCGGAGCCCCATGAGCTCCGCGAAGGTGACATCCTGGAGCTGGGGATTGACATTGTCAGCGAGGACGGAAAAACGGTCGTGCACCACAAAGTCTGTGCCAAGGTGGAGCACGCGGGGATTTACAGCTCGTTGCCCAACATCCTGGACCTCACTCTGGGCGACCTGGATCCCTCCTCTGGCAATGGCCTGCTCCCCTCGCCCCTGAGCCAGCCGCTGGCACACCTCCGCGGGCGAGCCGGCAGCACAATGAGCAACCGGAGTACCCAGAGCAATGCCAGCAGTCAGTTCAATGCAATGCAACAGCAAAGGCAGATGAATTACTGGAATTCGCCGATCTCGATCGAGCAGGTCGTCAAACGGCTTACGGTATGGCGCCCTGATATTGAGGACACTGCGCAACAAGCGTGCTAATATTACAAACAGAACGAAATGAAACAAGCCAAACAGCAATCACAAGATCTTCGACAGACGGACGACTTCCTGACGACGATCATGAAGACGGGCCCCCCCGAAAAGGAGAAGGTCAAGCACTCGCCGGCGGAGAATAGCGCCTCACGTCAGATGAACGGGAGACCGAAGATGCCTCGTGTGGATTCGTTCTCCCGGTTCTCTGAACCCCCGGCACCACCGCCCCAGCAACCGTTGCCCGAAAAGCCAGATGCTTTGCCCCGGAATGGTGTGGACGCCATGTCACCCCTCAAACGGTCGGATACCACCGACACGGAGAAGCAGAAGTTCGGGCCTGCTAGCCCGGCCATTTCACGGGAGTCCAGCCAGATATTGTCGCTGATCGAGGCTCTGTCGTCCGCCAAAAGGGAGCTTGACAGCCAAGGCGCCCGCGTGAAGGAACTTGAAAACCTGTTGCTGCAAGAGCGAAAGGCCCGGGAAGTTGCCGAGGAGAGGGCCGGCTGTCTCGAAACCCGGCCCGATCACGATGTCCAGACGAATGTGACCGGCCCATCACTGGATGCGCATGCCGGTGAACCCCAGAATGCCCCATCCGAGAAGCGCGGCCTCGACAGTACATTGGTTGTCGAACAGTTGACGGAATCCACTGGCGAATCCACCGATGTGGACGAGCCGACAGATCGCCATACGGATCAACTGAAACAACGACTGGACTTCGTGATGGCGGAGATGGAGGAAATGAGACAACAGGTTGCCGTTTTCAAAGATCGCGCCCAGAAGGCAGAAGACGAGACCACGGAAACGCGCAAGTCTCTGACCGAGATGATCGAGACTCTGCGGCGTGAACGCGCAGATGGCGAAACGGTCGGCCAGCCGATCTCCGCCACCCCAAATGGCATCCCTCCTTCTGGCTCCGCTCTCCCCGGCGAAGGGGAGGATAAGGGTGCTGAGGCAAATATTTCCGAAATGCAGGACTCCCTGTTGTCGCCCCAATCCAAGGAGGCCGAATCCAGCACGGCCTTCGCCACGCAGAAACCTCGACACGCGGCTCTGGAGCAATCGAGTCCATACGCATCAATGCTCGGGGTCGTGCTACTAGGGGTAGGGCTGATGGCCTATCTGAACGGGTGGCAGAAGATGGAACGGTGATCCTGTTGACTTGCTGCACCTCCTACATCCTCCCACCGCCTGATTAATTATCCTTCGGACGAGATGCCTCAAGGGAAGTCTCGTACCTGATCGTCCTCAGGCATTCATCTTCTTTCTTATCTTTCACTCATCTTACCATTCTCATGTACTGACTAAATGCTTATACGCTGGTTCACTGGATTGTTCTTCCTTCCTTTCTCTCTTTCTTCAGTCCCCCAAATCTCCTTGTTATATCTCTGTCGCAGTTATGAGGCTGCGTAACTCACATGACTATCTCATTTTTTTTTTCTTCCTGTTTTGTCACATCAGATATCATTCCCCGATGCCATGTTGTTCCAGTTACGATTCTCTGGCAGCAGTGTTTCATGTGCGTTTTTGTCTTTTTCTCTCATCTATATTTTCTTCTCCTCACATTCTCATTATGTTAATATCTCAATTCTCATGGGATGAGACAGTTCATGTAGGGCTCACCCGTTTTTGTGTATTAGTCAATCAGAGCAGCATCACTTCCCTTGGCAGTTGCAAGCAAGCGAAGAATGATCATTTATTGCATTTCTCAGTTGACCCTCATTGATCGATCGTATCCGGCCCTTCCACCGCGCGGAAATAGGCGTATACTGTGGATTTGGTGGTATGGGGTGTACAGGGCGTACGGGGTGTATATGGGGGACTCATTCATTTGGAGTGATCAGAGGATGGCGACAGGTGGAAAAGCCCTTGATATCTATTCCATATCATACCTGATTCTACCACTGCTCACTGCATAGAGATGTGTATATGGAGTTAGATTGAGATTAAAGGATCGAATCATATTGCTACATGACATCATTCGTGCATAGTGAGTGACTGGGTGGACGGAGTGTTGCACCGGTCACTTGCGATCGAGCATCCTGGATCGTAGACAACCTATGGATGGATGCTGCTGTGTCGTGCTCTGGAGACTATACTCAACGAGTATAGACGAGACAGTAAAGACAATGATGGTCGGGTGATATCTCCCATCGCTATAACTGTCATCCAAGCGTGTGGGTGTTCAACAGTCCGTACCCATATACATGCAGCGCTGCCCCGCGTCTGTTGCTGCAGATGGGTCTGCGATGCGGTTCCTGCCGCGGCTCAGCCCACAGCATGCCATGCCATGCAATGCTAGGCAGGCGCCAATTTCTCAAGGCTTCTTGGTTTCTTTCCTTGGTGGTTCGCTGGTGTATTCTTCCTTCACTTGAGGCTCACGGCAACCTCAACCATGTTGACCCATCGCGTCCGCGTCTCGGGTAACTCGGCGTCTTCCGCTGCAGCTGCTGGATCAGCGGTGCGTTTCCTCTTATTCTTCTTTCCCCCCTCTTTCCGCCCCGTAGATTCCGTCGTGGACGGGCCCGCATCAACACCGGTAGCAGCGTCATCCTCTCCCCGCTCCCCCTCCGACACCACCCCCCTTTTCTCCCCTTCCTCCTCCTCAACATCATCAACAACAAGCACACTCCCCGTACTAACCCGGACAGCAAACTCCTCCCCACCCTTTTCCTCAAACCACTTCCCAACAGCAAGCGCCTTCTCCATCGCCCGTCCCGTAGCCTTAACAAACACCTCCTCCTTCCCCTTCCCCTTCCCCTTCTGCCCCTCCCCCTCCGGTCCCTGCTCCTCCCCGGCGCGGGGGCCCACCATCGCCAGTCGCTGCTGATTGCGCTTCCGCGCGTTGGCGAGATCCACGGAGGCTGTCGCGCGCTTTTCGGCCTGGCGGAGGAGTTTCTGGACGCGTTTTACGGCGGCCATGAAGGGGGAGGAGGTCGATACGTAGACGGTTTTGGGGATGCTGGAGCCGGCGTAGGGGGAGGCGATGGGGGGGTGCGGGATGGGGCGTTTTTGGATGCGGGCGTCTGTGAGGTTTGTTTTTTTGGTGGTTAGTCATGGGGTTTTTCAAAGTATTGTTCGTTGTTTGTGTAGTTGATTGGTGTTGTGATTGCTGGTAATTGGGATGTGTAGGTTGGTTTTTTTGGGGAAGATGGTGGGGAGTCGACGAGAGGAGAAGAGAAGAGGAGGGGGGAGGAGGTACGTTTTGGAAGTTTAACCATGTCCTTGTTCTTTTTTTCGAACTGGAGGTTTTTGGTGAGGGGTTCTTTTGGCATGGTGGGCGGTTTAATTGAGATTGATTGTTGTTGAAATGGTGGTTTAAGGACCAGTCGATTGTCGGGGGATGTTGGAGAAATGGAGATTTGCGAAGGAGCTTTGCGAACGCGATAAGAAGATCCGCGGTGTTTGGTTGGTTTGCATCATGGGTCCACCTTTGGAGTTGTCTATGGTTTGAAGGTAGATTACTTAGTCCGTTTTAGAGAAATCCGTTTTAGAGAAATCCAATTAGAGAAATCCGTTTTAAAGAAAATGGGTTAAATTATCATTAAGTCATTTTGGCAGTCTGTAAACTAGATACTAGTACTAATTATTATGTGTTACGCTTTTCGTTACCCATCATTTTCAACAGCACTCGTTAAGCACTTTTAACGTCCAACACCAACAAGCTATAGCACCAGTCTCCCTACACCCCACAGGAAGTGCAGCCCTAGACGGGAATCGCAAGGGCACCCAGATCTTGAAGATTGTATGTAATCTCGCGACGAAGGCCCGTCGTGACCAAATCGTCACTCGACTCCGCACGACCGGATCCATAGTTCTTCAAGTTCCACTTATCGACACCATCGACGCCCTTCAGGTCTTCGGGGTAAGCGTTGAACAGCTCCGTGCTGAGACGGCTGTACTCGGAATAGTCCTTAGGCCAGCTACCCAGACGCTCGACGGCGTGCTTCAGCAGGTGGAAATGCTGGCGGACGTGCTTGCCCTCGTCCCCGAGCTCCTCGTCGGAGGTGGACGAACTGACGTCGGACTCCTGGCTGGACTCGGCGCCGTAGTCGAACTGCATGGAGGACGGGTCGAGGAAGCCCCGCAGGGCATTCTCGTGCAGCGCGGCGGCCTTCTTGAAGTAGCGCTGCGCCATCTCCTTGCCGTCTTTCTGGGACTGGTAGCGGAGCGCGACGCTCGTGTAGAGCTGGGAGAGGAGAACGGTCATCTCGAAGGTGTTGGGGTGGCGCACGCCGTGCACGCGGCAGCTGTTGTAGACGATGTCTTCGGCGAGGCGCACGGCGGCCATGTGGTCGCCGACCATGTAGCGCGTGATGACGAGCATGCGCGCCAGCGTGACGATGAAGTAGGGCTGGGCGCTGGCGGTGTGCGTCTCGCGGTTGTCCCAGAGGGTGGTGAGGACCCACGCCAGGCTGTGGTAGTCTTGCTGCTCGTCGAGGAGGCCAATGAGGTTGTTCAGGTTGTCCTGGCCCAGGCAAGTAAGGTCCACCTTGCTGCGCTTGAACACCCGGATGGTCTCCTTCATGATCGTCGAGGAGATCTCGAGCATGGTCTTGCGGCGGGTCTCGTCTGGGCGCTGGCTGAGATCACGGCCGGAGATGGCCATGCCCAGTTTGAACGCGAGCTTGATGTTCGGGAGGTACGAATAGCCGTCGTTGGCGCGGATGTGCTTGAAGGACGTGAGGGCGAGGTCGCATGCGGGCTGGTATTGCTTCTGGCTGAGCAGCTGGCACACGCGGTTGTAGCTGGCGATGGCGATCGAGCGCAGGAAGTTCTGCGAGCTGTGCGTGGTGAAGTACTTGACGATGGTCACGACGAACTCCCGGACGCCGGCTGGGTCGGACACTTCGATCTCGTGACCCTCGCGGGCAACAAAATAATCGCTCAGCTTGTTGATCACGAAACTGGCACTCGCCTGGTTATCACGGGAAACGAGGAATCCGTACAGACGAGAGGCGGCAGCTGTGACGCTCTGGAAGCTGCTCGTCTTTGAATGGATCTCGCTCCTGAGCTGCTCAAAGTAGAGGTACTCGGTGGTCAAGGACGAGAAGATCTCGTTCAAAGTGAGCGACGTGTCTTCGCGCAGGCTGTATTCGAGCTGCGCCAGGAACATGAGGCTCTGACGCTTCAGCGTCGAAACGTTGAACTGGGCAGATTGAACGTGGGAGGTATCTTTGGCCACAATCTGACGGTAGAGCTCCCTGGTGAACTCGCGGCCGCGCTGGATCTGGCCAGAGGCGATATAGCTGGACGCAATGCTCTGGGCCGCAGCAGTCAACTTGCCAGCCGAAGTCTCGTTGGACAGAACCTCCACGGCCGTGTCCTTGAGGAGAGAAACCACAGAGGCGAAGTCGCCCTGCTTGGAGTAGAGGGACGCCATTTCTTCCATCTCGGAAAGTGACTCCTCGTGCGCCCATCCATACTCGGAGCGCATGGATGCGAGGCGCTGCTGGCGGACGGTGACTGCCCTGTGCACCTGCGCGCTCGTGAGGGAACTGGAATTGGTCGACGACACGGTGGCAGTCTGCTTCTCTTCGAGCGAGTCCAAGATCTCTCTGATATCATCCTTATCGATTGCGTCGGACTGGATCGCCAAGAGGCTCTCGTAGAGCTGCACAGCCTCGCTCTCGTACTGGATAGAGCTCTGGCAGATATTGGCCAGAGACAACGTCGCCTGCACGGTGATCGAGGCGGTGGCACCAAACACGTGCTTGCACGTGTTGAGGTATTGGGTAGTGACGTCGTGAAGGACAGTCGTACTCGCGTGGGTCACACGAAGGCAGTGGGTGTAACGCTCAAAGATAGTGCGCACAAAGTCATGGTCGCGAAGCTTAGCGTTGACCTCCTGGTGCTTCAGGGTGTTGAACAAGACGCTGTAGAGCTGCACAGCCTCCGTGTATCGCTCTTTGTTCCAGAGATCATCGACGACAATCAGCAGTGGCTCAAAGGCTTCAGGCTTGGAGGTATCCGAGTCCTTGTTGATGACGTTGACGATCTGTCGGTAGTACTCGACAGACACCGGACGGGGGCTCGTGAGCTCCGCAAGAGTCCAAAGAGTCTTGATCACCGTTGGGTGCTCGGGGCCCAAGCGCTTGGTATAATCGCCCAGCAGCTGCTGGTACAGAGTGATGATCTTATCGGTTTGAGAGGTGCGTTTATACAGACGAAGGAGGCCCGTTGTAACACGATCAAGAATCTTATCACCAGGCAGACGATCACGCCTCAAGGCGTGGTAAAGACGATTGCGCGAATCTTCTTCCTTCGATGGCCGGCGTCTAGAGTGGTAGCAGTCGCTCAGACGCTCGGCGAGGCTAATGCAGAATTCCGCATGCTTCGAAGGAGCGGCGCTCACATCCTGGACAGAATTGGCGAAGAAGGAAGGCCAGACACCACGCAAGACGCTCTTGATCAATTTGGTTGCATCGTGCCAGCGGTGCTGCGACATATACAGCTCGATGAGAGTGTTGGCGGCGGAGACGGTGGTCTGATTCGGGTTGTGGATCGACTCAAACACCATGTCCTTGAGACTAGACTCAGTCACCGACGAGCTAGATGACGAAGCCGTCTGCATAACATGCGTAGATGTGGTCTGAATGGTCTCCTGAAGTTTCTGATAAGCAGAGCTGTTGTGCCCGCTGGTGCCTGCGTAATACTGAGCGCAGTGCTTGTACACGTTCAGGGCCATGGCGGAAAGACCAACGGACTGCATGGCCTCGGCGACCTTGGAGAATTGCGCGATGACGGCTGACGAGTTCGACATCGGGCCTTGCTCATACTCCTGCCAGAGGCCAGCGAGCGTAGAAGCTGCCTCTTCCTGCCTGTTGTGCTCCTTGAGGAACTTGGTGTAGGCTAGAACGGCCTTGAGATTCTTCAGCTCCCATTGGGCGGAGCGGTGAAGTCGGAACTCCCGGCTCGTGCGCTGCCAGACTTCCACATACGCGGTCTCTGCCAGCTTCAGATTGCCCTGGGAGACGTATGTATCTGCGAGATTGATCAGCGCGTCAATGTCGTACGCGCTGGAAGACGAGATGAGTTCGTCTTCCTCCTGTTCGTCTAGCGACAAGGTGGTCTCGAAGTCATCTGTCACCTTGCTTGGACGGCCATGGAGATTGACCAGAAGGGAATCTTCCTGACTCTGAGAGCTGGTCCATTGGCTGGTGGTGCTCTCAGTGGTGGTGCTGTCCTGCTGGAGATAGTTATAAATTTCCTTGGCCTTCTCCTCTTCTTTGATGATCTGGTAATGCTGGGCAAGCTCGGTGCTGGCGTTGATGTAAAGCTCGCTCGCGGTTCCATACTGCGCTTTGTAGCTTTCAACGAGGATGTAGAGCACTCGAGTCCGGTTGACCATGATCTCAGTCTGTGACTCGGTAACTTGATTGGTGGTTGCCTCGAGGAAAAATCTCGCCAATTGCATAGTCACGATGTGGCTCGGCGACAGCACGTCGTTGCTGAGAACCACGGCTGCATACATCACAGGGACGACCTTGGAGGGCAGAGTATCCTGAAGTTCGCGATAGAAGAGAGCCTGGCAAATAGTGGACTGCAGAGTGGTCGGATGCTGCGGCGACAAGACGTACTGGTATAGCCGGGTCTGGGTGGCATACAGTGTCATCTGTACCGGGGTCGCCTTGGCCGCCCAGATGGTCATTGACAACAGTGGCACTGAAGTTGAGGTGGGCATCACATCACGAATTTCTTTGGAGGCCGTGGAAAACTCATCATCCGTGGTACAGCCAAATGCCTTCTTGATGTGGTCAACCCAGTAGCGAACGGCAAAGTCCAGCAATGGGAACTTCTCCAGGAGGCTCCCTGTAATATTTGGATCCAGGGGGGACACAGAAGGCTCATGGTCGGCGACCACGGCATGCTTGATGTAAGTCAAGCACCGACGAGTAATGTCGAGGTGCCTATCCTTGGCAGACGGCAGCAATTTGTCCTTGGAAAGTAGGTCCAAGATAGCCGTTCTAACCTCGTTGTGTCGAATACCCACAAGGCCATTCTGGTGGGTCAACAGGGGGGCCGCGGCCTCGAGGAGCTTACGGGAGTCGACATCCCGATCTTTGACGTTTGCCTTGTCCACCTGAATGGAGAGAAGGGCGGACAGCTCCCGAGTGGACATCGGGCGGGCGACAGTGGCTAACCAACTAAGGATCACCTTGCCTTCCTCAGTCAAAGATTTGGAATGCAGACTGTGGGACACAAAATCTTTGATGCTGTATCCTGTTTTAACCACCTTATCAACAGCCTGGGAGAACTTCTGCGCGCTCTTTTCGCCCTCGCTTTGGATCTGGCTAGTAGCAATCTTCGCAAAAAGAAATGAGCCATCGGAAACTTCGGCGACGCGATTCACGGTGATTTCGCGCCGCTCTTCGGACATGTTACTGAACGGTTGGCAGGACTGCAGAGCGTGTCGGACAACCGCAGTCATGTCGTCGAAGGTAAGCTCCGGGGTGATATTCACCGCTGTCTGTTCCGCATTGGTAGAAGCCTGCTGGGAACCAAGTAAGACGAGCTTCATGTTGTTGGCATTGGTGGTGGCTTTCTTGAGCTTGGCCTGAATCGCCGCTTCACCACAAGAGGCCTGGTCGGTCCCGTTGATCACCAGAATAAGCTCTTTGGCTCCCTTAATGCTAGCCTGAAGGGCGTCCTCTACAGCGGACCAGAGGATATTGTCATATTCGTCGTTATCCGCCGTCTGCTCGCAACGATCATAGGCATCCGAGATGATTTGATACAGTTGCACATTGCCAATTCGCTTGGCAAATAGCTGGGAAAGGATTGATTTGGCGATACTGCGAGGTGTTGTATTGGCGGAGACTCTGCTGCCTGAAAATCGTTAGTGATAATCTGGACTTTGGTTGAGAGATCACAAACTCACTGATTGAAACGAAGATTGGTTGATAGCTCACGCCTCCGATCGGGTGCTGGAGCTGATCAACCATGACAGAAGACAAGATAGTCTTCCCCGAGCCAGACTTGCCCGAGAAGACTAGAGTGCTCTTGTCGCTTTTCAGGAAACGATTCAAGTAGGGCGTCATCCACAAACAGCTACTTTCCTCTCGGTCCTGAGCCGACTGTGCCGAATTGCGTGTAATGTTGGCAAGGACGGGGTCCTCTGGCTCGAGCCAATGTTTGATCGACCTAACTTCCGAGACTGCATCAAGCAAGTTGGTGTGTCAAAAGGTTGATCCAACCGTAGGTAGGGACGAAATCATTGCTTACCACTTGTTTCGTCCAAGCCCTCGCGGAAGAGCTGGTGCCTCCACATCAACCCGGCTACGAGCTCACAACGATTACGGAAGCTTTCGATTGGGCCGGGGAACGAGCTGAAAATGTCGATGGACACGGATTCAGAGGTCATCCCACTCAAGGCCTTGTGAAAATAAGTGGCCACGCAAACCACTAGGGTAACCAGGTCAGCCAGAGCGAGAACAAGCTGGTCCTTGATCTCCTGCGAGACCGTGAACAACTCGGCTCGATCCAGCAGGTTGACGAGGTTCACCGAGCAGGCGCAGAAGAAACTGAACATGACCACTAGGGCGGAAGCATTCTCCTCACCCAGCTATACGTAGGTTAGTACAAGGGGACTTTGGCGAGAGACCTCCCCGAGGTGATTGGCAGACATACCTCCAAAAGGAGCGCGCAGTAGCCGTAGACAAGTTGGGATGCCAGATGGCTATCTCCAGCGAATCCCTCGACGGCCAAGTCGAACGTGTGCAATTGTTCCACGAACAGGGCAGCCCAGCTCAGCACACGGTCGTAGCTGCTTCCCTCGGGGGGCAGCTTGCTCATGCGCTCGCCGCGGATCCAGTCGATGAGGGACGCGTGGTTGGAGCTCATGAGCTTGGAGGAGATCAGCGAGTCCATCTCGCTGCTGTTCCGGCGTCGCAGGGAATACACGACGTCAGCAAGACTGGAGGTTTCGCGACCGCCAGACTTCCGAGAGCCCCGTCTCGCGGTGACCGAGTTGTACACCCTGCTCGAGACGTCCTCATTGTCCACGATGCCCGAGCCTCGACGCGAGTCGAAGAACGGGGTGGAGGACGAGGGGCCACCAAACGTGTAGTGGACGTTTGGTTGGAAGGAGGTCGCCATATTGGTCGTCACTTTATATGTAATGTTGGTTACTCATTGGAATCGAAGATTCCAATCGGTTTTAACGCAGATAACGTTTGGATTACAGTTGAAGGAACATGTGGTCTGCGCTGTTTATATGCTCTCTCCACCCAGGTTGTGTAATTCTAGGAGGAAGTGAAAAACGTCAATATGAGGTAGTTTCAGCTCTGGATGGAAAAGTCATGTGTGTCGGGACAGGATCGGCGGGTGATTACTGGCCCAAAGAGCCCCCCGGTGAAATCATTTCCAGATGTTTAAAAGCCATTGTTGACCGTGGAAGTCAAATCCAAGCTACCGGTAGGGAGCGTTATCCGGGAAGGACGCAGAGCTTGCGTTCCAGGCAAGCTTCGAGCTCCACTCCCACAAGGCAAGTCAGAAATGGAGCCACTCCCATCGATGGAACCAAAATCCGGGGTAGATATCTATGATACATTGCTCCATCTGCTTTAAAATGTCGAGTCGGGCAGAGGTTGGTTCGTCGAATCGGCATGCGACGGCTGAGTTTCCCGGGTATCATTAGGGTTCGGGTGGATCGGGATATCCGCATGCGGGAAACGCCCACATCATCCCAACTATTAACAAAGTTCACGATTTCCCGTGGTTGTCATTGAATCCAAGATTCAAGACGGTCCTAAATTTGGATGGCGATGGCGACCTATCTTGGGTGGCGTAGGTCTCGATGCGAATCAATGACCGTGGGCTGACGGCCCGATGATGATTCAAACATGTCCACACGCAGTTATAACTCAGACAGCCCTCTCAAAGGCACTAGTAGTCGTCGCAATGTAGATACGGATGTTATTGTTCTCTCGCTGTACTATGGAGGAAACTAGGGATGTCTAAAGTGGATCTTATATCACTGTAGCATCATGGAAGAGACCACAGACTGGATCAATTGGATGTAATATGCTTTAAGGCAGCATGTCTGGTAGATTAGTTGCATACCGTGGTAATGGGTTAAGACACCGATCTGTTACTTTGCCTGGTTGCATCAGTTTGTCAAAGAAGAATTAGCTTTGACTTTCTTTTCTTCCTTTCTCTTGCTTTTCTTTGTCTTATCTTTGTCTTTTTCTGCTCGGCCTTTTTTCTTTCCCCTCCTTTTTCTTTCTTTTGTATTTTCTTTTTTCTCTTTTCTGGTCCACCCCTCTTGGGTTTTCATCAAAGGCTTGTCAGCTTCAGCATGTCAGCGTCAGCCATGACCGGCGCCCCTGCACAGCGTTAGAATCCACAACGGACAGGGTCCAGTTGGTTAGAATTGTTTGCGTGTGACAGAAATAGATGGAAGGACGGGCGGCGGTGTTAGCCCTAAATCAGCCTTGAGTCGCCAGGACCAATGGAGTGGCCAAGACCAAGGAGTTGGGCGGCCCCCGGGCGTTGGGAGGACCATCGAACTCGGCTTGGGCTGGTTTCCATTACCGCCAGGTTCTTTGGCTATCCCACAAACAAATCCCCAATTAAAAGATCATTCCATTTTGGGCCTGATTTGTGGAGCTGGACAGATCGATTAGAAATGAGAGACGGGATGAGCCAAGGAGGTCAAGGACAGCGCATCGGGTAGTTATGAGTTTATCTGGAATGCTCTGGGGAACGTTGACAGCGCTCCCCGTATTGAAGAAACGTTCGGCAAGATAGCTCTTCTAGTTCTCACTGAGAGGAATCATTCCATTCCCTCGAGTGGATCCCCAGGATCTTCCCGTTGGTGAGTCTTCTGGCCTGTCAGGAACGACTAAACGACGGGCAATTTCGCTTCGATGATAGTCCGCCCCCAATCATAACTAGTCCGGACTATTGATTCGAAATTTTCGCCCAGCCGACGCAACGTGACCAACCAACCAGACAATCGACCTTGACCGAGGAAGGCGATTCTGGAGTCGGTGGATTTAGAAGGGGGGGGGAAGCCAAACTATCCAGGGGGAGATTGCAGTGAAACCACGAGAGAGTGGGAGAGTTGGACTGTCCCTGATCAATTAATTGGGCCATGTGTAACATTCAATCCCAAAGGGGAAACAATGGACTTCATTCAACATGAAGTAACCCTGGATACTCAGGGTGAATACCAAAAGATGGAGTTGAGGGGAAGAGGAGGCTGTGGTGTAAGATGGTGTAATCCGACGGAAACCGGGTATTTCAACAACACGAGGTAGTGCGATCGGACTAGGCCGGATTCAGGCCAACATTCAGGGACGGGGCAATCAATAGTTGTCCACTGGCTTCACGTTCTTTGATCTCTTTCTTCTTCTCCAACCAATCCACCTCGGATGGATCCACTTGGTCTACCCCACTAGTCACCACCAAACACGTCTCCCCAGTACCTGATCCTCTCCCGAACGGTCCATGGTTCCTGACCAGTCCGCCTTGGAGGATGGGATGACTGCAGGGAGGGGAATCCGGAATAATTTGACGATTGGAACACTGGATTGGAAAACACACCCTTGACAGCGCATGCTGGTGTCTATCTTGAATGGAGGCATGAATGCTGGTCCCTGGATCCCTGATAGGTACCTAATGATTGATCGCAATGCAAACAACTTGTTCCCCTAGGGATTGGGGAATGGAGGGAAAGGCATACAAAAGGAAACAACCACGATGATTACCACCAAACACGATCAAAGAAGGGGGGCAAAAATAAATAAAACAAAATAAATAAATAAAACAGAAAAATAAGAAAGGGAAAAAAGGAAAAAAGAAAAAGGACCCAGACAACAGACCCTCGTGTTGGAAATTACCAGACTAACTCCAGATGGTCTGGTGAGATTGTGGCCTGGAAGTTCGGTCTCTACTAATGAAACTTCTTATTTAGCCTGGGGCCGCAACCTCCCTGGCGTCTCGCCCTTTCGTTTCTCTTGTTTTCCTCACCACTTTCAGATCTCGCATCTATACGTTCGTTACACTTGGAGCAGCGCTCTCCTCCCACACTCTTTTAATTCTATCCAAACCCTCGTCTGCGACTGACCTTCCTTCTCTGCTGTCTTTGAATTTATATCACTTGACAACTGAACCACTTCTGCTCTTCATCTGCCACTCCCTCTGTCGCCCCCTATCCGCTGTGAACTACTGTTTGATACTTGACTCGCCGTCGCGTTTCATCTCATTCCCAATTATCTACCACCTACCTTTCAAGAGAAGAAGAACGACATCCACGATTACGACCGCAATCATGAAGATTACTGCTATCGTCTCCGCCGTTCTCCTGGCTGCGGCCCCGGCCTTCGCTGCGGACGAGACCATCACCTCGACCCAGATCACCACCATCACCCGGACCCTGGTGCGCGTCAGCTCCGTGACTCCTACGAGCTCCGCGACCCCCACCGTGATCCCCACCAGCTCCGCGACTCCCAGCCGCGCTGTCTCCAGCGGCAGGACCTCGACCCCTCTGCCCTCCGGCACCAGCCCCTCTACCCCCGTCCACACGGCGGGCGGCGCCATCAGCGAGGTCAACATGCCCATTGCCCTCGTCGCGGGTTCGCTGGCCATGGCCCTGGCCTACCTGTAGTCGGATGCCTCAAGTCGCCGTGGTTGCCGGGCTCTACTGTTCTTTGGCCCGGCAATACCCATCGGTTGCGATCCTCCGATCATTCTTGACCATGGGGAAGTGGGGTTCTAGTTCCCTGGATGATCATTTTCGATTCTCTTTTACATTTTCACCCCTTTATCTTTCTTAAATATCTCTTCGCTTCTTCGATTCACTCTTCGTTCTCCTCTTACTTTTTCTCCCCAGTTGGATCGACCGTTGGGGAGGAAGGCAGTGGAGCTGTGGTGTTATGGAACCATATACCATTTATATACCCCCCTTTTGACGACTTACTTCTTTTTATGACGAGTTGATGGTGTCTTTGAATCTTAAAATATATTATTTTCTTTTTGTATATTGATTTGGCCGGCTGTACCTGGCGTCGTATGCTTTAAAACGTTCTGTGTCTATGTTTGAAAATCTAGTCGATCACTGGGCTCACTAGGAGTAAGGCTGGTGACCTTAATCATCCCGATATGCCATCCGTCTGTCGATCGCCTGGGCTGAGATGGTATCGTTGACAATCTTACCTTTACATACATTGTTTTACAATACCTCATCCGAGGTCTGATGATCCTTGCCCTTCATAACTTCTTCCTCTTCCTCACCACTAGTCCCGGAAGATCGTCATTATCGCATTAGAACCAGATCTCAAACGTTTTCTTTGAAGACGAAGGAAAAAAGGAAGAAAAGAGCAACCGGAACAAGAGGAGCCAACAACCCCGACCTCGACGGCCGCTCCTCTTGCACTCCTTCAATCCCCTCCGCGATACTGTCCTCAACACGCGTCCATCCCGGCTGTCCGAAAAACGACTGGAGCAGCTGCTCGGCTCTCTTCGCGGGCACAAGATCGGACAAATCGCGCCCTTCGTTGGGACGAGGATCAGGGATCTGCGTATTCGACGGTCGCAATCGCCGCAGCAAGCCGATCACATCGGTCCAATTGAGAGGCTTTGCATGGCCGAATATACGCTCGGATTGCACGGTCGGGTCCAGCAGCGCCACGGCGTGGAGGCGCGCAACGTCCCCGACATCGACGAGCCACTCTACACTTTGCCATTAATATCGAAAACACACAAACAGATGGCTTTGGGGGGCGCGGGGGGGATCTCACGTGGAGGGAAAGTATCAAGCATGAAGGTATTGCCATGGAGTAGATTCCGGATAAACCCCATGCTTGACCCGTGAATGTTGGGATGGAGGATCCGTCCCACGCACACGTCCGGTAGCACCGTGCTCAGTGTGAAAGGAGGCTGTTTCTCAGCCATCCATCTCCAGGCGAATTTCTCGGCTTCCACCTTGGATGCTCCATAGGTACACATGACCCGTTCGTCGGCTGGGGTTTCCTCGCTCCTCGCCGCTGCTACCAACTCGTCATTCCACGAGTCTTGCGTACTGAATTAGCCCAGGTAACTCCATTTACCCAAGGGATAGAGCGAGAAGGAAAAGATTGACTCACCCGTGTCAACTGTGATCCCTTCTACATTCGGCAGCGGAGTATTGGCCGCGATGGCCGACGATGTCAGAACGAACCGTCGGACCGAGCCAACCCTATATGCAGCCTCGAGGACATTCTCGACACCAGCCACCGCACGGCGTATGACACCCTCGTCGGTGCCCCACGATAAATCGGAAGCCTAAGCCGGTAGTCAGCATCGTGGGTCGCATCGCCCACCTGCCCGCTGCATAGCGATACGTACGACATGAACGATGCCAGACACCCCGTCCATCACACCCTGCAAGGTATCCGCGTTCTCCAACCCAGGCACAATGACTGTCTCGAAACACTCCTTGCCGTACTGTCCCTGGAAGAGCTCGTCTAGCCATGGCTTCGCTTCGCGGACTGTGCCTCGAACGGTATATCCCATGCGCAGCAGCGTGTCGATGACGTGGGAGCAGATGTAGCCATTGGCACCGGTGACTAGGATTCGAGATCCGGGGGGCAGGGCTCTGGTTTGTGTCATTTCCTTCGAGATATAGGTTGGTCTTATTTTAACAAAGATGAACAATAAATGTTTTATTTGAATTGCCGACTAGAATAGTACCTATGCTACAAACAGACATACAGTCTAGTCCAGGGATACCGTGCATTATTTATGGCCTCCCCTACACCCTCAGACAGGAGCTAAGTTCAAGAGTTTGAGTCAGCAGAAAGCAACCAATCCCCGACCCAGCAACTAAGTGGGTAACAGAACAAGTGGTGCGCGTTTTTAAGTCTTCCCGACCCAACAAAGGCTGGATTTATGGGGGTGTTTCGTCTCCCGTGTCTTGCTCGAAACGGCATGGGCCTGATATGCCAAGCTCACAATCCAAGCGCAACTGGTTATCTATCGCGGGTGGAGACGAACAGGGGGGTATTGCTCATGGCAGGTGTCATGCTGCGGAGGCTCGGCCGTTTATTATTTATTATTTATTTTTTTTCTTCAACGGCGTGGCTAACCTGCTCAGAGACGCGCCTGCATAAGTGTCGAAAGCCTTGCAAAGTTGATGAGTGACGATCCTCTTGGCTGGGTGGGTAAACTTGATAGCAAGCGGGATTTAGACTGGCTTAGCTAGGAGCGATAGGTGGGTTTTGTATTTGACTTTCTGGGATTGATTTTGTCATGCCGTGCTATGAATGGGAGTGGGAAGTGGGAGTTTGGAGTAGTTTTCACTTGGTGGATGACTTCGTTGTATAAGAGAGATGGGCTGTGGTCCTTGAACTGGACGGGGATCAGCACTTGCGGAATTCCTTCGGCATGTGTTAGTTACCAATGGCTTTCCTGGAGTCTGGAAGGAGCGTACTCCATTTGTTATTGTTTGAGACTTGTTTTCATACTTGTTATGTGGCATTCAATGTAGGATGAGTTTACACCACTCCGTATACTCCGATGTATAGGACAACCCACGTGACACGCCCGCATTCCGGCCATGTGGGAACGGGCGCGCAGTCGCAGACCTTCATGCGGGTCTTCTTCTTTCTCCTCAATCGCATTGTTTGAACATCATGCCGTCAATTCCTCAAGTGTGATGGAGCATTGAGTCTACTCGGTTACGACAGTCTACAGCCTACGAGACCACCTGCGACACCTACTCCCGACGCACGACGCGTCCCTTGTTGACATCGGATATCCCGCGCGTTCTCCTCGATCTCGACTGCTTCTTCCGCCAACAACACCGTGGGTGGTTTTATTCCCCACTGGTCTTTTTTGAAATCCACAGGGGAAACAAGGAATACCGATAAGAATATAAAGAAAAAAGAAGAAGAAACAAGCCACACAATGGACAACGAAATCCCTCTCCCTCCACCCCCGCGCATCCGCCATCGCGCCCCCAATACCCCCGCCGTCCCATCCTCGCTGCACAAAACCTACCATCAACTGTCGCGCTTTGACGACCGCTCCAGCCAGCCCTCCAGCGATCCGGCGCTCTTCTCCAGCGATGACATCCCCGCCTCTGGTCTCGAGAATTACCACGCGCCCGCCGCGTCGGGGTGTCGTAAGCGACGTTATCGCGGCACGTGGTGGGGCGAAATGGTGAAAGACACCAAACGGAAACGCGTCGATTTCAAGGATAAGCGGTTGGTGGATAGTGGTGTCTGGATGGGGAGCGATGACTCCGGCGTCGACTCGCTGCTGCTCTCTGAGGATGCGTCGATCTGGGGTGAAGAGCTGCTGCATCATTCGACTGTGGGGAGGGCCGGGGATGTGGTGCCCGGAGAGATTGCTGCTGGGGCTCAGCAACGCGTGGTGTTTAAGAAGATTGAGGAGTCCCGGGAGCATCAGCTTGCGCGTGCTATTGTTAATGATTGTTTGGAGAAGGGGCAGGATAGTGTTGATTTGAGGTTGGTTTTTTCTTTCGTAATTCTCTTTACATGTCTTTTTTCTTCGTCCCTTCGAAGTAGTGCAGCGCTCACCATCTACAGTATCGGTGGTTTACAGCAGATCCCCCAAGGCTTGCTTCGCCCCCTGCAACACCTCACAAAACTACCCACGGTCAAGGAAGCTCCCATATCCGAAGACGTCTACAGCTCCTTAAGACCTTTCCTACGCATGTTCCTAGCCGGCAACTCTCTGTCCGACGTCCCGGGCGACCTCTTCGACCTGGACGCCTTGCGCGTCCTCAGTCTGCGAAACAACAGGCTAACCGAAATCCCACCCGCAATCCGAAAACTCACCATGCTGCAAGAAGTGAACCTCGCCGTCAACGAATTGCGCTTCCTCCCGTGGGAGCTTCTATGGCTCATCAAAAAAGGCGACCTGAAACACCTCACCGTCCGACCGAACCCCCTCTGGAGAATCGACGAAGCCGAAATCACACACTGGTTTTCCCGAGACGGCGCCCCAGCCACCTCTCCAGAAGAAGCCCTCACTCTCCACACCTACGAGGGCCCCGCCCCGGAGGAAGCCTGGGCCCCGATCCACATCGCCACAGGCCCAGTCCGCCTCTTCAACATGGAAGGCGTCATGGTCGACGCCCCGCCCACCAACACCAACACCAGCGAGTCCCGCGTGCCATCCCTCCGCGAAGTCTCCCTCCTCGCATTCACCCAATCCCCCTTCTCAGACCTCGTCTCCGACGCCGACATGGCCAACTGCCCAGGCCTCGTCCCGTCCCTCCTCCGCCAAGCGCGCGCAGTCCGCAACGGAGGCGGCCGCTGCTGCTCCGTCTGCCATCGGAGCTTCGTCATCGCCCGCGCGGAATGGATCGAGTGGTGGGACTGCAGTGTGTACGAGAACGGACTCAAGGGCCCGCGCAGCTCGGGCGAGAAATTGCGCCCTTTGCCATTCAGGAGACTGGGGTGTAGTTGGGCTTGTGTGCCTGATGCGTCGGTTTGAACATAACCCTGTCACTACTAATGTCATCCTCGATTACTAGAGGGCGTGTTCTTTTATTATCTTTCTTGTATATAGTTAGGCGTGCGTTGCCTTTTTTTTTGGTTTCTCTTTTGCTCTTTTCATGTGCGTGGTGGTTCGGGTTGTATAAGTGAGTGTATGTTGTATGTATTAGACTGGTTGTGTGATTAGTGTCAGGCGTATATGTAGGTATTAGAAGGTATAAGGGCATTTTCAGAATCAATATCTATTTCCATCGTCATTACTTCTATTTACCTATCAACCTACCTACCCACATATGCACTACATCGACCTACGGTACCTTACTGTAGAGTAGTAAGGGACTAACCTAGGTAAGGTAGGCAAGGCAGGTAAGTAGTAGGCAGGTGTTGATATGATGTCATTGGTTGTATCTTGTGTCTTGTGTCTTATCAGGTTAGTGATCTTATCTGATGTCACTACAGTTAACTTGTATCTACATGTAGGTATCATTGTTGTCGCTGGTGCTGAAATGATGATTCACATAGAACTCAGTATTGATAGGCTTTGTGTGTAACGGTTTGTTATGAGGTGCGTGAGTTGGTTGGTAGAAGGTGTGTGGCAAGAATACTAGGTAGTTGACTGCTGGGTAGGTGTTTCTTGGTTGCTTTCTTTTACTGTTCTTTTCAGTCCAATACGCCCAAAGAAAGTGTAAAATTCATACGCCAGTATGTTCAATACCCACGGGTACAACTTTCGCTAATGCAACGCAAAGACAAAAAAACAAACACAGAGTATCCTAGAGGACCGATAGCCACGCTAAAGACATAACCCGCACGGGAAAGACACAGAAATCGATAAAGTCAAGGAAAGAAGATAGACGTAGAAAGAAAGTAACTACCGGCTGCTATCATATCGAGACTGATGCCAGATAGTGTCGCCGCTAAGAGCCGAGAAGCTCAATGCGGCCAGATTACGCCACCCCGGTTGTGGTGCGGAGGAAGCTTGCTCCTCGAGACGCCCCGCGTCGGAGACGTGGGGTGCTTCGGGGTCGGAGTATCCTTCTTCGCTGGCGGCTGTGATGATGGGCATGGGGGCTGATGATGAGCTGTGGAGTATTTCCTCATCTGTCACTGGCTCGGTAGTGTCGCGGGGATGTGAGGGTTGGTTTTGCGACATGGATCGAACCACGTCGCCCTTGCAGATTGGGCATGTTCGTCGACGCGTAGTAAGCCACGGGGTTCTAAAAGCATCAATTAGCAAACAGTTCGAAGCGGATAAAGACTCGACCACTTACATGCACTCGGCATGGAATTCATGCCCACAGGGCAAACTCATCACGCGGCTCTGCCCGTCGACGTACTCCTCCAAACAGACGACACACTCAACCTGGCGCCCCGTGTATTTCCGTCGCCATAAGCTTGACGACTCAGCCTTCTCCCTCCGCGTTGATCCTTGCATCGCGCCCTGCGAGCTCGACACAGTGCCGGGTGGGGGCGATCGAGCGCGGGACCGCATGCTTCCCGATGCGCTCCGGTGGCCCAAGAGCGGCGAAGTGGAGGTGAGGGGCCCAGGGCTGGTCGCTCGCGGCGTGCTCGTCGCCGAGGAGGACGAAGTGCTGATGGTGTGGTACGTCCTGACGGGGAGACGCTCCACGAGGGATTTGGGTGCCCGCCACCGTCTCCGGCGGATCCGCGATCGGAGCAACAGAAGCGCATAAACCACCGTCAGGGTGAGCAGAGGACTGACGACCAACACCAGGAGCGTATCGAAGAATGGGCTGGTTGACATGTTCGCCGGCATCAATGTCACCCATAATCCTTCGTGCTCCGACGGGTCGCCCCCAGTGCTGCCCGCGCGACTGGAACGCAACCGAGGAGATCGAGCCACTTCAGGCGCATTGCCTTTCGACCAGCGAAAGTGCCGGGAGAACCAGCCCGAGCTCGAGTCTTCTAGAGGAAGGTTACGGCTGCTCGATCGTTCGATGTCCGCAGCTTTGTCGAGCTTAGATTTGTCCATGATGCGATATTCGCCGCTCCCCGGGGTGATACTGCCTCCTTTCAACGAGGCGGACGTCGGATGCGAGTCTTGCTCGCCCTTTTTTATTTTGTTCCCGGCCTCTGCGGCCCCATTCGCTGGAGAATTCGACTTCGGAGCTACAAGATCCGGGTCTCGCCAATCCTGCACGCCAATGATGAAACCATCTCCATCGCTATTGGCTGACTCTGTCTCATGTCTCTTGCTATGGTCCTTACTGGCACGGCCGCCTTTGGTTTGACCAGCGGCCTTAGCCGCACCAGTCCGCGACGAATCCTGGTCCTCCAAGACATCCAGTGGGATCCAGTTGATGTTGCCGCTGGTCGGTGGGCGTCGACTGTCCTCCGCCGTAAGCCAAGGGCGCGCAGCGTCGGATCCGAAACCCAAGGTCGACAGAAGGGCGTGGAGAAATCCCTCATTCCGATGCGCGGAGGTTGGCGCTTCATTTTCTAGGGCGTTCTCCGTCGTTGTGGGTGAGGCAACGGTCGAAGTCGTGGTGGTTGTGGGTTGCCTCCCCGAGCCGCCATTTTGACTCGGGTTCTTCGAGGGAGGGGCCCGAGAGTGGTCGCTGGTGCTCGACTCTTCGGCCTGTGCAAGGGACGACAATAGGTGGGCGGTAGTATGTGATGTAAACAGCGAGGGAATCGTGACGTTGGACGTATCACCCCGCGCGTACATGGTGACCAGGCTCCCTCCCCGCGTATCATCCCCGACAATCAACGCCACCCCGCCACGCCGTTGCGCCCACTTCACCTTCTCCAAGAATCCGCAGCCACCCCTGCTCAAGAGAACGACTTTGCCATCGATCTCGGCACTCTCCTGTAGCGACTGAATATCCGCATGCGCGGTTTGCCGGTTCGTGTATTTTGTGTATTTCTTCGAGGCACCGGGGCCCATCGCGTTAGAGTCTGAGAGTGGATGATGAAGATAATCATCGGTCCCATCCTTCGACGACGGCGTCAAGCTGTCCTCGGCGTGCTGCTGCGGGTCGGCATCCTGCGGCGAATCGGAACGGCGGTGGATTGACGAGACGGCCGAGTCCTTACCCACACCCGAGATCGCGTGGGCAAAGGCGCTGTCCGGAGGCACTTGTGGCGTGGCCCGCCGTTGCGCAGAATCACCCCCTTCCTCCCATCCTGGAATATCGGAGCAGCCTAGTTCGCCCTCCGCCCCCAGCGCCGTCTTGTCCCCAAACCCGCTACCGACCCACAACTGTCCGCTGAGACCGCTGCCGGAGAGAAGGGGGCCAAACGCAGCAGGTCTGGCCAAGAAGAAGGTGGAGTTATCATCGGTGAGGCTGATGATGGCGGACGGAGGAAACAGGGATGCGGGGATGTTGAACGACAAGAGGGCGTGCAGCCCGGTCGCTCGACCGGCGAACGACGAAGGAGTAGCGACGCGAGGAGACGATGTGAGAACGGAGTAGATGATCAAGAAGATGGGAAAGAAGATCAAGCAGAAGACCAGTAAGAGGAGGCGTGGAGGTCGCATTATTATAGAGATTAATGACTTCTGTTCCGGCCGGTTCCCTTCGCACTGGATTATTATTATTATTTCTTCTTTTTTTCTACCTCACCCTCTCTTTTTATTTTTTTTATTATTTTGTTTTTGAATGTAACCAAAGTATTTGAGGTCGTACTACCCTGGCTGCAGAAAGGGAGGGACAAGACCAGACGATATTAATGAAATCAATACGGGGGATTTGTGATCAGGTGGAACTTTTTGGAGGGGGCCTGATCCCAGATTGTAAGAAGAACTGGATGATGAACGGCAGCCGCATGGAGGAGGTACGGCAGGAAGTACCAAAAGGAGACGAAAGGGATGGAATGAGTATGACCGTAAGTCCGTCACCCAGGGGGAAAAAGGAAAAGGGAGAATCATGGAGGCAGTAAGAGAGAGAGAGAGAGAGAGGATATGAGAGAAGAGAAAGAAGATGATAGTTACTCTTACTGTAGTAGGAAGAGGAGAGTCACGGGGAGTCTCTTACATAACCGTACAGAGTCATGAGTTGACGATTCCGACAGGTCGATCTCTATATTTATATCTACATATATATATATTTATGTACACTATATATATATATATATATATATTTATAATAATAATATTATTATTATGTGCTGAAAGAGAAGGAAATGTTCCTCCTATCCCATATATCTCTCCTTTCCTGTTCAAAGACTCAAAAGTATAGAGCTACCTAACAGAGCCCTTAACTAACTACTCCATAGTCTGGCACTTTACCCAACCGGGTCATTTTCTCTCCACTGACCTCACCAATGCTGTCATCTTCCCCACCTCAACCATCGAACGACAACCTTCAATGTCCACCGCCCAAATTCGCGGCCCAATTCCATCTGTCGACCTAGATCGATCTGAGGCGGCTTTGTCCGGACTGAATTGATCAGTTCTAGCCAGGCTTTCTGATTCTTCACACTTAAGCCCTACAAACACGAATAATCCTATAGAGAGGACTAATATTGTCAATCCTCAAGACTGCCCATAATAAACCCCAAGGCAAATGATGAGTGATCGTATGTACCGGTCGTCAGAACGGCATCAGTCGATTCGGTCAAGAGATCCCCTCGTACAAAATAACTTGTCTAGGATCAAGAATGACCCGAGGGCTCGGAAGGAAGAACCGGTCCCATTGATGTACACCGAACGGTTGAGTTAGCTGATGGATGGAGTTAGCTGATCGGTCCGGACTGGTGACGTGACCCTATCCATTCTTGCTCCCGATCTCCTCTTTAGTCTGCCTCGTCTTTGGACATTACCCATGTGGTGACTTTATGGAGCGTCATGCATACCTCATTCGACCCAACGTTGCCCCCTCCCCCGGATATCTTGTGGCGTCAAGGGACGTGCTCCACCATACATAGAAGTTCATAAAACCCCCCCGGTTTATTTCCGGTATATATTCAAGTATATTCTTCCAAGGATTGTTTCAGATCACACATACTACACAATGTCTCATTTATTGCACAAAGTCAAAGATGCGGTGACGGGTCACAAGGACCATTCCGGTACCATTCGAGATGTAAATGCGCACAATCAATGCAGTGGCTGATCGGATACAGGCTCGGGAGGCCGCCAGGCCGGTAGTAGCTCCGACTACAGTAAAACCGCCCAGCAGGGGTCGAATACTGGTGACTATGGCAAGTCCAGCTCTGGTCAGTACGGCTCGAACACCGGCGACTATGGAAAGTCTGGCACCGGCCAATATGGATCGGATACTGGACAGTATGGCTCCAACACCGGGCAGTATGGTTCCAATACTGGACAGCATGGCTCCGGCACTGGACAGTATGGCTCGGGCACTGGCGACTACGGAAAGTCCGGCAGTGGCCAATATGGCTCGGGCACTGGCGACTACGGCAAGTCCAGCACTGGCCAATATGGCTCGGGCACTGGCGACTACGGCAAGTCCAGCACTGGCCAATATGGATCGGACACTGGACAGTATGGCTCCAATACTGGACAGCATGGCTCGGGCACTGGACAGTATGGCTCCGGCACTGGACAGTATGGCTCGGGCACGGGACAGTATGGCTCCGGCACTGGCGACTACGGAAAGTCCGGCAGTGGTCAATATGGCTCCGGTACTGGCGACTACGGCAAGTCCAGCACTGGTGACTACGGCTCCAAGACTAGCTCTGGCCAATATGGCTCGAACACCGGTGAATACGGCAAGTCCAGCTCTGGTCAGTACGGCTCGGGCACTGGCGACTATGACAAGTCCAGCACCGGCCAGTATGGTCGGAAGAGCGATGACTATAGCCCCAAATCTAGTGGTGGTGGCAACTACGGCTCTGGCACTCAAGACTACTCCTCGGGCAATCAATATGGCTCCCAAACTGGCTCCGGTGACTATGGATCTCGAACTTCGGGCGGATATGGGGCCGGATCTAATGAGTATGGGTCGAAAGCTTCGAGCAAGGATACCTCTGGCACCGGCTACGGGGCGAAAGGCAGTGATTATGGATCCAAGCCCAGCGGCAATTATGGATCCAGCACCGGTGAGTACGGAGGCGGCTACGGCTCCGGCAACACGGGAAGCTACAACAAGACTGGATCCGGATCGAACACCTACGGCTCCGGCATGGAGGGGAGCTCCGACCCCCGCAACGCCACGTCGTTCAATACCCAGAGTCTCGGCGGCGGCGGCGGCGGCGGCGTAACTGGCGGAGCATCCAACCAATATGGTTCCGCCGCGAACAAGATGGGCAATACTCAACGGAATCAGTGGTAAATCACTGGGATGGGTTCATATTGGTTTCAAACTATCACCTCCGTTTCTGTGGAAAACCGATGATTCCACATTTGTATTGATTTGAATCCTTGCACGTATAAAATGTTGTGAATACTCATCAAACAGGGCGAAGAAGTTGGATATGCTTAATGATTTGTCTAAGTCCCTTGTCTTTCATGGATGTATCTTATCTAATCTATGTTGAATCACTTAATATGAAATATTACCATACTGCTTCCAATATCATAGTCACTGTATAAATTGTATACAAGAAAGATGGCCTGGGGCTACTTCATGCCCGATTAGGAAACAGCAAGTCCAACCAGACCATGCTCTCCACAACTGTCCATTCACAACAACCTATTCGTCTGCTGTTTTCCAGCAATTGTTTCCAACTTTTCTCCCGGACTCTTCTCTCAGTCAGGTTTGGATTCTTGTCTTTTTTGTCCCTTCCCATAATCATGAACCCAGACATGCTGAATGAAACCAGACCCCAAGGCTACAATCGGCGTCGTGCGTGACTATCTGCTCGATGCACTCGTTGGAATAAAGGCTTACTATTCTGCTGTTCTTGTCAGGCCAAAGATCCCGCAGAAAGAAGTCTGCAGTGACCATTGAAAGTATCCATCCTGGTCGGGCTCCTCTGGGTGTTTGTCGTCCGTCCAGGTCGATTTCGCCTCCCACACTCAGCAGAGACAGAGCCACTTCAAGTGAATGGTTCTCCAAGACATCTGAAAACAGCATTTCAGGACAGGTCGGTACTTCTCCCAAAACACTTACCTAAACTTTCTAACATCTTCTCCTACACCTTCTAGTCATCTAATCCGGTGTACATGCGCTTTTCGGATACTCTTCCCTCAGAATCAACAGAGCAAGCGGAATACAACAGAAACATACCATTCTTATCCATCAACTCCCTTGGCGAGCTTTTTGGAGAAGGGAAGTGGGTTGAACCTCGAGCCAAAGGTAGAAGCCAGATGTCCCTACCCAGACCGTTTCCAACCTACTAACCTATCGTGCGTTGGACTGAACCAGGCATGACTATTCGCGGAGCTTCGTCAAGCGATGCAGACCCTAACGCTCCAGCAAACGCTGTTTCTTTTGACATGAGTCGGGGCTGCTATGAGCTAGCAGGCTTTGATGAACTTGCCTCGTCTCAGCCGGTCGCCCTGAGTGACTTATGTATTAGAGCTCGTCCGCGTTATAAAGGGAACAGACACCGCAAACCTCTCTTGCATGAGCACGAGGGCACTATAGATGAGAACAATAGTGCCATGGGCTCCTTTACAGATAGCCTATCAAAGCCTCGCTCACGCCTCTCTGCCTTGCATCAGCTGAAAAATGGCGTCTGCAATTTAAGCGGAAATCAAAAAGAGCAACGGGCTACTACTTCACTGGTGTATCACGAGATTGCTGTCCAGGAGACTCAAAAGAACGAGATTGGTGAGCAGGAATCCCACGAAAGTGTAAGCACTTGCTATCGGAAAAACCCACTGAGCTACTCCACCATCCATGATGGGACTCACTCATACACCCTGAGACACCGCTATGAATCCATGTCAGCGAGCACATTTGTGACAAGTGACTACTATGTTACCTCACAAATGGACCAGCCAGCAGATACCCCTCGAGCCACTGATGAAAGCGCCTCCTTTGGCTCAGCCCAACTGGATTCCCGCCACCATATTATGCCCTCTGGAAAGAAATACCCGCAGGAATCTCCCCTCAACCTTTATCGTGCCAGCTTCGACCATCCTAGTGATCGATCGCCCTATGAGTCCTTACAAGTACAGCGTGCACAGGCGTACTTGAGCAGTGTCCCGTCAATTTTGCAGCAGTCCGTTCCTGAGAACCAAGACTTTGATTACTGCCCAGTAAAGCAAACATCTGTACAGGAAGCCGTTGTCAACCAACACCCGACCGAGGAGAACATGGTCAGAGTTGAGGCAAAGCCAGCCTCGACTAAGCTCCCGTTGCCCAGCCCGAACCTTCCGTATATCAAGCACCCTGACCAGGAAGGGAAATTGTTCGAGGAGTACTCCAACCCCACTACCCCCAACCCATTGAAACATACAGAACGTTGTAGCTCGGAATTAAACTCCGCCGCCCTCCTTTGTTTGGTTCAGGAATCAGGTTCCGGGAACCAACAAACATACATTCCTGACCCATTCTTCGAAGACAATGATGCAAATCGAACATCATATCGGAAAGGGAATGACGGAAGTATGGGATTGGCGGCCTTGGATTGTGGTTCCACCGAGCTCAAAGCAAGACCGACTCCCGCCCACCAAACAAACAGTAATAATGCAGTTCTAAAGAACGCATATGAGCGTGTCATGATGAAAGAACTGCGTGAAGGAAGCAGCTCTATCGAGAAGGCTGATGGCCCTAGGCAGGAAGAAACATTTGAAAATGGTGTTTTGCCGGGTCCCAGATGCCAACCGACTCCTGGCCCCCCAAAGCGCGGTCCTCTGGACATGGGAACCAGTACTTGGTATCTAACGAAATACACTACTATGGTTGAATCAAAATGTGGCAGCACCGACACCTGGTTCCATGTTGATGGGCGGGGAGAAGGCGGCCTCCGGCAGCAGATCGAATGCGTTTCCAGCAGATACGCCCAAGTCAAACATAACCTAGGTGGATCGGACCCGACTCATGCAAGTCAAATGACTAATTTACTGGGAAATGTCATTACCAACCTCTATTCTTACGTCTCCGGGAATCGCAAGGACCAAGCCGCCAATTTTGCCGACTTTGGAAACGTAAGCGACTGCTATTGCGAGCCCAGCCTTGGGGGGCGCCGGAGCTATTTCGAGCGTGACCCGTCGTCCATGGAACGTTGGGGAGCCCCTGGAGGTAGAGTCACCATAGAACTGGATACCACAGGGAATGAAGCTCGAAACTTTGCGGACATGGTCGACAGGACTCGCGGGGTTTGCGCTGATATCTGCAAAGAAACAAAACAACAGGTAAAAGAATACGAAAAAGGTCAGGAAATGGAAGGCAAGAATGAAAAAGAGAGCGACACAGATGATTGAACAACCATGATCTGGCAAAGATGGATGATCCCTTGGCTCTGAAGTTTTGAAGGTAGTGCTTGGTGAGAAATACGGGATAAAGACAATGGATTGATCATGCGTTGGGGTATGATCCTCGGGTTTATGTGGCAGTCTTTAGGGGGATCACATTTGATGATGGAATTAATGCAATTGCTCTTATCCCACTTCTCCTCTCTTCCTCAACGTTAGTACTAAACCGCATAAGGGACTCCGTAGATACGTGGTAAAAGTAAGTGAATAACAGTATAGAATTGCTCATATTGCATCCATATCAAGACATAATAGACATGCCCATAAACTAGTTTATCTAGAAAATAAGAAACAAGAACCTAGGCAACAAGGTAAAGCGAGATTAAACGGGGGAAAACAAGACAATAATGATAACAAAGACGAGACGAGACAAGACAAGGCATGTAGAGAAAAAAATAAAAAAGGAAAGGATTCAAGAAAATAGGCAGAACAAGGCGCCCGATTGCTCAAATTGCTGGCAATTTAAAAAAAAAAGAAAAAAAAAAAGATGAAAATAAAATAGGATAATAAGGAAAATAGAAAGGAAAAGAAAAAGAAAAGGAAATATATGAATTGACGACCCTACGCCGG